AGCTTAACGAGTATTTAGAAGTTTTAATAATATAAAGTACTCTAATATCTAGTAATCCGTTAGGACCTCGAATCTTTCTTTACGTTATAGTCCCGATAGCTTAGCCTACTAATTATCTATACTCTCTATAATCGCTAGTATCTCCCGGTCGTAGATATCCTACTTCCGCTCCCTAGGTAATATAGTCTTAGAGAAGAATCTAATAGGATACTATAATCTATCCTACTTCTAGGATAGTACTCCCGCGATAATATCCTTCGAGGCGTCTATTTCTAGTCTTATCTCCCTCTCCGGATAGTAGTATACTAAGATAGGCGCTAAAGAAAGAGTAGTTTTTAGTTACTAGAAGGTATTTATATAGTCCTCGCTCTATATAAATATATAGTCCTTTTTTATAAGTTAGTAGAGTAGCTTCGCGATACGACTATAGGTAGTAATAAAATAATAATAGAAATTATAGAACCTAAGAAAGGACTAAACTCCTTTAACTATTATAGGAGTTTACTACTTATAAATAGCCTTAATCTTCTTAGGATTAGTCCTTACTCTATCTACTCCTACGATAAAACCTAAGAACTTAGTCTCGGTTCGGTCGAACTTATATTTATAGATTACTACCTAAAGTCCTATAGCTTATAATCATTAGATTATAGCCCGAACGTATTTAATATACTTCTCGGGGTCCTCGCTAAAGATTAGGATATTATCTATAAATATAATAGTAACTATATCTAAGAGATCCCTAAGTACCTAGTTAATATACTATTAGAAGGAGATAGATCTACTATATAACCTAAATAGTATAATCTTATACTTAAAGATCCTATATCGAGTTATAAACGTTATTAGATTCTCTAAGTCCGCCGCTATTCTAAGTTAATAGAATCCCTACTATACGTCGAGTTTAGTAAAGCGTCTTACGCGGGCTAACCGGTCTATTATCTTATTAATAAATAGTAATAGATAGATATCTTTTTCCGTGACCGTATTTAGTTATTAGTAGTCTATATAGAAGTATAGTCTGCTATCTACCTTCTTTACTATTAGGATTAGAGAAGTAAAGGGGTATCTTAATAGAATAATAAAGCCCTTTTATAAGTTCTCGAAAAGGTACTTTCGAACTACTTTAAGCTTCTCCTAGTTTATCTTATAGAGGGGATAATAGCCTAGTCTCTACTCTCCGTTAAGAAGGATCTTATAGTCGAATAAGCCCCGATATAGTAGTAGAATATTAGACTTATATTACGAGAAGAACTCTTATAGATTATAGTATACCTTAGGAATTTACTATTAAATAGACTCCTTCTCTATAACTACTTCGTTCCTAGAAGCTAGTTCTGTAATTACTATATCGATCTCGTTAAGAGTAGTAATAAATACTTCGGTATCCTTAGCTTATATATAGTATTTAAACCCTACTCGACTAATAAAAGCTCGAGTAGGACTTAGAAATACGGTATTTAATTCTACGCGAGATAGTTAAGGAGCTAGGACTACCGGTTCTCTATCCCTAGCTATTATATAGCTAAATACCTCGTAGGCTTATATATAATTACTTAAGAACTCTTTAGGAAGTCGATATTCGGCGTTATATATAGTTAAAATAACCCGAGATCTATCGATCTACTTCTACTCGATCAGTCGCTCTATTTCCCGGTTATAGGCTTTAGTATATACCTAATATTTCTAATTTATAACCTATAGACGCGTTAATACCGGTAGAGGAATCTCTAGAGTTAGTTTCCCGGCTATCTTATCTACTAGGATAACTTTAGTAGACTACTAGATTCGGTAATTTATATAATCTAATAATACTTAATAATACGCGAATTAGGCTTATCCGATAATTATATAGTAATAATCTAAATCGGTAATAAGAAATAGTATCTAATAAAACCGTTATCCGTCGATCTAGAGAGTTAGAATAATTATATAGGTAATAGCGTTTCTATCTTTCCTATTATATCCCTCTACCTTTACTAACTAGGGTAAAGGTATCTATAAAATATTCTAAATATCTCGGATAGTATAGGCTAATCCTTTATCGATAGCTATATAGGATATTACTCTAGTATCGAGTAAAGTAGTTATATAGGTTAACTAACTATTAGATATAAGTATAATTAGAAAAGTAAATTATTTATTATTTCCTAATACTATATATAAATCTAAAGGTATAACTACTTTCGTAATACTTATACCTAGAAGAGAGACTTATTCTAGGCTTAGGCTTTTCCCGCCTCGGAGGGTTTAGAGATCTCTTCTATATAACTAGGATTAGGTACTAATATCTTAGCTACTAAAGTAGCGCGTTCCTTACTAGGATACTTAGAAGATATATATCCGGTCTATCTATATCTAAAGTATCGTTCTTTCTTTATATAGTAGATATAGATCTTCCTATCTAGACTCTTAGCGTTAGATACTAGGATTATCTTTATCTCGCGAGGTATAGTACTAGATAATACCGGAGTTATAGTAGTAGTCTTATTATTAGACTTCTTAGAGAAATACGCCTTCGACGCTCTAGACGGATCGGTACTTTTATTATTAGTAGTCTAGCCGCGTCGCTAAGCAGAGATCTAGCTACTTAGGTAAAGAGCGTCGTACTTCTTTCTAATCTTACGGCTAAACTCGGTAAAGGATATAAGGGGCTTATCGATTAAGTCGATATCGATAATCTCCCGAAGTCGGGGAGTTAAGCGGTTCTAGAGGATATACTTCTTCTAGCGCTCGCCTATAATAAGTTCGCCGGCGTCGAAGAGATAAGAGAACTAAGATAGGAAGTTACTAAATAACTAGCTACCCTATATCTCTAAGTTCTAGAAATCCCGTTTAGAGCGTATAGCTTTATTATAGTCGCCGAAGATAGATCTAAGATACTTAAAGAGGTCGTTATAGTTCTAGTATCGCTCGGAGGCTATATCTATTATATATTAATTAATATTCTGTTCGGCTATATCTCCGTATCGAGAGTAAGCGTAGTCTAAAGCTAAGGGATCGGTAAGGTCTAGTCCTATACTATATAGCTTACGCTCTATCGTAATCTTCTAGTTTTCCTAAGTTATTTCCTTTCTATTAGTAAATAGGGATAGATCGGGGATCTTAAATTTATATATAGCGTATATAGAATCGGAATAGCCTATTATAGTAGTATCTACGGTAGCTTTACGCTACTTACGTTAGTTAGTAGGAGGTATAGGATAGCTTATTTTAATTCGATCGGCGGAGGTATAGATCTACTAGAGGGTTATCTATAAAAGCTTAATAGTAATAGTATTAAGATCGGTACGTTCCTCGGACTTATAAAGAAGCTCGTTATTTATTATCTTCCGATTTATTAGTTTAACTACCTTAGCGGTAGCTATAGTAAGCTATCCGCGCTATTCCTCTACTTTATTATCGAGATAATATAAGTAGTTAACCGTCGCTCGCTATATATCCTATATTAAGTCGAATATAAACCTAGGTTCGTCGCGTACTAAGTCGATAAAATTCTTATAGCTAAGTTTTCTATTACGTAAATACTCGAGTAGATTATCTAGCTAAGGCGTAACCTAAATAAAATATATATCGTAGTCTTTACAGAGAAGATTATTAGGTCTAGCTAAGGAGCTCTATTAACGTATACTACGCGACTCTCCCTAACCGGGTTCTTTATTAATACCTAGGCGTACTATATTAATAGGTACTACCGTATCGATCGTTTAAAGGGAAAAGAGAAAAATAAGGGAAGATAATATATAAAGACTTAATAACTTATAGTAAGCGCTAGTCTATTATATAAAGATAAAAAGAATATTAAAGGTCTTAGTTTTTATATAACTCCTAGGTAGTATAGCTACGAGAACCTATATATAGAAGGAAGAAGGTAAAGTAACTATATCCTATATAATAAAGAAAACTAAGACGAAGGGGAAAAAGGAAAGGAAGAAATAAGGAAGGTAAAGTACTACCTTAAATACCTATTATAGGTAGGGCTATAGTAAGACGGTAGAATCCTTATAGAAAGTCCTAGATAGAAGGTTCCTCTATAGAAGTAAACCGAAAGATAAATAATCCTTAGGCTCTAGCGTATATATATATATAAGGTTTCTATTAATAATATATAGGTAAATATCTAATCTTATAAACGTAAACATCGATTATATAATCTCCTTCTTAACTCCCTAAGTCTATACCTATTAACTAGCTAACTAACCTACTAGTTAATACTAACTCGCTAGTCGGCTAACTAACTAGTTAGTAAACTTACTAGTTCACGGTGACTAACTAGTTAACTTATCTAACTAACTCTATACTCTAAGTCTTATTCACGAACTAGTTAACCGACTAGCTAGTTAACTATTAACTTATTACCTATACGTTATAAGTACGAGGCTCTTAATAAGGAGCTACTAGTATACCTAGACGATAATATACTATAACGTCACCGCGCCTAAGGATAGTCGTAAGTCTAAATAGGGGGTAATATAATATATAGGTAATAAGTTAATAGTTAACTAGCTAGTCGGTTAACTAGTTCGTAAATAGACTTAGAGTATAGAGTTAGTTAGATAAGTTAACTAGTTAGTTACCGTGAACTAGTAAGTTTACTAACTAGTTAGTTAGCCGACTAGCGAGTTAGTATTAACTAGTAGGTTAGTTAGCTAGTTAATAGATATAGACTTAGGGAGTTAAGGAGGAGATTATATAATCGATATTTATATTTATAAGATTAGATATTTACCTACGCGTTATTAATAGAAGCCTCACGCGTATATATACGCTAGAGCCTAAGGATTGTTTACCTTTCGGTTTACTTCTGTAGAGGAACCTTCTATCCGGGACTTTCTATAAGGATTCTGCCGCCTTACTATAGCCCCGCCTACGATAGGTATTTAAGGTAGTACTTCACCTTCCTTATTTCTTCCTTTCCTTTTTCCCCTTCGTCTTGGTTTTCTTCGTTACATAGGACACAGTTACTTCACCTTCCTTCTTCCATACGTAGGTTATCGTAGCTATACTGCCTGGGAGTCACATATACTCGGCTCAAGCACAAAATCAACCGCCAGTTCCTCCGTTGTACTCGCATTACAAAACGTATGGACCACCCCAGCAGGGATGGGCATCGTTTGGTCGGCGCGTTTCACGACGGTCCGCCCATCATATATGAACTCGGCCGCACCGGCCAAGACGTGGAATGTCTCGGTTTGATGGCGGTGCCAGTGAAGAGGGGGCCGAAGCGCGATGGCCTTATTGGCGGTGCTGGAAGCGGGCGGCCAGCGGTTGATGACGAGGTACTGGTCGGTTGGGGGTTTGAACTCGATGGAGGATCGGCCAGCGTCAAAGTGGATGGGGTTCAGGTGTGCTGTTTTGTTGCGGGGGACGTGGCGGGCGAGGAAGGAGAGCATATGGATTTGGGGTTCGGGGGAGGGGGGATGTGGATCTTCTATGTGAGACTTGTGGTTGTTTAGATATTGATTGGCAGGGTGGCGGGAAAAACGGAGCTCGAGTGTTGTGTCCCGCGGTCTGAAGGGGATTGGGGATGGAGGATGGTTGGAAGAATGGCACAGTGGTGAGGCAGGCTGGATTGTTCTGGAATATGGGCGGTTTGGTCCATGTTGGGAGAATTTGATCGGCGTGACCGCGCGAAGTGTGGAATCGGAATAGTGGCATGGCATATCAGCCCGTCGACGTATTGGAAACTGCGCGACTCATACACCAAAGGTCCAGTAAGTGACCGATCTGACTGTGAGTCAAGTGCCGTGTGCGAAATATACCTCAGTAGTGATTGGTATACATCAGTGTTAGAACCGAAACAGTAGTATACAACTATGAATTTATAATTAATTATCAAGCAACTTTTCATGAGCCCAGAACTCTCGAGGTCACGTCGTAAACAAACACCATCCGGCCTCATAACGTTAAACAATCATAGGCGCAGGCCATTTCACTTCTTTCAAAGGATGACCTCCCTCATACCAGGCATCATCCCCTAAGCCCTAGTCTCATTCCTCGTCGAATGCGAATCCGAGTCCGAGTCGGACTCGGACTCGGACTCTTCCACCTTAGCGAGCGTCTGCTCCGTGGTCAACCTGGGATTGCGCGTGCAAAGCGCAAACGCGATCAATGGGACCGTCAGACAAAGACCAGTGATGCACAACAGACTCTGAGTCTTGCGGTACGCCAGAATCACGTTATCCCGGTCGGATGTACCCACGGGGTTTGACGCGGCAAAGAGAAGCGGCTGGGCATAGACCTCGGCGGCGAGAGTCTCGTTACCAAGACGGCGAGAAAGCTCAGAGGGAAGGACTTGGTTCCAGATGGCGCCAGAGATGGTGTTACCGAGAGCGCTGCCGATGTTGTAGGAGGCGAGGAAGATGCCGGTGACGACGGCGAGATCTGTAGTTTCGTCTTAGTGAGATTGCCCACGTGTGGAGCTACTTTTTCGGTGGAGTGTCGTTAAAATACTTACGCTCATGCTTGGACACAGCCTGGATACTGGCTTGTGCTGGGTAAGGGAACATTCCTCCGGCTGTATATCATCATCAGTAAACCGTGCTGCACTACAGGCAAGTGAAGAACAGATGGAATGAGGGAGTCATACCAATACCCAAAAGCACCTGTCCACCGATCACACCGGAATGGCTCGAATGATTGGCACCACCACGGAAGTGGATCAAAACACCAAAGGCAACCGTGAACAACATCGTGCCCGCCACAATAAAGGGCTTCAATTGACGGACGCGGAAGACAACGAAGCCCAGGAAAGTACCGGTGAGGACAGAGGCGAAACTGTAAAGGGAAGTGATGCGAGTGGCGCTGAGCACGGATTCATCGAAGCTCACCGCGAGTACGGTATACAAAAAGTCACCTTGGAGATACCACGCTGTATATGCAATCAGTATTGTCTCATGTGAGTAAAGGGGGGTCGTCCGAACTCACCAGTGTTGAGCATGACTGCGATCCCGAGGGCACCCCAGACACCGCGATCCTTGAGACGCTGTATGACAGAACAATGTCAGCATCTTATTCATCCGGCATCCCAGAGAAAGCGAGGAGAAAAGAACAAACCTTAAACGGCAACATAGGATGCAAGCACGTCTTCTCCCAGTAGACCCAGACCGGAATGAGAAGCACTCCAATCACCAGAGGCGCAATGACCTTGGCAGTCTTCCACTGCGCAGTCACCCCTCCTGCAAGTGTGAACGGAACCAAAATGCAAGCAAAGACACCAATCATCAACACAATCCCAACAACATCCAATTGCCAGAACAGCTCCCTCGTAAGCCGGCTGGCTCCGAGCTGTTGGAATGGGGTAAGGTAAGAGCTGAGCTGGCCCGAAGCCTTGGCCCGACGCTGAACATTCAACAAGACTGCAAGCAAGGGCAGTGCGCAAACGGGGTAGATGATCGCAAACATGCCGATTCCCCATTGCCAGCTGGTTACTTTGAGAACGGAAGAGGTCAGGTTGCCACTGATCCAAGTGTTGATCTGCGAATGGGTCAGTCGACTGAGCCCTAGCAGGCGTGGGACAGCAATGAGATTCAGAAACATACGATGAATGGCAGAGTTGGAATATAAGAGAACAGGAGACGGGACCGAGTAGAGGTGATATCACCAATCAAGACCTCGACCAGCAGCATAATGCAAGTGTATCCGATCTGTCAACCGACTGTCAGTCCTTAATCCCTCTGACATGTGAGACAATCTTGCGATAAAGCCAAGAAAAAGTACCTGATAAATCACAGCACCGGCGCAGAAGGTCTGCACGTTTTGGGCGCAAGCTTCAACGACGGTTCCCACAGTGTAAAAGACAATGGACACGAGGATAAGTTCGACACGGCCGAAGACATCGGCGATCTTCGCCGCGGTGGGCTAGTGATATCATCTGTCAGCTGCTCACAGTCCAAACTAGGATAATTTGGGAAGGTCGCATTAGACGACGTACCTGTGCCGCGGCAGCAATGACCGCACGAAGAACATTGACTGTTGCAAGAAGACTGTGTTGTCCATAGCTTTGGGTAGCGAGAGGCTGGAGACATGATAGATGTGTCAGTATTTTGTTTCCTCCCAATGATGTACTTGCCAACACTAGGGGTTTCAAAATCGTACCTGATACGTATAGCGGACAGTACCATCGATGCCGTACACGTAAGCGATCAAAAAGATGGCCAGAAAGAGACAAACACGATCCACAAGACGGAAATGAGAGGCAATGACCTCGATGCGTTTGACACCTGGACTCTCCAGACCTAGCAACTGTACATCCTGGCGGGAGCTCTCTGTAGTCTGTGGGGCCTTCTCGCTTATCTCACCCACGCGATCAGTGGTCATGGCCGGTGGGTTTACCATGGTGAACGCGGCGATTGAAGAGATTCCAATCTGAGATGAAACGATGATCTGAGGAGTGCAGAGCAGAGAGATCAAACAAAAATGGGAAGAAGCCCGGGGTCCAAGCCGGTTTTAAAGAACTCCGAGGCCTATAGCCCGTTTCTCTACCCCAAGTGCATAGGCGAGCTCAGGCCGAAGATTGATAAAGTTGGTTTTACCCAATGGCAACCCGCGGTCAAGATGTGATTGGCCACGACGGGTGCAGAGGATCCACATTAGCCCATGATTTCATCTTATCTGATGGAATCTTTTCCTCGCCGAGAACGCGCCCAGAGACACTAGTCAAGCCAGACTCTGAAAAGGGATCCGACTTCCACCGTTCACCGATTGATTTCCGGGTCCACCACATGTGCATGCTGCCATGCTCTCCGAGAAATGGATACTGTTAAGCCAGTAAGCGGTTGACTCCTTGGCCAGATGTTCAGGGCACTGCGCTCGCGTGGTGGTCGAGGGCAATGGCCGCCTAACGTGGGCCCGGAGCTTGGTCTGAAATGTAAACATAGCCATAGCCACGCCGGGAGGAGAAAAAAAAGTCTTACTGATCAATCAGATTTCTCATGGTTCCCATGGAACCATGTCCAGGCTCAGGGCGAAGATGGGTCTCTAGAAGGTCGGGACTTTCCAATGAGGCTTGGCCAAAGATCTGATAAGGAATTCCTCGGATGCTTCTGACTGACGCACAGCGCGCGTGTCCGATCATCCGATGACGGTCGAGTGACTCGTGTATTGGATTGTTTCCCCTCATCTTCGGACTCGGACGTGTTACGTACTGCTCGTGTGCTCTCGGAGATCCCACCCTCGGCCATTGTGCATGTCTTAAGTGACTTCCTGTGAGGTCAGGACCGACGGGAGTCCACGGTAGACTTCCGATGCGTCGCGCCATGTTTTTCCTGCGAGTGGATGACGACGCATTTCCTCCGCAGTGATACAGTGGCCTTCCATTGATCTAGAGGTGGCCCCAGATCACACTATCAGGCACCATGTGGAAATGGCGCCATCGTCAGACACTGGTGAGATGGGTGACTACTTGGAAACCATCTGTCTGCCAGTGTCCACTGTCGGGAACTAGCAACATAATGTGATTCTGGGAGCCTGAGGCAGAAAGTATAGTCCAACTCATCACAGGCGTGATGACCTACTAGTCATCTTGACCTTTGCGTTATTGTTCCTTGAAACACGGAATCATGAAAGAACACGATGTCAAGAAAGCTCGAAAGGTTCATAAACAGTCGCCTGACAGAAATTACGACCTCCTTTTTGAAATCTTGCACTTGTCGGCCGCCAAGCAACGGCATCGTCCTCTCACAACGTCTAGCTTCGAGACCCGCTTTTTCGGCTCGGAAAACAGAAACACGAGAGGAGAGAGGGGGCAAAAGAAGAAATAGAAATTTTACGATCAAGCGACACTCCGGTAGAAGCGCGACCGGGCAAGCCAAGAGTGAAACGCAGGATTAAGTTCCAAACAAGACCACTCCCTATCCATCACAAGTGTCCCAGCATCTACAGTACCACACGGCACCTACAACCACCATGTCTTCCGGACAGCGCGATCGCGTCAACATCTTCAATGCACTGCGCCGCCCCAAAGTCGACGATCTAGGGAACATCAACCACTACCACTTCTGCGTTTAATTTTTGCCGCTGGTTCCCGGCGATGCCGTCTTCATGGTAAACCCCTACAGCGACCACGAGCATACTGAAGGCCGCACCAGGATTGTCTCTCTCCCACTTGCACAACAAGCCAAGGTGATCGTCCCCCTTCTCTTGTACTCCTTCATCGGCCGATTCGACGAAGACGGCCCCATCTATCAGATGAAAGACAGCAACATGCCCTGGGCACCATGGACTTGGAGTACCGATAATCCGGCCCTGGCCGAGGCGGTCTCTGCTCGACTGCGCGCCATCGGTGTGCGGGAGGAGCTGTGTCAGGTTTCGGAGTCGGATCCCGAAATGACCAAGACTGCGCAGAAAAAGTGGGACAGGATGCGACGGGAGCTGGAAGCGGCCGTTCCTTTTCTCCCCGAGGATCAGTTTGAGGGCGAAGTGGACCAGAGCTGTAATTTCTGTGGGTTTACGCCGTCGTTGGACTATAGCTTTCAGCGATGTGCTCGTTGCAAGTGGGCTTATTATTGCAGTCGGGATTGTCAAAAGGCGGATTGGAGCTCTCATAAACAGGATTGCTGTCCGACGACTTCATGAGAGATCAGCAATGAGTATAGCATGGGTTACTTTTTCTCTTGGACAGTGGCATTTGCAGATCTGTGATTCTATAAACCAAGATGTGCGATGTCTACATCACAGGAGTCTTCTCATCTCCTTGCGGGTTTCTCTGTAAAGTAGAAATGGACACGAGTCCCATCTACTGATGATTTAGTCCACTCCTTGCCTCTTAAAAGTGATGAATTCAATACTAGCAGGACGTTTGCTGTATTTATTCGTTACACATCTCATTGCTACTGCTCCCTCTCATAACAGTTGTTCCACGTCCAACCCAAGATCCAGTTTTGCTGAACGCTCGGTACTCTCATCTAACCCAGCTTGGACTTGACAAAGGCCAATGCCTGAGAACCGTACTCGTTACCGTAGCCCTGGTGGGTAGCAGGGTTGTTACCATTGCAACAATACGGGTCCGAGGCGTCACAGTACGACTGGATCTTGCTGGCTGAAGGGCAATAGAAGCCAGACGGGCGTGCATCAAACTAAACAAGGGTATGTAAGCAATTTATAGAATATGAAACGTGCAGACCGGCAAAATGGGATTAATCTCAGAAGATGAAACATGATACTTACTCCTCCAGCTCTGCAGCTTCCAACCTCGTAAGGCAGACCGGCCTTGAACAAGGGATCACCCATGAAGATGGCTGCCTTGACCATGTTGACTGCAGAAGAGGAAAGCAGCACGTTCTTGTTGTTGAATCCTTGGTTGGGGTCACCGCCACCGCAGAGGTTGACGTCGAAGATTTCGCTTCCCTGGCAATCAATTCATTAGCATCTTTGAAGAAGTCCCTCCCGAACAAATCAAATGGAAGCTCTTCTAGGTTCAGACGCATTTGCACTTACTTGAGAATATCCGACCAGGACAATCTTGGTACTCGGACACTGAGAATTGAACTGATTCACAGCCGAAGTGACGGCGTTGATACCCTGCTGCACGGAGCTGGAGTAGCCGACATAGCCACAAGACGCTTGTCCACCACAGGCGGGATAGTTGATCGCTTCGGCGGTTGAGCCAGGGTAAGCGTTCAGAATGGAGTTGACCACAGTTCCCGCAGAGCCAAAGCCCGGGCTGACTGAGGTTTCACGGGCACCGAAAATGTGGATGGGAGGACAGCTGCGCTTTTCAACGTTGGCTTCCAAGGGGACTGCGATGGCACCCAGGCCAAAGAGCGAGGCGGCGAGGAGTTTGGTATGCATTGTACAATTCGTCTTGCTTGAGGGAATTTGAGAGTTCTGCCAATTCAAAACACGGGCAAGATAGAAGAAAATGCGAGGCTGTAAGTGTAGTGAACGACGGTTTGAGCTGAATGATATGTTGCTTCAACGACGCAGGAAGGTTGCGTGCCTTTATACGGTCTTTCTTCAGCAGACCAGAGCACGTCTTTTATCCATTGGATGCCTTGAACACCGAGAGCTCCGCGCCCAAATAGTCAACTCTCCATTTGCCCGACCGATTGTAAACATTCTGGCTGAATCTTCACACGCAGCCATGACTCCAGGAGTCATTCTCAGACGCAACGGACACGCCGCTGACTTCCAGCCTACTGTCATTGGACACTCGAGCTCAGGCTAAATGATCTCAAGGTTTCAAGGAGACACAAGCCCACAGCCACATGAGCTTGGACGTGACGAAATCGAGAGTTTCAGCAGTGTAAGACTTACTGTTCCATTAGTCTAGGCTCGGAGAGGGGATGAAACGCGGTGGAGTCACGAAGTGTGAGGGATCCCTCTTCGGCTGTAAGTCTTAAAAGGGAAGACGATCTGCATTCTGCACAGAGTCCGGGGTAATTTCCCCGCATCAACTTTGCCGTGAAGAATCTCTGTCAGTGTCGAGACAGGGTTGTAACGTGACTCTGATACCTTTGCCGATGACAGAAGGTTGATCAATATAGCCTAAGAGGTGGAGAATACTCGAAGCGGTTAATCCATCGACCTTGCTTTCATCATGTATGAAGGTCAATAATGACGTGTTCCTTAGGTAGTTACGCAATTATCAAAAAGTGAAGCAATAATACAAAGTCGCAGAAATAGCCGCAAAGTATCCCTCTTCTCTTCCAAAAACAAAAAAGGCGTGTGCAGGTGGACGTCATCGTATAGATTCCATCCGTCCCTCGCCCATAGCGCTTCCAACATTCCCGAGTGAATGGGAAGGTTCAGTAATTGAATTAGTACATCCATTTTTACCCATTCTTTGAGCTATCCTCCAATTTAGTTGCCAAAGACCTCAAGATTGAATCGAACGTTCAAAATGTCAGTTTGATTCATCAATATAAACTTGGATGAGGCAACCGCCTTGGAACCATCGCTGTTCGACGGGGCACTGTCATAGATAATTCCAACTCCGCTGTGTAGTCACTTCCGAGGTAGTCTCAACGCGAGGTTAAATTGATAAACTAACACCGTTGAGCAGACTACAGCCTACAGTGAGAAAGTGGACACTCTGAGGCTCCAGTTTTTAAGCTTTATCATTGGAGCTTTGGGATGGCAACAACCTTAACAATGCAACAGACCGCACCTTAGGGTGGGCGATGTTCAGCCGAAGCAACACCACAAGAGCCTGAGCTCATTCAAAAGAACGCCGACCGCCCATCGAAAGAGATTTTAAAGTTTGATCGGAGGGAAAAAGGCATCACCCTATTTGCAAGAGTCCATGTAGATGGACTACCAGCACATCAAATCACTCTTCAGTTCGGGAGACCAAGCTTTCCCCGACACTGCGCAGACTACGAACACTGATGATCCGGTACCTGAATCTACACTTCCACGGCGTTGTGCTGATGTACACGAACATGAAGCCCCCTTGATTCAACCTTGGAAATGAAGACTGTCGAGTCTAGATATATTGATTCAAGAGTAATTAATCCTTGGGCAAATACCAAGCACGGAATGAGTGAGCGTGGCAGAACAGTCCGCTCGGTATCAAAAGTAAGGTTTCTCCTTGTTGTAGCTTCCCGAGCTGACGCATTTCAGATTTGTCGCTAGCATAACGTGGACTGGTAACCGAGTGAGTTGGTTGACAGGTGGTGAGCTCCCAGAATAAGGGGCCTCCATGCTTCGGAGCTACTTACGGGATGTATGGTGGGGGCCAGAGGCTTATAAGCCTGCACACTTGGGCAGTCGATGTCTGATTGGAGTGAAAAGCCGAGAGAATCCTTGAGAAGCTCCACGTGAAGAGAATGTTAGAGGCTTCATCGGTAGCATTCATAGGTCACTTCAAGCTAAGGGGGTACCTACCTTTACCTTAGCAACCTACTTATCATCTGCCCAACAGATTAAGGTTGATATGAAGGTGGGTCAAGTAAGCCGACCTCTACCAAAAGTGGTAATAACTGAGAGGGTGCGAGTGTTAGACCTATCGGAGTAACTTCGTAGGATTCGAATTGCATTTGGCCCCTACCTCCAGTGACCAGAAGAGGGCTGTACTTTGCAACAGGATGGGCTGAGCAGATGAGATGTGGCTGTGAGTTCTCCAACGGCATGGTCGCGCTTATGTCACCTGACGAAGATGGCTCACTGTTAAAATGACGAGAAAGAAGTGATGCGATGAAAGTGCTCGTTCTAATTTTGTACTTGAAAATCCCCAGCTTGTTTGATCTCCGTGAGTTTCAAGTGCTCAGCACAACTCTTCAGTCTTTCATGCAAGATGCCACCCAAAATGTTGTCAAAGATGCTTGGGGCGGGTCTTGGAATGGCCTCCGAAGCCATTCACTCCTCAAAGTCGCGGTCGCGGTCGCGCTCGCAATCAGGACAGGCGCTTGATGACCAGCCCATCGAAGCAAGCTGTTCAAGCGCGGGGCCTTCTTTCGGACACCAGGTAGAGAATCCCGGTCCCATCCAAGATCCCATCTACGGGGATGCAAGAGGACGAGATATTCCCCCCGAGAAAGGAAACTAACTATCTTTCGCAGACTACAACATCAGTAGGCGAATCTTACGATGATTCGGACTCAGAGTCAGAAGAACTGCGAACTCTCGCTCAAGATGAAGCCGCGTGGGAGCTGGATGACATGGCCACTCAGCTGAGTCCGCCGACATACAACGAATCGCAGGCAGCCGCGGCCGAAGAGTCGGAAAGTGTCAAGATCAAGAAAGAAGAGGAAATTGTGCGGCAGCTTGTCAGAAAGGCAGGCCCTCCTCCTCATCCTCCTCGGCGACTTCCATGCCCGGTAATCCTTCCTCAGCGGCGACCACGAGACAAATCTCGCGGCTTTGTGCGTGCCTATGCGCCAGTTCTTGCCGACTGTGGCATCAGTCAAGAGGTTTTTCTGGAATATCTAGAGAGTTGGGATAAAGCAAGCAAGGTGAGTTACCACTTCCTCGGTGCGGGTGAAAGTCGTCTAGTAAGTCATCTGTTAATTCTTTTCTTCGGGCAGGCATCTTCCTGGCTCGAAGTGGTCTTCGTGGCTTCTAGTATTGTTGGTTTTGTACCGGAGGTTGCAGCGCAGGTGACTGGATTGGTCCTGCAAGTGGTGTCGGGTGTGGCACGAGAAATGCAATCCCGTTCTCGCCGTAACACATTCTTGGACCGCGTCAACCAGGATTTGTTTATGCCGCGCGGATTGTTTGCCCTGGTCATGGCCTTTAGAGACAAAGATCCAAGCCAGTCAAGTGCGCCAATCTACGGGTTGACGAGCTCGCTGGGGAAGAAACTCTTTACTACGGAGAAGATGGACATCAATCAAACGGTGGCCAAGTACAGCAATCCGGACCCGGAAATGTCGAAGCTTCAGAAGGGGCTTCGCGACGTTCGAGTTACCAACGGTGAAATTGAACAGCAGATTGAACTTCCGGAGGCAGCCGAGCTGGTTTTTCCTGATCTGGATAAAGTGGCAGAGGCTGCTTTGACAGGCGATGACGACCTACAGAAGAAGAAGCCTGGCACTTTGGACAGATTCAAAGATGCTGGAAATTGGGTTCAAGACTATATGGACCGACGGAGTCAAGCTTTCTATGTATGTGCCACAATCCTTCGTTTTTGCTCTTCTTTTTTCAGGCCCCTTTACATTGTCTGTTTTGCTGCGATTCGGCTTGCTAAATATGCATCGTGTAGGAGGCTGAGCACCGGGGCTCATCTTTGGCTGTTGCTGCGGAACACAGAGAGCCATTGAAATCACGCTACAATGATCCCACGCACCCAGCCAACAGTGGCTCCTTGATTGCTCTTCTTACCGGCGGGGCTGTGAACCCTACACCGCGTCGAGAGGCCCGCCGCGAGGCAAGACAAGTTCGCCGAAACGTGGTCCGCGAGGATAAAGACGCTCAGCGTGTTGCGCGCGGTCGTGCCCCTCGTGGCCCTCGAAAAGTCAAGAGTAGGGGATCTCGCAAGACGATTTTCAAGAAAATCCTAATTCGCGATGTTCTCTATCTGACAATAGTCAATGTTCCGACCGAAGAGGAGCTTCAACAATCTGCCGCTCAGCTCGACCATATTCTCAGGGAGCAGGAGTCATTGCAATGAATGCGATATCAGCAGGATAAGGCTTCAGCTATGGGCTATCTTTTGGCGGGAAATTGGATTTCGTCCTGCCGATCTTACCCGTAGTGTTGACTTCAGTTGCTGTTTGTCCTGATTCAATCATAGTACCGCGGGAAAGGGTGAACATCTTACTGCGCTATACTCCATATACACACTTTCATTTCATATTGCCTGGCAACTCTGATGTCTCACACTCTAGTACAGCCTGGGTGCTCGTAAGCGCCTGGCTTTGCGAGTCATGGAGGTCACCGACGAGATTGAGCTGGAGTCTTAAGAGGCTTCTTGACCGTCGCAGATACTGGTCTTGAACTAGGCGTTGTTGATGCACAACCCTGCTCGGATCCAGAATGACTCCCCTCTCTGAATCATTCATTAGTGTCTATGGGCAATATGCTCTATGATGCTGTGACTAGTCGCTCAAGTCGCTGCTCGTTTCAAGTGTTCTGACTGTGCGTCATCTGTTATTGCACCCGTCTACTTGAATCATCACAGCTTCTTCTCGTGGGCAATTTTGACTCCTGTTGTTTTTCTGGGCCTACACTGAGTCTTTCTGGGACGGCCCTATCTGCTCTCGTTCAAAGACATGAGACCACCATCTGTTCTCAATGAAATTGACAACAAGTCAAAATGGACTTTTGTTATTTTCCCCAACAAGGGAGCCCTTTCTCCCCTTCCATCAATCGGCGAAGTCATCATCCCAGAGGAACATCCGCCCTGGCCTCCAGTGATACACCTCTTCACCCCGAGGGCATGATATCACGTGGACCGAGATCGGGATCGAATGAACGATGACACTCGCAACACCATTAGCTTTGACATTCTTTACGTCGACGGCCATGGAGCCTCGGAGCCCGATTACACACTCAGCTTTTTCTGCGCAATCATGATGCAAGGGCTTGTTACACCGTGGGTTCCTCAGAAATTTGGTTCGTAAATGGACGAACTTGTGACTAGGCCCAAGCTTGCAGACGTCAAAGTTGATCTTGAGCAAACATAATAGTGTTTTTGAGCAAACATTTGATGATCGTAAAGACCAAATGGCTGCTCTACCGGCTATCCCGGGGTTTCTGGCCTCTTCAATTCTTGCAGAACCACTTCACTTCAGATGATGTTGACGAAGAAAGAAAGAAGAGCTGACTTTGGAACATTTGAACTTCCAGAGTACCAATATCTATGTCAGAGAAGGAGTTCATTTGCAAGATCACAGAGAACCCAAATGGCCCACTAATCTGCGTGGCTTGCATCCCGTGACCGTGTTCTCTGTAATTTTATGCCACACATCCGGAGAAAACTTTACCGGATGGCAAGACGATACTGTTCTCCTGCAGAACGGAGTCACTGGCACTGCAGCGCAAAAAATGGACGGTGGCTCGATACGATGGTTCTACCACCACTCAACGACGACAAGCTTTTCCTCGCAGTTACCACCATCAGTGATCAATTCAGCATGGCCTACAAACAACAGGGAGCAGATGGATACCTCAATCATCGCAATGCCTCAGTCTCTCGGCTCGGAGAAGTGCAGATAGGAGAAGGGGAGGAGATTCCCTCTTTTGTGACCATCTACATTCGACGGAAGGTCGGGCTACATGGATTATTCATGTCGTGAATACCTAGGGGCTAGACCGTCTAATATTCAATCCCCTCCACAGCCGACGACGCTTTTTCATCGTCTGTTCACGATTCGACTCCTACTTCAGTTGCACTTAAGTTGGAGGGTGAGCAGAATCTCTCTGCTCTAGGGAATCAATGGCTTTCACGACTTAGGGTGGGACTTCTAGGGTCAAAAGACAGTGCTCGACCCTGCGAGTTTGTGCTTATCATCTTTCGACTGAATAATCTTGCATAATGATGCAATATTCCATGGGAAGACATATCTTCCATTGCACGGATAATACACTGAGATTTAAATTATTGGCCTTGCTAGTGATAAGAAATGCGTGGCTGTTATCACAAACAATCCATCTTGCCGTGCTGAACGAGCGAAGCAGGTCTCTGGCGAGACAGAGGAAAAGGAAGGCGATCAAGATAATGACGACAGGTCTCAGAAAAAAGCGGTTCATGACCATCGCAACGCCGGGTAAAATAGCACTGAAATCGAGCAAGACAGCTCAACAAAGACTGAAGAGAACGATGAAAGTGACATGGCTCAAAATCAAGCAGCTAACGACCATCAGGAAGTTGAGCACAACGCCGTGACCAAAATAAGCAAAACAAACTTAGAGCTGAGGTCGAGTCTTGTCTACGAAGATGACCGGCAACTTATCTTGATAAGGCTGCGAGACAAGTCTGTCACTCAGGGGCTCCCGCGAAGCTTGCTGGGGGTCGAGAGTGTTCAGATATTCAATCGTCAAGAAGGTATTCATATATATTTGAAGCTATGTAGCAGGGTCAAAATTGGATCCAGGTCCCAACGCCGACACCTTTGTACAAGTACCACAGCCGAACAAATCAATGTGTCGGCTAGAAACATAGAACTAGCATTCCTTCGTCTTTTGATTTTTAGCTACGAGCGGATCTATTGATAGATGGGCTTAGTCCAGTATGTAATTTTTCATGTTGCCTTCCTCGATATCAATCAACCATGCCGCAAAGGAATCTCTGAAAATCTCAGGTTCTACCTAGTTATCTTGCAATGCAGAAGCTGCAAGTCCCAAACGAAGCAGATCCTCATCTGAAGAAAATCGTTTCTGAAGCGAATCACTGATCCCTCGAACCCCATGACCTAAAAATTCCGTCACTAACGCCTTCCTACATGAAAGACGAAGAAATCTCCAACCTGCACCACGCCCCTAGTCCCTAAACACTTTTGCCTCTCATCACACCTAAGACATGAGATGAAAGCATTGCGCTTGCTTAAAATCATCCCTGAAATCTCGATGGCCTGCATCTTGGTGGGTCTTCATGTTAGGCATGTCTTAAAGGGATTACCATGTGTTGGGGGTTTCTCGGGTTGGTAAGAGAGCTTTCAACATGAAATGATCGTCAGATTTCAAAGTATACCCAGCCGTCGTAGCTGTCACCGGGCACAGACATGGACAGACTATATCATTAGCCATAAATATATCTATCATACCTTGCTCTACGTTGTTCAAAAATATCGTTACTGGCAGAGCGGGAAAGGCCTCAACGATTAACCGGAGTGTTTCTTTTTGGACCTGCAGTACGTATGTAGTGTGCTGAAATCAGCTCACTCTGACTTCCAATGCAATAACGGTCTCGATTCAGCTAGAAAATGACAAGTCCGGAGACGTGTGTATCACGGGCAAAAGAGTTTTGGATTAAGTAAAAATTTGGCACGAATCTCAAGCTTCAGATAATTTCCTAATGAGGCTCTCCATGATCCTTTACTTAACGAGAATCCTATCTCCCGCCCCATAATAAGTTTTGAAAGTAGCATCCCGTATTGCCATGCAATTACCACGCACCACAAGAACCGGCAACCTGGTAACCTTGCTCAGTCCCGCCCCATCATCTAGATGTCCTCAAGGTCGAACCGCATCTGCAAGTGCTCCTCCCGGGTATGCCACCAGATCTGAATGCGCGAAATGCGACGAATACCCTGCCCATATGCCCCCAGAACGAAGTAGGCAATGACCCTGCCGATTCGCGTGCCCAGCAACAGCTGATACTCCGGGGTATCAAATTCGCACACTTGCACTTGTTCGAAACTCAGAACCCATTCTGCAGCAGGAACGGTGTTTCGATTAACCACGTTGGCGACGAAGATCGTGCGTAGTGTGGATATCTCGGCAACAGTTTCATATGCTACTTGCATCAGCTGCGACGACCAGGGCCCGGTTCTACCGCGTCTCTCAATGTTCTCGATGAACATCACGCCTGGGGCGACCCGTCCTCTCCAGAGATTAGATATGCCGTTGGTCGGCCAATCGTACTGGTGAAAATCCACCAGACTGTATCCGTAACGAGGAATGTCGAGGGCCGAGGACACATTGCCACAGAAGAAGCCATGAGGCTGAAGTTCGTTGTGATTCCGGTGGATAACCCAGTCATCCATGGCCAGGGAGGAGAGTGTCAGCAGTGACGGAAGGACTGAGCACCGGATCTGGGGATCTTCGATCATTTGCTGCAGTCGGGCTCCGGTTTCTTGGGCTTCTCGGAGGTCATCGGTAAGCTCAGCGGTAAGCTCGGCGGCGATCTCGAAGCGGAGTCTAGCGTTGTCGATGGCGGGCGAGGCGGACTCATCGTCCGAGGAGGCATCAAATTCATCCCCGGCGTCGTTGTTGGAGAATCGTCCCATAAGGCGGGATTTCAGATCGTCTTCAAGTCCGAGTTGACGAAGTCGAGCAGAGAGCAATCGAGAAAAAGAGTCCTCGGCCATCTTTGATCTGAAAGGTGGGGGGATCTTGCAGGAAGAAGTTGAAAGGCGGCACAAGACAGAAGGCGGGCTGTGTCTGGATTTGGGGTGCCGCGTTATATCTCCGGCATTCTCAAAAGGCTATGCTGCCTGTCTCTTTGAAGGTTTTTGAGAGAAAGAAAGATTAAAACACGCGTGAATGCAAGTGGGTACTGGGGATGGACTGAGAAGTGAGATACGAGGATGGGTCGAAAGCTCTAGCTTGACAAGGCCGACACGCAATTTGGGACTGGAAGGCTACCGTTGTGGCCGCTTACATCGGCGGGGCGCCGACGATGTCATGAAGATGTCGGACTATTCCGGCTTTGCGATGTACACAAATGTGGGGAGACAGAGCTGGGAATTATGAAGATCGTAACACGTCTTTGCAAACAATGATCCGCATTGTATTGTCTTCATAATTCGTCAACAAGCCGGGTCGAGAATCGAAAAATGCTTTTCTGAAAAACACCGAGTCGCAAACCGCACACTAAACGACCAAAGCAGTCCTCATTGAGACGGCTTGATGTCGTATTCTACATCGGTACGGATGATATATTTCGCACCCGTTCGGACGCCCGTTCCTTCGTGCAGTAGGGCTCCATTTGCCTCTCCGTGTGGGAAGATGGCGACGGAGCCCATCACAGGACGGACCGGATAGGCGTTGAGAGTACCTTCTCTAGAGGCAGGCAGAAAGAAAGTGGTTTCGCCGCCCTCAAATTCATCATTCAGATAGAGCAAGAAGGTGTACATGGAGCTCTGCTTGTTGTCTTCCGGCGATGAATCATAGACATATGTGTCGTCCGGGAGAATTCCTGATGGTGGCCAAGCTCCATCAATGTGACACCGGTATTCCGCACCTGGCACATACCGGTATACGCGGAATCTGCGGTTGATGCCCCGTACTTGTCGGCCATTGATGGAATTGGGCACAAATGGAGAAATTCGAGCCCAGAGCAAATCATGGAAGGCGGTGTCGACAACCCAGTAAAAATTATGTGCCAGAATACTGACATCTCCATCCTCGCGGAGGGGTGCGTCTGGAACGAAGTTCACCGACTCACCTGCCGCAATGATTGCCTTACACTCTGACGGAGTCAGAACATTCATGGCCATACCCAGCCCCGGCACGGCAGGGTGAGGGTGGTATGTGATTTGAGGACCCTCGGAGGCCAATGAAACGGCATTTGGCTCAGTTGTGTAGAGAATGGCCGGATGATGATTAGGAGGTTTTCGCTGTGGGCCGGGTGTGGTTTCGATGATTCGTAAGGCAGAGCTTGATTTAGGGGCCTCGGACAAAATTGACTTGTCGAGTACCGATGCATAGATTGGAAGCGGTGTGGAGGATGGGCGGAGGTCCCAAATTGACTGGAAAGCAATGGGAGATGTGGTGGGGACGGCCTGGTTGTTTGTATCGATTGGGGTGCTGACTCGAAGAATGGCATCGAGCACACCAAGAAGCTCGAGGTCTTTTGCACTGCGCTTCACCTCAACATCGGTCTCACCCGGTTTGGTTGACAAACCGCTAACGACATCCAGATCTCGAACCCAGCGACAGAGTGCTCCAATCTTCGGTTGCTCGCCGCGAATTCGCATCTCTGCAAGCAGAATTTTGGCCTCTAGATACTTTCCATCCGCTAGTGCACCTGTGATTCGAGCCGTCAAGTTTGCACCTTCTGGTAGGGAATTAGTCTCCATTCTGATTCTGTAAGATGTATACACAATGAATTGACCTTACCAGCATTGTTCACACCTGTGGTGCAGGCTTGGCGGAAATTATACACTGCGACACGAAGATCCTTGCACATCTTGGACTTGGTCAGACTGGGGTATTCCGCAAGTGCTGTGAGCGTGTCCACGGTGACGTCCAGGTCTTCGTCCGATACCAAAGCATTGATGTGAATTGGCTCCTGGGATGAGCCATCGGGCGGAGGCGTCAATGTTGTTGAAGGCTTTGCCTGTTTCTGAGGCAGATCAATCTGCGCATTGCGCTTGCGCTTTGCTGCTTTAGATTTGGCCATTGGGAATTTGTTTGCCAGGGAACGTGAATCTAAAGAATATTCTCGGAGAAAGCGGGGATACAAATCTACAAACGCCAAAACAGCTCTCAAATTGCCGGTTCTGACCGTATTGGTGGCGTTGGGTGCGCTGAGCCAATCATGTGATCTACACATTGAGTAAGTTGTCTCTTTGGTTCCCATACTTGAGTGGACCGGCTGTCATCTGACTAGTGGAGTCGGAAAAATGACATCCATAGTACATTATCTTAGTAAATCATCACCAAAGTAAAGGCAGCAACCGCCTATGAAGAACTTTAGCGACACAGGGATTGAGGAAACATGCAATATCCCTAATAGAAGGGAGGTAACTAAAACGCTAGTTCTGCAATGACCCTGAACTCGTCAAGCTTACCCTTATATATGCGAGCTAGCGGACAACACCTGCGGTCGAATCATGGGCTGCTTTGAATTGACAAACGCTACTTCGGTGGGCACTTCGTACTCGGTCCGAGCAGCAGTTAGAGTCAAACAAGCAAATTGCTTGTCTTATCTCGTGGACATTGGAGTCTGATTGTCCAGCCTGCGATGGGACCCCATACCTTGCCCAATGCCTGGAAATATCGTGTATGTACTTATGTGCCCTTCTCTAGCGATTTGAAAAAAAAAGAAAGAAAAGAAATTGGGTCAACTCAATCTCAAGCTGTTTAGAATCAGATTGTGTTCATCAACGTATCTTCTCTGTCAAGGTCATAATAGCGTTGTTATACACTTGACCTCGCCACAAGATAAGTTAGTGGCAATGTCGACGAGGTTTGTCAACTCAGCCGCCGCCACGGAGACCATCGCTTAAGATAGAAGGTCAAGTACAGCTCCGACTTCCTAGCGAATCTATCAAAGCCTAATTAGCACAAGCTCTCGACGACAAAAAGAAATCAGATTTGGCAGAGGCTACACTGGTCCATGAGGCCGAGACTCTAGCCTAGCCGGCACGCACTCGTGTCAACCTAATGACTCCATCTTTTGACGGAGATTGCCTCATTCAATGTAGGCCCAGCAGTCATGTGATATAGTAGTACTGCCTCTTACACGCTTTCCTCTTTTTCTTTCGCTCTTCTGTGTTTCTGTCTTGCCTTCCTACAGAGCCCCGATACAACCGTTCCTCTCTCTTTCTCTTTGTGCTTTCTCTGCGTCGGCAGGTCTGGCTTACTTATTGTTCCTATGGTATCAGGTCTGATTTTGCTGCTCACCCCAGTCCAGAGTCTAGATAGAATCTCCCCTCCATCCCGATCTAACCCTCATCCCTACTTGATCAAAGGACTATCACGCTCAGTTTGCCTTCTTTACCCCTACATGTCAATATATCACAAATCATCACATCTGATACTGCTCTTTGACGTCTCTTGGTACATCGTTTCTTATCGTTTATAAATTATCAAGTTATCACACTAGCAAGACATGTAGCGCTATCAGACACGTCAATAAAATAAGTCTTCGTTATGCTGTCTGAATCAAAAGGGACGGGGGCACGGCTGGCGGGCGGAGACACACCTCGAAAGCTAATTGAAGGGTATCATTATGAAGCAGGCGCGATAGAAATACATCACCTTCGTGATGATCTGAGCGAGGATGCATCTAACTCCTGGGGGCTCATCAACCCTGGCGCAGTAGGCCCACGAGGTACCGCCGCTCCCTTGTAGCGACCATCAAGCTCTTGCGCAGCCAGAGTATTGGCCATTTCGTGATGACTAGGGTCCGCCGACATTTCTATCGGAGAACCTTCGTGAAATCCCAGAAGTGCATTCGATGAGTATCTCTCATCCGGCTGCTTTTCGTCACTTCGCTTATTTTGCCTTCGGCGATAGATGAACCACGCGAAGCCTGCAAGAATCGCCAGACCTGCAACAGCACCGACAACGGCACCTGCTATCCATGCCTTACTCTCAGGCGCGGGGTCTGGCGATACAGGGGTATTCGTTGGCGAGCTCGATGTGCTGGTCTGCGAAGGTTGAGTAGTGGTGAATTGCGGAGAAGAGGTTATCGCAGCCGTGGTCGTGGAAGATGAAGCTATACGTAGAGAAAGAAGGTCAACGGAGGGTGCGTTTTCGCAGTAGGGTTAGTGTCATTCGTGAATTCATACTGGTACTAGCACTTGTCGAGGTTGAGGTTGGAGGAAACAGTGTGCGATGAACCGTGAATGCGCTCCATCCTTGCGCGCAGAAGATTGACGTTGCGCTGGGGCCTTCGTTCGTATAGGATTCGAAAATCGTCATAGTGGCACATAAGCAGTCTTTCAGAGGGCTATCGCAGTCGCGTCCTTGACTTAGTCCAGGCTAGGCAGTAAATCTCGAAATAGTAGTGATCTTTTCCACTTACTAAACTTGCCTGCCACTTGGATAATAGGACATCACATTTCCTGAACTTCTTGGTTGACAGTATGTGGCATAGTGAGTGTTGTCGCATTGACTTCCGATCTTACAACCGAATGCGAAACCGTTTGTTGTCGTATAGTAGGTGGCGGATTCGCTTTTGGCAATTGTGAGCGCCTCGGCTGTCGCATTCATTGTTAGCAAGCAGTGTATCCCCTATCGCAGAAGCGGCATCTCCAGATGATCTCATTACTGGTAGAATCATGCTTGAACCATCCTATAAAGTTGGGACTATTCTGGATCGCAGTGTCCAGGGTCGAATCGGTCGTTGTTTGCGCTGTGCTTAGGTGGAACAGAAGAACACTCAACAGTAGTACTCGCCACATCCTCGATAGTGTATACGACGCGCGGTCGCCGGCCGTATCAATGGATGCGTAGGGAGCGAAAATGCGGGCGGAAATCCAAAAATGCGAACAATCATCGAGGACGATATTCAAGCAGAGGTGCCCTTTTAGTACTCCTCACAAGAGTCGAGGCACTGTCCGAGAGCAACGATGCACCAACTTCCAAGTGGGCAGGGGGAAACGCCACTCACTGGTGGCTTCAGAAATTAAATGGCGACCATTCAGCCCGCATTGCAGCAGCACGGGGGTCTGAGGGAACATGCGACAGCGCAAGCAGAAGGCTGGCAGCCAATGCTAGTCTGCAATGACCTCGAACACCTCGAGCTAACCCTAATGCATGTGGGCGAAGCAGACGGCACCTACAACTGGTTGAATCCACGGCTCATCTGGCTTGACCAGGATGCTTCAGTGCACAGACCGGGAATCTGTCCGCGCCAACCCTGAGAATGGAATAAGCAGACCGCCTCTCCCCTTTGACAGACACCGTTGAGAGAGGGGCTGGTCTATAGGATCGTTTGCCATGTAGATTTGACTTCCCCACGGGAATGGCAGGATCGAAGTCCCACCACAGCAGCCATGTTTCAGGTCAGATGCGGCTCGAGCCTCTTAGCGAGCCTGCCTCGACCGAATTTGTAGAAGCCTCCGATGCATTAACACCCAGGTTTTGCTGGGCCTGAGCTCATCGATGAGGCCGAGACCCTGGCCGACGCTCGCCCACGTTAAGCTCGCGTGGGCATCACACGAGCTCGTTTAAGCCAAGGAGATTTACGTACTGTGAATGGCTGACGGTTGACTGGGATGTGCCTGAATCAGGCTTCAACTTGACCTCAATGGGAAGTATCTCTGGAACTGCGGGTTCTAGTTGTTCCCGTGCTGCTCATATGTGCATACTGCATACACACGTGAGCTTAACTCGAAAAGATATTAGATTATTAGACACTACTTAAGGTTTATGTCTCACGCTCCGTGGGTTCGCTGATTCTGGCTCCGTACAGTAGGTGCAGGAGTAATGCTGGTATACACTTTGATGAGCAATGATAAGATGATGCTTTCTGGAGGAGCGGGGAGGGACATCCCTTAAAACTTAGTCGCAGTGTATGATCTGAACTTGGCATCACAGGGAAGCGTCATCGTCGTGATGGATCTACCTGAGCGAGGTCGCGTCCAGCTCATGGGTCATGGCCGTCCCCGATGCAGTCTGCTCGGGAGGTATCGCCGCTCCTTTGAAATGACGGGGATCGAGCTTTTGCGCGGCCGGATTGCTTGCCATTTCATGACGACTGCGGTCCGTCGGCATTTCCAGCGGAGGGGTCCCAAGGGATTCTAGAAGAGGGTTCCCCGAGAATCTTTCATTCGGCCGCTTGGCGTCGCTTCGTCTACGCTTTTGGCGATAGATGAACCACGCAAGACCTGCAAGTAGGGCTATACCGGCAACGGGACCGACAACGGCGCCTGCTATCCATGCCTTACTTTTAGGCTCCGGGTCTGCTGGTGGAGGGGTGCCTGTCGGCGAGCTCGTTGTACTGGACCGCGAGAACATAGTTGTGCTGACCTGCGGAGGAGGGGTGATTGAAGGTGTGGATAGAGCACTCGAAGCTGCGAGCAGTCACACGGTATTAGCAGGCTGTCTGGTCTACAAGGCTCTTTGAAGAACTGTCACTCGTACCCGTACTTGCGCTCGTCGAACTCGTGCTCGCCGAACTATCGGTCGGAGTCGGCAGCGCTCGGTAAAGAGTCCATGCGCTCCAATTGAGAACGCAACCGATTGAGGTCGCTGGGGGGTCTTTCAATGTATCAGATCCGAGGATTGTGATGGTACCACACGAGTAATGCGTAGTGTAGGTTGACCAAGTCGTAGCACTAGCAAGGACGGCCAGGCTCATCATTAGCAAAACGGGAGATATCGCTGTGAATTTTAAGCTGTTGGGCTTACCAATGCCTTACACCACCGGACACGTATGTCAGAATGTTGTTCTCGCAGTTGACGGGATACTCGTATTCGTCGCACGAGGATAATGACTTTGGACAGCGGAATCCATGCCCAAATTTTGTTGTCCATGTTGCGGATACGCTGGATGGAATCACATGTGCCGAAGCTGTATAGCGGTCACTGTTAGAAAAGAGAATGGCCATCAACCCAGGGAACAGTGATCAGCAAACAGTCCTACTTTTTGTGCCATCAATCTGCCATCCTATGAATTCAGGGCTGTTTTGGATGGCAGTATCCAGAGATGTTGTTGCCGCCGTAGTTGAATGGGCGAACAAAACAGTCAAGAGGAATGCCCGCCACATTATTGATAGTGTGAGAGAGATGCAGGAATCGACAGTGTCAACAGAACTGGTGGAATGTGATATTCAAGTTGTCCATAATTCTCGACGACTAATGTTGGGCGCCGCTGCTTTTAGTACAAGAGCTCAGAAGTTAGGGGCCTCGATGTAGAGTGGCTCGGTGGTATTATTCTGCTTTTAGCTCGAAATACTATCTATCCAATAAGTTCGAAGTCGCTCGAAAGGGCATCCATTGCGATCACGTATATTCACAGTCCGGGGCACTTACGCTAGTCCGCTATGGTCCCCTAGACGTCGGACTCCTCGCCAGCCGCTCAAATGCATTAACATGGATAGGAGTTCCTGCGGTCCAATCCAAACCCGACAGGTCTTGGCCACAGATGCTGCAACGCTTGCTTGGAATCCAATCCTACGCTCCACGGGAGATTAGGATCGGGCCCAGTGCCCATCTCCTGTCACGCGTTCCTCGAGATGCGATTGCGATATTCCGCCGCTCATAAGCCTAGGATCCGTCCAAACACCCACTATGTAGAGATATTGCCTCTACTTGCACACGCTCCTGCTTGCGGAGCAGAGGTTGAATTATGCTGTGGACCTTGATCGGAAGAGTCATGATTCCCGGAGTCTTGAACACGGTCGTTCATACATGTCACTTCCGTCCTGGACTCCAGACAAGGCAGAAGACCTTCGGCGGAAGCTGTCCATTTGGCCCCCACTACCACCGGAATCCATTCGATGGGCCAGGCATATGACTCCACAAGTCTGCCTTGACCCAATCGAGACAAGGATAGGGAAGGAAAGAATCAGCAATTGCAGAGACCCAGCCCGTCGTTGCGGCTCAGATCCCGGTCAGACCCCTTTTGCGTTGAGCCCGCATGCTCTTGGCATGAGGATTGGCAACGGGGGGATAATCTCAATGGCCGGCAGCTGGCCCCCTAACGCACAGCCTGCGGGGAGTTGAAGGAGTCGCTTAAACCCGATAACTCTGAAAGTGATGCACTTTCCCAAGTCGGAATGCTGAAGGCTTGCGCCGAAGTCGCCCATCGCAAGAATGGCGAAGTACGCGGAGCGGGATTGGCTGTTTTTGCATTCAAGCCTTGTCTGATTTAGTCTTTCCTCCGGAGTAGTTGACATGTTGGCACTGCATTTGTGCAAGGGCAGTGCATGCGGATGACCTTCAGATATTTGACCCCGTCATAACAGATCTTGATCGTGGTACCAGGGCTCCGGTGCTTCGATCCGCCTTTCGGAGGTTGCGGCAGACAGTGTAGGGAAATCGATCGATGGTGATGATGCGATTGAGCCGCAATGTAGGCGAGACAACCTATCAGGTAATAAGTATAGCTTTCAGCGGCAATGCAGAGATAAGGTGGCTTCCAAAGACAAACCCCGGGGTGGTTGTGGGGAGTAGGAGATGGTGATAATACTACGTCCTACGTAGTGCGTACTGCGTAGCAACTTTCGATGCTCGTGATCGGCACCTCGAAAGCCGGCACCCGTGCTCCCAAGCCCCGTCCCATGCAACGCTGGTACTCAGGGCATATATCGACCATGCGGAGTTGAACGGTCAATGTTGTGGAAGTCGCCGTAGATGGTCTGGAGTTACTTTTAATCCAACAGCTCACAACACTTCTTCTCCTCTCATTTGATCAACAGTCCACATAGCCACTGTCGTGGTCTATCATGGATGGGACGTGTAGTTCTGTGAGCGAAAAGTCACGACGGGCACCAAATTGTCAAAATAGGCTACACAGTTGGCAGGCAACAGATGAATGACGATCTGCGTGCTGGCAGCTTCCAACACTAGGCCGTGGAGCCTTCATTAAGGGTTTTTCCCGGGGGTGTTTACCGGTCGCCGTACTTTTAAATTGACGCCGCACTGGAGGGCGTTTATTTGCCTAGTGCCTGGTACTGATACAAAGTAGATGTATGTTGAACCACAAAAGTACGTCCCGCGCTGTATCTGCAGATGAGTTCGTCTGATGCAGCGCCGGGGATAGTTTTCCCGAGAGAGCGCATCAAACAAGACCGGCCTTTAGCCTTCCTCTTCCCCGTTCGTCGGTAGCGCGCCTTCGTCCTCTGATTCCACTTGAGCCAAAGCACGGCCTGAGTCATTTCCGGCCTTTTCTCCACCCGTCGCGGCCGCTTGAGTGCCACCGGGGGCAGAGATGAGCTTGGCCGCAGCGATTCCTCCAGATGTACAGTACAGGAAGAAGTTCGTCTGGAAGTGGTCAATATGGTTGAAGAAATTGCCGAATCTGTCTCGATATTATCAGTTCCGTGCAATTCGGTCAAGGAATAAATAAGCGTGAGTGCTCGTAACTTACGCTGCAGTTTGCTCTTCTTCACGGAAGATTCGATCGTAGATTTCACGCTGCTTGAACTCATCCATCTCCTTGGTAAAGCGCTCGAAATGGACCGGTCCTCGACCTAGGCTAGCTGCCTTTGCATTGTAGCTGTCGAAGATGGGTCGCTCAAGCAGTAGACCCAAACCAGGGGCTTTGGGAATAGCGATCCGGTCGGGGCCGTATGAATCTTTAATCCGATCGGGGTGGCAGCCGCATCGAACAACGAGGGCGGCCATGGCCACCATTTTGCGAATCTGGTGCATCATGAAACTCTGGCCATGGACCTTCAGACTGAGCCACTCAGTTCCATTGATGACCACCGGAGTCGGGTTCACATTGAACGATTTGATGTGGCGTTTGGCCGACGGATCTTTGAAGGTCTTTTGAATCGTGTAGTTGTAGAAGTTGGGTGTACCCACATATCGATCCAGAGCCTCTTGCAGCCGCGCGATGCGGGAAGCGGGTGCTCGGTAAGATCGTCGGGCCTTCATGTAGGCTGCTTTGATCGCCTTGGTAGTGTCGAGGATAAGCTTTTGGCGAGGATCCATGACAAAAGGCTCGTCGCTCTTGGACTCGCGCGCAGCGTCCATTCCCTCGGACTGAGCAGCTTCCTCGGCAGGCTTGTCGGCAGTTTGGACCTGAGGCACATCCTCGTTTTCGAGATCTTGGGGAGCTGAGTCTGTGGAGAATAGTGATTGTTGGATAATGTTGCGAATGTCCTCGGGGGCGCTTTCAAGGATGGGCTTGATGTACTCCTCATCCACTTGATTCCAGTACCCCGCGACCTCTTCTTGTCGCGCGTTCACGGCATCCAAGTCGCCGGCTTGCTCCGCGAGCTCCACGATCTTCTTTCCGAGATAGGTGCTGGGATGAGGCGGGAGGAGACAATGAGTAGGCAGCAGATATTCGTACACGCGGGAGTCACACATCTGGTAGCAGCTGAAGCTCTTGGCCGTAGGTTCCAAGCCCCAAACGCGAATTTGGGGACTCAGGTGCGAGTTGATTTTCTCAACAATGTCGGAGTCCTCGATGATCATTTTCAGAGACACAACATTGCCCGCGGCGTGAACACCTTTATCCGTACGCGCACATCGAATGAAAGAAGACTTTTTCGGGTCGGTTGCGTTGGCTTTGGAGACCGCGCCAGCAGCGACCAAGGCAGAGAAGAGCTCCCCTTCAATGGTTGGCTTGTCCTCAATTCTAGACAATAGATTTAGTCGAGGGATTTCTAACGGTAGCCAAAGACACGGCAACGCCAGATTGACTCACAATTGCATGCCGTAGTAGCCTGTTCCTGAATACCCGATCATAAGGGCGACTTTCTTCTTGGGCCGTCGCTCTTCGTTTTCAATATCCTCCTTGGAAAACTCAGTCGCGTAGATTGGAATCACAACGTCCTCGCCATTCTCAATCTTGCGACGCTTCGCCTCTTCCCTTTCCTCGGCGCGCTTTCTCTTATCTCGGGCTTGACGGCTTGCTCAATTAGACATTTCGTTCAATCACCAAGCAGGATTCCAGGCAGCATACCTCCATTCTGACCTTCCCATATTACGGTTCCTACGCTTGCCACCAGCGTCCGCTCCTCCTGGCGCGTTGTCGGCCATGGTACACGTTTGAAGAATTCCTTGAGCTCGGTCTCGGCTCGGGATTCAATATGTTGCGGTTGACTATGAGTCCTTGTTGGAGAAGGGAATTGAGACTGGACGGAATACAGCCGGAATGCGGGAGTAAAGGCAAGACGTCCAGCAATGTTGCGCTGCCACAAACTGTTGACGCGCATGAAACCGATTTTGACACAATAAGCTCTGTGGACTGCGCAGGTGGCCGCCGCGGACATTTTCGATGACCGATAGCACTAGTCCGTATTTGGCTTAGCCTTGCCGACCTGGTACTTTTGCTCTCCGGCAACGACCTCTCAATGCGGGAAATCTCCAGCGCGAGGGAGCCAGGCAGCCAGGCAGCCAGGCAACCAGGCAATGATCTTTGATAATCGGCGTTGTTGTGAAATCACATATTCGTCCTACAAGATCGTCTCGAGCTCATACAGCCCTGAACAAACACTCTCGATCTGCCCTCCTTTGCGCTTTTACCTGTCTCTCTTCATTCAGACTTCTCGCCGCTCTGCAATCTCTGGAATGACGGCCGAGTGAGATATGATAGTCACCTTGTTATTCCTGAACAACGACCGAAGCTCTGTCTTCTGAGATCTCGACCTCGAGCTCGGATCTCAGCTCCGGCGGACTTTGCGCTCGCGTTCCCAACACAATCCTCTGTCGTAGTCATGGATCTCGCCAACACCCTGATTCGAAGCGTCGCTCGCGCTTTTTACGAGACTCGCCATATCTTGATTGTCGATGCGCTCTTCCTGCACTCAGTGTACGAGGCCCTCGCCGAGACACCGTGAAAAGGAGACTTCGGGTATGAGCTGACTTTCTGCAGGCTTCACGCTGAGGACCTTGCCTTCCTCATGGGCATGCAGCAAAAGGACTTGCGCAAGCTTTGCGCGCGACTCCGAGAGGATCGACTCATTGGAGTGTATGGCTGGCAACTTCTCATCCTCTATCGCGAGCGTAGCTAACTGAGTGTGAACTTTTCCTTGAATATAGGAGCACCCGCGCCGAAATTCGTGATGGCTCGACTCGCCCGGTCAATCGCGAGTACTACTACATCCCTCTTCATCCGGTCATTGATGCGATCAAGTACAAGGTCTCCAAACTCACTTCGACCATCAAGGAGCAGTACACTCCGAGCGAGGAGCGGAAGGAGTACATGTGCCCTCGCTGCTTGGCTGAATGGACTGAACTGGATGTTCTTAGTCTGGTCTCTGAGGAAGGCTTTGAATGTCAAAATTGCGGAGCGATCTTGGAGCGCACGGAAGATATCAAGGGCGAAGAGGGCATTGACCGGACCGGCCATGAAAAGAATAGCAAGCTGATGGCTCAGTTGGACAAGATGCTCAAACTCCTGAAGCAGATTGACTCTGTCGAAGTTCCACCGAATGACTTCGACACGGCTTGGGACCACAAAGTTGAAGTCCCGCGCAACCAGAGCACTCACCCAGTTCGCGCGGCTGTTCCTGTGCCACCAAAGGCGCAGGACGTAATCCGTGGAAACCTCAAGACTGACGCCGCGGCCTTGGAGATTTCCCTCACTTCAAGTGAAGAGAAGAGCGCGGCGGAGCAAGCGGAAGAGGCTGCACGAAAAGCTGCCGTCGAGAAGCAAAACGCATTGCCAGTTTGGCACACACACTCCACTGTCGATGTCACTGCTCCGGCCCAAGTCAAGACCGAAACTGGTCTTTCTATCAAGTCTGAGCTTGATCAAGATGAGCAGAAGCCGAATTTGGAGGCCGAAGACGACAAGATTGCGGCGTACTATGCTGAGATGGAGCGAGAAAAGGCTCTCCAGGCGCAAGAGGATGCCAGCAGCGCCGAAGACTCCGATGAATTTGATGATGAATTTGAAGACGTCGGTCTCTCAGGTGCCAGTGGTCCAGGCACTCCAGCAACGGGGCTGGGCCCAACCAGCGCCCCGACGCCTGCCGGGCTGTCCGGTGTCAAGAGAGAGTTGGACACGTCTAGTGCTGCTCCATCTACTGTGGGCACGCCCTCCACCCCCGCTGATGATGGCCCTGCTGTGAAACGAGTCAAGGTTGAACCTGGCCTCGGCGGTGATACCTTCATCAAACCTGACCCCGACGCCAAGACCGAGCCGACCGTGAAGGATGAGGAGTCCGATGAGGATGACGAGGAGTTTGAAGATGTTTAAGAAGCTCGAGCGGCGGATTCGGGAAGCGTTCTGGCCGTACAAACACGCCCTTCGTAATTTTGGACAAGCGCTTCATTCGTGGGTATGGCGCAGGCGCCTGACAGACATCGCGGTCGGTACTAAATGCATAATCTCCTTGAAGCAAGCAAGTCCTTTGAGAGAATACTCACTGGTGCTATGAAGCTTCCTTAACACGATTGGTGTCTTATGTCTCTGCTTATTCCGATGACAAGAGTCGGATTTTTTTTTCAGTCGGGGCTTCTGGAAGCCTCTTGCGAGAAGTCAACGTTCAATGATCAGGTCCACGTCCACTGACTCGATCACTATCATGGCCCACGCCGACTAAGCGTTCTCTGCGTCGACTAAGCGGCCTCTTTGACTACTGCCTACCTCACTGCGAATCTTCTTCAACTTCCCAATGACTTGAGCAAGCGCGTTTGTCTCTTGTCCAAACGGTAACAATCGCAAAGCCACTCGTGCAGCCCTTCGGGTGAAGCTTCTCACGCTGCACTTCTTGACTCAACTTCTTTCTTCCTCCAATCTTCTCTTTCTATCAACAGAAAGCGTCACATACTTTCCTCGTATCCTACGAAGCAGTCTCGCCAATTAATTGTACGGCCTTGTCTATTCATCAACATACAGCGTCATTCAATTAAACATGTTCGCTTTACAGCGAGTCGGCATGGTGCAGAGCTACGTAAGTCGTCTCCCGAAGCTTTATCCCGCCATGCTTCACTCCAATCCAAATGATGATCATTAATATACATCCTCACTCTCACCTCCATCCTCTTCCTGTTCTTTCTCCTGGCCTTCGACTGTCATCATGACATCAACTGACCATCCCGACCACCAGCTGTACTATCCTGCCACCCGACTTGCCATCGAGCAGCACAACCCTTTCCACCCAAACCGTGACCTGCTTCTGCAATCAGTCTGGACCAACATCCTCGTGACCCAGTTTCCTCTTCCCTACGGTTTCATCGTCAACCCCCGCGAGCACGGCTGCTTTACCGAGCGCGACCTCTGGGCCGACGTCCAAGTCCAGCATATCAACCACCCCGGCCACCTCAGTTTTCTGGTCGTGATCTGCCGTACTGCCTCCCCCACCTCCAACGGCACCGGCGGCATTACAGACTGGGAGGATCATCTGGATTCATACCTGGATCTCATCTTTCCCCCTCGCCGCCGAGGAAATCAGCCTGTGACTGTCTTCGGGATCGTCGCGTTCAAGCGAAAAGCCAGCTTCCATGTCAAGGTGGTCGGCGAGGATCTGCCAATGGCAAGGATGTCGCAGCACGAGGAGACCGGCAAGACCGAGTTTGACATTGTTGAAGATCATTTCATCGTGCAGAGTATCCTGAACGACATGTCTCCTCAGCTCTAAAAGAAGGGGTATGATTAGGGTGTAACAGAAGGTAGTGCTCGCTTGATATTTCATCGATCAATCTTGAGCGGAAATCATCAGATTATGAGGGTCACTAGGGCTCCTACTTCTTCCAATGGAATCGAACTCAATAGGTCGTCGTTACTTCACTTCTCCTTCTTTGTGTGGTAAGAGGAGTACTTGGCTTTCCCATTCCTTGTCCTGGACTTCCTCGCTGGAGCTCATCCAGGTAATCGCCAACTACGAGGTATCCGTTTCAAAGTCGATCTCTTGGGCGGGAATGCGACAAAAAGCAATGGAAATTCAGGTAAAAGATAACATTTATTTCAAGATGGATCCACCTTCTTGTCCAACACCTGGATGTTGCAATCCACATTGCTCCAAATCGGCAACTCAGTCTCCATTTTGCCTCGCCCAAACGCCGTTGATCCGAGATATGCGAAGCAAAGAGGGGGAAACCACATCATATCGTTTCCAAAAGTCATCATATCGTTACTAGTTCTTGCCATCGAGGAGTTCATCCTTTTTGCCATGCAAGATACATGGAAATTGAACCAAAAACTAAAACCCGCTACAAAAGTCGGAAGGCCGCCTGGGTCAATGGAAACAAACGCCGAACATGTCAACCCGTAAATGCAAGGAGGCGGCTCTGTGGCTATTCGATCATGGACTGCCCGCAACGCCGATGTCAGAGTCGCTGGCTAACGCAGATGTGGCCTCCCACTCCTCTGGCGAAGCGAAGTCCGACTCTGGATTTTATGGTCAGAAGGTGTGGGATCAGGGAGCATCAGGGGAACACGAACCTGAGACGAGATCATCCGGGACCTCGATTGTCAATTCTTGAAGACGAAGCAATGTTGCTACAATTATCAACATTAGTAACCAGATTTACCAAGATTGAATGCCTTGAAAGCATACCATTTGTACTTTGAATGACCTGGCGATCATCTTCATCACTCTCATCGAAGTAGTTTTCCAAACAATGAGTGATGGTCGCCACAATGGGTTGCACAATGCGCGACTCGACATTCCGAATCTGTGCTTCGAAAAAGACGCTGGAGATGCATCGAACGCAGGCGTCAGTCAACTCTCGGGCAATATTGGCAATCCGAGCCTGAATTTCTGCTGGAACTCCTTCGCTGCAGTCGAGGAAAAGTATGCCCTGCAAAACCTCTGTGGTGCGCCGACGAACATTTGGGTGATTGTAGATCAGCAGAGGCGGAACGAAGTCAGGGATACGATCTTGAACGGCCACAGTGAACCAGTCAGTGTCGAGGCCCAAGCGTTCATTCGAGGCTGTGCACAGCTGAATGAAGAACTCTAAATGCTCGTTGCCCGCGCAACTATTCAACGAGACTAGGCCCTTGGCAACGAAATCGATCAGTGCAAGGATGGCTCCCTCGTCAGGTGCACATTTGCAGAAAATGATAGCGCAATCCAGGAACGGGACACAATGTTCAGCGGGCGAGAAGCGCAAGCCAACTTCGAGGGTCTTCAAAATGTGAGGGAAGAAGCCCGCCTCTGGCTCACATGCGAGGAAAGAGGCGACGATGGCTTGGGCAGCCTCTGAATAATAGGAGATGTAGTCATGCTGGAGCACCTTCATCAAGAACACGAGAACCGCACTATTGTCCGTTGCTTTGTGGAATTCCAGCGGCTTGATAAATCTGTTCTCCGCCAGAGTAAGTGAAATTTGCCCGTCTACCGATGTGGTTCGAGACGTATTGGAAGGGGTTGGTGGCAGAGCAAAGTCAACTCGCTGCAGCAATGCCGCGCATAGAGCCATCAGATTGCGGTACGGGAACTGGCGACCCTTCTCGAGTAGCCGACAGTAGCCTTGATAACGACCTCTGAGGTTCTTGCGGTCCTCAGGGTCGAGCCAAATGATTTCCAAGCATCTAACCAGCATTCCGTTCGCAAGAACAGCCTTGGTGGCCTCTTCGCTGGCTTCGGTCAACTTGACCAGGAAATCGAAGTACTCACCCCATGCACGAGGAACAGTCTGAACGGCCTGCCACAAGTCTACCAGCATGGCGACGATGCTCTCAACAGCTCCCTCGAGTCTATTTTGCCGGATTTGCCTGCCTTTCTCGTCCATATCCGGAGTCTCCAAAGACAACTTGAGACAACGAATCGCAATCAAGATGATAGACACGACTTTCTGGCGAACCTCGTAGTGGAAGCTTCGGAGCATGACGTTCCGCATCGAAGTTGGCCGATTGGAAAACCATTCGAGAGCACAGAGCGCGCCACGCGGATTTTGCACAAGCAAAGAGAGTTCCTCATACATTTTGAACAGTCCCGCCATCTCCTTGGTCCGTGCAATGAGTTGCTCCAAGGTATCCAATCCGATCTCGGTTCCCATCAATTGCAGCTGGTGCCGCTGTTCAGGAGCGATATCCACTCGTCGCATACAGGAAAGAAGCTCTGGAACCAACTTCAAATAGCTCGGTTCCAGAAGACAGTATGTGCGGATGAAGATCTCATTCTCCATGGCGATATGGTTTGCAAGAGCCGTTGGCAAGGGCACACGAGCAGGATATTCAGGCGCCACCACCTGCGGCTCCTCTTTCGCCTGTTGCTCCGGATTTACACGATGATAGAACAGCATGTACGCGTTCCAGACTTTGTTCATTTGAACACCACCGCCGCCGTGAGTGTCACCTCCAAAGCAGTGGTCGGCAATGTTTGCTGGATCAAATCTGGACACGTCGGCATCGTTGAATTCGACCCATCTCGGTGTCCCGACGCTGCCAGACCTTTCGCGGGTGTAAGAGTAGTAATGACCCGATTCGGCGGTGCCAGTATGAACAAGCACCCCGACAAGCTCGAACACGTCAGGCTCGATCCCAGCATCGGGATCAGAAAGGTGCTCCACCTTATAAGGTGTCATGTCAATATTTTCGGGGAATCTGAACTCATCGTTGATCTTGCTTCGCATCATCGTGACCATGTCAAAGTCGAACCGTTTAAGATGGAAGATCAAGTTGTCTGGAACTTCCTTCAAACACGCTCGCTTCACTGCATCCACATGTTGACCACATCCCGAGCAAAAGTACTTGTTGTCACCCTGCATGATTTCACCTTCAACATAAGCCTGCAAACTCTCAACAAGACTACCCTTGCCCTTGATGTCGCATTGGATTGCGGAGAAGGGTTCTTCTCGCTCCGAGATGTGAGAGCACTCCTTGGATTTGATTTGCTGGACCAGCTGCCCTCCATAGAAAGATCGGAAGCGCTTTTTATCGTCGGGGTTCATGACTTGGGCTTCCCATCGATCAAAGAGCAAGTTGTAGAACTCGTCAACATCCATCTGAACAGTGACATCGATGGCTTCATTGTCATAAGTTCGGATGCTTTCGACAAATCCATCTGGATTGACGCTCTTCATCCAAGTGTCCTGCATCCAAGCAAAAAGCCTTTGGGTCTCACCAAGGAGCTTCTGGGATTCATCAGGCTCCAATACGTTCAACGACAGCATGAACTTGCGAAATTCCGTGTTCATAAACAGCTGAGTCATCAGCGAATTGAGATAGCAAGTATTGGAAAGATTCTTGAGTCCGGCGTATCCTTCGTAGGCTCGGATCATCTTGTTACGATCCTGGCTCCACGTGGGATTGTACGATTCATCTACGGCTCCAGTTAGTCGATGGTCACACGGGACTCACTAAATTGAGGAGACCGAACATACCTCGAGGAATGACCCCATCCAAGTACTGCATGGTTCGAGCAATATTTTCAACATTCTGCTTACACAGCAGTCCGATTACGTTGTAGAGCTTTTGGCGCGTCTCGGTATGCATGAGTGGAGTGCGTGGGACGATCACGTCGTCAGTTTCATTAGCAAGCTCTGGGAGTAGGTATTTTCCCATGATCGGTTCAGCGATATCACTGAAAAACAGATGAGACATGGTTAGCAATGTCCAGAAAAGAGTATAGCACTTGTGATACGCACAGAGCCTCCAGCTTGAGTCCGGTCGAATCGGCATATTGAAGACATTGCTCTAGAAGACTCGCCATGCCAAAGACAAGGTGATCGAGGGGCTCGCGGCCGATGAACTAGGCATGGTCAGCGGCGTTGTTATCTCAACACAATGTCAGTCATTGACCTACCTCCGTCGTGTCATGGCTCAACATCATTTGGCTCCATTGGCTCATGTATTCGCTGAGAATGACATCTTGCGGCGACCGGTCCACGACAGCTCGGAAAGCCCACAAGGCTACTTTGAAAAACTCGGCCGAATGAGCGGCGTACTTGCAAGCGAGATTAAATGACTGCAAGAATGCATTCCAGATTGATGCGAGCATGTCGATATGAATGGGGCTGTCTGGGTTTGTCATGGGCTGCTTGTTGGAGCCATTCTCCTTGACTGGTTTCGTCTTTCCCTTTGGGTTGCACACCCTGCGCGTCCTCTCCGATATTTCAGCTCGGATCGACTGCCCTGGCTCTTCGAGGAGCAATCCCTGGATAAGGGCAGCAAGTTGGACTTCCCGCTTTACGGCGTTCCAGAACAGAGGGTCGCGGAATGACCCTTCCAACAGAACACCCCACGAGTTACAGATCAGCTTTTGGACTTTGACCATATCATATGACTTGACATCAGCCAAAGAACGTCCAGCCTCAACGAAGTGCTGGAGCCTCTTTGCAAGTGCCGCCTTGTCGGCTTCTGGAACCCCGTGCTCATCGCCGACTTCGCTGGAAATAGTGATGGATTCCACCAAGCATCCAACAGCCGCCGAAGCAAGATAGACTTGGTTCCTGTTGAGAGCATTCAGATCTGACAGTTTGTTGTCGATTAAGAATGACACGAGTAGCTTTATGCTGCGCGACACAAAAGCTGGGTTCGGTGTCTCTTCCATACCTTCCTCCAAGAGACACCTCGCGAGTGTGCTGCAGGAGTAGAAGGCAACAAAGGGTGTTTCCAAGGGGAATAGCTCCGACACGGTGCTGTCTCCTGACTTAATAAGATTTCGTACTCGCTTCTGGGGTGGGAAGGTTATGAGAAACTCATAGATCTGCGAACGCCGCTTAGTTAGCACTCTTATCCCAACCGGATGCCACCCCTGAAAATCATCCAGGTATACTCACATCCTTTGCAAGATCATCGTTAAGTGTAAGTAGATCATACAGTTCGTCAAAATGCTTCAGAACCTCTGAATCAACCGATGTGAGAGGGAGTCCGCCGAGAGCCAGTCGTGGCAATTCCTTGGCATCTGGTGCCTTCTTGACGAGGAGCAGGCCGGCTTGGATGGCTTTGATGTCCCTCAAGGTACTTCCGGCGTCATTCACCAGATCAAGTCGTTGGCCGCCGGCAATTACAGTGAACTTGGAAAAGCCTGTGAGCGCTGCCAATCTCTCGGACAATTCAAAGCCGGTTGAAAGATCGCCAATTGCAAGCTGCTGGACTCTGGAGCTGTTCGTTCCGTTGAAAGACTGCCACGAAAGACTCAGTGTCTCACCTTTGATTGGCTGCTCGGGCACCAACGGAGGTGAACACCGCGGAGAACTGTATCGTGGACGAGCACGGAGGCCGCACAGCAGCTGGTGGAGGAAACATAGCGAACGCTTAAATCTCAGCTCATCGGAGTTCAACTCTCCAGTCTCGGTATCTGAGTCCATTAACGAATCCCCGTTAGCGTCGGATGCAGCCTTCAAGCTCGAGACGGCTGCTTTGAGCTGATCAAGGCACCGCTCAACAAGCGCAATGTGAGTGGCTTCGACTGCCGACTTGGGTGATTTGGAGATGATTGCATGATCAAGGTAAACCTGTACCGCAAATTCTGTGGCCTGAACTTCAACGGTGCCAGGTAAGGCATTCAGAATGAAGGTCCAGATTTGCTCCATTCCGGGAATTACCACTACTTGACCCTCATCCGCTGGGGTGGGCGGGTTCCATCGGACTTGGTAGATGATGGCCTGCTTGGCGAATGCCAACGTTTCCAGTGTCAAATCCTTCGGTGCTAGAGCCGGTAGATATTCGTGAATACACCGGTCCAGGAACGAGTTCGTCTGGGTAGCTTGGGTGAGTGCAGTTGTCAGCATGTTCCACATTGCGTGGCGGCCTTCTGCGCCGTATTTGTCAGACAGGAAGATATCTTTCCAAAGCGTCATCCCAAGCTCAGGCGTGATCGTATCCGGAACCATGTTGATGAGGCGGAAGAGAATGCTCAAGCGTGAGAGCAACTCAAGCTGAGAGGTGGAGCTGGCAAGCTTGTCGTTCTTGCGATTGACAGCACTCAGCATGTCTTCGATGACCAGGCCGGTGAGGTCAAACTCCGCGGCGAGTTTCAACATTTCCTGTCCCTCATGATTGGCGACCAGGCCATTCAGAATTTGGTAGCTGCCTGCCGTGAATTCGTTCTTCTCGGCGATATCTTGAACACATCGCTCATAAATGGCGACCCTGTCAGCCTCGCTGATCCCAACGGCAACAAACCCTATGAGCTTTTGAAAGCCGAACTTCTGCAGAATCTTCTTCTGGTCCACGGAGATCTCCTCTGAGGGAGTGCTGTCACGAACGAGACGGACGCAGAGATTCAAGGGAATGGAATTGACGCTTTCAAAGGATGATCGCGAGTCCGCCGAGCCATGGCACATCCGGTCGAGCAATTTGTTGCAAAACTCAAGCATGCTCCCATCGAACCGGCTAAGAGGCAACTCCAAAAGCTTCTGGCAGATGTAGAGCAACGCAGGAGCGCTTACGACATGCATGGCGAATGTCCGGATCAGCATTGTCAAGACCTCCGAGACAATTCGAGTATCTTGACTTTCGGTCACCGTCCGCCAGATGAGGTCCGTCACCGAATTAGTGTATGTATCGGTAACAATCAGGAAGCCAACAATATTGCTGCTTCTGCTGATCAGTTGCGGGTGAGAGTCGACCCCCACTAAATAGTCCACAATTTTGTGATCGAGGATAAATTGCACGAGACGCTTCACAAACGGCAGGTTCACGCCGTCAGGATTTGACTGTATGCTGGTCCCCCACACGTGCACTAGGTCGGATTGCATAGTCTCGACGCCATGAACACGAAGCTCCATTCGACCCTCTGTGATATGCTTCTCGAGCACCGCAAACTTCCACATCCAGAAAATGATCAGTGACTTGTCCGCTAAACTGGCCTCTTCAGGAAGGGCTATGGCCAGATCTTCCGAGAGTTGCTGTACAAAGTCGATGTCTCTGGCGCAGTGCTGCTTGTAATGGTGGGAAATGGCGCGGAGGAACTGCTCACTCAGGTCGCTCGTTGCGAAAGCAGCTTTCTTCGAGATCCAATCTTGATACTTGACATCCACCAACCGGACCATGTCGTAAAGTGTCCGCAGTGCAGTGGTCTGAGGCAGCTGAGCGTCTGACCCTTCAACTCCGGTATCACGTTTACGCTCCAAATGACCATCGACGAGCGTGTTGGCGATAGCAAGGACTTGGAGAAGCACGCCCACCAAGGCGGGGTTGCGGGGGATCACTTCCAGGGCAAGAGCTGACCATTCGGAAAGAACCTTGGCAGTATCCATGGGAAGCTCGAGTGATTTGGAACGAATATGCAGAAGCATTTCTCGTGTATTCGCCGGGTTCTTGCGGGCCAGGGCGCGGTAGAATGGAGTCTTGATCCAGGAAAACACGGATGTGAGGGTCTGAAGATAGTCTTTGCAGATTCCCTCCTGGACTGGAAGCTCAGGATCTTCGAGGTAATGTTCAAGAAGCCGAGTGTCGAGGCGCGTGACGTGTAGTGCAATCTGCACATAGTTAAGGAAGAACTGTTCCAAACAGAGCCATGGACTGCTGCCGGTACCATCGTCGATGAAGAGTTCATGTCTGCTTTCTTGTCAGATTATGTTTAAACCCATACCAGAACCAACTGAATGTGCGGGAGGGGGGAAGAGCAGCTTACACTCGGCGCAATACACACTCCGCCACATCAGGGAAAACCTGCCAGAATTCCTGTGCTTCACCGAATTCTTGAAGACCCAAATCATCCAAGTGCTTAACACAGTCGTCTGTCCAAATTTTGACTGCGGAGAGAGCATCGACATCCCGAGGATCACCTTTTTTCACATGCGTCAGCTTCAAGCGGAAACAAATAGTTTTTAAGGCTTTCTCTGCATATGTGCATGTATGTATGCCTAGGGGTTTCAAGACGGAGCATTACCTTTTTGAATCATCGCCACAATGCGGTGCATGTTCTCCAGTGGGCTGGCATTCTCTCGAACCTGAGGGAAAGACTCAACCAAGGTAGGAATCAAGCTTTGGAGCTGAACCACATCGTCATCTTGGATCGCCTCCTCCAGCGGTCTCCAGTTCTCATCCATGTCTTCGGGGTCTTCCGCTTGGATCACTGGGCTCTGTGCAGGTGAGGAAGATATTGAGATGACGTCCGAGGGAGTTGTGTGAAGTTCGCTCGGGTCAGGGCGTGCCGGAATGATCTCAGAGATTGGGGGTGTGCCGCGCATGGTGGTCTCCGTGTCGGTGTCGGGGGAAGGTGACTTGTCAGAGAGTGGTGACTTGACGTTGATAGTCACCTTTGCAGGACGTGTGTGATCAGGGTTCGTGTCCATCTTGTCGGCAAGCGCTGCGCTGGTGACCGGAGCAGGCAGCACAGAGGGGGTCGCCGCGGCGATGGTGGCACTTGCCCCGTCCAGATTCCTGGAGATCGATGGACTCAGGCCACTTCCACTGTCCAGGCGTGGCCTTTTCTGCTTTCGCTCGGGATTTGAATCCTCCATTGATTCGTTTAGAGGTTGCATGGAGTCGTTCAGCGGCGCGTCAGGCGGGGTGGAAGTGCTCGCTGGTGGGGGTTGCGCCATACCATTTTATGATTTACGACGCGGAGGAAGGAGAGAAGGAGCGAGGGGAGTTGGAGCTGAAGTGAATGTGAGAGATAGGTCCGGTGGATTCCGCCAGCTTTTACCAGAGGAGGGGCGCGTGAATGAGAGGTCCGATGGAGTAAATGTCAGAGCGAAGGGCGAGCTGTGTGTTTGAGTGGGGAGTGGACGTGAGCAAACAATCTGCGATCTGGATGATCGACGGGGCTTTTTTGGGAGGTGGCAGAAGCTCTGATCAACGCGAGGAGCCGGTGACGTTGTGTTTTTGTGGGGAGATCTGCCAACCGGATCAGCCGTTCACCACATAACAACATGAATAATTGTAGGCAGCTGTATGCACGTGAGACTGGATCCAAACACAACGTAGGTACGTGAATTCTTCTTCTCCTTCTCCCTATATTCTCTAAGAGCCTCTAGTTATAGCTTACTATGTAGCAAACTGTGGGTTACACATATGGGAGGTACCTCAAGCTCCTTGTACATGCGTAAAATTGTCATGTTCCTGTTTCGTTCCATTTGCTGCCGTACCGATGAAGGGCTCACAACATGCATCGATAAATATATCCACTCTTGTCAACGGGAGCGGGAGCCGCACAGACTAGAAATTCAAGTTGGATCCATCCCTGGGCTATGACTAGTAGGTAGTTATTGAATGCTACCTTGGCTAAGGTGCTTAGCAATTGACTCTCGTTCGGAGGTGCCTGTTGGAAAACCCAATATATCTGCGACCGCGTAGACAAAATTATGATTATAAGCAATTCGGACCCGTTGATCCACGCCTCCAGTACTGGTAGTACCTGTCTAGGAAGATACTTCTCCATATCGCGGATGTTGGTGGTCAAGGGCTGCACTGCTTTTCTAAAACTGGAAGTTATCACACAACTACTTATGATACCTCGAGTGGACAGGGATGGGTAAGTGCCATTGAAAATGGAAGCCTTCTTATAAAATCACGTAAACTTCACCATATAAGGACATGTAAGGACATATTATCTGGCGATGCCGAGGTGTGACTAGGCCGGGGCTTATCGCAATAATAGTACTACTTTATGAGTGACTAATTCCCCTATGGGCTATAACCTCACTACTTAGAAAGCACTAACTGAAGTTTTCCGGGTCTTGATTTTACTTCTGGAGTTTGACTTCTTCAACTGAGGTATTGACTTGTAGAATCGGGACAGAATGTTTGCCAGATATTATAGTAAATAGCTCGAGGTTATTGGTCTTGCTTGGGGGACTCAATGATAAAACTTAACCACTAATTTAGATTCTTCATTGACGGGCTAGCATTGAGGTTACATGTATAATGGTAGGTACTAGGAACAACCAGGAGCGGAGAGTGAGGGATGAGGGTGAGATGGCTACCTGGTACAGAGAAGAGAGCGGCAGAATCACATGCCATACAAACACACTTCTTGAAGCATATGACATATATCATACGCCCCTGTCTCACTACTGACGCAAGAAGATCATTCTTTCATGGTGGTCTCAATCTTCCGAATGATTCTTGCCGGGTTCCCAGCCACGACATGGAAAGGCGGGACATCCTGTAGACATACCAACGGGATTAGCATGCGGACAATCTTGACCCGCGATTGGTACAGGATCACGAGGTCCAATGATGCGGAGCCAAAGACAACCATGTTCTAACAGTCTGAAATAAACCAAGATTCCCCAGATCTGCAAGCAACCATACCAAAGCAAGCAATGTGGATGCTGCTGCAAGATTCCGACACCGCGAGCACCCTGTATAGTGTATACCATGCTTTACTGGACTCTACGGACGTACCTTTGTTACCACACTTCCGGCACCCACCGTGGAGCCCTTCCCAATTGTCACACCAGGCAGGATAGTCACATTGCCTCCAATCCAACAATCTTCTTGAATGGTAATGGGCGCTCCCATTTCTGGACCATCCATGCCATCCCGCACAGCGGGATCGATCGGATGGCCACCGGCAAAGAGGCTGACATTAGGGCCAAAGAGCGTGCGGTCCCCCACCGTGATGGGCATGGTGTCAATGAACACACAGTTGGAGTTGACGAAGACATTCTTGCCCAGAAAGACATTGAATCCATAGTCAGCCTTGACAGGAGGCTCAATCCAGGGTTCATTCTTGAAGAGCTCATCGTCTGCGATGGGATCTTCCAGTCGTGGGGGAAGAGGGGATTCGTCTTCGATCACACTGGAGATTGATGTGAGGAGTTAGGATGCAGGCGAAGGAAGTAGTGACGATGTATAAGTTCGTCACCTGGATGGCTCGAGCAATTTACTCTTTCCACAGCTCCATAAGCCGCCTTCGTGGGACTTCGCCTGCGTGGTTGTACCGCGTGTATGCATATTTACAACGATTTCGAGCCGCGATCAGGTCGGGGGTAAAGGAGACAAAAAGCTCTCCGCGCAGCATCTTCTCACGTTCGGTCGGTTCTGTCATGGTGATATCTGGAGGAAAGAAGACTGGATTGGAAACTGGCAGCCTCAATGTGGTGAGATTGACCCAACAATAGAGAAATGATCAACAGTTGTGCTAGCGTAGTCTTAGTCGTAGTATGCTGAGTTCATGACTCAAGTGAGTTGGACACACCCTGACAAAGCCGCCAGACCTGAGCCAGCCATGTGGGGATGGAACGGGGGCGCACATAAAGAAACAGTCACCCCCGGGCCACTGACCAGTTCCTCGGCCGGTGCCACCCAAATGACAGATCCAATGGCCGGCTTCACCCAGAAATAGGGTGACGAGGGTTGACGAGGATCCCCGAATTGAAACGCGGTGGATCAGGCCCCCGTCGAGAGAACAATCAACTCCACATTCGATTGTTTTCAAACACCCCCTCCCGACTTCTCTCCAATCGTCGATCCCGACACAATGAATCATGGCGGTTCCTGATCACCATTTAACGAGCCTCAATTCCACGACTGTGACAAGCTCGTCTTCAACTTGAAGACTGTCTCCAGTGTCCTACGCTCGGGACTTTCTAATCCTTTCGGACAGGACTTCCAAATCTCCGGCGCTCGATAGCTCATCCGCCAGTGGAGGGAAGAAAAAAGAAAAGACAACCTTGCGCAAATTGAAGCCGAGGATGACCGACGCCAAATCCTCCACCTCCATGGCCACTTCCGGAGATCCCAACGTCTCCTGGCCTGTTGAGCGCGTTTCCCACAGCTCCTCATCCGCATGGCACCCATCCTTCCCTAACCACCGCCGAACCAGCGACGTCTCTCACTCCGACGCAAGCTCCGTTTCGTCTGCCGAACCCGAATCGGACCTCGACCGATCCAACTTTCCTGACGGCGAAAAGTCGCTCTCCGGCATTGCGCTGCGCGCATTCCTGCTGGGAACCACCCTTGGAGCCACATCCATCGTGACCGGTCTCCTCAGCGCGCTATTCCCGACTCCCTTCTGGCGTGTGCCCTTCTTCATCGCCGCCCTGAGTCTCTTCCACTTCCTCGAGTATTACGTCACCGCGCGATATAACACTCGCTATGCCTCGGTCGGCGCATTTCTCCTCACCTCGAATGGCTGGGCATATAACGTGGCGCATGGCTCTGCCATCGCCGAGTGCATTCTCGCGCACTATTTTTGGCCGCAACCCGGCCGCGTGGCGCGGTGGTTGACCGTGACGGAGCCAATTGCGGGGAGTGCGGTGCCACTGTTGCTGGTGCTGGGACTGGTGTTGATGGTGGTCGGCCAGATTGTGAGGACAATGGCCATGGCGCAGGCCGCGAGTAACTTTAATCACCATGTTCAGTCGCAGCATCAGAAGGGCCACGTCCTGGTCAAGACGGGGTTGTATGGGTATCTGCGACACCCGAGCTACTTTGGCTTTTTCTGGTGGGGACTAGGGACGCAATTGGTCCTGGGAAACCGGGTGTGCTTTGTGGCATATACCATCGTATTGTGGAAGTTTTTTGCCAGTCGAATCAAACGTAAGCTATGACCTTTTCACTCTTGCGCTCCTGTTTTTGGAGGACGAAGATTCGGGCAGAAGCCCGAGCGGCAGATTTGAACTTGTACTAATCGAGCACATTTGGGATACAGGCGAGGAAGCGTTCTTGATCCGGTTCTTTGGAGTCGAGTACACCCAATATCGATTGGATACCCCGGTGGGCATTCCGTTCATTCGATGAGGCACACAGGTTGGGCACAACCGTGTTTTTTTTTCCAGGTGGTCGAACCCAAGCCAGTGAATCGGAAAACAAAGATCGGTCCTACTGCGGCCACGAACAAGAATCCGTGGCACGGACTCCTCCATGGTCAATCTGTGATCTGACTGGCTTTCGTTCGAAGAAATAGTCGTCTAATCTACGTTGGGTTGGCGTCCTTACTACCAGCAGTAGGAACCTGTGTTCACAAGTGCAGTAACAGATCTTGATGAGAACATCTCTTGTATGAGATCAACTCATCGTTACCGAATAGGTGAATGATGTCAAATGGATACTGAAAAAATAATAAGACATTGTCTCTTTGATTCCATGTCTTTGCAATGGGTCGTTGCGAGTTCCCAATGATTCTCCCGCTAGGTGGGTTTCCGATTACCACAGTGTGGTACACATTGTTTAGATATTTACATTCCTTTCTGCACCTCCTATCGCAGTCCCGGTTCTCTCGTTATAATTTACTCTCCCTCTCCGGCGCAACCGCCCCCAACGCACCACTCATAAACGGCCCCCCCTGGGCTCCAGCTCCATCTCCATCTTCATCCTGCCCAAGTCCAGCCCCAGGGCCAGAACCACCTGCACTCTCAGCCCCAAAAAGCACAAGCTCCCGACCGCCCCTCGTACTCCACCACTCCACGCAACAATGCGCTCGATCAACATCCATCTCCCCACCGCTCAGCGCCGTCCAGAACCGATCAACACAAGCACGCCGCATGCCGCGGTCCGCAATAGCATTGATTGACTCCGCCGTGAGCGGGAGCCACTCCTTGAGATCGTCGACGCGCAGATAGGAAAGCGAGTCGATGAGGGCCAGGGTGAGAACGGCTTGTGCGGAGAGGAGGGGCTGGGATGGATCTGCAGATTGGGTGGGTTGAGATTGAGATTGTGAAGGGGATGTGGGAGGGATGGGGTCGGTAGATGCGGTTAGGGCTCGGTCGCGGACGACTTCGAGGAGGATGGAGGGGAGAAGGGGTTGGGTATTGGAGAGGAGGGACGGAGGGGTGGTCACTTTGATGACGGTTTTGAAGGCGAGTCGGAATTGGCGGGCTGAGAGATTTTCGGGGAAGACCTGCATGAATATAGACTGTCAGATTGGGACATGAAGTAGCATAGATCTGACAAGTTGGGAGAGTAAGACTGACGGCGAAAAGGGTTTCGATATAAAATGGCAGATGCTTCGCAGCTAGATCGGCGTTTTGCGGAACGGCAAAGACGACCAGAACCAAACTGTGCGCGGCTTCGAAGATCTCGAGTAAAAGGCTGTTGGCCCCAGCAGCAAGGTAGGGGAAAGCGGCCGAGAGAAGAAGCTCTTCGCAGGCATCGGGTGTCAGAACCATGGGGAAATGTTCCGCCGTGTACAAGAAGAAGAGGTCGAGAGAACGCTCCACTGGGTGATTTGGTATTTGTCCAATCTCATTTGGCTTGATGCTGCGGAGGAAGTTCTCTGCCAGGTCAGGGTATTGTGCAAGGATATCAATGGCGGCGAGGAAGACGAAGGTCTGTTGTGAGGACCCGGTTTGGCCAGTCCGGGAAGAGATGAAGCTTAAGTTGCGGAGGATGTGAAGAGCTTGCATGCAGAGATAGGGAGCACCTTTTTGTGGCGCAAAAATGTCAGCATATACTCTCGTTGGGGGAGAGAAATACTGTAAACAGAATCTCGACTTACTGCTGCCAGTAGCAAGGGCTGGATCATTGATCGTTCGACCAAGGACCGCACGCAGAACAATGACCACAGAATACATGCAGTTGCGTAGCAGACCCCATAGCGCTGGAATCGTAGTTTGCAATGACTCTGCTTCCAGGAACTCTGATTCCTCGGCCACATCAACCTCGGATAACTTGTTTTGGCGCCACTGTACCATCAGAGTTCGCACAAAATCCGCCACATAATCCACAACCTGCGCGACTAACTTCGGATCGCGCACGTTTTCCACCGCATGCGAGATCAATCTTGATATCGGTCCGAAAGCACCAACCAAGGGCCGGGCACTCACGGTTCTCACGTATTCGAACGTCGACGAACTCTGGGCCCAGCGGAACTTTTTTCCTGAGACCTCCACGATATCCTCGTCGATGGCGCCCAAGAAATAACCACTTTCCAATCCCTCAGGTGAGTGGTATATTGACCGCACCATGATAGGCAGCAAGCGATCGTAGTCTACTTGACTCCGATGCGCATCGGAAAGAAGTTCAAATGTATAGTTTAACACCATCGTGATGCAAGCACCATCAATCCCACTCTCGGGATCTAGCTCCTGCAACGAGAGCTGTGCGGCAGTCGTCAAGGCTGATTCAAGTTTCGTACGAATACGCCAGGGCAGACCCTGTCGATTCTGACCCTCAAAACCAAGCAATATACCTCCCAGGAGGAGCATATGTCTCCACCGCGGCGACTTGTCATCCGCGCCCTCTGCAATTGCCTTCACCCAAGCTTCACGCTCAATCCGGCGATTACGCCCCACGCCATGGGGTATTTGAGCTTCTTCAGTGGTGTCATGTTGCAGGACCGCGATGGCGGCGGTGTTGAAGACGCTGAGAATCTTGCGACATGCGAGCAAATCAACCGGGTGATTCCACAATGCAGGCGCAGAAAGCAACTGCGACGCAAGAAGACTTATGTTCAGTGGATTGCCGAGTATGGAGAGGAAACTGGTGGCCGTGGGGAGGAGTCTAAAGTATAGCCATTGCAATAATTAGCTCCCGTGGTCCGTGATCGGGCATCAATTGAACAGCCAGCCGTATGCGACGGAGAAATCAACTCACCCAGAAGCGTCCTCGAAGCTGGATGTCGACTGCAAGGAGCGCAGAAGCGCAGCCAGCGAGCGTTCTGTTGCCATGATATGATGAACCAGAGTGAAAGAAGGGGCTTTCAATAGCCGTTCATGGTCGTCACGGAGTCTCCAGCTGAATCCGAGGACAAGAGACGACCGCGGAGACCCCAGACTCCCGTCGACCCACGAGCCGAGGTCCGGACTTGGCAAACAGTGCAAACTGCAAACAAGCAATAGCGACGCCCGGCAACAGCAAAGCAGCTCTTGTGCTGGCCAGATCAGCCCGAGTCGTGCATATCAACAAGTTTCGCTTTCGCGCAACATAGGAATACTCCACGGCTGGACCGATCGTGTTATGGTTATTTCTAATCATGCTAGATTGAATCGAAAAGTTACTTCAAGCCACAGCCATCTCTGTGAGGCACGATAGCTCTCCATGGCGAATGACCGGGTCCCCATAAATTACCAAACGCCCTCATTCCCGTCCCTCTACGACCCCCTCCAGCAAAACACAGCGTACTATCTCTACCACACGAACGATATCTGGCGTTTCACACTCTACTGGACCTTTATTTTTTATGGAGCAACGCACTTGCTGGTCGCGGCGTATACGGTCTTGACTCATTTCCGGCACTGGAGTATCATCTGGCTGGTCCCGATTGTCTACGCGATTATTGCGGCGGTGGAAGCACTGTTGGCGGGGAGTATCATCGGACTCGTGTGAGTGTTTTCTGGGTGGGGGAATGCTCGGAACTGGGTGATGTTGACGTTGAGTTGGAAAGACACTGCTGACCCCCCGACCTTAAAGTCTCGGTGCCGTGTACGAGGCGGGCAATTTTCGGATGTCGACATTCTTGCCCATGATTTGGGGCGGCGTCAACGTGATGGTTTTAATTGTGACAAGCTTCCCTATGCAGGGTGGTCTCTGAGGGCCCATTTCATCAACAAGGCCTCGCCGCACACTGTCGCCTGGCCCATTGACCTCTCAGTGTTGTTGACTTGCTCAGCGATAATTATTTCGAAAGGCCTGGGCACCTGTCAAGACCCCACAAGTCCTACGCAGAAAGAAGTTCGAACCGTATTACTCTGCGCCTCAGAAGATCTTAATTCGAAGTTGGCGAGATGACGCTGTCCATTCTCATCACAGTGATTATCCGATGCTATGTGTCCTTCACGCCAGGACCAACCCTCCCAAAATATAAATATGCACATTCCATGCGGTGGTCTTTACCCTGAGAATCTTTCCATCTTACCGCCGACCGGAGTCAGGCATGCCACTCCCCTGCAAACCCGGGAGTCCTGGGAAACCCGGTGGCATGTTCATGTTGGGGGGCATTGGCGGCATAGGGAAGCCCTGCGCAGCAAATTGTTTTTGCATCTGCGCCAAGTCCATGTTCATGGGCGGGGGGCCGCTCATCCCCGGAAGCATAGGAAATCCTTGCCCGGGCTGACCTTGCGGAGGTATCGGTTGCTGGTGACCTGGTGCTTGAGAGGACATAATAGCAGCCAGTCGACCTGGATCCATCCCGCCCATACCAGGAAGACCTGCAGGCGGAGCAGGCGGTGGAGCACTACCAATGCCTGGAAGGAAGCCGGTCCCTTCAGGTTGAGGATTGTTGCCAGCTTGAATGCCGGGCAGAGAAGGCGCCGCTCCAGGCCGACGTTGATCGACCAGACTATCAGCCTCATCTTGCATTTCTTGTTCCTCTTCTTCACGCATCTGTCTCCGACCAAACCCACGATTCCAGGTACCTTGTGCCTCGGCCGCCTCCTCACCAATGTGGAACCGATCTTTCATGTAAGTAGTCTCGCCGGGTCTAGCCCGAGACCAGAATCGAGTAAAGTTGTCTTTAGAACCAGATGCAAGAATGTGACCGAGTGGGTGCCAGTCCAATGACCAGATTGTGGCCCCATGGGCATATTGTACGCGATGTGCGGGGAAAATGACTTGTGGAGGTGTGTTGGCCGGATCTGGGCTATCATATGGTGCCACTGTAGGGACGTGTCCGGCAGGTAGATTGGGCTCGTCGAGGAGGTAGTGGAACAACGAGCCATCCTCGGCTCCGGTGGAGATAAGATTGCTGTGAATGGGATGCCAAGTCAAGGACGAGATAGGCTTCTCATGCCCGCGTAAAATGCAGATGTCTCGCATCATACGCAAGTCAAAGACTCGGGCAGTTTGATCACGGGACGATGTAGCGAGCAAGTTGCTATTCACTCGTGAGAAGCGTGTCGTCGTAACGGTATTTTTGTGGCTATGAAGGGTGGTCAAACACCGAGCCGTTCGTGGGTCCCAGAATTTCACTTGATGGTCCTTTGAGCCTGAAACCAGCAGGCCCTTGGTAGGATGCCAATCACAGGACTTGACATCCCAGTTGTGACCGGAGAGAACGGTGTCGCAGGTACGCGAGGTGAAATCGAAGATTTTGAGGGTCGTGTCGTCCGAGGCGGAGAGGAATTTGGTGTCGCTAGGTGCCCAAGCCAAGTCCCGAACAGCGTCATGATGTGCGTCGTCAATGGTCTCCACGTTGTTGAAGTTAGGTCGCCAGTACTTGATGTCACCTCTTTGTCCGCCTGAAATCAACCATTCGTGGCTGTGCGACCATCCAAGAGATGTCACTCCCGCTTGCACTTGATCGTAATGCGCCTACAGCGGTAGAAGGGACGAGTCAGTCAGACGATATGAAAGATAGACCTGCCATAACTTGCCACGCTGATGTTCACCACGTACGTCCATGACTGTCTCGAAATTGAAGGCTGTTCCATTCCAGAGCATGAATTCACCCGTATGGCCACCAGTAAGTAAGCGCCTGCCTTCCGGCGTCCAGCGCACGACCACGATGGGCTTCTTTGATTTTCCAATTGACTGATGCAAGTGTCGCACAGGGATCGTATCGGCAGCCGAGTATGTTCGCGCCACAGGTGGAAGCATCTAACCCATAGTCAAACGAGCAAGGTTAGTAGACCATCTCTGCTTGCTTGGGATTCTTGACCAGGTAGAGCAAGAAGAATGCTACAACAAACTCACATCGACGGTAAAGCTTGCGCTAGGACGCTCTGCCTCCATGCGATGCTCACCACGGAAACGAGGTCGCCGCGTTCGCATCCATTGTACCATCGACGACCCATAGTCGGTGACCAGCCCTGCACACGCAGCTCAATTAGCACACGTACGATGACAATGCAAGTCGTCTCGCCCAAGCTCCGCGACGGTGGTTGACGGGCACATCGCGATTAGTATACGTACTTGGCCGGCGAGGCCCAACTGGCCCGTCGAAATTCTTCGCAAACCTGCCCGAGCCATCACCTCCATGCTCGTCATAGTAGGCCATGATGCCTGCACTCAATTTTCCAGTCGAGTGCTTGTTTGTAAAAATAAAAAGAAATGATTCGCTAGGACTGCATAGGGTCTCTGGAAGCAAAAGGCTCTGACAGCGGTCGCAACCAGGGAATTGGGGTAAATATGGCAGATTCGCAGTCGCGCGTCTGAGGCGGAGAAGACAAAAAGGGCGTTAGAACAAGCAGAACGCCGGAGCTCTGCCGGTCGGCTCTCGTCTTTGCACGGGAGCTCTCGCAGGGCGGTGATGCGACCGTTGGAGTCTGGCCGCGTTTGACAACGGCCTGCCGAACTGGGAACTGGCTCGTTTCTCGACTCTTCAACCCATACATCATGAGCAATTCCTTTCAAGCACAGCCTGATTGACAACCCAACCGCGTTTTGAAATCGCTCACAGATTGGAGAAGTGCTTGATCGCCCTATCTGGAAGATGTACGACCTTATCTGAGACTGCCATTTACCTGATCCAGCCCTAGTATACCCTTGCTGCTTGGCGCATTGCTCCCGGTGCCCCCGCTAGAGCCTCGAGCTAGCTTCCCCTCCGTCTTGCTGGATCTGGATCAGTCTACCCAGCTTTTCCCTCTTCACTGACACTCTCAATTGTGAGCGAGAACTCAATTGAGTAATACTGAGAATGCCATCCACGGCGCAGGCTGTGACTACGGCTCACGAGCACTCCAGTGCTCTCAGCAATGGCAACACGGAGACCACGGCTCATGCCTCGGCGCCGAAGCCTTCATCCGCCAGCAAGAGACGTCACAGCAAATATCTCCATGTTGCAGCGTACCACGCCAATTTGCGACATTCAAGCTTGAGTCGAGATGCAGCTGTCACACCCAGTTTCCTCGGGTTCCGAAACTTGATGGTCCTCGTACTTGGTATGATATTCTGGATGTTCTCTGTCAAGTCGGATTTGCATGTGATTGCTGATACAGCGGGGCAGTTGCCATGAACCTCCGATTGATTATCGAGAATTTTATGAAAGTGCGTTCTCGCTTGATTGCATGGCTGTATAGGAGGCTCTTCTCGTATAATACCAGATTTCTAACATTGCAGTGTCGGATAGTACGGCGTTCTCATCTGCATCAAGTGCCACGACTACCGAAAGCAAGATGTCGTCCTGGGATCGATCTTGTTCGCGCTTGTTCCGTGCCATCTATTTCTTGCCTATGCCATTGAGCTCTCTGCAGCTAGCGCTGCGAAGCAGACTGTTGGTCAGCAGAAGCGGACGGCGGAAGAAAAGGAGCGCGATCAGCAGGCCTTCCGATCCACCTGGCGCTATACGGCTCTGTTACATACCTTGAACGCAACCATCTGTCTCGCACTGACGAGCTTTGTTGTGTACTTTCTCATCCATCATCCCGGCATTGGCACCCTCTGTGAGCTTCACGCAATTATTGTATGGCTCAAGAACTGCTCATATGCCTTCACCAACCGTGATCTTCGACTGGCCTTTCTGAACCCGTCGGCCGACCCAGATCTCCCCGAGATCTACGAGGCTTGTCCCTATCCGCGCAACGTGACTCTGGGAAACCTGGCTTATTTCTGGATGGCGCCAACGTTGGTCTATCAACCGGTCTACCCTCGCACCGCCTCGATCCGATGGTCCTTTGTTGCCAAACGATTGGCAGAGTTTGTCGGTCTCGCCATGGTGATCTGGTTGCTTTCGGCGCAGTATGCGACGCCTGTCCTTCGTAACTCAATTGACAAGATTGCCGTGATGGATATTGCGTCTATTCTCGAGCGCGTCATGAAGCTCTCTACCATCTCGTTGATTATTTGGCTCGCTGGGTTCTTCGCCCTTTTCCAGGCCCTCTTGAATGCACTGGCGGAGGTCATGCGATTCGGAGATCGAGAGTTCTACACTGATTGGTGGAATAGCTCCAGTCTTGGAGCCTACTGGCGATCCTGGAACCGTCCCGTCTATCTGTTCATGAAGCGGCATGTGTACTCTCCTCTCGTTGGCCGAGGCTGGAGTCCATTCGCAGCCAGCATGATGGTCTTTACACTGTCCGCGGTCCTCCACGAGATGTTGGTGGGCATTCCCACTCACAACTTCATTGGTAAGCGCTGGCGGGAGACACATAGGCGCTGATGCACGGGTCATGTACTAACAGGTGAAGCAGGCGTTGCCTTCTTTGGCATGATGTTTCAACTACCTCTGATTACCCTGACGACGCCACTTGAAAAGATGCGAGGCCCTCACGGAAAGACCATCGGCAACTGCATCTTTTGGGTCAGCTTCTGTCTGGTTGGGCAACCTTTAGGAGCTCTGCTATATTTCTTTGCCTGGCAGGCCAAGTACGGTAGTGTCAGTCGCATGAGCGTGTAATGTCCGCCACTTTTCGGGCAATATGCTGGTGTGAATCGAGACATTGGAACGATGCGAGAAACCAGTCACTTCGCGGTCGATTCGTCAAACCAAGTTCATCTGGCATGTTCAGGCTGACTGGGACTGGGTGAGGCGAGTGGACATGGATCGTGGAGACGATTGGTAGTGTAATTCCCATCGATCGCCATCTGTACCGATTTCACAGCCCAAGCAAGGAATGCGTAGCGTCTTTTTGAGTGACTTTTTTTTTGCATTAGAATTGTGGAGCTATACCTAGACCACCTAGGCTCAATGAACATATCCTCATATCTTCGAACGTCGATGCATCTATTTCGTCTTGACCAGCCACGCTTTCCAGCATCGCATGGTCAGGGGACACGCAGATCGCCAGGGGAAGCCATTCCCCATCCTCGAATCGCTTCAAGTCTTCAGTGAGCTGGAAGATTCATATCCGCTTAGGGTCTGACTTGCATAAAGGAACCTGAGAGAAGGTATAGGAAATCCTCGCCAAGTTGCAAGCGAGAAAGATTGTTTCGCTTCACCAGGGTATGTACGCGGCACGGATAGATTCATTCCCCCGGCTCTGACGTCCGTGGGCCCGTCCGGGGGTAGCAATTGAGGCGCCCCAGCAAGTTCTTTTTGACCCCCGAACCTAATCCTTCCACGGTGCTCCTTTTATGATAACAACTTCAGCCTTCCATTTTGTTTCTGCTCTTCGTATTTCCCCCATCACCAAGCGTGTCTACTCTTCACATTCCGGGAATTCCCAACCTCTACCAGGACTAACACATCATGCTCGCAATTACTGTTCCGGACAACTACGGGTCAGTACAACCCCTTCTTGAAGTCTACGTTCTGTCCTCTCAGATCCTCGATTGCTGCCTCGTCCACTACGTAGCTGCTGGAAAGGGCGTCGGCATCATGGATATAGCGGACAATGACCTCTTGCGCTCCTCCCCACTAGTGATTTGCATTTTGTGAGTCGAGTGTCGTTGACTGACACTTTCTTCAGTGCCGTCATCGGTGTCGCTCTGGGCGCTATTCCCGTCCTGGGCTTCATCCACGGAGGTATCACCACCAGCCTGCGCAAGAAGGCCAAGGTTCCTTATCCTCACTGCTACGCCACTATCGAGCAATGCAAGGAAAATGTACGTCGAACCCATCTCCACAAATTATGAGCTCATGGGACTGCACTTCGCATTCGACGGTCGCTTGCTAACCCTGATTCTGTCCCGGGAACAACCAGGCCAAGGCTGAGCAATTCAACTGCGCTCAGCGCGCTCATGCCAACTTCTTGGAGAATGCTTCCCAGACTATGCTCTTCACCCTCGTGGCGGGTCTGAAGTACCCTCAACTGGCTACGGCTATCGGCACTGCTTGGGTGGTTCTGCGCTCCCTGTTCCTGTACGGTTACGTCTTCTCTGGCAAGGCCCAAGGCAAGGGCCGCTTGATGGGTGGATTCTTCTGGTTCGCCCAGGGTGCGCTCTGGGGACTGAGCGTGTTTGGTGTGGGTCGGGAGTTGCTCTCTTGGTAGAGAAGGACTGTCAAATCCAAGTATGCTTGAATGTATTTATGAATATATATATATATATATATATATTTACATTTATATATGTCTAAAGTTTCAACAGGAATTAAACTACTCAATTGACACTCGGCCATTTGACAATTGGAACCTCCGATGCATCGTCCTCGAACTGATGATCTCCGGGCGTGCCTTTGGACTCGAGCTACCTCGTCATGTGTGGCTAAACCCGCTGTGGCGCAGCAGAAAAAAAAGTTCCCGGCGACGACGAGATCGGAAGAGGTTCGTTTGTCTTCAATTGACGGTCAATGGTTCGTCCGAGGATCACGACCTTGTGAAAATTACAAAATAACTTTGCGCGATCTGGTCGCTTACACGACTGCCACTCTCGCATATACTTAACCCGCATTTACCGATTTTACCTTGACGCAATTCTCCTCCCTCCTTCCTCAATTCCCCGCGTTCACCCCCGCGATCATGTCGTCTAAATCTCATTTGACATACAGCGCTCGCGCCACCACTCATGCCAATCCGCTGGCTCGCCGGTTATTCGAGGTTGCCGAGGCCAAGCAGAGCAACGTGACCGTCTCTGCCGATGTGACCACGACCCAAGAACTCTTGGACCTTGCAGACCGTCCGTACACCCCTCCTCTCCCCCGCAATCAATTTTGAACACTAACATCCACCTCCCTCGACAGGTTTGGGTCCCTACATCGCCGTGATCAAAACTCACATCGACATCCTCTCCGACTTCAGCGAAGAAACCATCACCGGGCTCAAGTCGCTCGCCGCCAAACACAACTTCCTCATCTTCGAAGACCGCAAGTTCATCGACATCGGCAACACCGTCCAAAAGCAATACCATCAGGGCACCCTCCGCATCTCCGAATGGTCCCACATTATCAACTGCTCCGTTCTCCCAGGTGAGGGCATCGTCGAGGCTCTGGCGCAAACCGCCCAAGCACCCGACTTCCCCTACGGCTCGGACCGTGGTCTTCTCATCCTCGCGGAGATGACGTCCAAGGGCTCTTTGGCAACCGGCGCTTATACCTCTGCCTCGGTGGACTATGCGCGCAAGTACCAGAGCTTTGTGCTGGGCTTTGTGTCGACGCGTGCGCTCGGCGAGGTTGAGAGCAGTGTTGCTCCTGTGAAAGGGGAAGATTTCGTCGTGTTCACGACGGGTGTGAATCTCTCATCCAAGGGTGATAAGTTGGGTCAGCAGTATCAGACGCCGCAGTCGGCTATTGGTCGTGGTGCTGATTTTATCATTGCGGGACGGGGGATCTATGCTGCGCCTGATCCCGTTGAGGCTGCTAAGCAGTACCAACAACAAGGGTGGGAGGCGTACCTTGCTCGTGTTGGTGGTCAGTAGGCCGAGTCCTAAAGAGAATTGGGCTGAGAATATCTCGAATATCGTCGAACTTCATTTTCATTCATGAAAAGAGAACAGATAGAGGTTCGAACTCAGGCCTACCGGATCCCTACATACAGGGCCAGGTAGATAGTAAATACCAGATCGTGGAATGGTTCTTGATATGTTCTGGTATTTCAGGCCACCCTTGTTCCGCAGCTCTATACTACTGACACTGGCCGGGGACGAGGTCGCGAGATACACGAAGCGATGCATTGAATCCTGCCCAGAACTCGCTGAGACTTCCTGAGCTCAATTGTGTTTTTCTCGACCAGAGGCCCTATCTCATGCATTAACGCCCTTGTCATGCGTCGATATGGTCCACATTAGAACCTTAGCTCGTCAACTGACACTCGGATACCGCGTCGCCTGCGCCAAGGGCTGAAATCTACCAGAGCTTGTCTTTGCGATTGTTGGGTCGAAGCCTCGGACGTCTCTGATTCGACCTCGATGGGTATTTGCGCCGTGAAAGCATTTACTTCGTCATTGATTTAAGACCTGGTTGGAAGGTGATACACAAGGTCTTTTTTGCTTCTGCAAGCCTCTTAGTATCTTTCTGTAGATACCGATACCTGTACTGAGTATCGTTTGGGTCTGCCAAGGCTCTCCAATTCCTAAAGTGAATATACATGCGCTCGGTGAGTGGACCGTTCCCATCCCAGAAGCAAGGTCTCCGTCCCAATATGCAGAGAAGACCTCCCAAGCTACTGCCGATAGTACTAGCTCCACCATTTTCATCAATCTGCTGTTCATGTCTCGGTACTTTGTTCTTTCTCCAACGGCGCAACTGTGGAAGATGACCGCTTGATAAGAGAGGCTTCCTATCGGAGCAGATGCAACCGCCGATCTCTCCTCACTTCCCCTCTCAACCCCAACATTGGCCCAATCACTCTAAGCAAGGCAAACCGTCCCCTGCGATCCAAGCAATCTGTGCATCCTCCCCGGAATGGGGTAGAAGACGTTGTCTGACGGCTCGAGCTTGCTCACCCCCACACGATAACCACTTGAGAAGTTGAAGTACCTGCCGGAGATGATAGGCAAAGGTTTCCCCTCAGCGAGAGGTGACGGTGCCATAGATAACGCCGCGGCAATTGGTGTTGTCAGAAACAGCATTGCTGAACCGAGTGGACTTGTTTGGTAAGCTGTGAAAAGAGGAGAAGCCCTGCCGACCTAATGCTTATATCTTCTGCCATACCTACACTTCCGCAGATCTGGCCTATGCATACACCTCTTCCGACGTCAACGCCAATCGGTTGATCTTCCAACGAGTGAAAGTCGGGAATTTGACCCGTTCGGTTCAGGATCTACTTGCTCTCCCTTGCTGAGCACCATTTGAATCGAACTCCTGCGCGTCACTCGCGTTCTGCTTTTCCAAGACCCCGCTTTGAACTACAGCAAATGCAAACATGGTTGATGCAGAGAAAGACGCTGCAGTAGCACCGATCGTGGACATTGCGCCGACCAAGCATGTTGATCCTACATTGGAGAAACATGGCCATGATGCAGACGAGGCCATGAAGGTCTTTGAAGACATACATGGCGAAGCAATCGAATTAGACGAGGCCACTAATCGTCGCCTGCTTCGAACGATTGATTGGCATATGATGCCTATCATGTGTTGTGTATACGGAATGAATTTCCTGGATAGTGAGTGATTGGAGATAAGGAACAATGCAATTTCAGAGCTAATCCTACCCATTTTTAGAGACCACTCTGTCATATGCCAGTGTGATGGGGTTAAAGCAGGATCTCAACCTTCAAGGTGATCAGTATCAATGGCTAGGAAGCTTGTTCTATTTTGGTACGTATCGCTCCCGAGGACATGGCAATGGCCATTCATTCTCGCATTGGATTCCGAGGGCTGACGTGTATCAACAAGTTAGGATATCTGGCTTGGGAGTATCCCACCAACCGTCTACTGCAACGCCTACCTCTGGGCAAGTATTCGGCGGCGTGCATTGTGATTTGGGGTCTGATCCTGGCCTGTTTTGCGGCAGTGGAGAACTTCAGTGGTGCCATTGCGATTCGGATCTTCCTGGGTATTTTTGAATCGGCAGTGACGCCAGGATTCGCTCTGATTACCTCCCAGGTATGCCCTATCTTGCCGCCAATCTATGTAGTGTGGACCTGCTGACTTGCATTGCCAGTGGTATACCAAAAAAGAGCAAGGCTCGCGCGTCAACATCTGGTTTAGCTTCAATGGAGTTGGTCAGATTCTCGGTGGCGTGGTAGCATATGGCATCGCTATCGGAACCAAACATCACGAGTCATCGATTGCGCCCTGGAAGATCGTCTTCCTCTTCACGGGTGTTCTCACAGTTGTCCTGGGCCTTATTTTCTTGTGGATTGTTCCCGACAATCAGCTGAATGCGCGCTGGCTCAAAAAAGAAGATCGAGTGCTCGCTGTGGCTCGAGTACGGGTCAATCAGCAGGGCATCGGTAACAAGCACTTCAAGATGTATCAGGTCAAAGAGGCCTTGATGGACCCAATCCCATGGGCCTTCTTCTTCTACGCTCTGATTGCAGATATTCCCAATGGCGGACTGACCAACTTCTTCAGTCTATTGGTGAGCTCATCCTCCAGTTGGGAGCTGATCTGTTGCAAATCCCCGGGAGATCTTTCTAACGCTGGTATCCAGATCACCGGGTTCGGTTTCACCGCCGAGCAGAGTCTCATTCTGGGTGTTCCTGGTGGTGTTGTGGAAGTCATTGCTCTCTTGTTGAATGGCTATGTTGGCCACATCACCAACCAGCGTCTGCTGTCCAGTCTGGGTGGTTTAGCCACGGCCATTCTCGGCGTGATTCTGATTGTCGCTCTGCCCGAGTCCTACAATGTAGGCCGCTTGATTGGGTACTATATGACCCAGGCAAGTCCAACCTCGTTTGTAGCGCTGCTCGCCATGATCTCGTCCAATGTGGCTGGCTATACGAAGAAGACGACGGTCGCTGCGATGTACCTGATTGGGTACTGCGTGGGGAATATCATTGGTAAGTTAAGCAAGAAGATTCCCATGGACACACACGAGCTTGTCTCTTGCCTACAACAGGCTTCTTGGCGCCAATCCTGTCGCTTACGAGCAAAGCGCTGGAAGGTGGCTTGTTTGTGCCAAGTGTCAAGTGACCCCGACATCGCTAACTCTAAATCGCATTTGCCGACCGCAGGACCCCAAACCTTCCGTCCCCAAGATGCCCCGCACTACACCCCCGCCGTGATCACCATCATTGTCTGCTACTTTTTGAGTCTGTGCATCACCGTCTTCATCTGGTGGTGGTATCGTCGGGAGAATGCACGCAAGGCCGAGATCCAGGCACGACCGGATTATGTGCGATTGGAAAACCAAGAGTGAGTCATCTGCGACATTTTCTTTCTCGTGCTTTCCTACGGCATTTTGATCATCATTTACCCTTTTTGTCCCTTTTGGCACAGTGCCGTCCAAGGTGGCTCCGAAGGCGATCCACATGCATCCTATTGCGTGGTGATCGTTGATCAGCGGTATGGCGGGTCACTTGATTTTTGTGTTTGAATCCTTGGAGCGAAGTAAAGTTTGCAGTTGCATGCCCGCTTGTGCATCTTTGACCAGTGCTAATTGAATGGAACTGGCAGGTGGCTCGACTTGACGGATCGGGAGAATCCCGATTTCATCTACGCGCTGTAAAGTCCGAGTGTGGCGGTCAATCAAGTACTGTCTACTGTACAGTGTACAGTGTACAGTGTACATTGTACATTGTACATGGTACAAAGTACATAGTACCTACTAAATACTCTTGACTTGTTCACTGTAGTGTGCAAACTACCTACAAACTTGAAACAGTGCACGTTCAAGTGGTCGTACTGTAGTACTGAACGTGGAGAGAGTCAAAGATTGAAATATCGGCCTATCTGATATTCCCAATGACTTCAATTATCGATGATGAATTCCAGGGCACCGCCCTTTTTTCGCTCTGATCGTATCTTGACATGACTAGTTCCTCGAATCCCTTCATCCTTTCACCCCTTTGATCTGTATATGCAGTCAGAACCCTACCTTGATAGAGACACATGGATAGGTAGATCATGGTCGATTCAAATGCACGGGTGCAATCAAACCCCCGATCGACCGATCACCTTCATGCCGGCAGAACCTGCATGTGCCTGATTCTGTTTCATGGCCTTGTTCCTGTCAAGTCTCTGCAAGAATATCATGACTCGTGCAGTATTGACTCTACTGAGCAGCTACAGACGGTATTGAGTAGTTTGCAGCTCTAGTGAGAGCATAAGAGACCGGCTCGTGTCCTGTAGCTAAACTACCTTTGGCCTTCAGACCAAGGAAGATTCTCTCAAGGTCAAGTTTCCTGTCAAATCAAGAATGAATACAGTAATGTCAGTCTAAGCCCAAGTACAAGCGTTGTTCTTGAACTACCCTTCTCTTACGTACTTCTTAGGTTCGTCACGTTGAGTACCTTTGCTTGAGTATCTGCAACCTTGCCTATTTGCAACCTGCAACCTGCTCCTAGTCATCATCACCTGTAACTACGTAGGTACACACTACATACTACATCCCAATGATCCCATCCACTTGCCTCCTCATCACAAGCACGGGGACATGAACGTGACCTGCTGCTAGCCTGCCACTGTCACTGCTACACCTGCATCAAGTACTACCACAGTGAATGTGACAACCTCTCATTGGATACAGCCCGGTCGGAAGACTGCATAAGTACTGCAACCTGTGCCTGGAACCAGCAAGGTACATCCCTGCAGACCATGAATTTTTGCCATGGGAACTGGAACCTGGTAACCTTCCCGACTCACAGCACAACAGGTAACTTAGTAGTACCAACTTACTAGGGGTAGGCAGTAGGCAGTGGGTACAGGAAAGCGAAAGCAAGTGATCGTATTCTACTGGTATCAGTATTTATGTGAGGTTTCTTCCTGCCCTCTATTCTGTAAGATTTCTCTTGTCATAGTTGCACTTCCATTGATGGAAGAAATGGCGCGATGACTGGAGAGTTGCAGTGACCGGGACCCGGCAACCACCTCGCGAGTCCAGCCCTGGTTGTCCCAAGTTGGGAGGTTCATGGAAATCGGGTATTGTAGGGCGGCTAGGAGTTATGAGTACCTGTTATGAGACTATGGGCCTATGATTCAATATCTTGGTAGCTTAGTGGGGTGAAACCCGCTTGCCGCCGTGGAGATTCCATCCGTATTCCGTGGTGTCTCCAAATTTTCCACAGGCGACATTTGTGAGGTCGTCGTGTACTAGTTTGAGGCGATCTTCTGAGTGATTCTGACATGATGAATAAGGATATCCTGAGGAGGGAGTGCCACCTAGGGATCCAAATCAGGAAGCTATGAAGACAGAGTTTTCACGGCAGTACAGTAGTAGTACAACTCAAACTCATAAGACCCTACCTTGAAGGAACTCTAGCAACTGGACCTATTAGACACCAGTCGCTGGTCAATGACTCGATAGGGTTTGATCGTGCGAGTCAGGCGTGGGGCCCAACTCTGTTGAGTGTTGACCCTGGCTCAACCGCCATAACAACCTCCACGGGAACTTGGAAAGCTCGGACCTGCTCCGATTTCCGCCTTGATTTTGCCGGAGCGGTTCAGTGGAGGTTCTAGGCTTGGGGGTTGGAGCTGTTTTGCCCGTCTGGATTGTTGTGCAAGAGAACACGGATCACTGGTGGTCAAGACTTGATTGAGGTGGAAGGTCACGGGAAGTCATCCCTCGAGAGTCATCCCTCGAGAGTAAGTATCATCTTGTTGAGGGACTACAAATATCACAGTAATGGGAGGATGGATGGATAGTTGTGTCAAACTTCCAGCTGTGTAGGACTGTGCAGGAGGTGAGAATACCTGCGTGGCGACGTCAAATCTTCTTACTAATGACTGTCCTTCTTCATGCCCGATCGCGCCCGGCGGGACAAAGCGCCTATCGTCACAAAGGTAGTTAGTCAAGTCACATGGTACGACTATGGTACTAGTGTTATAGTAGTACTACTCCACTGAAGCTACGAGTCACCGACTACCCAATGTACCTGTAGTCTCAGCTCTCGATGATTCACCTGCATTCTACAGAGGGGCAAAGATGCAACTAGTGGTCGCTTTAACCACAACTCTCTTAGTCCGATGTTCACCCGAAACAACCGCTCGGCAGGGCTATTAAAGAGTGTTATCATTATCCTCCCACTTCATCTACCGCGGTCGGAAATAGAATCATTGCCTCCGGTGTACCTGACTGACTCCCTGGTCATGTCAACAACCACCTGCAACCCTTCATTTGATTCGAGCCCCATCCATGACTCCTAAGCGTCAATCCAATACACCGTGCTGATTCATTTAGCGCTGCATGTCCAACGGAAAATCTCTGGATCCCCCCTGCAGTCTGCCGGATAGACGCCACCGTGCCCACTGACCTCCGTGGGTAGGGCGTGGTGCAGATGGACACAGGGGAGTGGTCCATCCAACGTGGATGAGCTCGGTCAAGCTAAACTATGCTCGGAATGAGAGGCGCTATGGCAGTTATAGTAGTACGAGTGCACTTAGTCACTTGGTTCAAGGTTGTAGGTGCCAGCGGCCAGTTGGAGAATGACCCTCAGCTTGGAGAATCAATCCCCGTGTCTGCCTTTTTGATTCGAGAGTGTGGGCGCTCTTGTTGAGAGACCAGTAAGCCACCGGTGGTTCTCGTTGCCGCTGCTCTCGGTGAAGTGGGAACTAAAACGATTCATGAAGCGGCCAAGTCATTTACTCTAGTCGTGACACTTTTTTGCCTGTAGGGGTGGATACATGACCTACATATACTGTAGTTACCAGACTACCAATGTATGTACCTTGTTTACTACTAGTAGTGTTACTAGTGTAGATACTGAATACATGCTGGGTCAAGGAGGTACAGTGCTTGCAGAGCAAACACCGCTCATAACATTCACGATTGAAGAAGTGGGGATGATCATCAACCTTGGACACTCATATGGGACACTAGCGCCGGTGGCCAAATGAATCCCAATTAATCTGGATACTTGCCGTAGTCCGAGTGATCGTTCTAGATTACCCAAAGTAGTCAACCACCGTCACTAAACCCGGTCGGGTCATCGTCGTTCATCCCAAGTGGATCTCCACCCCCTCTCCCCACTTGAACAAGAAAATCATCCTGCGAGGGGAGCGGTGTAGCATCATGCAAACACATTGAAACGGAGCGGCCCATCACCTTGTTTTGTTTTTGGTTGCGGCATGGAACGTCGTCATTCGACAAAACTCGACAGGAGTTCTTGATTTTTATTTTCATGATTTGACATTTTCTTTTTCACCCATTTTTCTTCTCTTTGTCATTGTGGACCACCTACATTCGCTCTTTGGGATTCATCAGGGTTGCCAGGGCTAGATCTTCTGACCTCATATAAACTCTTCAACGCTTCAACTCTTTCTCATCACAGTCGGTACTCGTCGGTATTCTGTCCAGTCTGCAGGAGCAGCGTTGGCGGATTGGTGAGGATTCGGGTCAACCCGTTGTCAACTATACTATATCCAAACAACTCTATTTACCCTCACCACCTCGATTCTACAATGGAATTCACTCCCTAAGTCATCCTCGAGACAAAATCAACCCTCCCAGGAAGGATCAATCTGAGAAAGTGAAAGCAATTGAAAAGCAGAAAGAAAGGATCAAGCTCAGAAGTACCTCGAAGTACCTCCAAAGTACCTGCAATCCTGCACATACCGATGGCGTCTGTCACATGTCCCCTCGATCTTCACATGGTCGATCTCGAGTCACGGCCAGCCCCGACCTTGCCTGATTGGGATATTCTCACGCTGAAATGCCCCTCTCAGGCGACAGTCACTGAGATCTCCCACTCCCCCAACATCTCTCGTTCTCCCTCTGTCACCTCGTGGGATTCTCAACGCACAGAGAAATGTATATCTCCTACCGACTCGGCGCTTTCCTCCCAACCTCCCTCGCCCGCCATGGAGGTGCATATGAAGAAACCTCGACAGACCTCGACCACCAGCATGCCAACGACGACTGTGCGTCCACCACATCAAACTTCGCGCACAAGTGGTTCGAGACCATCATCGGCGGTGACTTCTCCCCATTCACATTCGCGCTCCCACTCCCACAGCACAGCTCGATCCCGCCCCCATAGTCGCCAGAATTCCTTGCACTCGTCAAGGCGAGCGGGCAATGCCAGTATAGTGACCGTCTCCTCGACGCGGTCTGGGACCCTCGACAAACGGGAATCTCTCCTGGCTTTACACCGAGAATCATGTCGTCTGTTTCAAGACCAGGATGCCAAGCAGCCCTCTACATTCTCCATAGACGAGCGTCGTCCGTCTCTGTTTTCCGCTCCATCATCTATATTTGAACATCCACGGGGGAATCGCACCTCCGCCGACAATGACTTTTCCGCCCCCTCCTCCCCCGTCAGCTCGTCTCATTCCACGAGCAGACAGTATAATTTTGATCATCACGGCTCCATCAACTCGACCACCGACCCCCATTATCTGTCCTACCGAGACCGCTCCAGCACCTTACCCAGTCATGACAGTCCGGCCATGCATACATCCCACATCCATTCATTGTCCACCTCATCCATCCACGTCCCGGCGACTGTGATGGAATGGACCTCTGCCACGACTCGACGAGCCGAATACGAAAAAATTGACCGCGCCAGTCGCGGTGTACGCGGTCTTTGGCGCCGGGTAGCGCCCCGGTGGTGTCAAAGCCGCGCCTCACGAACCCCATTTTTCGAAGAAGGCAAGCCCAAATCTGATGACGACGGGAGTGTTCGTCGCTTTCGGATGGATTTGCCCGAGGAAGAAGAACCCCCATGCCGATCCAAGCCTTTCACACTGAAAAGTCTCGGCCTATTATGAGAAGTTCGATCCGATCATAATAGGCTCGAGTGGATATCAAAAAATAATCCTGTTTATTGTTATTTTTACCCGTCAGCTGCGCTGTCCCTTGTTTCAGAAGGAGGTTGAGACTACAACATTGATTGTGTACTACTGGGTTAATACACCTCTTGCCACGATGCGACCTCGATAGGGAGATTCCCATCTCGACATCTCCTCGTCCCGTTCTTTTATGAGCCATGTCTACGTACTGACAGTACCTCATTCTGTCCTGTTCCGCCTATTGGCATGCATTTTGAAATTTGCGTTTTGCGAGGCCGACATGCTTCCCGCGGCCTTTGACTTTTCAGCTCAATACCCTTTCCTTCTTGTTGCCTACATTCCTGGTTGCCTATACATAATCATGCAGTGGCTTTGGCTTTGCCATTTGTTTCAATGGACATTGATTCAATAAGAATACAACTTCTACTTACGGACGCCCACAATATCCTAATGTGATTCCCATCCTGCACTTGTAGCCTACTGCTCAGCGGTCTCCGCTCTCCGGGTTGACTAGGGCTTGCGTCACAATGCGACTTACAAGGCGATCCTTCCGCACGTGACCTAGATCAATTCCTACCGAGACAATCGAAAGCATTCCGTCCAGTCAGTCATGACATCGACTATTCTCATCCAGTGCGGCCAAAAGCCCAAGCTGATGAAAAGAGACTCGACAAGTCTATCAAGCCAAAAATCCCGTCTTGCATGTTTTTGGACTAAGACACTTCAATCAATTTCTCCTGGGTGTCAATCAAGGATGCAATATCGTTGTGTCTTCTATTCCGATTCTCGACGTACGAAACATCGAGTCTCCCGCCTCGGCGAATACTTTGTAATTCGCAAGCCTCGTGGATGACCGAAGTGATTCGTTCCGAACCGTGAATCTTCACAAAAGTCCTCGTGTATCTCCCAACGGATTTGGATTGGAAGTGACCCTTCAATCGACTAACTTCTTCCGTGGTCCCGGTCACCCGCAATACATTCCTCAAACTGATATCCTGCCTAGGTCCCGAGTCGTCTGTGCAACAGCGTAGAGTGATCACTCCAATATTCGGTCAGCTGATTCTTGGCGGTTGCTTGGTTTTGCATGTTCTTGCTTGGTCCTGCATGCAGAAAATGCGGATGGGTGGGAATTCGAAGCTTGTCAGATGCGACCGAGATTGAAGTCTTTCAAAAAGGTCCAATTCCATATTCCACTCGAAAGATCTATGTACGGAACAATACTGTTCAATCAGGCTGGAACACATATGCAGGCGACTTGGCAGGAGAAGTAAACCGGGTCGGTGAAAAGTGTAGTCGTGTCTTGGTAGACTGCGCCAATAGACAACAGTTCAATCTTGGGCGCGCACAACTGAGATTGGCGGTTTACGTGATAACTAAACTATTTACGTTCATTTAATATCCCTCGAGTCGCACCGGTCCAATCCACCAAACCCAATCGCATGTTGGTATTGCCCTGGATCGTCGCGGCTCCATCACCGACGTTACCTCGGCATTAGCAGTCGAGGTAGACCTTCAAAGAAGAAAAAAACTCTGCAGCTGACCATCGACCCAAGCACTGGTGGTAAAATGATTAACCGAGCTTCCATACACTCTACGGATGATCATCCTCAGCCATGACTTCCACTGACTAGGAAGTAGGTACTCTTGTTCTGGAGCGCAAAAGTGCAGAAAAGTCACAGGCTTTTCGACCATCATCGTCAGCCTTGATTCTCCAAGTTCCCCTGATGAAACGCCTCCCCCGCAAATTCCACTTTCATTTCCGCGAATGAGCGGATTCTGCAGAAGGTGGAGATGGGCGTGCCGCTCCGCTACGGATTCGGATGGGATACGAATGCTAATTTCGGCACGGTTCGGTGCTTCGGGATTTTTCATTTTCTTCTTCTTCTTCTTCTCTTTTCTTTTCTTTTCTCAAGAGATGACGCTCAATCTCGTCAATCTCTTGGTCATTCATCATGGGTGTACAGGTATCGCTGGCTCTATGACTGGAGGGATCTCGCTTCGCCATCTCTGCATTCACACCAGGAGGTGATCAAATAAAGTTGGCCATTGCAACGTCATGTCCATCTTTCGTTTGAAAATCCCGCCAATCCACTAGTCACGGCTTCCGTGAAGAAATCCTGCGATTGGAGGATAAACGTCTTGAAACTGGGGTGGACATCTTACGCGTCCGCGAGCACCACACGGAAAACTTCCTCAAACTTCATGTATTGAAGGATCCAGCCCATCTTCGAAAGATGATGTGGCATTGGTTGTCAGTGTTGGATGATGTTCATCTCGAACAGCACGAGAAATGCCTATAAGAGCGAGCGCGATCTCACGGCTTCAAGTAAGAAGACAAGATATCACTCACTCAATTGCCTCGATCAAAACACCAAGCCGAGTCAACCCACAACAAAGCAGAGGAATTCGGATCTCTCATCTTTCGCAATGCGACAAGCTATCACCTCGCTTCTTGTCGCCTCCTTGGCTCTCGGCGCGCTTGCTTCACCCGTTGCTGAGCCCGCCATTACCGCGGCTCCCAGTCTGGCGAAGAGAGCTACCTCGTGTACCTTTTCCGGTTCGACTGGTGCTGCGGCGGCGAGCAAGTCACAGACTGCTTGCTCGACGATTATCCTTTCCAATGTTGCAGTTCCATCCGGAACCACTCTGGATCTGAGCAAACTTGCTGATGACACCACGGTCAGTCCAGGACATGCCCCTGCCAACCCCAAACATGCATGAGATGCCGAAGAAAGAAAGCATGGGGAAGTCATAGAACCAGCGCTCATCCTCCATCCCTCTTTCTACAGGTCATCTTCGAGGGTCAAACCACCTGGGGCTACAAGGAATGGTCGGGTCCTCTCCTCCAGATCTCCGGCAAGGGTATCACCGTCAAGGGCGCCAGCGGTGCCTATCTCAACCCCGACGGTGCACGTTGGTGGGACGGCAAAGGTAGTAATGGTGGCAAGACGAAGCCCAAGTTCTTCTACGCTCATGATCTCACCTCGTCTACCATCACCGATCTTCACATCCAGAACACCCCTGTACAGGCTGTTAGTATCAACGGCTGCAATGGACTGACCGTCACTGGTATGACTATTGATGTAAGTAATGTGTTTAAGACCGATATGGAGATCTCTCAGAGACAAGAGCTAACTTTCTTTCTGAAATAGGACTCGGCTGGTGATACTGAGGGTGGACACAACACCGATGGATTCGACATTGGAAGCAGTACCAACGTGGTGATTACCGGTGCGAACGTTTACAACCAAGACGATTGTGTTGCTGTCAATTCGGGAACCGTCAGTTCTCTCCTCCTCTGCGCTTTGACCCGTTGATAATCAACATACCAGAGTTGGCTGACTCTTGCATTAATCACGAACAGGATATCACTTTCAGTGGAGGTGTCTGTTCGGGGGGCCACGGCTTGTCCATCGGCAGCGTTGGCGGTCGTTCCGATAACACCGTCGACACGGTCACCTTTTCAAACAACGTGGTCAAGAACTCGGTGAATGGTAAGTGAAGTCAAAAGATCCTGAGCTCAATTCACAATCCACCATTCTTACACGGCAATCAATATCAGGAATCCGAATCAAGGCCACGGCAGGCGACACAGGCACTATCAAGGGCGTCACCTATTCAGGAATCACCCTGCAGTCTATTTCCAAGTAAGTGCACCTCAATCCCTTCTTCCCCGTGTATATCGCAGTATCTCACCATCACCACCCCACACCACACAGGTACGGAATTCTCATCGAGCAAAACTACAACGGCGGCGACCTCCACGGTACTGCCACCAGTGGGATCCCCATCACCGGTCTCACCGTGAAGGATGTCGCTGGTGCAGGAGCCGTCTCGTCCAGTGGTTACGACGTGGTTATTACTTGCGGATCGACTGCCAGTTGCCCCAACTGGACTTGGTCCAATGTCGTCGTCACTGGTGGAAAGACCTATGGCAGCTGCACGAATGTTCCGAGTGTTACCAAGTGCTCTTAGATGGAGTCCCGGCTCCGATTAGGGCGGGTTGGAGATTCATGTCGAAGTGATTGATAGGTACTGGGTAATGTCATCTCGGCATGTCTAGTCTATTGGTGATTTCTCAATTCAGAGTCTACCTTGTTTTTGCCATCTGAATACGTGAAAGCTTCCATACCACCGTACGTGGGATGAGGCTCCAGACAGTCTCAATGCTACTTGTCTCTGTGCAGGTCCGACTTGCCATGAAAATCCCAGGTTAGGCGCAAATAATGCACACCTCAGTGATATATCCAAGTACAACCTTGAACTATCAAAGTTTCAGCTTGACGGACGTAAATACATTACACAGTACCTCATCCATTTCACTTGACAAGATTCTCGGCTCAAGATTCAATTATCTAATAGTAATTACCCAACCGCAACTATCACGACACGATAGCTAAGCTAATCTAGAATCGACAGGGACACTCAACCTCATCCCATGCCTAACAAGCCCCCAACCACATATCAATGGGTCCATCCCGTCCGATCCCACAAAACTCAAAAACCCTCTTTACTCGGCCGATGACGAAGACAGGTTCCACCGATCGGGCGATGCGATACGATGCGAATGCGAGATCCGATCAGTACGGTCAGACCTCGACCATGATGTGGCCTGGGCTCGGGCTGGGTCCGATAAGCTTTTTATGGTCTATGGTTCCTGGTTTAGGGTTTCCGGGGCAAGGGTACAACCGAATGCCGAATGCTTGGCGTGGTTCTTCAAAGTATGGAGGGTTGGAGGACCAGAGACCGGACTCAGACCTGGATTGGAACAGGGAGTGGAGGACCTTTTGGCTTTTCTGGGTTGGGGGTCATCGTGTCACTTACTGCGGCCGGGGAAATTGGGATTGGATAGGGCTCTAGACCGGTGACCTGATACTTTTCGGATCTGGAGAGTACGCCGGTGATGTGGTTTCCTAGTTATAGGGTTTGAGTGTATGAGGTTATCGAGTGTGCAGTCATGTACGGTACGGTGAGAGTGTATTTCGCTGTGTTTTCTACGTATTTGTCGCAGAGACAATTCCTGGGATTCTAGGTGGAATGAATGATCGAATGGCAAATTATGATGTTTCTATATGCAGTATTCATGGTCATCATCAAGTGGGGCCCTTTGCCCGGTCATCACAGAGTACATCGAGTAACAGATCTCAGGGATGACCAGGGAAATTCGATGCGAAGAATATCCAAGATCGAATATATTAAACATGCTCTTGTAGAGAGCTCTTTTCAGACGGCACTTCTTCTGTCGCGGGTTTTCTTTGGTTAGATGCCGAGGATCCAAGTACCGAAGCGAGAATCAACCCAACGCCGATCAGCAGCTACACAAAAAATTGTCAGCATTGCCATTTGTAACTCCCCGTAGCGAGCGTCAATGATGGTGGGTGCTTACCTGGAAAGAAATATGTTGACCCGCAACCAACGGAGGAGTGAAGACAGCCAAAGCAAACCCCAATCCCTGGGCGTAGTTTTTCGTAACCGTGCTGGTCATCTGCACACACTTGGCCACGATGAAACCCCCCGAGACCTGCAGCCCGATATAGATCCAAGCCAAAGCGTCAAACCCCCGGAAGAAGTGATCAAAGTCGAACTTGGTCTGCCAGCAAAAGTAGAGCATTGCAAAGGAGGAGCTGTACGCAGCTAATTGGGCGTTACAGTGGAAAAGCAGGCCCGACTTTTTCAGTGTTCTCTCAATACTCAAACTTCCTAGTGCCACACAAATCCCCGCCAGAATCATGGCAATGGCTCCGCGGGCCATGGCTTGGGTTCTGAAGCCCTGAGTACTAGTCTTGGCCGAGCCAGCGCCCAGTTGAGCAAGCACAATGCCCAGCACCATCATGGCGATGAACAGCCAGTTTCGGAGCGGGTACCTCTGGTGCAGGATGATTCGTGCAAACAGAGGTGTGACGATGGTCTTGAGCTGGGACAAGACAAGATATGGAATTAAGTCAAGATAGTGTGCGCCTACACTTTGAAGAATCGTCGCGGCAGTGAAGAGCAGTGCTGCGGCAGTGGCATCATTAGAGAAGTTGAGGACTGTGCCCTGAGCAACACTCCGAATGGAGGCGGTTGTTTCTGACTGTACAATCACCAGTAGGGAGATGATGAATTTGGCTACTTCAATCACCACAATGCCAGACAATGGCTCATATCTGTCGGGGTTTGATGACGGCTGTGACTGAAGAGAGTGTTGTAACTGAAGCAGATTGATTAACACGTGATCACCAGATCAGCATACACCCTGGGAGATACGAAGGAGTACATACTATAATTGATGCCATGTTTTGCACCACCAACTACCATACAACAAGTCAGATCACCGTCTCGACCTTAAAAGGGAAGGGGGACGGGACCGGGGGGGGTTGGTTCCTGTGGATAGGAGGGTCTTCCTCGGACTTACCATGAGGAGAATCACGTAGGTCCATGACTTGACATCGTGATTGGACCCTACGCCAAGGGTGACTGCCTGCCTGGCCGGCGACGTCTGCTTCTCAGCCACCGTGTGCATGGCGTTACAGACGGAATGGCAGAGGAAGAGAGAGTCGTTACACCAGCGGTCCTCGAGCCGGTAGAAGAAGGATGGACCCTTATGAAACTCACACTCTCATGGAGGATGCTCGCCGGATCTTGGGCCCGGCAGCGGTGATCGGGTTCATTCAGCAGCCTAGAGTGGATCAGAGCTCTGCATCAGAAGATCGGAGAGAAGACTGGACTTGGTTCGTGAGTGCAGGTGTGGTGTGACTGATGTCACGTGTGTAATGGAGTCGGACTTGTGTCACTAATGAAACCGACCTGATGTAGAATAATGAATAATCAATAAATTACATACTCATCGTATGCCCGCTGAAAGTTTCCTCCCGTAAAGTAAAGACGTCAAACGTGGTTTCGGGACATATGTAGTCCCTTAGGTTTGTACCAAGGTGAGACTCTGATCAGCCATACACTCAGTACTATCATAAATATATGATTGTAGATTATGTAAAGAAAGGTGAATACTGACCGACAATTATTAAGACTGATGCGGCGACTGCATGTAGCTCACAATTGACTGGGCAAATGTGCACTGGTGCAGTCGTGCTGTATGATACAGGAGTATGGTCATCGAGTACTGTAAGACTAAGCGCGAGAGAAAGCCGCAAATTGGTAATACCATCCGGACCCTTGTTTTCTAGCGGTATTGACCCGTTTCTGTCGCCGAAAGTCAATCCGCAATGCTTGTTAAAGATCCGCCCCTGGGCCCCACACTGCTGACCCTCAATCAAAGCTACATACCAATAGGTTGCACACGAGGACAAAAGTTCCTTTCAGACATCGGAGCTGTTACCCGTTAAATGATTCCTTTTTAAAACCAAATCAACTATATGTCTCATATTCAATTTACGAGCTTGCCCTTAGTGAATCGCTCGATTAGCTAGTGTAGATCTTCCCTCTACCCGAAAGTAACTACTTTGAGGCTCTTCCTCCGTACCTAGGCACTTTTCTCTTCTTCTTCTTCTTCTTCTTCTTCTTCTTCTTCTTCTTCTTCTTGGTGCCATGCGGTTTCGCTCATATCAGGATAATTCAAAGTGTCTGTTGACATACACTCCTAATGACCACTTCACTCATCATTTCCTACCACATTGTTTTTTGGGGCCCTTTCAAGTCGATGATCTCATAGAAATCGTATGGTTGTACTTGCTCAATGCGATGAACAGCCAAGCTTGGCCAAGACATCTTTAGATGAAACCTAAATTCCCTGACGAGGACCCTTTTTGGACAAAATCAGGAAGCAACATTCAGTACCATACACGAGGTATCGGGTAATTTACCACATGCTCATGCAAACCTGGAAATGAGAGCCACTAGTTTCAGGGCCGCCAACACTTCCAGCAGCACCGCGCCCCAAAAAAGGCTGAATGGCTGCAGGTCAATCAAAAAGAGGTAGGCTGCCTGTCTCTCCTCACATCTTTTTTTTCCGGCTTTCCTTCTTTTCCTTCACGGCTACCTTCTTGTCGTTATCGCGCTTTCCTATTCTGTGTTTAGCGTCTTTGCTTACCGGGGATCTTTCAGGCGCCCCCCCAAGAACGGATCTGTCCAGGCAACAGTCCTCAAATCGTGGATCTCGTGATCGCCTCGCCTTTGCGATTTCTGCACCTGGGTCCCAAGTCAGCCACCGTCAATGTAGAGAGTGAGAGTGTGAGGGAGACAGACAAAATTATCAGTGCTACTTTCCGATCTCTCCACATTCCTCATCTCCCACCCCTCGTGCTTCATTCCTAGGGACCCCCGAGCCCACAGCTATGGCGAGAGGTCGTCTTCGCCTGTTTCTGGCGCTTGTCTGTGTCTCGGTCCTCGTCTTCCTCTCTGCAGCCCACATTCAGCGACTGTATCAACTCCTGCGGATGCCATTCATATGGTCTGGTGCTGCAGTCGATGCGACAATCTCTCAACAGCGCGACCAGTTTGATCTCACCTTTGCGTCATATCCTGCCAATTATTCCGTACGAGATGACGATCACCGCGCACTGATTCCCGCCCGAATTCACCACATCCACCTCGGACCTAATCCTCCCAAGCCGGAATGGCTTGCCGCGCGATCAGATTGCCTCAAGCAGCATGAGTCGTGGGAATTCTTCCTGTGGAATGACGAGAATGCGTCACAGTTTGTCGAGGCCAACTACCCGCACCTGTACGAGATGTGGAGAAATTATCCATTCGTCGTCCAGCGCGTGGACGCGCTTCGGTACATGACCTTGAAGACATACGGAGGTGTGTAAATACTATGCGACAGATTGTTGCCAAACTCTCAGTGGGGGAAGGGCAATGCTAATATCGTCCGTCCTCTTCTCAATATAGGTGCAGTTCTGGACTTTGACCTGGCCTGTAAACGGTCTATGGAACCTCTTCGACGATTTGAATTTGTTGCCCCGGCGGCGCACCCCGCGGGGTTCTCCATTGGCATGATGCTGGCGTCGCCGAATAACACCTTTGTCAACTCGATGGTTGAAAGCTTGCCTCGATTCAACCATGTCTTCCCGCTGCTGCCATACGTGACGGTGATGTTTAGCACGGGATGTCACTATGCCTCGTACGTGTCTACCCCAGAATCAGCAGTGTAGCGGGTCGTGGACCTGAAGCTCTGTTTAGTTGACCTGAATTACGGTGGGATGGCCTTGCTAATTCATGCATTCTGTAGGACCATTTTCACACTGCAAAAGGAGCGATCAAACTATCGCATTCTCTCCGGGACGACCGACAAACCTAGGCTTCACATGCTGAATGGCTACGTCAATACCCCGCTATTCCGACATCTGGGCTCATCCTCCTGGCATGAGGGTGATGCCCGTCTGATTCTCCTGCTCAAACACACCGATCCCAAATACATTGCTCTCGCTGCCTTTGTCGCCATCACCGTACTTGTTTCATCAATATGGTGCATGTGCATGATTCGGTACCGGTTATTATCACGACGCGATGTCGAGTCCCTCGCTCGCGTTTCCCCCAATAAGTCTTCTTGCAAGGATGTTTGAGGCCGGGCCACCACTTTGGGGGGGGGGCTCGCTCGGCTTTTTTGCTTGATAATTTTGCCTTTTTCATTTGCTTGTATGATACCACCGTTGGACCCCTTTTTAGCGTCGCAACCCAGGGCCAATACTGTTAATACTAATCTCATTCTCCAATAATACCACCAATTCTATGACCGATGGTTTCATGCATGGACCTTGTTGCCTTAAAATGGAGCAAACATCATCCTACTTTTCATTAGCAGGTTAACGATGTATTTGGGGTATTTGGGTTTGTACAGCCATGGACTTTGATCATTTCCCAATAAGTAGACATTTCTATACTATATCCGCTCGAGGGTATTAAACCACATATACCGACTGATGACCAAGTACAACACTCGATCCCAAGAATATTGACTCTCATGTTGGCCAAACGCGTTTCGTGATTCGCAATACGTCTTCCACGAGCTCACTATGAGCACTCTCTCCTTGCCACCACCCAGACTCAACGATCGCTCTGCAATCTTGGAGGTGGTGGCAGGCACCAGAGGGGCGGTAGCAAGCTTCCACAGGAATGGAATCGCCGTGGGGATCAAATCCAGGAGTGAGGAGTATTTACGCAAGAGCCAGGTGCTTTCTAGGGCGTAGGCTGGGGGCGCCTGGGGATGTGTTGCGACGTAGTCCCTAGAATGGAGAGGTCAGCGATGCATCAATGCACTTTGACCTGATATGTGATCAAGTAGGCCTTTGGCCGGCAGCGACGACGACAACAACAACGGTCATCACAATGCCAGGTAGAAAAGCCAGAGCGGGGACATGCGATCCACGAACCTGACACCAGCACTGACGGCACGATGGTTGATGTGACCAGAGATACCTCCCTGGTCAAAAGTCATGATCTGTAGAGGATAAAAGAGAACCATCAGAAAGTCTTGTCTCAAGTCAACCACGAGAGGGGGACTCACCAGATCCACATTCCATTTCTCTAGATATGGAGAGATGATCTTCTCAATCAACTTTTCATCCCACCATTTCTTGGGATTATCCTGTAGTTCAGGATTGTCCAAGACGACACAGTGATCTTTGGCGATGCCCAGGGCAGCACAGCTATTGTGGATCTCTGTCTGGCGCTTTTCGCCAATGCCATTAAAGTTTCCTGTGATTCACCTTGTCAGTCAACTAGTTATGTCGCGGTTGATATCATATACAAGCGAGAACAACTCGGGAGATCACACCGGAGGAGATCACCAGCAAGGATCGTACAACATCCGGCTCATGGCCATGATACAGAATACTAGGGCTAAAGAATAGGGTTTCATCATCCGGGTGCGCGGTGATGAGAATCGGACGTCGCGCATGTCGGAATGTATCAGGGACAAGGCGTGGGTCATCCGCTAGTCGATAGGCCAGCATTAGATACAGGCACAGCACACAGCCTAGAATCACGCCGATGCCGGTGCCGAGCGACGTGGGCTTGAGCAGCCGGCGCGCGGTTCGCTTGACCAGACGAAGAAGCATCATGGCTGGCTTCTTCTCCTGTCTGGCACGACAGATGAAAAAAATAAAAAAGAAGAATAATAGGTCCCGGCTTCCTAGGGGAAAATAAAAGGGAGCCACGAGTCTGGAGTCTTGCCGCGCCGCAAGATCTTCGCCCGGATATACCGGGGATCAAACGGGCAGCGCAAGGTGGGAAATGGTGTGGGCTGTGGGGGTAGGCGACTCGATGCACTCTGGCTCCGTCCGGATGCTGTTCCCCTGTCCGCTGTCCGTTGTGAATTAGGGGGAGCAGTTGCTGAGTCTTAGGCGCTGGCCATTTCCAGTGGGACTATCCAGTTGCTTTGGGAGGAGGTTGTAACGGACGTTGGGCGGTCTGGACCCTGGATTACCTAAAGAGCGTCACGGAAGAGCCGGCGGGCAGCAGGTGGTCACGACTCGCGACTCATTTCTCTCGTACTCACGAGTCACCACTTCCCACTCACACCGATGTCCGTGCTTCGCTCCCAATTACCCAATTTACCTTTTTTTTAATTTTCTTTTTGTTTTTCTCTTTTCCTGCCCAATTTTTTTTGAGCTCCTGTATGCTCCTGTATGCTCCTGTATGCTCTGTATGCTCTGTATGCTCTGTATGCTCTGTATGCTCTGTATGCTCTGTATGCTCTGTATGCTCTGTATGCTCTGTATGCTCTGTATGCTCTGTATGCTCTGTATGCTCTGTATGCTCTGTATGCTCTGTATGCTCTGTATGCTCTGTATGCTCTGTATGCTCTGTATGCTCTGTATGCTCTGTATGCTCTGTATGCTCTGTATGCTCTGTATGCTCTGTATGCTCCTGTATGCTCCTGTAATTCTGCAGCCTAAAAGGGACGCCTTGCGGTCTTGGGCAATGGCCAAGCTCGCCTTGTTTTTGATTATGCGGTCCTCGGTCACAGAGGCTGAAGGGTCGAGGACTCGAGGGTGTGCTAATAACGAAGCTCTGAAGGTGAACCAGGAGAATCCAATGCGCGATTCGAGAAGACATGTTCCGACGTTACCAATCTGGCCTCCCTGATCAGCCTGACCTGAGTTACATCGGTGACCTCCTCAAAGGCACCTACAGGGTCTCATGGGCGTCATGCACCAAAATTCCGGCTGGGTTCAATGGATGTCGAGATGTCACCATTTGTCGGACCCGGTACTCATGTACTATACTGGCGTACTGTCCTGGAAAGAATACCAATACCCCCATATGATACATTTCAGCCCCCATGACGATATAGATTACTTGCTGAACCGATCTCGATGTATCCAAAATATGGTTGCCTGCTCTTCACCCGACTCGAAGGTTTTCGGCGTCCAGATCCACCTATTTTCCTTGGCCCCCCCGAAAGCTTATCCTGTGGTTCACCCAAGTCTGAGATGGCCAGATGCGGTACTCCGGGTCACACCAGAATAACCATACATTTCACTGTACCGGTGTACCATAGCACCCTGAAAAGCTTGTCCCGATCACCGCCTTCAGAGCTTAACCTTGTTGAGGAAGAGCTCGTCCGCCATTTCCCGGGATGTCAGTGCCGATCACTGATTGGGTCACTTGTAAACAGCTTACCAGCTACCCCTGTATTGTACAGTTTTTCTGTGAAATTGTATGTATAACACATACATACAGTCATACAGAAGCCCGGTGCGCCTAACTTTTCCCTCGCTTTTCCTCTTCCCAGGATTGACCCTACTCACACTTTATTGGAAATTCACCGTCCCCCGTTGGCCCTTCAGACCAATTTTTCCACGACGTAGCCTCAATGTCCCACTTTTTTGTCCAAGAATCGTGACAGCTCACAAGTCTCTCCAGAACTTGGTGGTCTTGCGAGTCTTGCATCTTTTGGTATCTGAGAGCCTGACAGAGTTCCACATCGTACGGTCGGAAGATTACACAACCAATCTACCTGGGCAAAGCGCTTCGTGTGTTGGCAGTGGCCCTGCAAGTTCCAAGTCCTGGTGTCTTTTGGCTTTCCAACTTTTGTCACAGTAGTACGTAATACGCACTACCCAGGTGCTGAGGTGACAGATATTATTGTATTCTTGGTGGAGAAATTGCCTTGAAGGGCAGTTTCTTATATCTTGCGTTGAGGCGTCCAGCTGAAACATTACTCTGATGCTTCGTGCCTATACTATGATACTACTAGTACTATCACTGACTGATGATAACAATAAGCTGCATCGGTTACAGGTGCAAGATCCATTGTCCAATAGCTCAGGAGTACTAATACCAGTCTTGTTTGCTCACTATCTTACTCAGTAATTGATCGGAGTCTTTGAGAAATGCCCGTAACGGCACCCACAGCCCCTGCATGAGATGAAATTCAGCCCCTGGATGATCGGCACTGCGCTGTCATCCCGAGCTGAAAGTGTTTGTCTAGAATTATCTCAACGAAAGTTTCTACTTTTGTACACTACGGACGGTACAATGTATTATATAGATGTATATATGTATGTAGATATATGGATATATCTGTAATGTATCTGTTATATGCTTGTACCACTACCCGACGCACCCGCTTTTGGGGGTCTATTCGCACTCGCAGATTAAGCGACCACACGACCAGTACCAGTAGCAGGCACGACTTGAAAAAGTACTGTAAAATTACCGAATGATTGGATCGGAATAGATCTCTCGTGTCTGTAAACTGCATGGGGAGCCGAAGGATCCAAAGGCGAGCGCTTGCAGTATCATGACTTGGTTCTGCTGAAAAAAGTGAGTCGAGGCTCTTGATGTCAGCAGCATCGTCTACCGATGCCGACCGAAGGGAAGCGCCACATAGGACCGGATCGGGGATATGCTTTGGAGTCCACACTCCTACAGTGCTAGGCTGCAAAGAAGATCGAGATGTTGGAAGATCTAGTAGGTTGTTCTGTCCGACTGTCTGTATCATTCAGATCTCTATTTACAAAAGCATCAGTGACTGTTCTCCATGTAGCCAGAATTAGAATATGTACTCTTGAGGTTCATGAATGCCGCAACGGCTGCTGGTCTAGGCCAAACCTAGTCCAGACCATCGGGAATAGGGATGGAATCGAACCCATCTTGATCGGGCCTCCTGTTTTCAACGAGCACTTCGAGGCCCCGGCGCCCACAGAACCCATCATTACCGGCCATGCGCTCTACTGTCTGCACCCGACCCGGCACGGCGTCACCCATGTCCCCGGCAATCCACATACTGTCTGTGATTTTCTCCCCAAAGACTTCGGTGCGGCGAGGGTTGAAGTGAGGAAATCCCGCAAGACGATTCAAGAGATCGTGAGCCAGCGGGTAGAGCTTCTCGAATCGACGAGTCGTCCACAGCCAAGAGTGACTTCGCGCGCTATATGCGACTCGCACAAAGGGGTTCATGTATGATCCTGACCGTTGAAGTTGATCAGTAACTGGCTTGGCACTCTGCACGTCTGCGTGGACGATGCAGCACTCAGAGGCATCCCAGAACATCTCGGAGTCTGCGCGGAATCGTATCGCGGCGGGGCCCTGAAAATATGCAGCGTCGAAAGCGACCATGCCACCCCAGCAGCTGCGGACACGAACGGCGTCTTTCTCTGCGAGTACATCTCGGCGACTCTCTCCGGCGCCAGCGGAGGTGAACCAGGGGAAGAATGGCATACCGACGCCGTATCCCTCGTAGTCACGGGTAGCATAGGAGTCATAGAACTTGAAGGGATTGCTAAAGTCCACCGCGCACACCGCACGGTATTGCGCGACGCCATTGCTGTCAGCGTTGGTGCAGAAAAGCAGTTGTAGAACTTCGACTGGATCGAAGATCACGTCATTCAGATACAAAAGTTTGTCGTATGTCACCTGGGCCGTGTCGAGTGGCTGTAGGGCGCGATTCCGAACTTCGGCCAGATAGTCGATGCGTCTGACTCGCTTTTCTCCCGTGGGAATCGTCACGTGTGGAATGTCTCTGAGACTGAGTCCTGGCTCAGATATGATGGTGTTGTTGCAAGTGACGTTGTCTGCGAGATGGCGGAGTGCATTTTCTCCGGTTTCACCGCTGTTGTTTTCGTATATGCTCAAGTAGACGTTTTGTTCCCCGAGCATCTCAATCAGCTGAAGAAGGGCATCTCCCCATCGTCCACTGGCAAGTTGTCCCTGGGGGTCATATAGAACGGCAGCGATGTAGACTTTCTGGTTGTGAACATTGCCACGTCCGTGAGCTGAGCTACTCTGGACTTGCGTTCGGAGTGTCTCATAGTGTGGTGGTAGTCGAGTATACGAGGGCCAGAATAGCCCCGTGAGACAGATAAGAGCAAGCAACGCTCCAAGAAGAATGTGCAAAAGGCAGAAGATTCTGCTTCTAGGCCGGAGTCTCCATCGAAAGGGAAATGTGAGGACGACCAATGTAAGGTAGACCGCGCCGCTCAGCAGCTTAGCCAGCGGTCTTTTAACCCCTTGCAGTGGGGAAAAACGATCATGAAGTTCATCAGTTGGACGGTCTGATTTGGACCAGCCGATCAGAGGCTCAGCGTCCAGCTCATACTCATCCGACACAGAGCTTGAGGGCATTTTGCTTTGTGTCGGTGTCGTCTCAAATCCCTTCTGCCTGAATCAAAGGACCGAATAGAGGGTAGATAGACCAATCACGTGGGGTCTCCAATACCGCAGGCAGACGTCAAGAAGATTCGCGTATTTTTCAAATAGAGCACAAAGACTTGCAGTCTAGTCCATGGCTATTGTCAGAGATAAAAGCTCCTGCTGATAGCTCCAGGCACCAGCTTTACCCGAATGCGATAAAGATAGGCTTTGGAAGAGCGCCAAAGGGAATGCCTTACCACACTTCCCTGATCTAAGTAGTCGTCGTCGCGTCCCTTTAATCACGTGATCGGAGGCTACAGCTTTTCTGAGACAATGAGGGCTACCCCTGATTTTACACTGCCTCTGTTGTGGGAAGAACCTTCGAATTTACATTGCAAGCATGACGTGACTTTATTGTGGAGGAAAAGACGTAGCTGGCTTCTTCTATAGCATGGTCATCATCAGACGTGGGACCGATCCGTCTATATAATCCAATTATGAGGGACTTTGGACCAGTCTTTACACAGCCCAAAGACGGTGCGGCAAAACTTGCCGTATTCTACAAAGATGCTTGATGATCTCCATGATCCTTGTGCATGGTGCAGCAAACGAGCAGAGGGATCGGTGATGGGCTTCGACCCCATGTTGCCATAATGACTTCTCCCGGGACTATGAACGTTGCAAGAGTCAGCCAGTTTTCTTTTCGCAGTGACAAATAGTTGGGACTTTACCTGAATCCAGTGATTGGCAGAATTAAGACGTCGCCCACGAGCTTGCTGAGTCCGCCGTCATCCAAGCCAGTGAGCGCATTCCACCGCAAACTGTGGTTATCTTCCAACCACGACTGAACAGAATCTGTAAATGCGACGGGTCCTGTCAGGTTCAGGGTGTCGATGGAGTAGAGATCTGCTTGTGCCGTGGTCGACTCTAGTTGTCCTTCGTGTGCGTCCGAGACCACTTTGATCATGGCAAGGAGACGGTCCACGAATCTTTGCAAGATCGGATGGTCAGGGGCCCAAGCAAATGACCACTGCGTGAGTTGGATGGGATACAAGTAGCCCATACGCCAGTAGTCATCGCTTTCGGGACGGCAATCGGCCTCGAGACCAACAATGGCTCGGACAGGCTCGCTTGAGCTGTACGTCTTGCCCGTGTCCTGATCCTGCCAGGGTTGGAGATCGGTTGAGTCGATCCACTGTGACGGTGGCTTTGTTGGCTCCGTGTCCATATCACCATACTAGCGTATCGTCAGTATTATAATCCGAAGAAGAACGGCGAGGAATGTTCCCTCCACTTCGGTGAAGAGAATGAAACGTACGACACCGCCAATCCATTTAGACACCAAGACGCGAAACACGTCTGAGCGCTCGACATTGTTCGGAAGTGCGTAGAAGCGACTCTCCATTTCCGGTTCGAAATGCCGCATGAATTGAGCGATTCCGCTATCATCCCACAAGAAGTACGCCATGTTGCCATGGTCAAGATCCGCAAGCCAGGTCTCTGTACTTCTCTGGAAAGTCTCTGGCCATTGCTCGGGATAGGTGTCCTTCCATGTCTGATGGAGGATCAGCGGGATGACCGAGTGCGGAATCTGTCTTTCAGGCGAGCGACGAGAAGCATTGAGAGCCAGCGTCGCCGCCTCGACGATATTCTGAGCTGGTTGAGGGTCATGTTCCCCTATCCAGCTCGGTGGGATATACCATGCTAGAGCAGACGGGTCAGTATAAGTTAATGCGACGTGACTCGATGCATCATCATATGCAGCAAAGTGCGGAAGGCCCACCTCCACCGCTGCCTCTCCGATTCGACACGTATTTCGTAAGAAGCGCGCTCGTCGGGTTGACTGCCGCTGGCCCCCCTGAAGCGCTTCCCGCTCGAGAATGAAGGTGCCACAAGGACAATAGGGCCAATAAGACGAAGACTACAGACACCTGTCGCCGGACATGCCGGCGAGATGCCATCATGTCCGAAAGAGAGAGTATGTCCCTTGCTAGAAAAGAAGTCTTAAAGCATGTCCTCGGAAGCGTGGGAGCCTCCACGCAGTCTTCCAGAAGGAGGTTTGTGTGGTGTCGCCGCTAAAATCTGGAATCACAATTTGGGGGCCGGCCTTTTTTCAAAAGCCCGGAGCCGCCACCGAAAGGGGGTTTTGAGTTGCGCCAGGCAAAAGTGACCGCCTAGCAGAGTCTCCGCTTTGGGGGGGGGGGGGGGGGGGTTACAGTACTTTACCTGCAATACAGTGCATCAAGGTCCCACCTTGTCTGGTCTCAAGTGAAGAGCCACAGAATATCTTACTGCACAAACATACAGTACATCCACATTCCAAAGACCCTTCCTTATCCATGAATGGAAGCCCGGGCCGGGAACTTCATGGCAAACTTTTACATAAGCTTTGATCCACGTCAGCTGCAGTGCTGACGGTGTATTTCTGTCGAGTCCAGGCTCTGTTGGTTTCTTGCTTAGCCAGCAATGGAAAAAAAGAGTGGAGGGACTGGAGGCTGAGTAGTACAGTAGGTAACTGGGTATTACCGATAATTCTCGCAGATCAGAGCAGAACAAACGACGCCCGAACACCGGAACCTGGACCCTGTCAGTCTTGGCTCTATTAGCCGGGGCCTTATTTGCCTCTCCAAGAGGTTAGCCTACCCGGTCTCAATTAGCCCCTACAGGACCCAAAAACCAGGAATCCGGTTGCCTTTCTTTCTTGCGACTGGCCCCCAATCACCACATCACCACGTTTCTGCTGAAATGTTACAGTACGATTTTCTCGCGTACACTGAGTCTCCCTATCGAACGCTTGAAATGGCAGTTTTGTCGGTGAAGATGGTAATACACAAGGAATTTTTCACTCCTTTTTTTCTGGACCCTATTAAGTGATGTCCTTAGACTGTCCACCTCGCTAGGATCGAAATAGTAAGGTCAATTCTTGGGTTTATTACGTTCGTCGTTTCGAAAGTGTTTGACTTCTAAAATAAAATACGATTCTGTCTTTGCTTTCCGACTGAGTACTTTAAATTCTCTAAGTCCGCGATCTAGTATCTACCCGTCCTCCATTAATAAATCACCGACCCTATAAAATTACTTATAAAACGTTATCCTCTTATAATCTTACAAAGTATTAAGGAAGTATATAATATTATTCTATAGATAATAGTATTGTAGTGTAGAGAACTTCTTAATAAGTTTTTGGTGTTCACGGTCGGGAAATCGGTAGGCGGTAAGAAGCTGCAAAAAAGGGTCCAGTCTCTTAATTAATACAACATCAAAACAAGACAACAGTACAGTCACGTGAAGATTAGAGTTCGACCTTTCCGCTCTGGTCCTAGCGAGGTAGACAGCCTAAGGACACCCCCTATTAAGAGGGGTACTCGATTAGTCCACACGGGAAGCTAGACCACAGGTAGATATTTCCGGCAATATATAAGCGTTTTAAGGCTTGCAGCTAGGAGACTTGAGGTACAGGAAGAAAAAGGGGCACAATCTTCGTCCAGCACCATGTGACAGGCTGGCCAGACAAGATTTCAATTCGAAAGTATTGTCACGGTCCTGTTAAACTTTAAAAACGCAGGGACGAATCTTTAAAAAGCAAGCCGAATCTGGGCGTCGAGCATTTCAGCTGGCCTGTCTTGGCATCTCACCCTGCGTTGCATATGTAGCCACCGTTTGGAAAAATGAGCTAAGGAGCGTCTAGTCGTACTACTACAGTAGTACAGTTAACAGTCAACGACTCAACAGTGTAATGCATGCTTCGATTTGTCTTCTTGAAACCGAGGGATCAGATCCAGACAGTAAGTATATAGTGACGGTAAGTGTCTGGCTGTTCGTAATTCGTATGTCATTGTTTGTTGCCTTGATGTAAATAAGTACGGTCGGCACTTGGAAGTTGGCAGTACAGTAGTATCGATAATGGAATCTAATAAGTTCCAGTGATACAGACCCAAAAGTCCAAACTTGATAAGGTGCCTATATTTTGAATTCATATGTCAGAAAAGATGGATTGCTCGCCGGGGCCTCCGTACAGAATCATCATGTTCCATCATGGGAGAATCATGCCTTGATGCCGGGCTTGATTGCATATGCTGAATGGATTCAATGACCTGCGTTCGCTGACCTGAAGATTGTATTGTTTCAAAGGTAGCGTGATCTCAGCAGTCCAGGTATTTTGCTTCATTCCATACAGTGACTCTATGAGTTTTGCGTATTATCAACTGCAGAGAGCCAAAGGGGGAGTTCTGTGAGCTTGGATCATATACAAGAGCTTCATGTCCTTGGATGCTGGTCAGAATCATTCTCGCTAGGTATTCACGGAATCACATTACATGATTACATAAGTAGGGACTCATCGTCGTCTTGTGTGAAGTATAATGTAGCCCGTCAGGTCCAGATACCATGCTCTTCAAGCGTCATGCATTTTGAACACGACACAGAACTCAACTCAAAGACATTACAGAAATTCGATGCTCCATTTCAAGCACCGGCTCAAGGTTCCAGAACCATGCCGATGCAATGCAGCCACAGGGCTTTGGTTGGACCCTTGAAGCACAAGTAAGTTTGTTGACACCAGATACCACGTGCTTGTGCAATGTCTCTGTAGGACCACACATGGTGAAATGATATCCCCCCAAATTCCCTTTTTCCAAGGATAGTGACAGGGGCCACTGGCCCATTCCTGGCTTGGCTTTTGGTGTCTCAGTGTGCGAATGTAACTGCTTGACATGAGAATAGGTCTTCTGTTGGTAGGTGGCTACAATAGGTGCAGCATCACCATGTGTGAGAGGGAGGAGGTGTGAGATTACCAGGGGGGAGAGGTTCCAACTAGGCTATGAACTGCGGTGAGTCGGCAGTATCACATGCCATACAAACACCTTTTCCCAATTTTAGGATCTGCACCTTTCAAAAGCAGTTGATGTCTCCGGCTAAAGCGACGTTTCTATCTGCACTGGTCTTGATTCCTGTCAACATGGACACGGCTGTGTGATTTTCCCTTTCTACCTTGTCACGCGTCGCTTCGCTCCAATCCCAGATACGTCTGACCTCAACAAGACTGGCCGGTACCCTGATGAGCATGAAAAACGACAGGGACATATGCACCGTGCGACATCGGACGAGAATCACAAATCCTGATTTTGTCTTTATCCCCTCAACACTAGCAGCTTTCAATTAGATTGAGATTCTTATAAAGCCCTGTCTACTATAGACATGGTTTCCTATCTTTTGAAACAATCCTCTCAAGTATCTTGCTGATACTTTGAATGAGGCTAGTTTTTTCCCCCTCCACACATCTCGTGCCGTGCAGCAAGCGACTAGAAATAGGCTTATGTACCATTGCGTTTTTTGTGCTATAGCGAACAGTGTTGACGGGAATAGTAGCCACTAGAACTGGATTCATGTTCCAATTGTCTTCATCTCACACTGAATGGGAAACCGGTTGCGGTGCACGGCCATGTGTGAGAAACATGCTGGTTAAGGCCCGATTAATCGGAAGCTGTTCCTTCCACCTCGTGGGACAATTTCTATCGTTCCACCCTGGGCAAGTAGGTAAGTGACACAGAGACGGTGCAGAAATCTATAGATCTGACTTTGATGTAATAGTTCCAATTGGTGACTTTGACACGTGCACTGAGAAAGGTTGGATGTTCCCACGTGACAGAGTTGATCTTATGGAGCATGGGGTTCACGGTCTTATGGGCGTGAAGTCTGAGACTTTTAGCACGATCTGAGGCTGTGGATCGGAAAGCATCAAATGTTGCGCTTGCTAAACGCCACACATTCGCTAGGTAGTTCGAGAGTGAGGCGAAGTCATCAGGCGAGGTTCCCGTTAACTATAGATGGCGATGAGCACACGGGATATGTAAGAAAGAGGCGAGAGTACTCTCTGATGAATTGAGATGGGGCGTTCTGGTTGTAAATGATCTTGAAGTAATCCAAGCTCCAATCTGTACTGTGAGCTCACGAACACACTCCGTTAGTGTTGGAAAGAAAAGTATCTTGAGGGACAGTGGACGACATTCCGCCGGGCCATGCGGTACTGCTCGGAGCTAAGTCTCATCGAGGACATCGTCTTCTTTGATCGATGTCAGCTACTCATCAGCAAGCTGCACCCGGAGCATCAAATGACGATTGACGAATCACTTAGGTGATAATACGGTGAGTCATGATCATGGTCCCGGCAAAGCTGGAGGTGTGCTGTACTCCACTCGACCTACCCCAAGGTACGAGGTAGGAGAACGGCGGGGGGACTTGAATATAATGGGAACTTCGTGTCGGCTTCATGTGTGTCGATATTGAGGCGTGGCCTTGGTTCTTACCCACCAGTTTCTCGATTTTGTGAATTCAGACCGGGGCTTTCTGAAGGGGAGTCACGCTTGTGCGTGCATCGTCGATAAGCTCGTTCGAGGTTTGCAGGGTTCGAATCCAAAAGCTATACCTAAGTTTGAGGTGCAGGCGCACGGGAGATTGTAGGTGAGTAAGTGAGGCTTCCGTCGATGTACTTGCGGGAAGTCTGGTGGCAGGACTATTCGGGCGTGTGTGTTCCACGTCGACTCTATGCCTCGGGATCTATGAGTATATTTATACATTCTGAGTGCTACTTTTTTCACTTCGAGTGTTCAAATCTCCAAGGACATTGGTAAAATCGTAAATTTGCTCATTATTTCGTCGACCAAATGTTTGAGTTAAAAGATAAAAAGATTTATCAAAAGACAAGGTCCAACACCAAAGCTAGTACAAAAATGCGATGGCTTTTTTTAGCCTCCAAATTCACAGAACATTCTTTCCAAAGGGATATATGTCTCCAGGAAAGGAAACAACGCACGCCTTCATTATTGGAGGAGGGTGATCAGATCACCGACAAGAAAGCTTGGCCTTGAGGGGGGGGGGGGGGGGAGGTTGAAGGAAAGAAATAATCGTCAAGAGATTATGGAGAGGGCGCGTCAAGTCATGAGGGTAGGAGACACAGATTTACTCGACGGCAGAGCCGTGAGGAGAGTGCTTCTTGGGGTCCCACTTGAACTTGAAGTCATCACCAATCTCCTTCTTGATGGCAGCCTTGACGGCGTCGTAGACGTGATCGAAGACGCCAAAGTTGGCGGGGTTGTTTTCGTCGTTGCCCTGACCCTGGAAGACACCAGTGCGAACCAGGCAGGTGTTCCAGCCGTAGAGGTTACCACCGATGATGTCGGACTGAGGGTTATCACCGATCATGTAGACGTTCTCAGGCAGACGCTTCTCGCCGTGGATCTCCTCCATCCAGGACTTGATGATCTCGTCGGCAACAATGTAGGTGGCACGCTCGGGCTTACCGTAGACGATACGTTCGAGATCACGGCCGGTGAGGGCCTTGTACTGGGCCTCAAGCGCAACACGGAACGCACCGAGGTGGAGACGTGGGGGACCCTTGTGCTCGGTGGGGCAGAGCAAGTCACCCTGGGAGAAGTAGATGGGGATGTGGCCAGCGACGGCATCGCGAGCGGCGGGATTCTTCGCGCGGGTGAGCAGCTTGCCGTTGGCGCTGAGCAGCAGATCGAGAATGATCTGGAACTCAGTGGACTGGTCGTGGGACTCGGCGAAGCACATGATGGCGTCGAACTTGAACTTGGAGAAGTCGCGGGGCTTGGCGAGCTTCTGCTCCTCCTCGGTGAACTTGCGGCAGGGAGAAATTGTCGGGTCCCAGGCCAAGATATCCTTGGGGTGAATGACATTCTTGAATCCGTAGTGTTCGGCGACCTCGCGGACCTTGAATCCCTCACCACCGCAGACCAGGACATTTTCGTAGTACTCGGCCAGCGCCTGCATGGGGGTGTGAGATTGAATGAACTGGTCGGTGGAGATGGGAACACCGAGAACTTCGGAGAGCTGGGCGCAACGAGCCTCCTCGGTCTTACCACCACCGTTGGTGAGAAGAATGTAGGGGAATTGGATGCCTATTGTGCCAGACAGAAAAAAAAATTGAAGAATTAGTTCTCTACCGCCCTGATGGGTATCTGATCGATGACGTCAATGAAAACCTACCGAGCTCGTTGTCACCGTTCAACATCTTGAGACAGGCCTGGGCCTCCGCAATGGCATTGTTACCGTGTGCCAGCACACCGTCAATATCGAAACAGAAGCACATGTTCTTGACCTTCTTGACCTTCTCCTTCTCCTGGTCCTGGAGCTCAGAGGCCAAGATGTTGCGCACATGAGTGGTGGGCTTGCCCACGACGGAGAGACGTGATGACTTGCGCGGCTCGCGAGGAATCGGCAGCGAGACACCAAAGGAGTTGCGAGAACCGCGGCGGTCCTTCATGGAGGGTGACAGACTCAATCGCTGCATGTGCGTGTCACTGATCGAGCTTCGGGTAGCGGGGACCTCAATGGTCTGGCCGGAGCTGCTCGTCACCTCCAGGCTGTGTCCGAGACCCTTTCCTTGCTCGCTGGGACGAGGAATCTCGGCGGGCATCTCATTCGGAGCGACGTCCTGAGGAGCAGTGTCGGCTCCGTTGGGAGCACCGGGAGAGGTCATGATGAGAGAAGGGGAGAGGGGAAGCGAGAGAAGGGGACTAGAAGGAGGGGCAGTGTATATTCCAGAAGGGATCTTAGAAGGGTCGAAGAGGCAAGAAGACCGTTGCTTGTGACAAAAGTATGAACACGAGATATGTAGGGAAGAGAAGAGGAGGGAGAAGGAGAAAGCGGTTCGTCTAGCGAGCCACGGAGCAGTGTAAAGGGGACTCCCACGCGAGGTTACCGTGAGCTTGGAAGAGAGAAAGTATACGGGCAGAAAGGAGGGTCCCGGGAATCATTAAGTCATTATATTCTCGAGAACCGGACTCGTGGTGAGCGGTTCTCACCTTTCGTGGCCCTCGCAGATCCATCCAACGGATCCTCCCAGTGGAGTCGCGAGTCGCACGTTGGACCACTGGCACCGCCAGCTTTTACACTTGGCATCCTCCACCTCTGGTGTCGTGGAGTCCACTTGAAGACACCATGACGTGGGTTGACCTTTGGGTCAAATCGCGCAGACAAAAAGGACGTACAGATTGTACACTACTGCACGACTGCCAGTGTTGTCGCAAAGAAGCCCAAGAAAATTCTGTAAAAAGAAAAAAATTAAAAAAAAAGAACGACGACCAACAATGAAGCGACTGACCTCTCCCTTTTTCATCTCTACGAGTATTCTCGAGGGTCTATTTCGACGATCCTTTCTGATACAAAAGGAGTCTTCAGTGCTTGCTTCGACCAGATGTTCCTCCTACGGCTGGCTTGTCGTTGCAACCACGGCCGTTTTCGGGCGAAACTGGTCTGTCCCAGATCCTCGCGATACCCCCACTCAGTGCTACAACGACACGGGAGAAGGCAGAGAGCGAGAGAGATGAAGGGAAAGGGAATGTGCCCCTCCTGTTGGATTCATCCAGTCCTGACATTTGGTCCTTCTGGGGCCAATCGTTCAGGGCGTGAAATTTAGGTTCTTAATGTCACTGTCACCCATGACTGCATTGTCAGCCACTGCGGTCATTCCATAACTATATTCTCTATCTTGTAGGCAGTATACGAAACATCAGACAAGACTACTACTGTACATGATAAGGATCCAATTGACCTATTCTTGTCGATTTTCATTGCCTTTCTGTCAAATCTTCTCGATACGTATGAGTTGTTTTTTTTTTTTTTTCTTCTTCACGGACGATATCAGCCCGGTGCTCAGACACTCGGCAGAGTTGCCGCGGAGGTCCCGATCCCCCTTCGTATCCCGGGCCCCCTCCAAGCATGCAGACCGTTTCAGTAGGGAGCAGTTTTGGAACTTCGGACTGGCATGCAGATTCACGGCAGGACGATGCACCATGCAGGACTAGTAGCCTCACCGATACCCGAGGCAGCAGGCCAGTGAGCGCCCTGATTGGCTGTAATGATGCCAATGATTGCGATGGGACGGACGACGGTAGCCCGATCGACCTCCACCGGACCCAACGGGGCCACATTCAAGTTGACCCTGTCGAGGACTCGAGAAAGAAGAAGATGCTCTTCCAATGGAGAGGGAGGAAGAGGGATACATTCTGCCCATCACGGGTTCTGCCGGCCGCTTCTTCTTCTTCTTCTTTTTTTTCACATGACGTAATGACTTGGAGCGCCGGTGGATCCCGAAGGGGAAACATTCTTCCCTTCCGCAGGACGTGCGTCCGCTCCTCCCCCTCCTTCTCCCCGCCGGCACGCCGCCGAGGGGAATGATGGACCAGGAGGGGGTTTAGACCTCTGGTCTACTGTAGAGAGACGACAGTGACCATCTGGAATTGAAGACACCACTTCCACAATCATTCTCTCTCCGGATCATACATGGACACATTCCTCTTCATCCCCTGATGGAACACATGTTTCACCACCACAAACCCTGTCCCCCAGACAGAAGGCTCGTTCACACCGTCTTCCGACTTTTCCCCTTGAACCTGTCCGGAAATCCACTGCTGGTGGAGTCAGGCCCACACTCGTCATGCAACCACCGTCGTCGATGATGATGCCGATGATGACGGTCATGATGATCATGGTCTTCTCCACGAGAGCGATTGTCGTAGTCCATCCAATGTATTGTACTCTCAGTATGCATGGCGATGGATGCAACTTCGGTGAAGATGCATCTCTCGAGCCAACCCGACTATTGCAAGAGCGAAAAGACATGGATAACTCTTGTACATCGCAGGATAAATCGAGGAGCGTGACTCGCGAGCTGGAGGCGACAGTGCGACGGACGCCTGCACCACGGTCAACGATACACAGTGACTGCTACCAGTAGCACAAGTCTACGACGCAGTGTCGGATGTAGGTAGATACTAGGTTAAAGTCACCCTTGACAATATAGGGCCCAGTGATTAAAGACAACAAGGGCTAGAGACTGACACGCAGAGCTTTTCTGGCATCCCACGGTCATCCCAACAAGGAGAGGTTCTAGAAGGGATGACAAAGATGATTCGGATGTGAGGTTGGGTCGCAGGAGGCACAGAGAACCCTGCGAGGGCTGGGCATGATGATGACCTCACTCATCGGTTCTCGACATACCCATTTGCTGTGTTCACGTTTGAATTTTTCCCTCGCCGTGGGCTTTCTCGGTGGGGACGTGTGTTCGAGTCCATATGCGTAGCATGGACATGACTTCGCTCTGAAGTATATCAAACCGGACAAATCTCTCAGTGGCATCTTGCAGTTGCGAGAGGCACTGTTGTGTATGTCCAATATAATAACGTAGTTAGTACATAGATCACACACCTTAGTGTCCCTCGGCGCTCGCCAGTCCTGAAACTTCTTGACCTGCATGCGCCCAACGCCACATCCCGTCAGCCACAACCCCTCGACAGTAACGCCACCATCAAAATGTGAGGCACCTCCAGCGGAAAATTTTCTGCTTCTCCGGCACAAGGAGTCACCGATGTAAACCACATCCAAGCGCCGCCAGCCACGCGTTGTGATCCCGAGCGGAGATGGCGTCCAGCGCCAAAGTATCATGCACATTGCACCACGCCATAAACGCCGAGAGTCCGTTCTTCGGGAACCGCCTACCCCTGGTCCTCCGAGAATTGACCACCATCTCGGTTGCGCACGGCTTTGACTAATCGACCTATCCCGAATCACTGAGCATCGACTACGCACGTGACACCAGTGACACCACATTGCTGTAGTAACTAGTAAACTACTAACTACAGTCCTTGGAAGCACATACAACCACCCAACTCCATTCGACGATAATCGATCGATAAGCTCGGTTCCAACCTGGGCAATGCCATGTTGACCCGAGATCGGGTTGACTGCAAGATGAGGTCTCCACTTGGAGTGGCTTCTACCCTCAATTTCAAGATCCGAGGATGGCCGTGTTTCACTTTGCGATGATGCCCTACGCGCTCACCGAGATCATTTTCCCGGCGGACATTCAATCGAGGTACAGGGGTGAGGCGCAGTTCGACTTGCAGAAAGTGTTTCGAGTATAGGCGAGGAATTGATATTCGTCTGGAGCGAGCGAGTAGGTATCGGATCAATGTCTTTCTCAAGGTCTCTAGAGTCCTGACTCTTGGGAAGCTTGAAGTCGATTCAAGGACGTCAACTTTAGAGAGACGTTCTGAAGTTTCTGCCTCGGGGAAAAGGCGTACAGACTAGTAGCTCATCGCTGCTCGGCAGACATGATCAGACATGATAAGATTGATTCGTCGGGTAGACACTGATAAGCCCTTCCACCCAGTGCACCCACCAGTGTAGACTGTGGAGTGTAGACAAGAGCCGGCCAGTGGAGGTACAGTCTCATGCATACAAGTCGTTGTAGTCGGTCGTCGTGTCGACAGAAGTCAGTCGCACCGAACCGACTGAAAATGGTGCCCGCTCATCGCAGAGGACGAAACGAGCGTTGCAACAGCCTACCCAAAGCAAATACGCAGACATAAATATCGCATTTGAAGTCAGATCGTCGGACGCGACCAAAGAGAAGGTACCTATCAAGTGTCTGTCTCACCTAAGATAGGTACCATTCCGATTCGAGAGAAACATCAAGTAAGAATCCCACACGCCTAATTGAACATGCTGCAACGTCAACGACAAACATAATCAACCCGGGCTGATACTGGTATAGTAACAAGCAACAACCTAATCCAACATTTGCAAGGCTTCTGCTAGTCTTCTCAGCACTTTCCGCACTTTGCGTTTCCGTCTTTGCTTCTTCCGTTTCTTCTTCGCTAGTCGGGTCTCCTTTTGCTGTCTTGTGGTCACATCGACTTTACATTCCGGTGTGCTGTCTTGGAGACCCTCGCTGGATGTTTCTTTCTGCTGCTTTCCCTCTCCAGACTCATTGCGGTTCTTCCTTTCCTGAGCTGCATTCTCATTTCCGTCGAGATTCGCAACAGCAGCATTCGTGATTGGTTCCTGATGCTCGTCTTGCTTGAGAACATTTCGAGAGTCAGGCTCCAAGTCAATGGCTTCTACTTTCACAATTACATTTTCGCCATCAGCAGCGTGGGACGGGCCGCCGCTGGTCTTTGGTCTCAATCCGGGCTGGTCTGCATTGGCTGGAGCAGGTTGTTTTGATTCTCGCTCTTGGTTTTGTGAATCTTCGACCATGAACATATCTATCAGCGGTTGTCTCCCAGAGTGAGACGGGGAGCCACTTCGCGAGGGCTCAAGTGGTAATTGCCCAATGACTCCACGACGGGTGAAATGTTGAGGTCGACCTGAAGGAAGCCGTCGCTGTTCCTCAGAGAGAGGCTTGTTGATTTCTCCGCGTTCAATAAAGTAGTTGTCGTATCTTGTTGTGCCTCGCGCGGTGAAACGTTGATCCAGTTCATCAGCAAGGGCATCTGGCACCGTGAGTTAGCAGTTCTTCCAAAACCACGACGCGTCGAAGCCGATATCTTATTCTGTGCTTCAGAGGCTGGGATCCCATGTTTCTCAATCCACCATCGAGGTGGCGGGTTCACGCTCTCGGTGCATGTTGATTGTGGGTTTTGCCACGGCGTTTTCTGACCATGGTAAGACCATCTGATCCAAGCTGTGCCGCGACAACGAGGATTGTACCATGTATCGCTACCGTCTGGGTTTCTGAAGTAATGGCAGCCCTGGCTGTAGGATATTCGGTCGGTTGATGGTTGGCATGGATTACTGTAGGAGCAGATGGAACTTCGTACGAGGTTGAGAAACATGTGTGCGAAGTCACGCGGTGCGATCTGTGGCCGTAATAGTGATGCTCACACGTCCAGTGGTCCTAGATTGTGAGTGATCCATGTTCAGTATCTTAGTATCATTGAAAATAGGGCCTAGGAACCTCCGTGGACCTACCTCGGCGTCAATGTAGCATCTTACGACAGTGAAGTATCCATTGTGGTCACATCCATTGATGCCAAGTCCGCCATGGCGTCCACGAGGCATCCTGGGAATAAAGCTGTTGAGGGGAGGGAAAGAAACCAAGAATGGTGGCGTACAGTATCAAGAAAAAAGACAAGGAAGAAAAAGAAAGAAAGATAAAGGCATCACGCGAGCCAACTTGAGAGTTGCAATGATTGTATTGTGTGCGAAAGTGTGTGATCTACTAGAGGAAGCGCAATGGCTCGAATCAGGTGATACACCCCGCGTAATCGTAGGAAGTAAACAATAAGTCACGGTGCTCATTGAGTGTATGGTGATAACATCTGCTTATCAGACCAAGCAACTCACGTTAGCAAGGTCCAGTCCTGGTCCAGTCCTGATCGGCCAAAAGAGCCATCATGATGCACCCATCTGGTATGGCATAGGCCCGACGCTCCAAATCACTAACCCTTCGATTCTCACTGACTGGGCCATTAGATAAATGTCTTTCATAGCTGATGGATGTCTTTCATAGTTTACACTTTTCAGATCTCATGGTTTAGCACCGATCTGCCTATTTACCCCGCGCGTTCTTCATCATCAACAGACGATTTCCAAGGATACCTAGGCGGAGCTACAGGTAATTTTAGTTTAGCGTTTCAACTTGGAAGGAGCATACAAAGTTCGCAAGAGAAGTTGTACCTACATGCATTTTGTATAAGAAACCGCCCGAAATCGAAATCCGCAAAGCAATCCTCACATCCCCGAGAAAAAGAGACACCTAGATGCGCCAAGCACACTACGGAAATGAACTAGCAGTACTGGACCCAAGCATCCAGGTTCATGTTCTTGATCACAGTCGAAAATCTGTCGGCGCTCTTGGCTTTGCAAGCCAGAGTCTTCTGGGAGACGGTAACACCACGGGCTTTCAGCTTGGGTGCACGACGGATGTTGCAGTCCCTGGACTTTCGCCCGCTGCCAGGAGTGTTCTTATCATGAGTGGTTGTTTGGTCGTCGGAATCATTGTCATCGTCATCGCCGTCATCAGACTCATCGTCGTCATCATCGGAGTCGTCATCAGCGCCAGAATTCTGCTCGTTACCAGAAGCAGCGTCGTTAGTGCTTTTCATCCCAGTGCTCTTGGTCTCGTCACTCACGGCACTGCTGGCACCGCTTGTACTAGCACTACTGACACTGATGCCGTTAGTGGTGCTGGCACTGCTCGAGCTACTGGTGCCGCTGGCACTCTCGTCACCGCTGTCACCGCTGTCGTTGCTGTCGTTGTCGCCACTGCTGTCGGCCTTACCGCCATCCATCTCATCGACATATTCAATGTGGAAGACCGGCTTGCCAACCTGTGTAAACACAGCGTAGGTATCGCACTCGTCGTATTGGGCGCACTGCTCATTGACCGACCACTGCATCTTCTCAATGACAGAAGAGATAATGTCACCACCATTCTTCAGGCCAATAGACATGCCACGGGAGTGGGCCTCCGACGACAGCCAGTTCAAGTACAGAATGGAATCAGCCTCGGTCAGACCGAGACCGTTCTCGTTGCCGTAGGCATCAATGTTGTCAGGGTCAACGCCATCGCAGCCCTTTTGCTTGGCCAGATCCAGACGCGTCTGCATGATTGAGCGAATACCCGTGGAGCGCAGGTTCAGCCAGCGCTCCCCGGGCCAATCTGGGAGTTCACTACCAAAGTCGGACTGGGAAAATTTGTTGGCATCGGGTCTCCAGTCTTCATAGGTCCCGGCAGAGAAGTAACAGATGACCTTGGCACCAGTCTTGTGGATGTCGGCAATCTTGCCGGCATCGTTGTCGAACATATCGATGTCATAGACATCAGCACCGAGAGCGATATCCTCGACGGCATTTGCCAGCTGGATCTGCCACTTGATGCCAGCTTCCGGCTGCCAAATGGCGGGCTCGCTAGCCTGGGTGGCCCGCTTGAAGACGCGGCTATAGACCGCGTGCGATGGAGCACTGGACCATGATCCCAGGCAAAACAAAACGAGGGTTACACTGACAGCACAAAAGGCCAAAGCCTTGGTCCGGATCTGAGTTTGACCCCTGGTGGAATTGATAGAGAAAGACATGTTTCTTGGAAGAACAGAATCGACCTTGAGGTTCTCAGGGCTTGAGTTGAAAAAAAAGCGTCAAAGGAGTGAAGACGTATCGAAAGAAGCGAAGGGGAATAGACCAGCTTGGACCAGCCAAGTATTCGACAAAGGAGTGACGAAGGTGAAGCTTGGATGGAAGTCGAATCTAAGAAAGGCATCCTCAGACGGGTATGTCCCCCATCTTATACCATCGAAGCTGCAAGGGCCTAGACACCAGATCCATGCATAAGGCTTCGGAGACAGATCAAGAAAAAGACCTCCACGATCTAGATGAGAAAACGCCCGATTGGACAAACGAGAAATTGCCCGATGGATCTGAGGAGGAGAAAAGCGATCTTTGGTATCCATCATCGGTGAGGCAAAATGCCCGGTGATTCTGCAGTCCATTCACCTTAATTTGGTCTTCTAACCAATGAAGAGAGCGTACGAGGTATATGCGTGGCGCCCACGGCGCGGCAAGAAGCCCATCAATCGGCCGGAAATCGAAGATGAAACACGCGCCAAGAGACAGCCGGCCCCTACTGGGCTTCTCCTTTGCTATGATTGAGCTCCACCTCACCCGGCAGTCATGAAGGACCAGAGAGAAGCCATACAGGATGGCTTGATCTGAAATGATTAGAGGGGAAGTGCATGTCTGCGACAACAACGGATTTTTCAGCCACCGAGCCACTCGGAGCAATTTGACGAGGATGCTCCCGGTAGCCATGAGTGTCGAAAGGCTCGGAGATGTCTTTCGCACTGCACCCGGTGCCTTTCAGCGAATAGTGAGAGACCGTGATGCGATCGCCAGCGTGAATGGAGCCGAAGGCAGAATCTTGGCATGAAAGTGTTGTCTCATCTCACCATGATGGTCGCGATCATGCCAGCGCCAGGAGAAGTTCCCCGTGAGCCTATACGTGCACACATCTGAGACCGACCGGTCACGATGCATGAGAAGCGTCGCAGAAGGGTCGAAAGGGCCTTGGATTGCGTTGCCAGTCATAGGGCAGGGCAGAATGGGCGGACACCCAGAATAAGGTATTCATCGCAGTCCGGCTTGGCGTCTCTTGGTTCGTACTCGTAAACGTCGAAAGGTGATGCAAGAGATGAGAGAGCTGCCACGGATCGGCTGCCTCAGGCGCACGTGTCACTTCTCTCGTGATCGGCACCTTTAACCCATCGGACATACCACTAGCCTCTATATTTGTGCACCCAAATGCTACGGAGAATTATGATGGTACAACCCTCAAACTCTAGTTCTCCAGGCTCTCATCGCTTCCAGCATCACCTAAATTACGCCTATCAATGCCGAGTCTCGGGATGATTTCGAAAGTGTACGCAGTGAGGGTTTGCCCATTGCCGATCGTACTGTATGCCGCTAAGGTGAGATGTGGAGAAAACCCTTTCAGCTTAGCATCCCCCGCATTTCGGATCACTCCGAGTTTGAAGACCTTTGCGTCGTTTGCGAACAAGTATGATGATTCCTTGCAGTTGGAGACTTTTCAACTTGATTCTTCGAATAGAATATGAGCCAAAGTCGTGCTTCAAAAGCCTGCGACCCGTGCAAACGGCGAAAAGTTCGCTGTAATGGCCAGAGTCGATGCCAGCAATGTACCCACCTTGGTTTGCGATGTCTTTACACTTCCCCAGCGACATCAACGATTCGGAAGAAAAAGTTGCTAAGAGGCTCTGTGATCAACGAGTGCCGGACCCTCGGATATCTGAACAGTACAGGAAGAGAGCCGACGGAGCCTTTGGCTTCACGTGTGGTGTCCATGTCCATTCCAGCCTCGATTGTATCTCATCCCAACCCGAGCTTTTTCCACGAGTTCTTGTACGAATATGAAAAATACGTCTTTCCCATGAGTCCAGTCATTCCCGCAAAGGACGTTGAAAGGATGATCTCCCAGATGAACGAAAGCCGTGATGCAGCGTCTTTTGTGTACATTTTCGCTGCTGTCACGCTGAACTTGACGCGCGGAGAGCCCGTCCAGGAGGCACCCGCGACGCGCGAGCGCATCGCGACGCTGCTGACTCGGTCGCTGGAACACCGACGGCCACTGGTATTTGACACTCAGCCTAATATTGTCTCCGTCATGACGAGTCTTTTTTCTGAAATGTGCAGTGTCGGGCTTCGGCGTCTGGACATGGGATTCTTCTATCTGCGAGAAGCTATCTCCTTGTTGTACATGCTTCATGCACATTCTGACGAGACCCTGAATGAGATTGACATGCCGGAGCGAGCACAGTTGCAACGTGCTTATTGGGAGTGTTTCATACATGAGCGTTTCACGGCTCTGACTTACAGCCGACCCCCTTGTCTGAGTGCACTGCAAGGACTACCAGACCATGACCCAACACTGCCCGAAGATGTCGAGATCGGGTTCAATCACAATATCAACAATTTCTGCCTGGTTGACCGTGAATTTCTACAGTACTGGCTCGGAGAAAAATCTGGCGTGGGCTCTGAGTGGATTGAAAACAAGCAGCTTCAGCTGGAGGACAATACTTGGCACCGTCAAGTCTCCAAATTACCCGGGATGATGCAGGCTGATCTGATCATCACCCGACATTGGCTTCGGACCCTCACTTGGCAGATTGCGTTATCAAATACTCTGCTCTCCTCCTCGCCAGACTCATCATTGCTCTTATCGCTCTCATTTCCCCTTCGCTTATCGAATCAGCTGCGACAATTTCTGGTCGGCATACCCCGCGACATGGTAGGAATTCATGGATCTGGAATCCTCGAGAAACTCTTTGAGATTGCCAACGTCATTACAGACGTGGTCCTTCATTTTCCGCATGCCCGTGGAGAGGAAACCATCCAGCGAATTCACGATATTGTCTTTTTGAAGAACTTTGTCTACTCATTTGCGGGGTTCCAGACCTTGCGGCCGGCCATGCTGACACGGAAATTTGAAATGATTCGAGACAAGTATCCTGAAATCAGGGAGATTGAGCTGCTCTTGTGAGGCTTGCGAATTGCTGATCACTCAGCGATTTTTTCCTCTACAAAAGGGACCACTTCTGGATTCCTGTGATGACAATGGGATGCTTGATCAATCACTCATCGTGTATTGTTGTACCAGGTGACAAATTACATAAATGTCAACTTCTGCCCTCACTGCTGGTGCACCACCGTCGCATAATGTACAGTGTACATGGCGTCTTTTCTCGCAATGAGAAACTTCCTTCTCCAACGGCTGAACCGATATCAAAGATCTACAAGGTATATCCGTGCTTCATATGCTTCCAACCTATCAAGGGAATTCCCTCCACAATTCTGCAGCAGAACCTTGTGGCTGGTAGAACCAAGACAGCTTGTCAAGTTAACTGACTGGGTATCAGACGTGAAGTTGAGAGCAACGACCAACTTCTGCCGGATACTCTGCTTTTCAAAGACAAATACGGATTCGTTGAGGGGATCGGTGTCGACAAAAATCCCCTCTGCGAACACCTGCGGGTGCATTTTGCGGATTCGTAGCAGTTCCCGCCAGAATGAGAGAACAGATTTAGGATCAAGCGCCTGACGCTTGGCATTCAGCTCGGGATAGTTGTCGTGTACGCGCATCCAGGGCTTCGCCTCAGGAGTTGTGAAACCAGCGTTGGGTGTGCCATCCCACTGCATAGGCATTCTGGCATGGTCACGAGCGAGATGGGCCAAGGCGCTCTTCGCTGCTCCCATTGCAGCGGGATCATTGCCAGACAAGTCTTGCACAAACTTGTAATAATTCAAGCTGTCCAAATCCTTGTACTCGCTGATATCCCACTCGGCGGGTGCATTCACCATGCCAATTTCTTGACCCTGATATACAAAAAGCGTTCCCGAGAGACTGGCAACCAGTACTGCCAGCATCTTGGCACTTCGTGCCCAGAGCTTCGGGGTCTCTTCACTGCCCCAGCGGGAAATGGAACGTGCTTGATCATGGTTCTCAAGGAAGGTTGTACTCCACCCATCAGTGGTGCCATCCATCAGCACCTGCGTGCTTGCTACTCGTTCGCGAAGCAGTGGCAATGTCCAGTCCCGCGGGACGGTGTTGTAGCGTACGTTGCCGAACCCAATATCCACAATGTCGAATTGGAAGACCATACTGAGCTGACTTTCCTTCTCCGAAACATATGCCAGCACATCAGCGATCTCTGGTGTATGTGGAAGCTCGCCAACAGTCATGGCATTGTATTTGGTCAAGATCTGGCTCATTTCTCCCAGGAATTCGTGGATCCGGGGCCCGTTGCAGTACATGGAGAAAGCCGGCTGCCACTCAAGGCGTGAGTCAATGATGGGCGCGTCTGTGAGCGACTGCTCTTTGCTATACATGTTCACAGTATCGACGCGGAAGCCGTCGATGCCCTTGCGGAGCCAAAAATCCATGGCCGACTCGTAGACGGCTGCACGCATCATGGGGTTTTCCCAGTTCAGGTCGGGCTGCTGAATGGCGAAAAGATGAAGATAGTACTCTTGACTCTCCTCATCCCACTCCCACGCACTGCCCCCAAAGACACTGCGCCAGTTGTTGGGAGGTTGTCGTTTACCATCGGCATCGTACTTGGCTGGGCGCCAGATGTACCAGTCTCGCTTGGCGCTGGTCTTGGATGATTTAGATTCCAAGAACCATGGGTGCAGATGCGACGTGTGATTGATCACCAAGTCGAGCAAGATCTTCATTCCTCGCTCATGACATGCGGCGACGAGAGCTTCGACATCAGCCACTGTTCCGTATGGTTCATAGACTTTCTCATAGTCCCGAATGTCGTACCCCATGTCATATTGGGGACTATCGTACATGGGACAGAGCCAGATGGCGTCGACACCCAGGTCATGGATGTAGTCCAGCTTACTGTGAATGCCTGGAATGTCGCCAATACCATCGCCGTTGGAGTCTTTGTAACTGGCAGGGTATATTTGGTAGATGGTGGCGTTCTTCCACCAGGGCGCTTCCCGAGACATGATTGAAGAGGTGAACCGACGGCTCGGCCTTGGAATGGTCCCAACAAGCTTTCTTCACCACGGCGGACTTATTTCAATATGAGTCGAGCTTGCTTTCAGCTTGAGTCTGCGATTCTGCCGTAAATGCTCAACCAGATGCGAAGAAAATATTGCTCTTCCACCGAATATGTCGCCCATGATCAATGTCTCTTCGTTCTTTTTATCCTCTTACGCTCTCCACTCGCCCTACCTTCATTGGTCTAATCTCGGTCCGAGATGGGTTACCCCGCTTGTCACAACCCCCGGCTGAGCGCAACGCCCCGACCGCTTCTGATTGGCCTGCACTCGGGCCGACAGTAAACTTAAGATTGGCCCGATACCCGATTGGGAGCGTGCCGAAGCGATTCAGTCAATTGGTGCATTTCACTCCTTCACCGGGGCGTTTCTCCAGTGAGAGAAAGTGACCGTTGCGCCCCGATTGAGTCAATGCATCCAGACTCACTCAGGGGAACCTTAAGCGAGAGCGATGAAAAGGTGGATTCGTTGTGCGGGAAATGCGGAGGAGGAGTCAGGGTATTTCCCCCTCCCCATAAGTTGAAACCTACTCGTGACTGGCGAAGCTCGCTGACGGCTCCCTGCAGAACCCCCAACCCCAGACTCCCCGGACTTCGTAGGGTCAGTTTGACTCTCAATTTCGCTGTCTCCGCAGAACCCTGTGATTGGATCAATCTCGGTCCGAACGAGGCTAACTGAAGCTTCCACGGCGCGTCGGGTTCCCCAGATTCTCCTCTCATCGTCAAGGGACAAGCATGGGGAATCCGGGGTGATAACTTTCTGGCCATCTTGAGAAGCTTCTGCGGGATGACCCTGGACAAACATTCAAAAGGAGCACAGTGTCTTCCTTCTTTTCCACCTTCCCGTTTCTCTTCACTTCTCACACTCAGTTGACACTCTACCTGAGATCCAGACTGCTTCGCCAGCTTCAACCCATCCGACCACTACCTCTCTCATCGTGATTCCCATCCTCCGTACGGTCCTTGGACTGTTCACTGCAAAAAATCAATCATGGCGGTCGCTCTAGTCGACGAAGATGGCGCGACTCGGGTCATTGACCACAACGTCAAGCCCGAAGCGAAGCGCGCCACCGAGGCCGAGCACAAAATGAGCTTTCGGCAAAGTTTGCGCACCTATCCACACGCTGTAGGCTGGTCAATCCTCTTCTCCACCGCGCTGGTGATGGAGGGTTACGACAATGCCCTGATCGCTACTCTCTTCGCCTACGGCCCATTCCAACGTGAGTTTGGCGATCGACTACCCGATGGGTCCTATCAGATCTCGGCCCCGTGGCAGTCGGGTCTCACAAACGGAGCCCTGGTGGGTGAAATTCTGGGCTTATTCGCAACTGGTATTATTGTTGAACGATTTGGGTACCGCAAAAGTCTTATCGGAGCTTTGATGGCCTGCGTGGCGTTTATTTTTATCATCTTCTTCGCAAATTCCCTGCCCGTGTTGCTGGTGGGAGAGATTCTTATTGGTATTCCTTGGGGTCTCTTCCAGACCGTTACCACGACCTATGCATCAGAGGTGTGTCCGGTGGTGCTACGTCCGTACTTGACCACGTACGTCAATCTGTGCTGGGTAATGGGCCAGTTCATCTCCTCGGTAAGTCATGATGGTCCTTTCACGATAGGCTGTGGCTCTTGTCTCTTCTTGTGTCATCTGGCCGCGTGACAAGCGCGCGTTCAACGCTAATGAAGATCAGGGTGTTCTCAAAGCAATGCAGAATCGGGACGATCAGTGGGGCTACAAGATTCCCTTTGCCCTGCAGTGGTTGTGGCCGATTCCAATCGCGATTGGTGTCGCTCTGGCGCCCGAATCTCCATGGTGGCTCGTCCGTAAAGAGCGACCTGAAGATGCGCGCCATGCACTACATCGCCTTACCGTACCCGGTCGCGATCCCAATTTCAACGCGGATGAAACCATTGCCATGATCCGCAGCACCAACGAGCTCGAGAAACGTATGACCTGCGGAACAACCTACCTCGACTGCTTCCGGGGCGTGGACCGACGTCGCACGGAGGTGGTATGTCTGACCTGGGCCACTCAGATGGTCAGTGGAAGTGCCCTAATGGGCTACTCCACCTACTTCTACGAACAAGCCGGCATGGCCCCCAGCAACGCCTTCACCATGACCATGGTCCTCTACATTCTTGGCGCTCTTGGTACACTCAGCTCATGGCCTCTCATGACCCGATTTGGTCGCCGTACTCTCTACATCAGCGGTCTGGCCTGCATGGGTCTTCTCCTCCTCATCATCGGCTTCCTGGGCATCGTATCACGAGAGAACATCGCCGCCCAATGGGCGGTCGGGTCCCTCCTCCTCATCTACGCTTTCACCTACGATGCCACCGTTGGCCCCATCTGCTACTCTCTAGTCTCAGAACTGAGCTCCACGCGTCTCCGCACCAAGACTATTGTTCTCGCCCGTAACGTGTACAACATCTGTGGTTTGATCACAAACATCATCACGCCCCGCATGTTGAACCCCTCCGCGTGGGACTGGGGTGCCAAGGCCGGATTCTTCTGGGCCGGGATGTGCTTGCTGTGCTTTGTCTGGTGCTATTTCCGTCTGCCCGAGCCTCAGGGACGTACGTATGCAGAATTGGACTTGTTGTTTGAGCAGTGCGTTCCTGCGCGCAAGTTCAGCTCGACGCGTGTGGATCCATTTGCGAGCGATCGTTCCAGCTCAGTGGGGACGAAGTCGGAGATGCCTATCACAGAGACGGTAGAGAAGGTGGAGTCGTGAATGGTGCATCTTTGCTTCGGGGGAGAGGGGGGGGGGGGGGGGGGGGCTGGTGCATAGCAATACTTTGAGAAATTGAAACTTAGATAGACCTTCAATATGAATGCAACGAATTTCTCCGCTCAAGCCAAAGGTCGCCTGCGTGCCTTCCCTAGGTCTTCTTATACTGTGCATCGTCCATGATTCAGCGAGTTCCATATGAGTGCACGGAGATCAGCAGTTATTTGCCCTTGTGCTAGGCTCAATGGTGCCCATTCAGGTCCATGAACAGCCCTGTTAACCATACGGGTATCCACCTACAGGCTTATCGATCGAAAGTCAAGCGGTGCACCCCATGACATAAGAACGATGTGTCTTCGAGTGTTAGTTATCGTGGCACCAGCTTTTGAGGCATGCGTATCGGTGCAACGATCACGCTTTTCCGAGAATTCCGATTAGTGGGACGCCGTTAATGTATCTCTCATGAATTGGACAGTCCCTATCACTAGAGTTCTCGGCAGATATATGTTGCTTCTCAGACTCTCTTTCCACGATTGTAAGCATTTGTTTGGTTATACGCTGACATGGAAATCGTACTACGGATGACTGAAAACCTCTTTATCCGGGTTCCATAAGTCACGGTTCCACCTTGGACTCTGTCGAGATGCCCCATTTATCTATCGTTCCCGTCTCAATCAGGCTGATTGATTGATTCTGGCCATGGCGGAGTGTGAGAAGTAGGTACCTGATACTCACTTTCCTTAGGCAATGACGTAGGGAAACTGTATTTCCATGTATCACCGACCCTGGCACATTCAATGCAACTAACTGGCTTACCAACGGACCCAGATCTCGAGTATGACACTTTTGCGTGTTTCCGGAGTAAAAAGTTCCACACATTTCTGGGATAGGACCTGGCGACTCACTGAGTATGCAATTGTTTTCCGGAGGCGGAGTCGGCTTCATTAAGTTCTACCTACTTTTCGAAGTATTCTTGGTCAATGTCACGCCTCATACTTCACACCCTGTGAATCAGTCTTTCCGATATGCTCGAGGAGGAAGCTTTATCTGGGTTCGTTGAGCGAGACATGCATAGACCGCTACACGTTTTGAAGTATTAGTTGATTCTCACCAACGCAGAGATTGTTCAGGTAAGACAATAGACACATCCGATCGAGTCCCCGACCGGCTGAAATTCAGCTCAAAACGAGCAAGAAAATCCCAACTGCAATGAACCTGAGGTGGAAGTCCTGTTTGATTGATATTTGGAACCTTGATTGCTCTCACATGATAAAATTGGTAGTGAACGTTGCGCAACCTCATTCAAGACCAGTCAAAGTTCGAAGCTCAAAGAGCGTAGCACAGCCAACGGTGGTCTCACGAAGACTCGGAAGGCCCAGCCTGCATATATCGCATGTCGTACGTTGTCTTGCCCTAACTACGAGCCTACTAGTATGTTTATGGGCACTTCTAGGCTGTGATCGAACTCTCGATCATCAACAACTACACACACCTGTGATACCTCCATGACCGTGTCCGACCTTCAAGCTCAGCCCGCGGGGGCTCATCGCAACACGATGGGGCAAACAATTTGCTACCTGTCACTGATTTATCTTTGGGTGTGCCATTCAGAACAAGTCAATACATAAGACCGGACTTGGCCAACGAATGGATTGCTACCCTGCAACGACTCGCGACGATTACAATTACCACATTGTATCACATGAACCAAGCAGTTGGTGGCGCGCGCACTCACCTTAAGAATATGAGGATATGAAATCCTCTATATCTGACGAGAAGAACTATTTAAGCCCTCAAATACGCTTCACTCAGACACACCTTCTTATTCTCGATCACCGACGATCTCGATCTTCCAAGAAAACAAAAGCAGAGCCACACAGCAAAAGCCAATCCTGCCCAGCTCCCAGCTAATCATCAACTCTCTCCTTCTATCTCTCCCTCAATCTAATCGAAATGAAGTCTGAACTCATCCTCGGCACTCTTGCCTCTCTCGCCGTCGCATCGGCCGCCTCGCCGCTCGTTACTCGCACCGATCGCATCACCCTGACGGGCGACCAGCTCAAGGGCTTCCGCGACCTGTTCAACGGTGGCAAAACAATCGGACCTCTGGCTGCGAATCAATCCATCAACTGCCAGATTACCTATGCCCTTGCCCTTAGTACGTTACTCGGGGCTTTTTTCTCCCCCATTTCTCCTCCCGCCTCGGCCCATTTCAACCTGCGCTTTGTCGAGGGCCTCCATGAATGTAGGGTTTCATCACTGACCAAACAATTTACCACCACATTTAGGCCCCAGTGCACCATGGACCATCACTCTGTCCAGCCTGGACCTCAGTTCCTGCACCTTCACCCCGGCCCCGTAAGGCTCTCATCTGGCCACTCTGACAGGATGGCTGGCGAGCGAAGGCACTGAAGTCTGACGGTCCGTATTGTGGAAAAGTGCTCCTGCGCGACCGCCGACGGACAGACCTCCCAATGAGTCGGATCTTCGTAGGGAAAAGAAACGGGACAACATGAGAAGTACCTAAGTGTCTGCGCAAAGATGGTGGCAGTCTTGTCGAGCTGGGGATTATGTTGCGTTCAAGGATCATTGTGTCCCAGTCACTCTTTTTGAGATCTGTAGCACGAATGGAATTTGTTGTTGCACTGGAAATCTATGAAGATCGATTCGTGTCGTAATGGAGATTTCCATCCATTTGATATTGCTAGGCTTGGCGATATTCAGTTGGGTCACCACTTGCTTGTATGAGAGCTATGTTCTGCTTTTCCGATTGTATTTTGATGGAGTGCTCCTCTTGACGTAAACGGTTGTCTCGATGCACGACCAGCGCGCGAGTTTGAAGGGGGCTTCGCTGCGTAGGCACGGTTCCTGTATTCCTCGGAGCTTTGGAATCGGGGGTTGACCCTCTTTCTTGTGCTGCCCTTCTGCACTTGTAGATCCAAAAGGTCTTTCTCGTTATCGGGACAACCCGTGATACAGGTAAGTTGGGAACTTCCCAAGGTAGAGAGCTACTTCATGGGCTACAAACACACAAGGAGAGCCTATGCTTGCAACATTATCACGAAACGGCAACCAATTAATTCATATCAACTCCCACTCTCCTTTCTTAGGTAGCGAATAGAGCCTACTTTTTCTTCTCCGACAGGCCGAGGCATTCGGCCATGTTGAAGAAGATATCAATAGAGTTGTAGACTCCGCCGAACAGCTCCTGACAAGGACCGCGTGCAAACACCGGCACATCAGTAAGCGAGTGGACACCCTGAGCAGCATTCACTGGCAGAGTTCCATTCACCAGGTATCCAGTGACGGCATCCTTGTAATTGGCAATGTTACCCAACTTCTTGTCCTTTGTCGAGACAGCTGGGGTGCGAGGGCCGTCCTTGTGCACCTCGTAGTTTTCGCGGTGGTCAGGGAACGCAACGACACCAGAGTGAAGAGTGTAGCGAGGATCCCATTGACTGGGGAAGTGCACACCTTCCGAGTAGCGGAGGGAGTTGGGTCCGCTCATGGTGTACTGGGACAGACCGGAGTTCCCGTAGTAACCAATGGCATTGCGCTTGAGGCGGTCGTCCTTCTGAGCTTCCATATACTTGGTGTCGACCGAGCCGGTGACATCGAAGCCGTGACCGTGGTCTGCGGTGACAATGATCAAGGTGTCTTCCAGCTCACCAAGCTGCTTGAGCTTCTCGATGGTGGCACTGACAGTGTCGTCGAGCTCGAGTAGCTCGCCCAGAGCTCGGTCGTAGTCCATCGCATGCATCTGCTTGTCGATGCTGGCGGCTTCAGACATGATGAACCAGCCATCCTTGCCATTGCGCTTGTGCAGAACATCAATGGCCTTCAAGGTCATCTCCTTCAACCCGGGCAGATCCTCGGCATCGCGGGCAGAGCCGTCGGGGGCATTGGTTTTGTTCAAGAGGTTGGAGGTATAGACATTGCGGTCCAGCCAGGTAGGAAGGTTGGACTTGCAGAACACACCAAGGAGCTTCTGATCATCGGGTGCCTGCTGCAGGGCGGTCTTGTTGAGAGCAAGATTGTAGTCGTTATTCTCAAAGAGATCATAGTACTCTCGCTTGGCCTCCTCTGACTTGAGGAAGTTCTCGGCACCTGCACCCAAGAGCACATCGGGGCCACCCCATTGAGTCCAGGTGTAGTTGGTCACTCCCTCGTAGAAGGTACTAATGACATGATCGTACTCGCCACGCTTGCTCGTGTGAGCAGCCAAGGCAGCAGGGGTGGCGTCAGCTAGGAAGGCTGTGGAGATGATACCAATTCCAGCATGGGGGTGCTGACGTTTGAAAATCTCGACAATAGTCTCAAACTTGGGGTCGTCGAAGGGGTTCTTGGAAGAGTCCACGTAGACGCCCAGAGCATTCACGGTCGTCTTGTGTCCGGTGTAGAGGGCAGTTGCCGAGTTGGCAGAATCAGTGATGAAAGAGTCCATACTGTGTGTCATTTGATGGCTTTTAAGAATGGTTGCAGTCAGTTTCGTGGTCTTTTTTTTTGTTAAAGAAATGTTTAAAAATCAGAGGGGGAAACCACTGATCTTACCCAAGGATAGGGAACTTATCCAACGCCATCTTGGACATGTATTTGCCGTTGATACTCTTATGCGCGATCAGACGTGCAGCCGTGATCATATTTGTAGTCATACCGTCACCTGAAGTGTTTTGTTAGTATATTGATGCGTACACACGTGTTGAGTCCACCGTGTTGTTCTCACCAATGAAGAGAATGACATTCTTTGCGCGACGCTTGTGAGGCATCTTCCGCACAAGCCAATTGGCAACGGTCTTCTGAGTTCCATAGTAGTTCAAGGTGGCCTCATACTCGCCAGGCTCGTAAAGCGCCACACGTCGATAGATCTTGGAAGTGACATTGACCAGAGAAGGCGAGTGAGCGTCCTCCGCAAAACGGTCTGTGCGGGTGTCAGAAACCACTGCGACATTGATATCAACTGTGGGGCATGAATGTACTGACCCTCATACCAAGTGAAGTTCCATCGCTCCAACACAGGTTCATCAATTTTGAAGAAGTTGGCGACCGGCACCGATTTGCCGCCCTTCTTGGTGATTGTGAAGGTGAAGTTAGGGTCAGGTTCTCCGGCACGAGCCTCGGTTCCATTGATAGGCGAGTGAACCTCGAGACGGATGTCGAAGAATTGACCAGCAAGGAAGTCAGCCCTGCAGTGTGAGATCAGAAACTATCGTCAGCCTTTGTATTTCTACTATATGGATGACGTGCATCATATCGAGACTGCGCGGGTGTAACCATCACTTACTGGTCAGGAGGGAAGACGCATCCCAGGTCCGGACAACCGCCCAGACGCTGGTGAGTCTGCGCAGCTGCGCCCGAAATGACAGCAGCGGCTGCTAGCAAGCACGAAATGGTCTGCATGATGCCTTATGGTCGTCTCAAGGGCTAGCGCTGAGAGCGAAGGAAGAAGTCAGACTTGAGAAAGCAAAAGAGAACGGAGCTCAGTCGGTGATGAGCACGCCTTTAAACCTCGTCAAGCGACCATCGCGTAGATTGGCCTTAGCTCTTGGCCAGAGACACCCATTCATGTTACAGGCCTCGGTAGCGTGCTGCGGAAGGGGCAAGTGGCCGCGAGAGGCTCGATCAAGATCAGATGCATAGCTCGCATGCTCGGCGATGATTGCAGCGGGATAGACTAACATCCGGCAATGTCCAAGGATCACAGCTCATTGCATGGCATTGCATGGGAAGAAAGACAAATCGGATGTCAGCACAATCAACACGTGCAGAGCACTCGAGCGCTGGCTGGAAAGCTTCACGGCCTTGGCGACACGAGGCGGCCTTGGGAGGCTGAATGCCAAGAGATGAGAGCCTTGGCCTTCCGCCTGAAGGGTCTTGGCGAGGAACATCACCAGCCGCCAATAACACCGTCTCAATGAGGAACGGGTTGCTCGTTGGTCTCGTCTTTTCCGAATGGGTTCACAATGCAGCTATGTGGAGGCGTAGGTCATTTTACCTCGTGGCGCACAGAAACTTCAGGTACGAGATCGATGGCTTACTCTTCGGACCGCGACGGCAGCACATACTACAGCCAGTGCATTGTACGTTGGCAATCGGCCATCTGAACCAAATCTTCACGTTAATCTTGGAATAAGCGACGTATACTACCAAGTGATCTCTCGTTTCCTTTCGACATGGATCATATGAGCATCTTGAATGTTGTTGTAGCTTGCTATCTTGTACATGATCGTGCACTCGGGACTTGAATCCCAGCCGTTTTCCAGTAGCCGCACGTCAGTAAAATGGGCACAGACTCAATTCCAGCTGGCGCGTCATTGCAATCGGAGTCCGCCGGGGGTCAAGAATCATGAATGTTTTGGATTGTGCGAGTCGGGTTAGCTTTCGATTGGAAAAATGCAATGACTGCAAGGGCGTCTGTCTCCATCCAATGATTGACACCATCTCCCGGACGATGGGTGCATACTCGAGATGAGAGATTACTAGATTGGGGCGAGTATAGCCCTCTCGCGTAAATGATCCCGATCCCACGTGGGCTGGGAGACTTTCTTGTTCCAACAAGAGAAGGTAATATACGTCCAATGCTTATGCTTTGGAGCAAGCACAAGGTAGGACCTTGTTCCACAGTCTTTCCGGAGTCACGTAGCTGCATTGCACTGAGCCACTGACATCCAAAAGATAGAATTCATGGGCAGCAGATAGCCGCGGGTGCATAAGCCAACTTGTGGATCGAAGACCTATCCCCTACATTAGATGTAGATGATATGGAGTCATCAGACCGAATAGAGCTTCCTGAATTTGCGTCATGACCACATTGCTTCATCGACTTCGAGCAACAACATCCAGATGCAAGCACGGGCCACGGCCCAGGAACAAGCGTTGCCGTAACCATAAAACACATCACGTGAGCCTCGATAATCGTCCGCCGTTAAGTTCTGGGCAGAACGTTACCTCACCGCCACAGATAACGGAATTTTCCTTATCGGCCTGTACTCTTTCTCTCAGCGACCAAAGACGACGAGGGTTGGAACGCTTTCAAATCACTCAAGCTTTCTTGCGGTCATTCTCCCAAGCTCGTCAAGATGGTCCGTAAATTGAAGCACCACGAGCAGAAGTAAGTGCTGGAAAGTCCTCTGCCAGTCGCGAACTGGGCTGCAGAATGCAGCGTTCTCGAAAGAAAGTAAAGCCGCATACTAACCGATCTGCAATCCAGGCTCTTGAAAAAGACCGATCTCTACACCTACAAGTCAGACCAAGGACACCGCGCCGGTGAGATCCAGCGAAGATACGGAGTGACAGATGTGGAATACAACACCTACAATGCCCTGTGCGGCTCACTACGGAAGATGGCGCACAAGCTCTCACAACTAGAGCCCGAGGATCCGACGCGTCGCAAGCTGGAGACCGCCATGCTGGAGAAATTGTACAGCATTGGCGTCATTGAGAAGAATCGTGAGCAGGGCGGAGCTCTGTCGCAGGTGGAGCATCTTACGGTCTCGGCGTTCTGCCGCAGGCGTTTGCCTATTGTGATGATTCGGGAGCAGAAGATGATTCAATACGTGGACAAGGTAAGAACATACTGCATGAATGACTTTTGTCATGTGGAGTTTGCGTTGTCGATGGCGACGGTTGTCGAGTATGCTGTTCCGAGTACCTGAGCTAATGCCGTGGTGTTCTAGGCAATTGAAGCAGTCGCCCAGGGTCATGTCCGCGTCGGAACGCAAGTTGTGCAGGACCCTGCCACTCTGGTGACGCGGAACATGGTGGACTTTGTGCAGTGGGTTCCCAACAGCAAGTTCAGAGTTGCAGGCCAGAACTATCACGGCAAGAGGGATGATTTCGATACGTTGCAATTATGATGGATCGATAGATCGATCGATCTTGACCGGATGAATAGGCATGGCAACTAAAAAGCACGTGTGATTCTCACTATACCCTTTTCAATTCTCTGCATTTTTACAGTCTTATCTCATTTCTATGGCGTTTGGTCAATCAATGCAACCTGCGTTCTTCTGTCGAGAGAGTATGCTACTCGTCGGGTTTTCTGTGCAGCTCCCGTCGAAAGACCTGAACAAATGGGTGGCGATTTGCCCAGTCGAGGTAGAGTGGTACTATTTCGGCGAGCAGGCTGGATCACGCCTGCTCCCTTCTTAGCCTCATGGGAACCTAGATGGCGTTTAGGACCTTCAATAGAAAATGGAAGATGTCCCAGTGACTACTATACCCCATTAGACCCGGATTTTGCGACTTTGGGGCAACACGGTCACACCGTTCGAGGTGGGCCTAAGCTACCAAGTCGCACCACGTGCTACAAATCATTGATTAGTTGGAGGCAGGAATGTTTCGCCGGATGGGCGGCATGTACGGCGAAAATTGTTCAAGATTTCTAAGCGGGATATCTATACAAGGCCGTCACAGAAACATAAAGCACAGTCTAGCGCAACAAACCATCTACTAGACAACCATGCAATATACATGGGTTCAACGCATCTGGTGCCTCTGGATTCAACATGAAAGACTCGTGCGATGCACAGGGCATGGATCTCTAGAGCTCATCCTTGTCGCCCTCCTCCGCCGGCGGAGGGACAGGCCTGCCGCTGTCAGTGGCCAGGTCGACACCAATCTTCTTGCGCCACTTCTCCCATAGCGCATGGAAGTCCTTCTCCATGCCGCTCTGCATTTGATCGGGGAATACGACCATGTACTCCACGTATAGGTTCCCCGGCGAGTCGTCCTCGTCGTGCTGGTCATGAAGATGCGCGTCGGAGTAATGGGGCATGCCCTCACCCTTGATCGTGTCAACGGCGAGAGGCTGAACGACCTCGCCGCGCTTGCGTCCAAGTCGAACAATATGCCCGTCGAGATGTGTCACGTTGCGAGTCCAATCACCCATCCAGGCCTCTCGTAATGAAAGGGTTTCCTTCCAGAAGAGATCCTTGCCCTTGCGGCGGAAGAATGTGCCATCTGTGCGTTCCTCGTCGGTCGTCCCGAGCTCGGGCTCTTTCTCATCGAGGATGACGATCAAGTCGCCCGCAACCCAGTCAGGACTCTCGTCGGCTTCGTTCTCGAATACAAGCCTCGTGCCTTTATCCATGCCGGGCTCAATCTCAGCGGTTGTCTCCACGGACTTTTTCAGAACCCTCTGCCCATGACAAACAGGACAGGGATGCTTGATCTTCTTGCCTTGCCCACCACATTGGTCACAAGGCATCTGTACCTGTTGGAACATTCCCGGCGCCAGCATATGCTTCCTGATGACGATACCGCGCCCATTGCACTGATCGCAATGTACGACTTTGCGGTCCTTGGAGCCCGTTCCCTCGCAGTCATCGCAGATTTGCTGCTTCTCAACCAGGAAATTGATCTCTCGTCCAGTGTAAAAGTCACGCAGGGGGAGCGCAGCCTTCACTTCCATATCCGGGCCGCGACGGTGTCCAGGTGCATGACCAGCGTGTCCTCCACCGCCGAAGAAGCGCGAGAAGAGATCGAACGGGTCATTCTGGCGTCCACCCGCAGCACCACCTTGTCGATGTTGTTCCACGCCGTCATGGCCGTACTGATCGTATATTTTGCGCAAGGACGAGGTGGAAAGGACATCGTAGGCATCAGCAATCTCGCCGAACTTTTCGCGCGCAGAGTCGTCGCCACTATATGCGGAGAAAAAAGAAGAAGGGTTTCAGTCATTGCTTCCAGACCAAAAGTACTCGGCGAGGCAGATCGAGATCCCGTGGCCCTCGGTGCCGAACTTCAAAATGGTCGAGACTGACGGATTCTTATCAGGATGGTATTTCTTGCTGAGCGTACGATATGCGCGCTTAATATCCTTCTCAGATGCGGATTTGTCCAAACCCAGGATATTGTAGTAATCCTCCGCGGCGAGCACAAGTACTGAGAACAGTACCACCGCCAAAGCGAGTACCAATCGCTGGATATACATTGCGAGTAAGTATCGCCAATCAACTGATCAACAACAAAGGGGTCATCTAAACGCGACCGGCGTTTGTCCTCAAAACTGGGGAGCTTGCAGGCCTAGGTCGACCGGCGGTTGGTCGCTCGGCACTGGCAGTCCCGCTTGGGGGGGGGAGGAACTGTGTTGTACAAGTGACGGTTCTCAGTGCGAGAGTGCTTCTTGAATGCGACACTTGGATGGCGATGATGGAGAGTCAATAATACTCAAGGAGGAGACATGAAGTTTGTTCACGCCTATGGTCTTTCAAAGGAACCTTTGTTTGGGCAATTGGGAAGCTGCCAGCGTGGTTTATTGACTATATAGCGCCACGTCCGCCGATTGGGCCAAGTAGACCTTATCGTCATGGATGGAAGAACGTTGACCCGGGAAGGTACTGGTCACGTGGAGCTTCCATAGCCTGTTCAAAGTCAAGGTACCGAGAACAACAACGACAAGACAATGATTTAAACTGTCGTCTCTGGCTGAGGCACAAAAGATACGGTTGTCAGTCTACAGGTGCGCTCGACTGCGCTAGGTAGTAATCCGAATCTTGCAACTGAAGTGCAGTAAAGTCATGAATTAACTGGCCCCCCACAAAAAGTCATGATAATGGAAATCGGAGCAAGCACAATTATCAATAGTTAAACATAAGATGATAGAAAAGCGAAATGGTCATTTTAAGTATCACAACTCACACCGAGTTCCAATTACTGGTGCAAACTCTAACTTCGGCGCATCCACGAAGCTTAGGCACCACCAACATTGAAAATATCATTTCGCCAGGTGTGTCCAATACCTTGTGTTTCGTCTCCATCATCAATGGCCTCTTGAGCTGCAGTCGCCTGTTCGTGCCAGGTCTTGACAATGCTTCCGGGTGCGTACACGCCCTTGAAGACGCCATCCTTGGGAGGCTCGACTGCAACTCGAGCCTCAACATCCGAGTCTGCCGGCCGAAGACGTGCGAGGACAGCACGTACAAAGCTTGCCAGATCTCGCGGGTTCGCAATACGAGCTGCGCGAAGTCGTTCGCGAGCAAACACCAACTCTCGGTTCAATGCGAATGCCGCGGCTACAATCTCTTCTGCGATCTTCTTCTCCAATACTCGTCGCACCAAGTGCTTCAAGAAGGGCTTTGTCAGCCAAAGCAGGAACTTCCATCGACTTTGTGAAACCTTGTAGTCGAGCTTGTGGATGACGACTCGAACACCACGCAGATTGAAGATCTGCTCAAGGCTGCCGCGGCCGACCTCAACGTCTAGTGAGATGTCGATACCTCGACGATCCAAGTAGAAGCTGGCGATTCCCTCATCTTTAAGACGGAAGAACAGGCCCGTATGGGCTCGAAGCCAGTACCCGAAATCTTGGGCGCTGATGTTCAGTCCTTCGATATTCACAGTGAAGGCGGTCTTGATGGTTGTGTCTGTGCGCTTGGCGTGCTTCTTGACAATGTCGATATTGTTGCGAGTGAGCAAGTTCAGTCGATATGGCAAAAAGGATGAATAATTGACTGTTCGGCCCGGCTCCAAGATCAGGTTTTCTAGTAAGAGATCCATTTCCGGGGCCGAAACCTCTAGTCGGGGGATAGGAATGTATTGGATCATGCGTAGCACCATGGGAAGTACATAGTTCGCAATGTCGATGGGAAGATCTCCCTTCTTGTCTTGATAGGCGTTGTAAGCATCATGCTGGAGTTTCTTGATGGCATTGACCAGCTTGTAGACTTCGTTGTCCTGGGGCACACTGCGCAGTGTCGTCTTGGCCTGAGCCAGCAGCTCATCCATGTCCTGGCGAATACCTGTCTCGGCGCCTATCTTCTCCGAGCTCTTCTTTAGCTCGTCGATTTTCTCTGGCGCCGAGTCGAAAAAGGCTGGGTCGGTGAGCATTTCTCCCAAAGAGCTGCTCACTTCACCCATCAAACGCTCGAACTCCGGGTCCTTATCAGCATGGCGTAGGACATTGTTGAATTTTTCCTGCAGCTTATCCCACTCCTTAGCATCCCCAAACATCCGTAAGAGATTCCAGAATTGATCGACCGCTTTCTTGAGATCCTCGTTCACTTCAGTGTCTTCCTGGGCGGTGTTGGCCGCATCTTCCAGGACGTTGGCATAGATCGCGGCGTACCGCTGGATCAATTGGACCAGAGTGGATACGGAGTCGGTATAGTCTGTGCGTTGTCGAAGCTTCGTAACTGCCTGTTTCAAACGATGCAGAAGAGTTTCCCGCTCCTGGCCCGAAAGGTGCTCTTTAGCACTTCTCACAGCGGCTTGCTCTGTGCGCGCGACGCCCTTGCCAGCCACGTCGGCGATATGAGCTACTTCCTCCTTGATATCATCTTTGGATAACTCTTTGCCGTCATCGGCGCCAGCTCCCTTCAAGGCCTTGTTTTCCTCCTGGGACGGCCTGGCTTCTTTCGCGACCTGTTTCGCTGACTTTGACAGCGCCGACGCGGTATCTGCAAAGATTTGACGGCCAACGGTGGCTACATCGTCGACAAAAATACGGAAATCGGCGTTCGTGAGAAGTAAATTGCCAACTGTGCGGAAGCTATCGTATGCTAAATAGAGAGAGAAAGAGAAACAGATTCAAGTCAGCGACGTTACAAGACCGACACGCGCAGTTCAATGACCAAGACCTCGTGAGGGGGAGACACGGGAGAGTCCCTCGTAGCAATGGCCCCGATTATCATCCGACTTGACTTACCTGCTTTGGCATCCGCGCGAGCCTTGGCACTTTTCGCATTGCCCTCGACCCGTCCAGTATCTAATTCAACCCTCGACCGCGCCAATCGCCACAGAAAGTCTTGAACTTGGTCATTGTCATTCTTTTCACGCAAGAACTCAATCAGCACCGTGATCACCAGCCGGGCATCGCGCACCAGGAGCCGACCGGTGGAGCCAATGTCCTGATTGCGTAAGTTCAGAATATCCGACGCGAGCAAAGTCCGCAAATTCACGATGGCTTGCTCTGTCGAAGGCATGTAACCCTCAGCCATCGCACGGACCATTTGGTAGGTGTGCAGTTTCTGGTGCAGACGACGCTGACGGGCGGTCTCATCATCATATCGAGGGAGGAGAGGCTCTACTTCGGACGGCATGGCGGGCTATACTATAGAGCAGCTGGGGCCGTCGGGCCTCGTACAGAAGTTGAATTGATTGTGGATGTTGGTATTTTTGGAGCTCGCCGCGAAAATGAAAGGTTGCTGGAGGGAGGTAAATGGTGAGGTAGGGAGAGCTAGAGTCTTTTGCATTCCAGATGTTGAGGCGCTGCAAGGTGAGGGGTCTCGCCCTCAGCCTGTTTTCGTGTGGTGTGATGACGACACGGTCTTCTTGTCATGGGCCACGCGTGTCACGAATGAGCACTCTATGTGCCTCGATCATCATCGAAAAAAAACCTTGGATATTCTTGTTACACGCTCATGAGCAAGGTTGCTCACGCTGAATCTCTACTGGATCACGCTACTCGCAAAGCTTGGGGGATTGAAGAGCTCAGAAAGAAGTGCGGGCCGACCGGTCTGATGGTCTGGACTCTGGGGAAGCTCCGTAGCTCCATCTTTAAAAAGGAAGGTAAGTTATGGAGACGGTCGATCCATCCGGGAGTCCACGCTGCAGAGTTTGCTTCTGAAGATGATTCCCCGTCAACTTGGCCTTGTGGTGATTTGTTGGTGTTTGAAACGTTTTTCACCTTATCTCTTGAGAGTGATCAGGGCAGTTGAATGTCCCTTGGCACTGGAGATTTACACCAAGTGTTCCTCATGATTGACATCGCCCTGATATCATGAGGGTAGCACGGACCAAGGAAGCTCGGGCGGACTATTAACTTGAACCTTCTTCGATTATTTTCTGCAGTCAGCCTGGGTCAACGGAGGTTCTAGACCCGAGCTGTGTTTATCGGGGGGGGGGGGCATGGTTTTGCCAGTCACCATGTAAATGTATCATATTCTCATAGCCGGTCTCCAAGGCCGGACTTTGAAGGATGCTCCTTCATGACTCCATATCCAAGACTTCAGAGATCAGTAAGTCGATGATGTACGCCAGATTCAGGAGATTCCACTCGACCTCAGTTGGAATAAACATGATCGTCCACCGTCTCAAGAATCAAGTACTGTGGACTGTAGACTCAGGACTGTAGTAGACTCAGGACTGTAGTTGATGGACTACCTGACCGTCCGGAAGTGCCGGTCGAACACACGTGACCAAGTTCCTTCTTCGGATGGGAAAGGCCCAGACCTCCTACTAACTTCGCCTTGGCACTCTCACCAAGACTGTCCACCAAGATACTTGTGATGCTCAGGTTCTGGGAACACCTCGCAAGCCGAATGCAGTAACTAGTAGGTCACTTGTCGGACCCATAGTATTAGGTGGGCCGTGCTTTGATGAAGAGTTTCCAGCGGCAACCGTCTAGCTCTGCTAAACGAGGACAGTGTCCATCCGTGATTTGAGTGGGGATTTCGATGACAGAGTGCCGTGCCGTCAACTGGACAGAAGATGGATCCAGTCGAGAAGCCCAGGCTGTTCTCGAGGCGTATACATGTAGCTCGCCTACAAGGGCTGGCTTGAGCTTCAAAGATCAAGTCTTTCCAGGATATAGGATTCGAGACACTATTATATATTATGGAACCTGACCACTACTAGGTAACAGTAGGCATATAACCCACCTATCTGGGTCCAATATCATGTTGCTGGCTTTTGATGAATGGAACCCAAAAGTAGCATCCAAGCAACAAGTGCGCACTGTGGATGTAAACATAGCGGCGGAAGTGGAGTCTACCTACCTAACCTCTAACCTCAGGAGCAAGAGTGACGTCAAACCTTTTGACATCATCAAGGCTGGGAGAATGGATGAATTGAATGAAGCTGTCGGGTCACCTCGTTATCGATAGCTGGAGCTGGAGGAAACTGCCTGCTCAGCAAGTCCTCGCATGACCCATCGTCCACGCGTACATCTCAGGTTAAGCCTTTTTCCAAACGTTGGGATTCCTGCAGGGCTCGTTCGAGCCCAGACCAACTGCAGGGATGGGGGGAACCGCATCCCACGGTGCCACACTCGATCAGTGTAATCATGTAATGCCGATCGGGTCGTCTTAACTCCTACGGTGCTACACAGGCTTATTGGAAGTGCACGTCACCACGATAGCGACTCGGTGAACAGATGGGAACTCTCGGCATCAGTGAAGAAGACTGAAGTTGAGAGATTCAAGAAAGGTGTGGGGAATTGACACTCAAGGCGAAATCTCACGCCTTCAAGCTCAGCTCCACCTGTGCCTGACGAGAATCGAGGACCCTCAACCCGATTCACTCCTCGAACTCCGAGACATGAATATAATTTTTGAAGGAAAAAAAAAAAAAAAGGAAATCCAACCCTTCAAAGGTCAATCGACATCCAAGTATTCGAGCTGTGAGCTTTCTAAAGACAACCAAAATCGCGCAGGGCCGTGCTGGATCGGCATAGCTGACGATGCAAAGCGAGGGTTCGGAAGGCGGAACGGATGAGCCATATTCATCTTCCCTACTTTTGTCGAGTGCCCTCTGTTCCCCCTTTCTCCAGTTTCCAGTGTTCCACATACGTGAGGTGCGCGACACTGCAGATTGGAAGCACCCAGCACAGAATGTGGACTCTTCAGGATGAAGTCTAGTGTCTCAACATGGCAAGCTCCGACTGGCCTAAGATCAAGTAGTCAGTGACTCCGTAGTCCGTACTGAGCACTCAGCACCGGACTCGAAACCATTAGTTATCCGAAGAAGTGTGATGTTGATGCTGGCAAGGAGAATTTGCCCTGGTCTCCGCCGTCCGGGTTCCCATTCAATTTCCAACCAACCCGGACCCTCCCGTTCGGCGGAAAAGGCCACTCAGCGTTCGGCGTCGGAAATCCAACCGGCAACGGCCCCCTGGAAATTCAGCGGTTGATTCGGATTTCGACAGTCACCAAGCCTCCTTGAAGTCCTTTCTTCGAGGACTCTTTCTAGCTGCTTGGACGGTACGTCGATTGTAGTACTGTAGTATCATAGTATAGACCATCATACCATGTACAGCAGAGTCAATGACACGTGACAGGCCACTGTAGTCGGTTACAATAGGTCTCTCAAAGTACATCACCGATTCTCCGATCCTCGTTTGCAGGTCAGTCATGTTCAAAAGTCCGAGAACTGAATTCCCATGCCAATCTCAATGAGCTGTGACTGTGACCTCTGCGGGCAGTGGTACACTACATGAGTACATGCCTACATGTCTACATGGACTCATGGAGAATATCTCCTGCACACTCGGCGAGCTCCGCCCGCCGCTTTCCCGACTTTCCCAAGGCCGATCGGGACCGCACCGCCGTGTCGCGGACCCCACGTCGTGGCTGGTGAATTGGAGACGGAGGCCTCAATTTCCTGTCCGGGCGCAAACTGACGACGAGCTTCGGTACCTGGAGGGGGCTGGGCCTGTCTTTAGCCTATTTAGAGTCCAAATGAAAATGGCTCGAATCATGAACTAGGAAATTAAGCAAGTAATCGTTTCCACGGGAGAAGCTGGCCCTTTAGATCATATGTAGCTAAATTAGAGCTAGTTAGTAGTTTACTAGTTACCAACTTACCACGAATTACTCCTTAAATCGTACCTACTACCTACTACCTACTAGCTAGTAAGTTAGAAGTCAGGGACATATTTCGAGATGCCACAAAAGTGTGATGGAGAGCACTAGGCAACTCTCGAGCCGATACCCGTATGCTCTGCAGAACTGCAAAGTGTACAACCGTACGATGTACAGCGAAAGATGATGCATGGAGCTCGCTGTCTCTCTCTCTCTCTCTCTCTCTCTCTCTCTCTCTCTCTCTCTCTCTCTCTCTCTCTCTCTCTCTCTCTCTCTCTCTTTACACACACTTGCTGACCGCCAACTAAACCGTCAGCAAAAAGCAATATTTAATACTCACCTGCTGAACTTGAGCTGCAGCAGAGCAGTAAAACTAAGCCCTGCCGGTCAAGGTTCCTCAGGAACGAGCGCTGAGCCTGCTAGATGTCTCGAGAGCAGAGACGAGCAGTGACAACCTGACAAGACCCGCACATCAACCACCGAGACCCGTCGTGGACGCCTGGCGCCGAGCTCCACGAACTCCACTTCGGCACCGTCTGCGGCTCTGGAAGCTCCCAGCGGTGGAGACGCGGTGGACTCGCATTGATCGATGCTCTCCATGCGGGCGCTGCCCCCGGCCATTTGAGCCAATGGGACTACTCTCCCTCTGGGAGCATGATGAAAGGGGGAAAAGAAATGAAAAGAAAAAGAAAAAGAAAAAACCAATCTTTCTACTAAACGGAATAACCAATGTGCTTGGATTCTTTTTGCTGTTCTTTTCAGGTTCTTCTCCCATTCTTCCAAGTACAGTAAGGATCGGACTCTGCGCCACGCGAGCAGCGACAAAATAGGCAGCCGACTCGAGGGTCAGCCTTGAAAATACAGCGCATTATTCATCTGGGGGTGTCACACCCGACGCGGAGACAGTGCAGATGTGTGTATGACTGTATGTACCCAAATCAAGGGACAGGAGTTCTGGAAACTGCACAGGTGAGTGACACGGGACGCTCTATGCAATAAAGTCACATCTATACACTTACACTCAGACACTCCCACCCTAAGACACTGAAAAGGTACATGACTATATACATACGGGCTAAGTTATACCTGTACTGTATACTCCATACTATACATTCCTACATGACATATGTAGTCTCGTGATCATGTGAGACCCTGCTCGGCATGATCAAGTATACACCGTATGGCGGCTCCCATGGCCATCTCTTCCCCGGCCCGCCCACCGCATCAACATGATGACTCAAACCGGTCCGGAGAGATTCTTTGCAGGAAACATCTCCCGGGCTGATCCCAGAACAGAGCAGGTACGGACAGGCGTAGCAATGCCATTCAGCTGGATGCTTCAAATTCAAAATTCGTACTCTACAACTGAACTGTACGGAAAGAGACTTGCGAGGTGGTGTGGAAGATCCATCGAATTTCAACAAGCAGTCTGGAACACGCTCAATACGGCGAATGTGTTGAAAGTTGATTCCCTAATGGCTAATGGTAACGAAGGACCCAGTTTGTCAGCCTTACCAGATCCGATGATAGTTAGTAGTAGTATGACGATGTAATATGTAGAAATGATAAGCCTATGTGATAATTCATGGACTTCTTGGATCGTAGCTCGAGGTACATTCGACAAGAAACAATTAAACATCCTACATCAGGACAGTACGAGAAGTACGTGTCTGGTCGTGAACTGTACTGACTGGACTCCCACCCAAAAGGGACGGCTGTCCACCGCCGAAAGGCTCCACTTCGGCGATTCCAAACATCCCAAAACACACCTCCACCCAAACCAAATCACCAAAAAAAAAAAAAAACAACAAAAAGCCCAACTCTCACACTCCCCTTGCTGGGCCGATTTTCCATAATAGAAAAGAAGCTTTGTGAGGCATCCAGATTCCATCGACTCTCATCCCGCATTTTGGATTCGCTGTCATCACCGAAGCACGACTCCACCTCATCCGCCTGCCCACCCTCCGCAGTCCACACCTCGAGTCTCCATCCGTCCCCGTTGCAGACCCTCATCGCGCATCCCCAATTCCCCATCCCTCGACCCCTGCGTACATTGCTGGCCCGGCTCTTCCCGACCTGCGAAACCATGCCGTCGCTATTACTCGCCTCGATCGTCCCTGCTCGACGGCCTTGCCCGGTTAATTCTCTGCTTTCGTGTCGCAAACTAGTCGGAAAACGACCCAAGCTAGGACAATGAGAATTCCGCATCGAACGGGCCTTCACGGAGCGCGTGTGTCCATACTTAAAACACGCCTGCCTCGTCCTCTGGGGACCCACGATCTTTTCTCACCTTATCATTCTACTCCTTCTCCTACTGCATCTTCTTCCTCAGTCACCGTCACGAGTAAAGGACCCCGATCTTCACCTGACACCATTGACACCATGGCGCGCTTCTCTCCTCAACAGAGCCGTCCCGTTCATGCGACGCCGTTCTTGAACCACTCCACGACTCCATCGTAAGTGTGCTCCTTCTTCGCTCTTTGTGCCACAATGTCATTGCCGTGTCCCAATGGCTTCTCGTTGCTCGTCTGTCAAATCGAGCCATGTCGGAGACCATGTTTCCACTCCACGCGTTGTTCCATGCCTCTAAGGAAGGAATGCGGGAGCCGCACTCGGAACTGGTTCCTCATGCGGTCGAGAGAATGCGACTTGGCAATGGCAATGAGGAACACCAAAGAATGGCTTGGGAACCGGAGTTGCAGACGCGACAATCTTGTTCGGCAATCGCTGCATGCAGAGAGGTCAGCAGACAATTAACTCTTCGTACTGAATCTCTAGTGATGCCAACTATGACACTGCCAACCCTGCCTACATTCGCAAATATCTCCGCACATACGGCCTGACGCCCCCTCGATCAGAAAGCTACGAGACGCAAAAGACGCGATGCCTGGCTCAGCTGGCTCTGAAGCAGACCGAGATCGACAAGTTCCAATATCTCAGCACTCTTCGCAAAAACAATGTTCACCTATTCTATCGTCTGGTGACCGACCACCTCAGAGTATGTTTTGCACCGAAAGAAAAAGAAAACCTTCGCGCCTTGTGTGATCTGCCGAGATTGTGGCTATGACCAGCTGTGATACAAAATAGGGACTAACGTGAACTGCTCCACAACAGGAATTGACCCCCCTGATCTACACACCCGTTGTCGGCGAGGCCTGTCAAAGGTGGTCTGAGATCTATCAACAGCCGGAGGGCATGTACCTGAGCTGGGAAGATCGCGGCAACTTGTCGGCTGTGATCGCCAATTGGCCCCAGCCCAATGTGGAGATCACATGCATTACTGACGGCTCCCGTATCCTCGGACTCGGGGATCTGGGCATCAACGGCATGGGCATCCCCATCGGAAAGCTCGCCCTCTACACCGCATGTGCTGGTATCCGTCCCGAGGCCACTCTGCCTCTGACTCTGGATCTGGGCACGAGCAACAAGACCCTCCGGGAAGACCCGCTATACATGGGTAGCCGCCGTGATAAGATTTCTGCCGAGGAGGAGCGGGAGTTCCTGGATGAGCTGATGTCCGCCTTGACGGAACGCTGGCCTGGGTAAGTTTAAACATCTCGTTTCTAGTCGCGCCTCTGAAAGCCTAGTATATCTGGGGAAACTCAATTCCCTGAGTGGCTCCGGGTTTTCCCTGGTTTCAACACCCCGAATTCCCCGGACCAGCCTGTTGTGACATGCTCTTGAGAATTTGTCTGCTTCTAGACTAACGCGAGTTTTACCTGCAGTATCGTCATTCAATTCGAGGATTTCAAGAATCCCTTCCCCGCACTTGAGCGGTATCGGGACTCTTACACGTGCTTTAACGACGACATCCAGGGTACCGGTGCAGTGATTCTTGGCGGTGTCATCAATGCGGTCAAGCGCTCCGGCCTGCCATGCAAGGATCACCGCGCCGTTTTCCTCGGTGCCGGTTCGGCCGGTGTCGGCGTCGCCAAGCAGATTGTGGAGTTCTTCATGCGCGAGGGCATGACCGAGGAGGAGGCCCGCAACTGCTTCTACCTCGTGGATACCAAGGGTCTTGTCACTGCCGACCGAGGTGACAAGCTCGCCGACCACAAGGTCTACTTTGCTCGCCAGGACAACAAGGGTCAACAGTTCAAGACTCTCGAGCAAGTTATCGACCATGTTCAGCCCACCATCCTGATGGGTCTGTCCACCCTGGGTGGTGTCTTCACTCCCGAGATCCTCCGCAAGATGGCCGACTGGAACACGGCTCCCATCATCTTCCCTCTTTCCAACCCTTCCTCCAAGTCCGAGTGCGACTTTGAGAGCGCTGTCAAGCACACCGACGGTCGCTGCCTCTTCGCCTCCGGCTCTCCCTTCCCCACCATGTCCTTCACCAACTCCGCCGGGGAGACCCGCACCTACTACCCCGGACAGGGCAACAACATGTACGTCTTCCCCGGTATCGGCCTTGGCAGTATTCTGTCCAAGGCGGTCCGTGTGACCGACAGCATGATCTACGCCTCCGGCGAGGCTCTCTCCGCTGCCCTGACCGCCGAGGAACTCGAGCGTGGTCTGCTGTACCCTGACATTACTCGCATCCGCGAGGTCAGCGTTGTGGTCACCCGCAAGGTGATGCGTGCCGCCATGGCCGATGGTGTGGACCGCGAGACTGCTCTTCGCAAGATGAGCGACTCGGATCTCGACAACTACATCAAGGCCCGCATGTACGACCCCCATACCGAGGTGCGCTCTCTTGAGCGTGAGGTTGGTCACTTGCTGTCCAGCCTCGGCAGCTTGTCGCCCATTCTAAACGGTACCCCAACCGAGGAGAAGTCCAACGGTGCCAAGCTGTAAAGAAAATTCTTTGTTTTTCATTTGCACTTCCGGTTTGGCTGCCCGGGTCTCCCCTTCCCAGGAAAATGCATCTTTTTCTGAACGTGGCCCCTTTTTAGGCTCATCGTCTGATCTCGATTGGTCCATACTCGTTCCGGTCTGGGACATTGCGAGTCTTTCTCCATTTCATCTATTCCATTTTCTGTTCCTTGCCTTCGCATCTTTCTCTCCATTGAAGCGCATTTGTTTCAAAATCAGCTCTGCCTTGTGGGGTTTGTTATTGGTCTGCCGTTTCCGGGTGTTTACTTGTCGCTTGCTTCGCTTTTGGATCTTTATTACTAGAATACCCACCATCTATATTCGTTGTCAATATATGAAATGTTCATTCTTAAACAGTTAAACGCTTTTGTAAAGCTCACTCAGTCGAGTACTAACACATATCCAGCATAGATTGTCCCACCATCATTCCCTCGATAATGAACTGTGCTCATCAGTCTCCCCAACTAAGGTGTAAGGCAAAGCAAAGCTAGACATTATCGAAGCTTACATCTACCCACCCCGGCCGACTGTGTCTGAGCAGTGAGCAGTGACACCGAGCACAGTCGAGGTACTGGCGTAACTCTGTTGTGCCTCGGCCCACCCGCAAGCCACAGGCCCCATCCAAAGTTCAACAGAGGCCTCGCGGGGTTTCCTCAGCCGCGCTCTCTGAATACCAGACATACTTAAAAGGACGGATCTTTGCGTGACACCGAGACAGCACGGCTCCGAGACTAGATCCATTAGACTCTATGAAAGGGATTAGGTGTCACCGTCCGACTTAAGTGCTTATGGCGACGTTATCACGTGGAATCTGACCCCTAGCCTTCCTGGGCAGTCATCGGCTGATCCGTGTCAGCCAATCGCTTTTACAAACTTGCAAACTCCACAGACTCCACCCACCCAGCATCTCAGGCTTCAACGACGAACACGTTGAAGCCATCCAACGCGTTTCAGGTGCAAGATGCTAAAGAGGAACTGAAAAGGGAGATCAATTCATGCATCGCGATTCGGTCCTCGTTGAGACACGGTCGCAATCGCCTTTCCCGGGGGAAATGATAACATGAATGTTGGACTGCTTGAGGATAAAAATCCTTCGCGTTTTCAGAACAGTTCGTAGATTTGAGGTTGCGAGCTACACATGTCCGCATGTTTCATCTCAAGAGGAACTGATGGCTTATCTTATTGCCTGATCGGAACACTAGTCTAGAGATGATATCCTCCGGATCTACGCTTATTCTGCGCATGCGGCGGCTGCGGCAAACGCAGACAGAGGCTGGAATATATTGTTCGTCACATTATGTTTTATTTCACTTATGAATAATGGCTATCAAGTACTAGCCTTTGTTGTGATCCAACTCCCGGTGAAACACAAGGTCCGAGGCTTGATGGGTGGCATATTCGTTACCTCTTTCTCGAAGGTCGTCCACGCGAACTCTGGTAGATCTTCGATTGCTGCTGTTCCTACACAGGTGCAGAGCTTATAGCAGCCTCCACCTAGGAACAGTGAGTATCTGCAAACCCGATAAGTGTTTTGCGCAGATCCTTATCGAAGAGCTTCAACGTTCAAAAGGCAAGGCTATGACGCTAGCTCCACTCTTTGCTCGGTTCTTTCGCTGCGCGAAAAAGAATAAGAGTGAAGCTGCACCGATGCGTATCCCTAAATTAGACTCGCCAAGCACAACCATCGGTCGTGGTTCCAGGCCAATGGCAAGGGGCCTTGACCTAGACCCTCATACAAGGTTGCTTCTGAGTATCAAAGTCCGAGGAGATATCCCCCGTGACTTAACTGAGTGGAAGGCATGGCTCGCTCGTAACATTTCCGCCACCGTCTGTCCATCGAGGGGGCGTTTCCATCGAGACTCTAGGTAGCTCCGTTTCTGTTCCTGTGGAGGTATGAACTATGATGCCGGCTCACGACCCAGACTGTACCTATATTGAGCATGTTACGTCCACTCCCACGATCTGCTGTCTCATTTCCCAATGCAAATGATGATGCAGGCAAGTACACTCATCAGCACACTGCGAATGCGCTCCGTCGCTTCATCTGGAAACAGAAATGAGCCGCCGCAAATCGCCACCAGAAGACTGTTCGGCCGTCACAAGCGTTCATCGTCTCGTCCAGCAGGTTCGAATCATAATATTCTGGAAACACAGTTGTAAATTTTTGGGATACTACTATAAGGGAACGGCTCCCTCATACTTGAACAGCAACCTTCCAAGCACCTCGTGACTCTATTCACTCAAAGACTATCAAAAATTTTGCCAAAGGCGGACGGCGATTGCGGCGTTTTGCCAGACATGGCCCACTTGGGCTTTCACATGACCAATCTCATACGCTCAGGAAAAAAAAAAAATCTCGCTCGTGGCTTTTGGCCCTGTCCCGGGACCGGGGAGATGCATCTCTCCGCTACGGTGGATCGTGCATGGACGGGCCGAGGCTTCTCTGTTTTTTCAATCTTATGTCCGATGGGTGATTGATGGATCGTCGCTTTCTAGGGTGTAAGGGGGTATGATCTAAATCTTAGTGGCTTCACTGTGGATTGATCATCGCGATCATTTGCTTATCGATCGAATTGATCGAATCTTTAGGTACTCGGGGAGGAAGGATTATGGTATTGGTTAGTACTTAGTACTATACCTGGTGGTCGTGGCTCCACATTCTGGTGAATTAATAATCGCGAGAGTGTGCTTATCGATCGATTCTCAAATCATGTATGGCTTGAAAGTCAAGTCGCTCACTTCCATTATATCATTACATTCGAGCCTCTGATACCCTGTGCGCCTTGGTCAACGATTCAAGCACATTCTGTCGCGCGCGCCTTCAATCATCATACTTCCCAACCTTGATCCTAAAAAGCTAAACTCTGGTACCGCAATGCCTTCACCCCTAGCCGACCCCGTCAAGCTGCCATGCGGTCTAGTCCTGCCTAATAGGCTGTCCAAGGTGAGGAACTGCCCAGTCTGTTAGACGCGCGCAGCTGCTCAAAGATTCAGTCGATAACAAGAATGCTGACGATTATACGCTCAGGCCGCAATGGCTGAGATGCTGGCCAAAAACAACAAACCCAATGACACACTCTCGGACGCCTACGAGAGATGGTCACAAGGCGGCTGGGGTTGTATCTTGACAGGTAGACAACGCCTCCCTATCAGAGCGTACCTGGTCTTCGTATCCACGACCCAATACTAATCACAACCACAACCTTGGAACCAGGCAATGTTCAAGTCGATGTCAACCACATGGGTTCGCCCTTTGACCCAGCGCTGCACTCTGAATATACCGGCAAGGATGCCGCTCTTCTAGAGCAGTGGAAGAAGTATGCGGATGCCTCCCAGAAGCACGGTACTCCGACGATTGTCCAGATCTGCCACCCAGGACGACAATCCTTCCGGGGTGCTGGTAAGCGCGGCATGTTTGCGCCGACGATTGCGCCCAGTGCCGTGCCAATCAACATTGGTACGGGACTCGTGGAACGTGCCATTGCGGCTGTAGCATGGACTCAGCCACGCGAGATGACGCGCGGTGAGATTGACACCGTGATCCGTCAGTTTGTGGATACGGCTCGATTGATGGCCGATGCGGGCTTCTCTGGTGTCGAGTTGCACGCGGCCCATGGTTATCTTCTCGGTAAGCCTTTGCTCTGGAGTGCCGTTATTGGGATGTGACATGGCCGACTCTTGAGTTCTTAAATCGCTGACCATTTCGCAGATCAATTTCTGAGCAGCAAGGTACTTTTATCGCCCAGCAATATCCACCCAGCAGAGGGTTCTGCATCCAAGGCCAGTTATTAACCACTCAATCTGATTGTCCAGACCAACCGTCGCACCGACGAATATGGCGGCACGCCGGAGAAGCGCGCGCGTTTCGTCCTTGACATCCTCACCGAAACCCGCAAAGTAGTCCCCGCCAACTTCGCCATCGGTATCAAGCTCAACTCCGCAGACCACAGCTCCGACACCTTTGAAGAAACAATGACCCAGATCGCGCTTCTCGCCTCCGCGGGCCTTGACTTCCTCGAAATCAGCGGCGGCAGCTACGAAGACCCCCGCATGATGGGCCATTCCACCTCTGCAAAAGCCCAGGTCAGCGACGCAAAGTCTGCTCGCACTGCGGCTCGCGAGGCCTTCTTTTTGGAGTTCGCGCATACCGTGCGTGAGCGCCACCCGGATCTTGTGCTGATGCTGACCGGTGGATTCCGCTCACGCGCCGGCGCCGAGGCTGCCATCAATGACGGGGCGTGTGATCTGGTGGGTATCGGTCGACCGGCGGCCGTGGATCCCAAGTTCCCTCTCCTTTTGCTGGACGAGCAGGTTGCAGATGAGGATGCGAAGCTTGTACTGGAAAAAGCGCCAGTGCCTTGGTATGCGAAATGGCTGCCAAGGAGTTTGATCGGTGCTGGTGCAGAGAGTGTGAGTTTGGACGTTCGTGAAAGTGACACTTCACAAATGCGAGGCTAACGATTTCGATATAGACATATTATGCGGGCCAGATTGGACGATTGGCCAAGGGTCTGGCGACTTATGCGCCTGCACTTTGACCGAGCTTATGGATGGCTTGAGATAGAAGGTTTTTCATATATTTTGGCTTCAAGCGCGTACGAGGAAATTCTTTACTGTCTACCTTGAATTCTACTCTTCACTTAATGAAATCTTGTCCCAAACCCATCTTCTGCACTATTTGCACATATGCCGAGGTCCTCGTAGCCTAGACCAATTGATATGCCTGTTCGGACAGGCTTCAGCTTGAGCTTCGTGGTTCCTAAGTGAACAGATACCGGGAGGCATTTACCTCAGTGAACAAACACACCCCAAAGTAGATATTGGACTTTGAAGCCACCGTGAGACTTTGATGCCTATGCACGCGACTTTTTTGTGTCTGGTCATACACTCAGCTGCCTGGTGGGCACACAAACAACGCGTTCACTCGCCGAGATGTTTTGGTCTCAAGTGGACTGTTTCCAGATGTTTGCGTGTTCTTCCTCCCTACAAGTACTTAGTTATTCGTCTTCTTTCTCCTCATTAGAAAACTTCACTTCTTTCAACGCTCACTTTTTTCAAGGATACAAGAGCTGTCTCATCAACTTCTGCGTCACTCAAGATTCCAAAAGCGCAAGAACCTTCCTTCACATCCACCACGCTCATACCGTCCTTCACGTCCACCACGCTCGCACCATCCTTCGCAATGGCCCACTCAAGCAACGAGCCCAACACTCCTCCTCTCTCGCCAGCTACATCCTGTAGCAGCTTCACCCCGGCGGCACACAGATCTCGCTCCCGCCAGCCTCCACGTCTGAGCATCGCCGTCAGAGCCACTCGAACGCCTCAGACCTCAGCCAGCATGACACGCTGCCTCACCAACGGCCCTGGCAATGGCACTGGCGTCGGCAGCTTCAGCTCGCCTGACCACGAATACGAGGCCGACAACGAAGCTGAGGAGGCCGAAGTAGGCACCGACATGGACACCGACAACGACGCCAACGCCAGCGATGCAAGCAGCGAGGCCTCATACATCCCGCGGCGTGCTCTTCAAACCCGGCCTCTGCGCGCCCCAGCCGTCCCCAGCCAGGGAAACGACGCTCGAGGGAACTCCTCTGAGGATGCGCAGGGAGAAACGGAGGTCGATCTCGAGGATGTCCTACTCGACATCTGTGAGCGCCAGGGGCTGTACTGGAATACCAGTGAGGCTGAGGGACGTCGCCGTTGAGGCTAGGGTGACTTGGGCTCTTCTTGTCACCCTTTCTTGACTTGCGGTCACGGTTCCAGTTAGGCTTGCGGTGACAAATTCGGCGGATGAGGGTGGCCTTTTTTGTTTTGAGGTCTTGGCCCGAGCGTTTGGCGGTTCTGTTTGGAGGATGTTTTGGGTTTCTGGGTTGTGAGGGATAGTCGCGGATTAGTTGATATGACTAGTTTCATCGCATGACACCTTCCAACTTTGGTAGTCTTGTTCCTTTGGGGTTTGAAGATGTACGCCAGTGATACGAGAGTAGTCGCAGAATAGTCACGGCGTTTTTTTTTTCTTTTTCATAAACAGGTCGTTCAGGAATCGTCGAAGACGATGCTAGGTAACTTTAAGCAGAGCCAAATTCTCTTCACATCCCTCCCGTGTGCTTTCTAGGTTTTCATGTGAGTTGGACACCTCCGGTGATGAGAAGACAAGTCTGATGCTGTCCTGAATCTGTGAGCTTTGTGATAGAGCCAACTTAACTTCTGCTATAACCAAAACTTATGACCCGGTCATCCCATGGAACGTTCAGGTACACGTACCGCGTGGAAATCATTTTCCGATCGAGCAGTAGATCATTCTTTGTGTGAGTCCATGGCACGAGAACAGCCTGAGTTGATGGCCGATGAAATCCTTCAATTTTCCATCTCATCTCACTCTCACTTTCACTCCAAGCGACTGTCCCAGACAAACGCCGCGAAAATGAGCTCTCCAAGCGACTATGGCCAATACCTGCCGGGAACCTACCTTTTCCCAGAAAGAAGTCTTGATCTCAAAAAGGCGAGCCGGGGTGGGAAAGGCTGTTGTTCACGTTCTATGTCCTGTTGAGTGTTCACTTGACTCGTTATTTTTCGTGCCCTCCGCATGTTGATTATTTTCAGAAGAGACAACAGCCTCAATATCGCTCGCAGGCTGCTCGGCCCTCCTCTTCTCCTCCTCTATCTCCTCTGGCTCCTTTGGCCGTTCCAACCCTCTATCACGAATGAAAATGCAAGCGAGGAAACACGTTCCGATAAGGGGCACCTGAAGGATAAAGACAGAATGAGACGCCTTGGTATATGCTTGAAGAATGGAGGTCCACTGAGATTCGGTCAACGTCTCCCGCGCGGGTAGTGAATATGATGAATGCGCCAGGTATGAGAATTCAGCGGGGAGATTGGATCTCAGAGTGGCTTGTAGGATGGCAGCCGCGACGGCGAGGCCGCAGGCACCGCCCATGCAGCGGAAGAAATTGCGATTAGAAATGGACACGGCACGCTGGGATTTAGTGCAGTGCGCCTGTAGAGCGACGAGAGTCGGCTGGAAGGTGAAGCCGACTCCGATGCCGGATATGGCGACGACAACGGCTATCACGGCTGGATGCGTATTTTCGTCGAAGAGCAACATTAGACCCGCACCCCTAGAAGAGTGTAAGTAATCAATTGAAAATTTCAAGGAGGCCGAGATACTCAGAGTTGTTTTCTGTGACGGAGTGCTTACAAAGTCCACATGCCGAATCCCATCCAAATTACTTCTCCATATCGTTTGAGCCGGGAGATGTATTGACCACCACAGATGGATGCCACTGATTGACAAGCGACCATAGGTGAAGTCAATGCAGCAGAGACAATGGGGGACCAGCCACGCGCATTCTGGTAGTAAAGGGGCAAATAGTAAAGAGAACATTGGTAAGTTGCCCCCAGGAGAAAGCTCTGAAATAAAAGAACAGTGATCACTCTGTTCTTGAAGAATTGAACTACTGCGTGTCAATACGAATCACCTGTCAGATGCCATTGTGGAGGTATAGCACTTACTTGGCAGCATTGGCAAAGCAGCCACTTTCCACTCAATGAATCCAAACGCGACGAGAGAGAGACCTCCGATGATCAGCATGCTGATCACCATGGGAGAATTCCACATAAAGTATGACCCGCCGCCAGAGATTGGTATCAGGAGAAAAATGATCCCAATGGACGACGCCAATAGACCATACCAGTCAATCCGTCCCAAGTTCTTGCGCAGACCTTCTTTGCGGGCATTATTCGGGATGAGAAAATAACCCACGACAGCCGAGAGCGCCGCCAACGGCGAGATCATCCAGAAAAAGCCACGCCACGTCGAGCGCATGACAAACGCAGCCGCAATGAATGGCCCAATGACATTTCCCACGCCCAGAGAGGCACCCAATATCCCTTGGTACTTGCCTCTTTGCTCTAGCGTGACCACATCAGATACGATAATCATTGTCAACGAGGTGACACCTCCGCCAGCGACACCCGCAAGACCTCGGAAGACATAGAACATGGCTGGATTCTGCGAAAGCCCACAAAGCAGGTCCGCAAGACACAACAGGACCAGTGTCGATAGATAGACCACTTTTCGGCCAAAGATGTCTGAAAGTCGTCCATAGAGTACAGTGAACATGGTATTGGCAATGAGAGATGATGTTCCCGCCCACGAAATGGTATCCCGGGCCCCTAGATCGCGGGCAATCGTGGGTAAAGTGACACTGATGCCATTCTGATCTACAAACGTGATCACCAGTGATGTTGCCAGGCCCGCGAAGACAACCATCAACTGACTGAATGGAAGAATGTTCGTCTGGTCGTGTAATGCCTTTTCGGCCTCTCGTTGACGATTCATTGCTAGCTCAACGATGTGTATCGAGCCTGGCAGCGATGCGCCTGGAGATTTCAGATCTTTGGTGTCATGCGCCTGGGCCGACTTTTCGGAAAGTGACAGATTCAAGATCGGAATCAAAAGGCACAGGATCAAAAACTTGTATTGATCAGGCACAAATTCACAATGACGGTGGGGCGCCTCTGCAATTCTCGGCGGCGGAAAGAGCCGCTCACAAGCTGATTATGTACAGTATGAGCAGTGGGAAATATCTGCCCGTGGTGAGCGACAGCTGAGAAACCGATGCACATCAGGAGGCGAAAGCATGCCGAGACGGGGCTAGTTGTCGATTCCAGATTTGCTTCGCACTTTTCGGCTTATCGGCACATCCTGCTCAGGGTGTCGAATTAAGACATTGTTAGCTCGTGCATCATGTTGCGGTCGGCCGGCACTCCGATCACTCGCTGAAATCAAGCTAAATCACCCATGTCCTCCATCTTTCTCAGGCGCTGACGCGGCAACAATTTTTGTCATGATCCGCCTTGGGTGGGCGGGGCCTTTGAAATCAAGCCACTGAGGGGCGGCATTTGGATGCCGATCTACGGTCGTGGAGCCGGCAGGTTGGCCATCATCGTCAAATGGTAGAATTAGCTGCTCCGTTGAACAGATGCAGGTCATCATGTCGATCCGGACTAGCATGGGCGCCCAGTGCGTAGTGTGCACAAAAGTCCAAGAGGCGGTGAAAAGATCACTGCCTGACTCGTGTTTGGCGTAAGTAGTGCTTAAAATGACAAGCATCGTGATTCGAGATCCCGGCACAAGAGTTTAGTGTACTGCATCTGGGCTGGTCACGTGTTTGCTTAGCCTGAGTGCTTGAATCAACAACAAACGCCTACATGAGACATCATCATTATTATCATATCAAACAGCACACTAAATTGCCAGCACCTAAAAGTACCCGACTTGGAGACTAAAGTTGAATGGATTGCTTGTAAGCCGGTCCGCGAGCTCTCTCTAGCACAATTGATTCGAGCAAGAGTGAATGAATGGTGGTTCCTAGAGAAACAAATCGATCGGCACCCCGTGGGCCTAGAAGCCATCAGGCGCAGTCTAGGCCCTGGCCTATTGAATACCTAACTTTAAAGAAACTTGAGGTTCGTGTCATTTGCTAATTCACAGGGACTTGCGAGATACACAAAAGTAGATGCAGACGAAAAGGATAATCAAACGACACCCCGGCCTTCTCAGAATATCGATACTATACAGTCTCAATCTGTTCAACCGCAGCTTTCTGCTCAGGAGCGTCTTGTCTGAACGACGAAGTTCGCGGGCGAAGACTGAAGATTCGGTCTTCAAACACGGTGTCGACTTCCTCCAGAGACAACCCCTTTGTCTCCGGGATCATGAACCAGACAAAAGGTATCGACAGCGTGGTACAGGCAGCAAAGAAAAAGTACGTCCCGAATGTGATGTTCGAGATCATGTACGGCACGCTTCTTGCAAGCACGAAGTTGAACAGCCAGTGGGTTGCTACACACACACTGACTGCAAGCCCACGTACTCGCAGTGGGTAAATTTCGGAGCAGATGATCCACGGGACTCCGGCCCAACTGAAGCAGAAGGCGACTGCAAACACGTAAATGAACACAGCTGCCGCGTAAGATGTCCCACTCATCGAACTTCCAGTCTTCACATCAGTCTCTTGTATCTTCACGAAGGCCCCGGTCAACCACATGGAGATTGCCTAACCATAATTAGCCACGTTCAGGATCCCTGAATAAAAGAAGGAAACTTGGAAAGACGAACCATCACGGCGCTACCGAAGATCAACATGGGCTTCCGACCAAATCGATCGACCACGAAATACATGGCAAAGAAAACTGCCACCACTCTGACGATGCCATAGATACCCGTGGACACCAAAGTGGCCTTGGTTCCAGTGAGTCCAATGGACTTGAAAATGCGAGGAGAGTAGTAGTTGATGGCATTCGAACCCGCCATTTGGAAGAAAATCATGATGACCACACCCAAGAACACGCGGTACCGAATCCCCGGTTGCATCAGCTCCTTGACAGATGACAATGCACCGTCCGGACTGACGGCTCGCTCGAGCTCAAGTTGTTGAAAGATGTCGTCAGCTTCATGCTGAAGATCCGGATGATCAACGGGCAGACTGCGAAGAAGTGATAGAACCTCGATTACTCGAGATCTACCGTAAGCTTTAGCCATCCAACGAGGTGACTCCGGCATAAACCAGAGACCGATCAGCAAGAGGCCGCCGGGAATCAGTTGGAGAGCAAATGGCGTCATCCACTGTGCAGACGTGGGTGCCATGTGTTGCTCCACGCCGAAGTTTATCCAGAACCCCAAGCAGGTGCCCAGCTGGACTCCGATCTCATAGATTCCTACTAGTCGACCACGAATCTCGGGTGGAGCGCACTCGGCAGTGTACAAAGGTACAAGCATGCTAGCAGCTCCAACACCCTGCTCGCAGTCAGCCGTGAACGTGGGAATTGCGCAGTCAGAAATTTGATATGGAAGGATGACATACTAATCCGCCAACCAATCTGCCGACAAACATCACCGTCTGGCTGCCAGATGAAGCAACCTGCATAACCGATCCAGCGATGAAGCATACTGCCCCGGTGGCCAACGCAATACGTCGACCGAATTTGTCTCCCACGGGTGCGGCAGCTAGCGATCCAAAGAAGCACCCGGCTTGTAGCAACGAGACTACGTTAGCTGCAAAGGCGTTCTGGGCAGATTGAGATGCGCCAAGGAGCCCGAAGTCCCTGAGACTAAAGTCAGCCTTGAAACAATTGCATTATCATGGACACTGAAGCTTACCTCTTGAAAGGCTTCAACTCGATGGAAGTTCCGATGAAAGCCAGATCGTATCCGAACATGAAAGCACCCATAGAGGTCACAATCGCAAGGATATAAACACGCATAGCGTGTGAAGTCGTGGTGGTTGGCATCTCGCTGGACCAATTCGTCATGTAATTGCTACTGAAGAACTCGAACTCGACACGAACCTGTCTTTGGCAATCTATGGGGAGATCTCGTCGATTTTATGCCGTTTCAATGCACCCCGCATTTCCCCAGAATTCAAAAGACTTAGCGAACCCGGGGAAACAGGTGCGATCAAGATGTGGGACGGGACGACCGGGCCACGGAAGTGGTGACAAGCCTTAAGCCATGGGAAGTCATCTTCCGCGGAAGACCAGGAACCTTCGTACCGACCGACATAGTAGGGCAAAGCGAGAGATGGCTCATTATCTCACAGTATACCTTAGCTCTCTATGGCGAAATGAGCTTTAAAGTGCCATGTAGTCTGCATGGCCGCAGATGTCTCAAGTCGCGAATTCAATCCTTCCACAAACACCATCCATGCAAAGCGTCCGACATCTAAGCAAAATCATGACAATCACCAATTTGGAACAAGACCTGGCGCCTGTGCTGCGGTCAGGAAGAAAGAAAGTGCCTGCGGTCTGGATGAGAGCAGGGACATCAAAGGGTCTTTTCTTCCACGCGAAGGATCTTCCCGTCTCATCAAGATCTCTGGAGTCGATTCTGCTCTCGGCAATGGGCTCTGCGCAGGCCAACTCAAGACAAGTGAATGGCGTTGGTGGTGCAACCTCGACCACGTCCAAAGTGGCCATTGTTGCCAAGTCAAAGCGGCCACACATCGACGTCGACTATACGTTCGTGCAAGTTGCTCCAGATCAGCCCAAGCTCGACATGACTGGCAATTGTGGCAATATCGCGTCAGGTGTTGGACCCTTCAGTCTGGACGAGGGGCTTGTAAAGGCCCGTCCAGGGCAATCCGAGGTGAGATACAATCATCAATTAAGCAAATTGGGGAATGGTCCAGCTAATCTTGAGGTCTGAAAGATCAACATTCGCATATTCAACACCAATACAGAGCAAGTGGTTGTCGAGACTGTTCAGGTAGCTCCAGATGGAAGCTCCCGCGAAGACGGAGATTATGAGCTTGCCGGTGTACCTGGTACTGCGAGTCCAATCAAACTTGCCTTTGTAAAGCCACAAGGAAGCATGACTGGGACGATGTTCCCGTGTGGTCTCAAACAACGACTTCTGAGAGTGGATTCACCATTATGGGGAATCTTCTCGGTACGGGTCAGCCTGGTCGATGCCGCCAACCCCTTCGTTCTCGTTGATGCGTCTTCTCTGCCCGTTTCCAAGCAGACCCTTCAACAAGACGTTCATGAGAGTGGCCTGCTCGCTATGGTGGAAGACATACGACGCGAGGGTGCTGTGCAATTTGGCCTCGCGACGGACGTACTCGCGGCGAGTATGATACGGGGAACACCCAAGATCGCCTTCTTGTCAGCACCATCTGCTGAAGATGCGAATGATGCAGACATTGAAGTTCTCTCATTTTCTATGGGGAAAGCGCATCCAAGTCTGCAATTAACTGGCGCCGTTTGCATTGCAGCTGCGATGGCAATTCCAGGCACTGTTGCATGGGATCTGGCACGAGGAAAAAGCCTTGCAGATGTTCCCAAACATGGCATGTCCGTTGCGAATCAGGAGATTGCCTCGCCTGTACCTGTCGGTATCCGGCATCCCTCGGGCATCATACATACGGAAACCGTGCTCGAGGTGGATCACACAGGCGACGCACGTGTAGAGCGAGTTGCTGTGATGCGAACGGCACGTCGGCTGTTTGAGGGCAATGTATATTACTGAATAAATTAACACAAACTCTCAATTTTTACGCTTAGCGCTCATTTCCATGCTAAGAAACTTGAATGGCACACTTTTCATGAACGACGGAACTTCTCAAGTCGGTTATTTTTTCATTCCTTCGCGAGGTACACGCTAAGTTCGGAGGCAACAGCGCCAGCTAAGAGCGTATTGAATAACTTCTATCATGGCACATCTAGAAAATTCCCATATAGCAAGTAGCTCAAACGATCTCAATTGCCGATATTAATGATGCCATAGGTAACCTCGGTTCCTGCAGGGAGGCAGTGCCATGCGCTTCACAAAAACAATCATATCCTCAATACATAAGGGTGTCTTGAATTGAACCATTGAATCCAAACAGCATGTCATCTTCAATACGTGGACCAGCATATATATCACCGTATGAAGGCATCATGCTTGAAGTCGGGTTGTTTTGTGTCCCAGATGTCAACGGATCCGACCCCATATATTGATTATCGGGGTTGTCGTGGTGACTTTGACCATCGCCCAGCCTGTTATCCTGGCGAATAAAGCTTTGAATGATCATGTCAATATCGAGTTCTGGCTCGTCCAGTTCTGCAGATGCAGGTGTCCCGTACTCAGTGGCCGGTCTTGCGTTGATATTTGACCCGTACCCCGAGCTGTAAGGTGCTTGACTCTGAACCACAGCCTTTTTGGAAGAATTATAGGATCCTCGTCCGTCATCGTCAATGTCGCGGCTGTCTAAAGAGACTTCCATTCGGCTCATTAAATGAAGAATGACGTTCTCGGCTCTACGGACAGCCCAGTTCGTCTCCTGGTTTTTTTTGAAGATGTTCAGACAGGTCCGCAAGCTGGCATGGGCTCTGCTGCCTCCTTCCTTTTGAGCAGCAACCCGTACGAAGATGGTCGCCGCCACGTAAGTAGCATAGGAGATCAAGTACGGTGCACGTCGGATTGAATATGTCTGATCATAAGCTTGGAGAAGCTGAATAATCCGATTTGCAGCCACCGTACACGTGCTAAATGAGGTGATTGCAACTGATAGGTCGGTGGTGTGAAGATGGCCCTCTGCAACAAATGGTCGATGAAGAAGGATGAGCAGTACATTGTATAGCGCGAGAAGCGAGATCACATGAGGTGGTGGGGGTATCTGGCTTGTACTGGGGTTGAATCGCAAGTGATCTGGGACTGCCTCGTGCCAGGTCTTGAGTTGCTGATCCAAGGACTGCAGAGTGTCTAGATGTTCAGTTGTTGAACGCGTAGAGCTTCTCTCCGAGTACACTTTGTTGAGGATGCCATTCAAAATCAGGGAAAGCTTGCAAAGTTCCGTGAAAGTTGACACGCTGTAGGCGGGGAGCCTGGGTAGGACGCAATTTCCGAATATGCAAATGGCTGCCATTCTTCAAGCTCCTCAAAATCATCCAGGAAGACAATTGAGACCTTGGTGTCAAAGTCCTGGAGACTGGCTGGACGACCCTGGTACAAGGACTGGATCTTATCGACGACAAAAGCGCCCCAGAAGACGCGTCGACGAATCTCCAGATCTTCATCCGAGAGCCGACGCATGTTCGATAGCATAGTTGCGTCAACATGCATTCCGAGGTCAATAATCATTCGAAATGCAGTACCGGCGTAAAGCCAGGCAGCACTGCGTTCATCGCCCAATGCAAACAATGAGCTGGTCATCACCAAAAGGGCCTGAATCGTGGTAATTTCGCTGCGATCGAGAGCGCTCCCAAGAAGCTCCTTGACTCGCATCCGAAAGGTCCAGCCCGCAGTACGCACATCGTTCGGATCCCGACGGACCTCTGGTCGGTTGCTGAATTTGGAGGCTCCAAAGTAGATTGCATTGAGCAGGAGCTTGGAGAAGTATGGGCCGTCGCAAGCCATATCGCGCATAAAGGCTGGGCGGTAAGTGATCAAAAATGAGTGGTGTTGTCGGTTCCAATGCAGCGAAAGCAGATGCATGCCCAATTCCGGATCAACACCATCAAAATCCAGTTTCCCATGGCGAAAATTCAATGCCTCGAGTTGTCCTTGGATCATTAGCTCTCGACTCAAATTATGGCAGGCTGAACTGCGACCTACTTTGGTATGCGGCCTCGCCCATCAATCGCTTGGAGACATGGTCCGCCGGGGAACGCTGATCAGCAGGTCGTCCGTGACCGCGTCTATCGGTTGGAGCGTCATCAAACAAAGTACTGGTGAGACCATGGTAGCTAGAATCGCCATTCGGCGAGATAAAGATGCGCGAGACAGCCGACTGAGAGTGCTCTAAAGTCCTGGCTTCCGGCTGTCCACTGTCGCAGCGCGGTCCACTGGGTGTAGTGCTTAGCAGCTCTTGCGACTCCAGTCTCAAGGAGCCCTGTCTACACTCAGATGTTCTGCTTGTATCGGGGGAGTGAGTCTCGGCAGCTCCAAGTTGCCGACGAAGCTGTTCATTCTCCACCTCGAGCCGAGCAAGGCGGGCCTTTGTCGGTCTATGCTCGAGTCAGATCCAAAGGTCTCTCTCATGTAGAAAAGGTGTACGTTTTTGCACCTTTGTCTTGCCGTGTCCGCGGGGTAGACACATTCATTATCGTACACCTCACAGTTCGTGCAAGTGGGCTGTCCGTTATCGCAGCGCAGCTACACGATGACACTTAGAATGCAGTACTTTGCATCACTTTCGGTCGTAACTCGTTGACTTACCTTCCTTCGACGACAGAATGTACAGGCTTTCGCAGCCCGCCTCCCTCTCCGCGGAGTATTCTGTACCATGGCGTCGATTTCACCGTAGTGACGAATAAGTCAATTGAGACAGATGAAAAGGATAAAGAGAATCCGTGGAATCTCCGCTGCCCCGAAGTGAGCGGAAGGTGTGGCGACCCCCCGCGGCAAGTCTACTTCCGTCGAGCCCCACAACTAAGGGTACCAAAGCAAGGTACCAGGGCATGTAGATGGAGGCACAAAAAGGTCCGAGGGCTGCAATACCCTGCGAACTGGCCCCGGCCAATTCAAGATCTCGCTTTATCGACTGCCTGATTCACTACTGCTCGGTCATCATGGCAGCACAACTCTCTGTCCAACCAAGTGTCACGAATGTCAACCCACGAAAAGTACGTAAAGCTTCTTAGTTCCGACAATCCCTGAATCTGGGTTTACTCCCCCGAACAAGCCCTTCTAACTGTGCAATTGTATTTAGCATATCACACCCCAATGGGTATCACTCGTATCGGGAGGCATAGCCGGTGGTGTCGAAGCAGCAGTGACGGTGAGCTGCTAACCTTTTCGCCCAGTCCTTCGACCATTTCACTAAGTTCTGCTTCCAGTACCCGTTTGAATATTCCAAAACGAGGTTACAGCTGATCCAACATGGTTCAACAACAAAAACAAACCCTTTGCGCCTAATCGCGGAGGTAGCGCGACAAGAGGGCCCGCGTTCTCTGTATACAGGATGTACCACTTTGATAGTTGTAAGTTCCGATCCGAGCCTTGGCCTCAAACCAGCTCCCAACAGCCCGATCAGCCACTTATACAGAAAACAGGGCACTGCTGGGAAAGCAGCCGTGAGGTTTGTGTCTTACGACACGATCCGCAACGCGCTGTCTGACGAGCATGGAAAGCTTTCGGCTGGAGGAGGAATCTTGGCTGGCATGGCAGCTGGCGCCGTGGAAAGCGTTCTAGCTGTGACTCCAACCGAGAGAATTAAAACAGCACTGTGAGTGACACTCTGCAATGCGGACGACACGTAATGGAGCTCCATGCTAATGTTTCGATGAAGTATCGACGATGCGAAGACCCACCGTCAATTCAATTCGGGCATCCATGCCGCCCGAGTCTTGGTGCAAAGGCATGGTCTTCCGGAGCTCTACCGAGGGCTCGTTTCTACCACAGTCAAGCAGTCCGCGACATCAGCTGTACGAATGGGAACATACAACATCCTCAAAGAAATGAGCAAGCAGCAGGGCTTGAGCCCCAACGCCTTGACTTCATTTGGCACGGGTGCCTTGGCGGGGATCGTGACGGTCTATGCAACTCAACCTTTTGATACAATCAAAACGAGGGCACAAAGTGTCCAAGGTGCAGGCATTGTAGATGCAGTAAGTAGCGTGATGCGCGACTATGGCATCAAGGGCTTTTGGAAAGGAAGTTCCATGCGATTAGGACGCCTTTTCCTGAGTGGTGGGATTGTGTTCTCGGTATATGAGCAAGTATCCGCCATGCTTGCGCCGGTCGTCAGGGATTAGGTAGATCCTGTGATCTCGAAATGAACGATCTCGTGTGCTCACCACAATCAGTTGTCAATTGGGATGACCGTATGACTTGAACTCAGGGGTAGACTAAGCTCACGAACCGACTTCAAGTACTTCAAGTACTATTTGATTTTGCAACCTCAAACGTGATAGATAGTCCGCAGCGCTATCGGATTCCTTCTACTTGAACCATTTGGTTGTCTGTTTTTTGTCTGCTGGCTGCTTTTCCATTCAAAGACTTCATTGCAGTTCAACACCAATTGTAAGCAGCGCCTCGAGATGGAAAGATACAGGGATGAGGGAACGATTCGCTAGCGGCATCAGTCGCGAGGCGCAGAGTACCGACAGACTCGGCCATTTTGAACAAGGCACTTTCCCTTGAATTCTGAGACCGAATTCAGATTTCCAATCTAGCCCTTGTCCAGACTCTGAGTCTTAGTGGCATGGGAGCTCTAACTCGGCGTCACCACGTCGTTTCGGAATGCAGGTTCGTACAACCGCGAATGTGAGCGGTGTTGACCGCTCAGAAGGACTGATCGCAAGTCTACTCAGGCGCGTGTTTCAGAGAGAGGTCATAATTTGCATAGGGATATCATCACGGCGTAATCTGTCGGCCTGCATCCTGCATAGCGCATGTATCCAGGCTCACCGAGGGTCAGGGTGCGCGGATCGCATTGCGGACCGCGGCGTTGCGGCATCCTCAAATCGAGTGGAGCGGGATGACTGTGGAAAGGAATACTTGGTTTTTTCAATATGGCGATGGACAGCTTCAGATATTTGCAGGTTTTCAAATGGTGCCGATTCTGAAGTCCAGCCGGTTGCTGCTTGTAGTTTATGAATCGCGTGGGTTCCTGTTGCCTGCGCAAACATTGGGGGAGAGCGGCTTCGACGGGGAGAGCGACTTGTCCGGCCAGACCGCTCAGCTTTACTTTTTTAACTTCTTTCCCTCACCACTGTGTACACTCTCGCGATCACTGCACTTTTGAAACTTGAAAATCAGATCGCTCTACGGTCTCTCTGGGCTCACTCAACACTCCCATTCGTCTTTGACTTCACCTTAGAAATGGCCTCCTACGGGCTTTTAGGCCAGCCAGAAGAAGGTCAGATGGAACGCCCTCTCATTTCACGATTGTTTACAGTCCTTCTGATTTTGCGATCTTTACAGATGCTCTCCACAAGTCGCGCCTCCTGAACGTCGAAGAGAAGCCCTTCAAACGCATTTCCAAGCGCTTGCTAAACCCAGAGTCCCTCATCGCCGACACATCATTACCACTGACGCCTCCTCCGGACGCTGCCGTAGACCTCACTAACGGCCCCGATGACAAACGACAGAAGCGCGTCGAGGAATGGCGAACATTTCGCGAAGACGTCGCACTCGACTTTGCTGCATTCGAAGGCAGTATCGCTCGCATACAATTCCTCCTCAACAGTAACGAAGCGGAGCGTCAACGGTATGCATCGGAGAAATTAGCCATCCTGGACAAAATGCAGGCCGTACGCCAAAATACGATCGACTTGCGATCGCAGCTTGAGGAGGCACAAAGGCTTCTTGCCCTACGCAAAAGCTACGATGATCTAGCCGACAAAATCACAAGCAATCGTCTTCTGAAACCTCGGGAGGATCAGCAAGCGAACTTGCAAAAACTCCAGACCGAGATCATGGAGCTTGAGAAAGAGAGCAAGGACTATGCGACAACGTGGGCTGAGCGTCGGGAACAGTTTGGTCGCATTGTGGAGGAAGGCATGCAGCTTCGCCGCTTGATCCGCGACGAGAAGGAGGAGGTTGAGCGACGGGAAGGAATGCAGGAAGGCGGCGATGCCGATGACGGCGACGCAACCTCCAAGGGCAAGCCCAGTGCTGCCAATAGTCCTCTTCCGGACGGTGAAGACACCACTCCCTCGCATCACAGCCAAGACGAGAGCAGTCGGCTGCACGTTGAGAAGTCCTTTGGGGCTCCGGGCGCCGCCTCTCCTCTCCGCCAGGCTGTCAGCGCAGAGGCCAACAAAGGCTCAAGGGAACAAGAGGATGCCAATATGGCCGACGAAGGAGAGGTCACCGCTGAGGACGCTGGAGAGCTGTCCGAGGAATTAGAGGAAGGGGAAGAACTACCTGATGAGAGGATGGATACCTCCTAAGTCTTCATTCATGTTTAATAGATGATACCTTGGAGTTACACGGTCACGGTTCAGGGGCGTTTATTGGAAGAATTTAGGCATGCATTGAAGGCGTCGACATTCCCACCTTGGTCTCTGGATAAGATCACTATTTTGGGGGGGGGGGGGGGTCAGAGTTTTCCTAAGACACTTCGCGCTCGGCGGTCTTGGCCTGAGCGATGGCCTCCTTTGCTGCGGTGATCTGATCGACGTTGCTGTCGGAACCCTTGGCAGCCTCTTCGGCCTGATAGAATTTTGATCAGTAAAGAAAGCTCCGGTCTCGAAAGACAAGCTACTTGTCGAGAGGAAGACATACAATGAGCGATTCCAGCTCGGTTACAATGTCATGTAGTTTCTTCTTGAGAGATGGGAAGACTTTTTTGGTCTCGTCCAGGGCCCGGCGCTATTGTAGGGTGGAAGTCAGTGGGGACGTTAGACAATTTGCTCAACTCTCGCAATGAGGCACTCACCTCTTGCTGCAACAAGAATTCACGGTTCTCGTCCTCGCTCTGTTCATTCTCCAGCTTCTTGATTCTCTCAGTCTGCTGTACTGCTTCTTGGTGGTAGGAAGCTTCCTCCTTCACCAGGCGGAGAACAGAGGAAGTGTTGATTTCAAGCTGCGATCGAGGAGGCATGGTGACTATTCCTCGGGCATTAATGTCAGAAACATCCATTCAATATGTGCAATATGCAATCATGGCACCCTGCTCAGGGAACAGAAACGTGTCTTGATTACACGTATTTGTTCCCGAACGAAGCTTGTGCTAGCTCGGTCCAGTCGACTGGCAAGGATCAGATCAAACTCTCATTGTTGTCTTTTCTCGACAGTAGGGTGCATGGGGTGCATATCAGACCACAGATTGATGCACCTTGGCTGCATTTGGAAGGATTTCAGGAGCATCCATCAGCGTAAGTGCAAGTGAGGGCTTACCTTTGGACAATGTGATTAAAGTTCAAGTCGGGGTTGAATTACTACGGAACCTCAGGGTCCTTTGGGTGACCCCTCATGACGATCCTCTTATCGCCCCTCGAGCGGAGTAATGTTTGCTTTGTTTGTTTAGTTTTTGTCACGTGAATTGAGCCTCAGCCACAAAGTAGTCCTACTTATTGATCCTCAGTGCAAGTGACTTGTCAAGCTGAAATGATGTCCATTTAGAGTCTAAAGAAGCTATCTTGGTCTTCATATCTTACTGTGCTTATCACCTTTGGACCAATGGACACAAGTTATGCGATCAACAAATAGAAACATTGGAAGAATCTGACGTCCGAGGCTTAAAGATGTACCCGTTTGCCAACCGTGAATCTACCAACCTCACTAGGGTCAGTTCTGCGCGGTTTCCAAATATATCTGAACTCCCAGATAACTTGTAGGACAGACCTCGAGACCTGGCGGCAAGCCATTTTACCTCCACAGAAATCCGCACTAGGTCTGCAAGGTACTGTAAGAGTCCAGGCAGTTGAACTCAGTATCTACCAGAGCATTCTTTGACTTCATATTCGTCATTTGAAGTCGTCTAAGCTCACATAGACATCCTAATACTCCGCTTATCGCCTTGGTGCATTCACGGTCTGACCCAGCCCGCATCTATTCAGGCCAATTACGGACCCTTCCGCCGGGGGATGACCTCAATGATCGTTCTCGGTACCCGTTGGGCCTCAGGCCACAGGTCGTCATGCCGACCGTCGAGGATCGCTTGAGCCCCCGGTCGCTAGCATTGACTCGACTCGACAAAGGACGACTCGATAACCTCCTAAAGGACTCGACAAACAACGTCTCGACAACGGACGCCTCTGACCCGATCATCGAATGTCCCAGGTTCTCCTCCGAACTGACCAAAGTCCCGTTCTTTGAGGCCGAGTTCTTCACTTTGATTCTTGTTTCAATGTCACCTTTGAGTTCACGGAAATCGTGGTCCATCTTCAACCCATCCTAGCCATGCCTGCGCAGTCGCTTAAACATCTGGCAACTAAGACAGCGATCAGACATGTGAAGTGTAAGTTGATCGCACCATTATCGGATGAACAATAAATGGTGAAGGAAAACCAAAGTGAAACAAAGAATCCAATACTGACACGGACTCATCGTGTAGCGATCAATGATATCGGCAACCTGCCGTATGTGCTCGTCCGTCCCATCCTCATGCGAGTCGACAACCCCGAGAGACTAGTAAGTTCCGGGCCTGTGCATGCAGCTGCACTTCCATTGTCCTTTCACATGAATCCATAAATTACCTTGAGTGAGACCACTTCTGTGATGGACTTTGGACTAACAGAGTGTTCTTTCGCCCCAACAGCATGCAATGGAAGTTCTATCCCCCCATTTGGCCGAAACAGATCAAGAACTTTGGCTCGAGCTCATCAAGCGCGATATTCCACAATGGCAGAAATACGAGCTGCCTCAAAACTCCAATTCCTGGTACGAAATATATTGCGATCTGCAAGCCGAAGTGCAGCGGGAACTTGAGGCCGACGCGGCGAAACTGAAAAGGGCCATTGATGGGATTCAGTCTGAGCGCGCTCAGCTTCAACCCAAGGTCATGAATTCAATCCCTCGGGGCGTTCGGGGCTCACGCGGTCGGGTCGTGCCAAGGGGCCCGATGTCTTCTGCGGATGCTCGAAAGAAGTCGGCCATTTTCGCACCCCAGAGGAGAAATCCTGCATTGATAGTCCCGACCAAGCATCTGAACAATAGGGCAACACAAATCACAAAGGCCCCATTATCACTAATTGAAGCGCACCGTCGGCCAGCAGACCCTCCTGCACCCACACGTGAAGCTGCAGCTGGGAGAATATCCGTCCCGGGAAAAATGTTGTCCAAGTCAACACGTCCACTCCCTGCACTACATTCCTCGTCGGCCTTGGCAGACCGCGAGGCGCGATTGAGGGCCATTGCTGCCGGTAAACCAATTCCTCCAAGGCCACTGTCGAACTCTGCCCCTACAGGGTCAACGACAGATCGCCCTCGACGTGCTGGCAATGCTTCTATTCCGACCAAGGAAAGCCATTCGCCAGTCAAAAAGGCCATTCCTAAACGAAAGGCGACTTCTCCTCCACCCCAGTCAGCGGCGGCTGGAGGCTCATCCACAGCTTTGTCAGGTAGAACTGCGCCCGAGATGACCGGTCGACCTGGGATTGCCCGGAAGCGATCCGAAGTCGATATATTTCTTCGACCTAGAAAAAAGCGAGTTGTCTAGACGATCGCTTCCTGGTGCGCAATATTTCCGACGGCTTCTTCCACTTTCATTCTTAATTGTTTTCTCGATCACCCTTTCAGTACCACGCAACGGAACCTTTATCTCTTATGCACGCAATCATATCTTCTTTTGTTCTTTTCTTGTACATATGCATACTGTTGGCGTTGGAGGTCAACGTTCCTTTCCAAATAGCGCGTTTCAATTGCACTTGGAGGCGATCATTTCGGCATTTGCTTTGCCTCACACTTTGAACGATACATACTCGCCATACACCTCGGAGCATCTTCGTCTGTCAATGTATTTCCATCGCCGATCTTTTCCCCCGTTGTTGATCTCTCATGCTTCCCCCATGCTCATCGCTGAACGTGAATCGTTCTTCAAAGCGACCCTTGACCTGACCCTACATTTCCTTCTCGGTCCTCGTGCACCATTGACTATTCAAGAGGCCGATGAGATGGGAATCACGAAAGCTCTTGTATCAGATTGGCTGGACAAGATCATATCTACATTTGCTGAGTCGTCGCATGAGAAACGAGTGTATATAGAACGGCGACAGCTCTTCGACATGCACAAAACCTCTTAAATTCACTGATATTGTGGGAGAGGCTGGATATGGTATCTTGAATTAATTGAAAAAAAAGCAGGACAGGTCGACTCAGGAGGCATCGCATCCACCACGCAGGGCAAGGACCAGATGCAGCGTGGCACCACCCTCGAGGTTGTATTCTGAGGCCGTCTTGTCATCGGCCCTAGTAGGAAAAGAACATGTCAGCCCTCAAAGGTCGAGAAAAGGTGGGGGAGACAGGTGCAAAGTAAAGAAGAGCCGTACATTTGCTTGCCACCGTAGATCAGCCGCTGCTGGACTGGAGGAATACCCTCCTTCTCTTCGACACGTTCCTTGATGCGTGAGACCTGTGTCATGGATCCTGGGTCAGTTTTGCCTTGATCATTCTTGAGAGGTGAGGGCTCATAGTGGGGCACGCGCATGCTCCCCCGCGCTGCAACACCTGAGGCTCTCTTGCAAGCCAGGCCAGGTCATGGTGACGAGTAAATATAGTAGCGTGAGGTGGTTTACCTTGTAGTCAGGCTCAATGTCGAGCTCAATCTCCTTGCCCGTTAGTGTGCGGACCCTGATTGCGAGGGAGATTGTTAGCGTGGTTGCTCTCTCATCCGGACAACGATGATGCAATAAGCAGCATTTCGTTAAGAAGGTTGTCCAGACTCACTTGATCAACATTATGACGAAGCGTGGGTAGGCTGGGTGTGATTATGAAGTGGCAGGACGACTGAAATATAAGAACGGATGACTGGATCTTATTTGTAAAGACTGGGTAGGTGACCAGAAGCGCTGCAAATGAAGTTGAATGCAGTTTGGAAAGGGAAGAGCTCTAAGGAAGTACAATACTGAGTACACAACCTTGCGATCGCGGATGATCATTCGGCGCGGGAGGGGAGACCATGCCCGGATTGGTTAGAGCTGGATGACGGCATCTCAAAAGGGTTTAGCTTCGTAGACATTGGCTGCTACTGCAGAAGTGTAGAGTGTAGAGTCTAGAGTACGCCCGCAGAAAATACGTCTCCTATACAAGACAACAGCTTGATTTCAGTCCGATATCTGTTTTGTTAATTTTATTCTCAGAATATAGGTTGACAAAATCCAGAGACCTTGATCGGCTGACATGTAGGGGACAAGGTCAGCTAATTCGTTGATCGCGGGGCACACAAGGTGTTTTGAAAGCAAATGTCATACAACCAGGCGTCCATCACAAGGGCAAAAGAAACGACCCAGAGCCACATCAACTGACTTGATTACTCGACTTCAATAACACAAAAAGGTAGTAGTAAGTTAGTAACAACTTAAAAGACTATTCGCACTAACGTTACCTCTCAGCAGGCCACGCGCGTTCAGTCCGGCCGGACCGTCATGGGTGGATGACTCATCACGGTCTTGGCGCCCACAGCACCCAGTCCCAGCCAAACCCGGTTTAGCGCTTGACCCGAATAGGGCACTAAGCGAACGAAAATCCCACAACCACACTTGTGCCTTTGGGTTCTTCTCCGACGAACGACAATCCACCGACCATCACCTCGCTATCCGGCAACCCAGTCAAAATGGTAAGAGCGACATCTTGTGTTCGACAAATTGCTGCGTCTCGAAGTCTTGATCGATCGAAACTCGCTCCGGTGCTGCGTGTCTGTTTACATGTGTGCCGAAAGGATGGAAATTTGATGCTCGAACCCCAACGCTTTGAACACCGCCACGACGACTCGGAACACACGATTGGCAGCAAATCTACATGCACCTGAAATGCTTGCGACAAAATGACTCGATGGCTTCGATGTAGCGCAAAGACGAATCTGGGTTTATTGGTCCCGTTGCGACCGGGAAGCCAACCTCGAAATTGAACCGCACAGTATCCGCAACACAGCATGACCACATTGAAGCACATACACGACAGAAAAATGCAACCTGTCCGCGTTCAAGTCGAAGAAAACTCTTTTATTTCTCACGATATAAACGGAGGACTTGCGACCGCGGAGTTTCGACGATCAGACATTCAAGACGCACACAATTTGCTTCCACGCTATCTCTCACCTTTCGCGAACTCTGGCTCACGGAAAATTTCGCACGCAGGTGAACATTCCCAAAACCCGCCGGACCTACTGCAAGGGCAAGCCTTGCCAGAAGCACACCCAGCACAAGGTCACCCAGTACAAGGCTGGCAAGGTGAGAAATTAGCCCCCTCTTGTCTCCGCCTCAAATCGACCGCGCGAAATTCCACTCGACTGCGGCTCGATCATTCGTCACCGGTGACTAATCTTCATATATTGGAAAATATAGGCCTCTCTGTACGCCCAGGGTAAGCGCCGTTACGACCGGAAGCAGAGCGGTTACGGTGGTCAGACCAAGCCCGTCTTCCACAAGAAGGCCAAGACCACCAAGAAGGTTGTCCTCCGTCTTGAGTGCACTGCCTGCAAGGCCAAGAAGCAGCTCGCTCTGAAGCGTTGCAAGCACTTCGAGCTTGGGTACGTTTTTACGCATCACCCGTCTAAAACCCTCCCCGTGTATTGCCTCGAATCGCATAACTAACTCGTTCGTTCCCTTCTTTACAGTGGTGACAAGAAGACCAAGGGTGCTGCTCTTGTCTTCTAAGCGTGCTATTTCCTTGTTCGGCTTCTGGGTTTTCTACATTGCACAGATTCTTCGATGTTATTGCGGGGATCATATGACGGTGGCAATGGAAAAATGAAATAGGAATTCATACCTTCAAAAACAACTCGATGACTACGTGATACGAGTTTTCTTTCTTCTGGAGCCACTTTTCGACTTTTTCGTTTGCATATCGATCGACTAAGCCGCTACGCCTCAATTTCAAGAGCCGATTCGGACCCAGCTCAGCATGTCCACTGAGGTTAAACAAGAAGCATCGCACGCGATACTTTGTAGGACCCCTCTCAGATCTGTAATGGCGATATACCATCGGCGTTTTGACCAACCAGCAAACTATTCAAACTACTACCTTTCGCCGACGCCAAATCTTCGAAACTTTTTTGTGATCATTCAACGAACAGACCGCACTTCCGTTCAGGCATCTAGAAGACTACGTAGAAGGGCAGTTTTAATGGATCTGAGCTTCCAAGAGGCTTCCTGTATTGGTGATATGAATCACTTTTGCGTGAGAATCTGACAAGACTACGCGCCTGCGACAATCAGCCCCGAGTATTAGGGTTTAAAAAGAACTGTGACGCTCACTGGTGAACATGGATCTAATCCATCCTGGGGAGCAAATGCGATTTAGAACACTCACCTATGATCTAGTTCAATACTCGGGCAGCATTGAGGTACCCACCTGCAGCGGGCTGAGTTTTGGAAGAGCTTGATGTACCTTATCACCTTATGAATTTGCATGTTCCGCGCAGGAGGCTTCCATCTATTGTTTGAAAATAGAGGGGATGTGCAACAGGTAGAAGATTGCATTGCGAACAATCTTCAGACTCTTGAGTACGATACAGGTTCTCGACCAAACTGTGGCATCTGGCACTTTCTACCTGCAGGCAATCTTGAAAGCGACTTTCACTCGAATGGGTCAAGAGGTGGAAAATCGTCGTCTACTCAGCCCGCGGTTTTGTGGAAGCCCAAACCACCTGCGTGTCTCGTTGCGGGCTACGGCTCCTCCAGCTTCAATATATTTCTATCAGATCACCCGCCTGGAACCTCAGAACTGAGGTACTACCTTAGTATGGGAAAGGGATGCTCAGTGGGCGGACAATATCCAGATTGAGACAGCTCTCAGTACGTACCAACGAACGTATCATGATGTCTGGAGACTTTTCACCTTGAAGCTTTACTACCGCGATGCCACCATCCATTGCAAATCACGTGTACAATCGTTTGCACGGCCTTCAAGCTGTACATTCCCAGTTGGGACTAGAGTGAGTGGGGGTCCGTATCTCGAGGGTGAACATGTCATTCTGGCGACTTCCACATCTTTACCATGTAGCGAGGCTTCAAGCAGCGGGTTACAGAATACACTCGAGTCATGTCTCCTTGTGTCCGGCACGGAACTTGACTCCTTTCTACCTAGATTATCAATGGAAGTGAGCTACACCTTTGACGCTCTAGCTTCCCAGCAAGATGGATACGTGCGCCTCTGCAACCATCATCCCAAGCTTGATATGGATGGCATGGAACAGCATCTGTCCCCGCCGGCGCCTGGCTTGTACCGGCCCCCAGCTCGGTAGTCTCCAAATTCCGAGGTACCATATACAATTGGGCTTTATGTTTTCAGACAACTATCGTAAAGCGCGGCATGTAGCCGAGATCATCCAGCTCCGCACTGGCAAGATCACACCTGCCCGAAGGCACTCAAACTTGAGGACTCAGGACACTACTATCTCATCTGTGCACCCCACGCCAAGTCAAAGTCAAAATAAGTGGAGGATAAAGACCAGTCCGTGAACCCATCTTCAGCCAGATGACTGTTTTATTGGGGCGAATTCCTTTTCATGGAAACCAATCGCTACACTTCACTTGCTCGAAGATCACCCTCGGACCCTTTTGTGACTCGTATTTGTCGGCGCAGGATGACCCGTTGATCCCCCGCATCCCCAGATTTCTTGGATGAAACTCGGGGGTTCTCCGAGATCGACCTATGCTTGCCAGCGACCAGCAGCTGCTGACGAGGGGCTCTCACTTGTACCTCGGAAAAATGGCCGCTGAGAGCGTTTGCACCGATGAAGTATTTGATCAACGGAGAGCGCTTGGTGCCGGATGACTCGCACACATCTACAGAATTTCCGAGATCTAGTGTGTCTCGCTGCTCCTTCAATTCATTGCAACGTCTCGAGATAGGCCCGCTTGTGTGGTGTCATCACTTCGACAAGATGACTATGCTATACTCACTAGGCATTGCCTTTTTCGCTGCCATTGGCACATTTCTATTTGTATGACACTTCATCGTCTGTGTTCAAGTTGGTGTACAGCACAGGATTCAGCTGACTAGGTTGAATGCAGGGGTTTGACACGGGTATCGCGACGACAAGTAAGTGTCTTGGCCGATTGGTGTTCATGGGGGTTATTGACATGTCCGTAGCTATTGCCCATCAAAGCTGGATTGACTATATGCATAAGCCATCTCCTGGCTTGACTGGAGCTGTATGTTCTTATCTGTTGACACGGACCGGCCCTGGTTGATGTATGGTATATCATTGACCGTGTGCTATCTAGGTTGTGGCTGTCTATATCGCAGGAGAAGCAGGAGGTGCCCTGACGCAGACCTTCATTGGCGACAAGCTCGGCCGCATTCGATTCATGCAGCTGATGTGTATTATTGTGACCATCGGCACCGTCATTCAAACAGCCTCCATCAACATTGGCATGTTTCTCGCCGGTCGCGTACTTGCTGGCTACGCAGTCGGGTAAGCCAACAACCACATTTACTCTCCTGTATTACTTGCCTCCGCTGACTGTTGACCCCTACCAGTGGTATGGTTTCCACTGTTCCCATCTACCTCAGCGAGATTTCAGAGCCCCAGTACCGTGGCTTGATCGGAGGAATCTCCGGCTGTGGTATCTCGTTCGGCACGATGATGTCGAATTGGGTGGGTTTCGCATGCAGCTATGCTTCCTACGGCCCTGTCCAGTGGCGTCTTCCTCTTGGAATTCAGATTCCTTGGGGGTATTAATGTTCATTGGTCTTGCAACTTTCATGCCGAATTCGCCCCGTCAACTGATTCGTAATGGAAAGGTCGAGGAGGCTCGACACGAGTTCTCTCGCATTCGCCGCGGTGCCAATTTGCATGAGGTGGAGGAGGAGTTTGTGGCCATGCAGGCGCAGATTGAGTTCGAAATGGAACGGGAGATCACTAGCTATCGGGAGATTTTCAAGCTTTTCCGTCACCGTGTCCTGGTGTATGTCTCACGATTCAAGTTCACTCACAAGACATCTGTCAGTATCAAGTCTCTGATATACGTTCACAGGTCGATCGCAGTACAGACCATGACAAGTCTCACCGGCGTCAATGTGATTCAGGTACGTTCGCTTTACACCCTCGATCAATGTTCGTCCCTTCCATGATTTGTCCGTGACGCTGACTTTTCTCACCTTTGTAGTATTATCAAAGTAAGTATATCGGGTCGATTGGCTCTTCCCGCTTTTGTGGTCCAAACAAGTTTCTCACATAATTTCTGGCAGCGACCCTCTACAAATCCCTTGGAATCGGATCCCATAAAATTCTCGCTCTCGCGGGTGTTTATGGCACGGTAGCCTTTTGTTCCAACGCCATTACTACTAAATTCATGACAGATCAGTGGGGCCGTCGAAAGTAAGTGCACTTTCATTCATTGTGCGCAAGTGTGCAGAGCGAAGTTGGATAGACTATTTCGAGCCTAATCAGACATGGTCCAGTTCAGAACTGACAAACTTCTAGGATGTTAATTGCTGGCTTAGCGGGAATCGTACTTATTGAAATCTACGCTGCCGTCATGCAGCGCGAGTTCCAACATACGGATAACAAAATTGGCAAAGGATTCGCGATCTTGGGCATCTACCTCTTTGTTGTGTGCTTTTGTAAGTCAACATGACCCGCGACTCTGTTGTTGTAGCTCGGAGTCGTATCAGATGGAGTTTACATTGGGCCGTGAAATACTAAAGCAACATGTTCACTCAGATGGTATGCTCAACAGCACCACCTGGCTGTACGGCGCTGAGGTCTTACCCATTGCCCTACGAAGCAAAGTCATGGGTCTTGCGGCTGCATCGCACTTTATTGTCAACGTTGCAAGTAAGTCTCTAGATGTCGGACATCCAAAATCCAGCTCACGCTCTGCTGTTAAAACGGAATTCACTAATTCCTTTTTCTTTTTGCTCGCACGCAATAGTCACCGAGGCGGGACCCAGCGCATTTGCTACTATTCACGAGAACTACTACTATGTCTTCGTGGCTTGTTCCACTTTTTTCCTCGTCATTGCCTACTTTTTCTTCCCGTACGTTCCTCAGATCAAAGTGCAGATCCTGTCGTTGTTGGTCAGAATCATACTAACTGGAATTTTGTCTACCTTTATAGCGAAACCAAGCAGAAGACTCTCGAAGAAGTAGCTGCCTCTTTCGGTGACCGCGTCGTCATCGCCGAGGAAGACACAAAGCGAATGTCCGTCGCGGGCAAGGCTGATCATGTCGAATCAGTGTCTGCTTAAGCTGGAGGCAGATTGTCGCTGAACGTGCATAGCACTTTATAGCATCGTGCCACCTTGTTTGGCGGTGCACTGAACCAAAGAAGCCAGTCGGGCTTGGATTCAATTCCATCCACTACGAAGAAGGCGGGAGTCCAAGTATTGTTTCGCTTGATTTGTCTGGCTCGAACGTAAAGAATTGAGGTATCTTATAGTGAAACAAGAAGTAATCACCAGCACAACTGATCGAAAGGCATCCCCTCGTTTGCTCTACAGAGAGTTGGAATTCAGTCGCGCATCGAACTTGATTGACGTCTCCGCGCCGCGAGATAAGTACCTCATGGTTTAGGTTTTCACGTTAGTGGGTCGCTGTTTGGTCCACTCAACCTCGTTATTGTACACATACCATACCACCCAATCTTTGATCACTGAATCTTAAACACTCACTCGCGATCTGATTCCCTAGACTCAAAATTGAGAACACTTGGGCGATCAGCAACCACTTATGCAGAGGATGGACTTGTGATACTATCGCGGTCACGCCGTCGGGGCGTTGGGTGAACACATGTGCGCCCAATGCAAGGGGTAACTTGGGGCATGGAGTCGGCGACTTGTGGAAATGTAGATCTTCCATCCATTCGGCAGGCCACTTTGTGCTATTCAACTGTACTGTACATTCCCGCTTGACTAGTGAGATTGACCTCGGTTATACTACAGTACTACAGTACTACAGTACTTATCGACTGTCACGATTGTCGGGCACATAAGACTACTTCGCTGATCAAGCACTCTGTGCATCTGATTAAGTTCAGGGGAGTGGAACCGTTTCGTAACCGTGGCTTCTTCCGCCTTACGCGGAAGTTTGTTGCTCATCACATTTTCTAGATGGGACGGGCTCGACTCGCTGCAAGGCTAGGCCGACTTGCCAAGATCGTGGCACCCTGCTCTTCTGTGTCGGCTTCGAAGAATCAAACTCCGTTGCCGAACCTTATGCCGAAAGTACAAGCTTGACCTGTAGGTGACTTGGGTTGGAAGCTAACAAGATGCGCAACGGTCGCAGGCTTGGGAAATAATGGAGATGTTTGCTTCATATCATTGCACTGGTAAAAGTGCCTACAGATGTTGTACTTAAGCATCAAGTGACATTCTTTGAGCTGCCAATGAACTTGTTCCTGTGATCTGCCAAATGATGGCATCGTCGCTTGATTTGTAGCGTCGTGACGCGACCATTTAAGATGTTCATGCACAAGGGTTGCCTAGTTCCGCACGCGATGTCACCATCGAGAAGACTGGCAGTCGCCGAGCGTGCTGCTAGACGGTCAAATCAAACAGAGTTTGATTGAAATTTCAGACGAAACGCACAGAGAGAGAGACAGAGAGAGAGGAAGAGAGTCGCAGGGCAGTAATCACAAGTCTGTGGCGCCGACAAGAAAATACGTCTCTTTTTGGTCTAGCCTGTTTCAGACCACCTGAGAGAATGTACCGGCCGGTTGTGCTCGCCCGCGGCAGGATGGTTATTGTGGCTATTGTGGCTTGTTCTCTCGCTTTGGCCTTGAGTGTGGCAAATTTCGTGCCATTAACTTCCTCAACGATGTGAATTGTAAGTGCTAGTGCTAGTGAGCGTTGAGTCGTCGCCGCTCATATCTGACCCTGGTGATCCTTGTGTGAGCGGTATGACCGCGACATACAAGGTGCTGTATGTCTGCTCATGTTCAGCTGAATTGACTAATGCGCCACACTGATGTGGCGGTCCTACATCGAGAACCCTTCAGTCTGCGCTAAGTGCCCATGTCGACGGTTAGGATTGCCGTGCTGTGACGCCTGTTGGAGTTGGACGTGCATTGCGTATGGACTGTATCATCGTAGAGCATAGACCGCACCGAGGCACTCGGCGACATACAGATGTGGCTCTCACCTTCCTCCCCGGGCCAAGTATGAGCATTGTTCGTTACTCAGACCCTCAGACTCGCGTGCGATCACAGCAGGCTGCAAGGTTCGTCAGCACGATTGGCCGAGTTTGTTCTATTATTAAGGCGCATCGAGTACATCGCATGCACTTGCAGATTCGAACCGTAGTGTCGGAATCCCAGGGAACAGAGTTAGTCATAATCTTGTGTCAACCATACGTAAACTCCGCCTGCTGCATAATGCCGGGGTTTTGGCCATTGTTCGGCGACTTGACGTCTTGGGCTTTGCTGAATGGTCCGCATTTGCCCGGCAATGGTGCCATGCCATGGCCTCTGGATCAAGCGACAGGGATCCAAGAAGAAGAAGAAAAAAAAGAAAAGAACGAATACAATACTGGTGGACGACTATGAGAGTCCGGTCGATCAGCCACGAGGGTCTTTGACCCTTTCGTTAGCTTCGGCAGGACGGAAGAGATTTCAACATGATGTATCTTGATTCGAGATGGAAAGGGCGGGTCATCCTTCCTGCTTCATGAACGACCTTCTAGAAGATTTTCCCAGACCCACTTGGCGTCGGGCGCTCCGTGCTACATGGGTGTACCAGGTCCAAGACTGAATGCTACCAAACTTCAAGCTCAGCCCGGGGGTTGATCAGGTACCTGTAGGTTTTTGAGTTGCTACAGTGGTACGCAGTGGGTACCGTACCCTGGCCCACGGCATCCGGGAGGAACTACATCTGTAGTACCTCTTCATCTGTTGATTTTGGTGTGGTATGCGCATATTTTCCCACAGAATGAGCGTCCTTGTCAGGCTACAGTTTGAATTCTTCTTGTGAACTTCCATTTTTCGGGGTCGCCATATCCCCACTGAGTCAGTCCCTATTCAGTCGACTAGTCGATGGGCCGCAGCATCATTCCCAGCTCCGAGAAACTTCCACACTTCGCCGACCTATCGAATCACACTAGGTAGGTGCTCGAAGGCGACTTGTTCAGGCAGGTGAGAATTTTTTTGTCCGGCTGTCTGGCTATCAAGTCAGTTCGCTTTTTGCCTCTTCTTGGCTTTACAGCGTTCCTAGGGCAATCATGTCCACCACTCGGGTGAGGTGGCTGAGATCCTCTCCAATGAGTGAGGCAATCATGTCATGACATTGCCTCAATATTAATTATCATTCGTCCGTACTCTTGAAGGCACACTGTACCTGGCTGTTCCACCATGACGCATGGCCCTCGACCTCTCGGTTGTCGTCTATGCAAAACTTCCAATCTCAAAATTTTCTCCAGCTCATACTCGACTTGCCCCCCCCATACAAAGCAAAAAAAGTGGGCAGTCCCCGTTAGATCCAACTTTGCTATATGTTCAGATTCAACCCCGGACCCAGAGAACACGTGAAGCGGGCACTTTGAGACTGGACAAGGTAAATCGGACAGGAACCGATCCACTTTTGTCCATCGCGATCGATCCTTCAGTGCTAGGGTGGTAAATCCAGAGTTTTATCACTGCCGTTGGGGTTGGTTCTGAGTCGGAGCATCGGCCGCTTCCATCATCAAAAGCACCCTCAACGAGACGGCAATCACTCACTCAAGACGAATCCGCTCTGAGCAGTCGGCAACTGTCTTCGATGACTTCCTCATCACGAGCCACAGGGAAGCGGCTTCCAATCAGCTGTCAGGCCTGTCGTAATCGAAAAATTCGATGCTCCAGAGACGGGCGACCCTGTCAGACCTGTACACGCCGCGGTTTGGGTGCAGAAGACTGTATCTATCTGGGCCAGCCTCGTCTTTCCGCCGAGCAGTCCGCCCCGGCAGATGCGACGGTACAGAAGGAGCTGCTGGCTCGTATTCGAAACTTGGAAAGTTTGCTTCAAAAACAAGTCCATTCTCAGTCCGCAACTCCCACGGAAGGGGAATCGCCAATTGGGGCCCCGAGTGCGACGGGCAGCTTCACTGAGTCAGAATTGGGGATCTCGCTAGAGACATGGGGCCGGTCTCTTTCTGGAAACATTGGCACCCTTCACACATCGCAATCAGGTCATGTTCGATATGTACCACTCGCTTCACAATGGGAATCTGTCGTGGCGAAGAGTCCCGCTGCAGACTGCCTACGAGGATCTGATGCCGACTTTGCGGACGAGGACGATCTGCAGCTTCCATTCGCGAAGGATGGAAGCATTTCTCGAGCTGAAATTCTGGCATTGCTACCCCCGGGCCGTCATTGTGATGCTCTCAAAGATGTCTACTTTCAAGTATTTTCTCCGGTCAGCACGTTCCTCTCCCTCCCTGTGCTTTAGTAGGCACCGCTCGCGAACATTATACGCTCACCGGACTGACACTCAATCAGGTTTTCCACATTTTACATGATCTTACATTTGACGCGGAATATCAACAATTCTGCCATGATCCCAGCAGCGTGTCGACGGCTTGGTTAGCTCTTCTTTTTGCTATCCTCGCTATTGCAATCAGCGCCCTCAACGACGATGATCCGATGCTGGCTGATCTTGGTAGAGAGCGCACTGTCAGTCGCAATATCAAAGTCATCTCTGCACGTTACAGGTCTGCAGCACTACGGTGTCTCGCTGCGGACGGAGTCATGACACGCGCGTCAATTAGTTCTCTTCAAGCCCTTGTTCTCATCAGCTATGCCCGGTTGCATCGAGGCCTTTCTTTCTGGACTCTTCTTGGCTTCACGCAACATGTTGCCATCTCAATGGGCTGTCATATCGACCCTGAAAGGTTCAGCCTGGGCCTCATTGAGCGTGAAGAACGACGTCGAGTATGGGCTGGCTTGAAGACACTCTATACCATTCAAAATACTTCCTTTGGAAGCCTTGATCAGACGCTCTTGTCACATGATGTCAAGATGCCCGCAGATGTCGACGATGTTGATCTCCTCACTATGCCGAAGATGCCCGCAACCTCTGACGCTTGCTCTCCTCGCATCACTCGTCCTACACAAATGACCTTTTTGCTGATCTCAAGCCGCCTTCATAAAATTTCCAATCGTGTTTGCGATTTCATTTTCACATACCCCCAGTCCCGTTTTTCTATCTCTCATCTCGAAGCCGAAGTTCTCGCTGTCCGTGAACTCTGTGAAGCGAGGTACAGCACCGAATCCTCTCGCGACTGTCTTTCCATCCAACACCAAGCGAATGCCAAAATCCTCGACGCTCACATGCACCAGTTACTTCTCCTATTACTTCGACCCACCCTTTGCCAGTTCTTGCAAGGTGAAATCACTCCGGAGACATGCGAGGCTCGTGAGAAATGCATGACATCTGCAAAGGCCGCATTGTCCATTTTCCAGTCACTTTTGCAGGATTCGAAATTTGCCCCATATCGATGGTACACCAGTGGTCTCGGCAGTTTTCACGCATTCCATGCGTCTGTTGTGCTGGCCGTTGGTCTGTTGAACCCTGTGGATCAAGCCGAATTTGATGAGACTAAGGAGATCCTTCGCAAAGCATTGGAGATGTTTGCCTCGCTCTCGGTACGAAGCACTTTCTGCAGTAAAGCCATGCCTATTGTGCGGCAGATAATGTGAGTCTCTTGCCCCCATGTCCTGGTTGCTTTCAGACTTGCAATGCTCTGAGCAGTTGTCTTTGTCAAAAATAAACCTTGGCTTGTCTTTGTAACTAATTCATCAAACAGCGAAGTGACGTCCGCACAATATCAGCAAACCAAACGACAAGAGACGACCCTTCGAGCACAAATACAAGCACAAGCACATCTCGCCTCTCAAACGATCGGCAATCAGCAGCAGCAGCAAAGTTTCGAATCAATCTCTCCCTCAGTGACACCAATGACTTTGACGGACAGCTTCATGTTCACACATGCTCACTCGCGATCTCACTCACAAGCGAACTCGCCCGTCCCAACCGTGGCTTCTTCCTGCAGCGAGCCTACCGTGTCCTCCAGTTTTGGAATGCATTTACATCCACAGCATTGGCTGGCTCCGACATCTGTCCCGTGGGATACGCTTGGCGCGTCGATCGGGCAATATAAGTTTGAGCCGGATACTTTATAAAGAGGGACTCCAGTATTCTGGGAGACAGTGCGTACAGCGATTTCATGATGTGCATATCTCCTACTTTTGCATGAAGCTACGATGAATGTTCAAAGGGAGGTGCTTGTTCGGCTGGTGATTCGGATTCATTTGGAAGGTGTTTGGGAGGCCACGGGAGGCGACGTTTATTCTATTTCGAAATACGGCAGGACCTATAGAGAATTGACATTTTAATCTGCTGAACCCCGCTGTCAAGCCGCATGTTGAAAGCGAGGAAGATTTGCAGTCGTCCTGCTTCTTCCGCTCCACACGGGGCCTACACCTAGACGCCAATGAATCCGAACAGAAGTGCGACTAGCAAGACAACAAGTCCAGCGATGACCTGACCTCCAAACACTTGACTTTTCTTGGTCCCCAAGATCAGCCGGATCAGGTGATGGGGCTTGAATCAGAATGAGGGAAGACCCTTGGGTCTTGGGTAGTCTCCTCGGGCTGCCATCTGTATCCAGTGATCCACTCCTCGGATCGCTTTCCCTCTTCCTAATCATGTCTTTCTTGCCACTTCCTTTGCTTTGTAAAGAATTTCGTCGGGTAGAGTATCGTCCAGGTGAGATGCTATCTAGCATCGCTATCTACTGTCTATCTGCTATCTAATAATCTAGTTAGGTATTGTAGGGAGCAGGGACTCAAGGAGAAGGTACATACTGTCATATCTTACTAATTTCCCCGAACATCCTCCAGGCTCTTAAACGGTGAACCCACATGCACCGCGCGCCCAGCAGGACACCGTTCGTTAAACCTTTCGGCCGGAACTGAGATTCATCCTAAGCGCGGGGTCTCCACCACCCATCTGTCTTGGCCCGGGCTGTTAAAGTTAGTTGCTAAGCCTCCTTCTCAACCATATTCTCCAGGCGGGAAACCACGGCCTGGGTAAGACGACGACGGACTTCGCGGCCTTTTTTTCACAAGCGTCAACTGGAACATCAATTCGCCCAAATGATTATACTACGGCCATGTCCGGTGAGCTCATTCGGAACGCAAAGGCATTTCAATCAATTGCTGAATGAGAGGAAGACTGTTGTTCAAACCCACGCTGCTGAGAATGGGCGCGAATGGAAGCCGCCTTCTACTCAACGCCGCCGACGCGAAAAGAATCCGTCTCTATTGTAAACAAGCGATGCCCCGAGAACTGGGCCAAGAGACCAGTATTTCTTTCCTGGGTCCTCATTTTCTACCACTGTTCGCCTCGCATCTGCGTTCACCTTTTTCGCTCGCTCAGGCAGCCGCCAAGGTCGGCGCAGACCCGACGTATATGGGAGCTGGCGCATTTGCCACCTAACCATGGAAATCCAGGGTTTGATGATACTAGAGCTCGAAACGTTGAATACGACAAGGCTCAGCCGCTCAACATCTGCGACATGTTTGACAATGAGTGATCTAGTCGATGGGAGACAGCTATCCTAATCCGGTTGTTCTCCGGAGCTGGCGGCCGGCGGCTGGTGTGGATCTTCGAGAGACTGATCCTTCGAGGGTCCAGCTACTTTATCTATCCAAGCACACTATTAGCATTGTATGACTATTATGGCCGACCGGGTGATCCTCTGAAAACTCTCAGTTCAATATACGATCGGTTCTAGTGACTGCGTCTACAGTCTTCACTAGGTATTCCAAGGCCTCGGTGCACCGGGTTGACTGGAGCGATCGGGGACTGAAGTCTTCCGGTATGTATCGGCATCGAATTTTCTTTTTTTGTTTCGAGTTGAATAGGGGAGCTAGAGGCGAAGATTCTTTGTTGAGACGTGAGAGTGATGCGAGGCTGAATGAAGTAGGTGGGTCAGATTGCGTTGAGGGGGAAAATAGAGTGATGTTGAATATACGCCCTGCACAACACGTTCTTCTCGAGGTGCTTCTTTCCATTTCCCTGGAGTGGAAGGTGGTTATTTAAGTAAGGGTCTTGAACGCGAGTGTTTCGGGTCATTTGATCTTGATTCGGGGTGAGATAAGGTTGGAACACGATCAACAGTCTGGTCCGTCTGTCAAGCTTTCAAAGGCGGAAGCTTCGTAAGTAAATACACATCAAACAATGAAAGTATTTTCCCAAAGCAAGATCTTCTAAGTTCTGTGATGCTGGTTTGAGCAATTGGTACTGTACTGGCCAAGTCCTGCGAAGATCTCATGAGTCTCTGCAGAGCTTATCGGGTTTCCTTAGATCGATCCACGTCTCTCTACCCGGAAAATTGCAAGATGTCGTGCTGAATCATCAAACCTTACGTGCGGGGATCGGAGTCAGTTACTTGGACTTGGCCTGTGGATGATCAATTTGAACAAGTTATTTGTCACATACTGAAGCTTGCCCTGCCGGGACGCCCCCTCAGAGTCCACAAATCAGATCTGGCACTTCCTCGTACAGGATTACTTCGAGATGATCGGAGATGACATCGCTCTAGGGTAGAAAGTTGGACTTTCACGCAGATCTATTCGCGATCTCATGCTCCGCACCACGAGCCTCTCACCGAAACATTGACTGATATCATCAATCCCAGATTTTGAGTCCAATGACCCACGGACACCGCTCAGATCTCAATCGATCCATCATGATCTCACAGCTGACAGCATCCACATAAGGGTTGAATCTCCTTTGCAGGCAGCTTCCTAATCTAGACCATGATCCAAGAAAGCACGCCCAGCAGCACCAGAGAGCTCATGCCACCGACAGTCTGAACCGACACGCCTGCATTAGGCGTCGTCGAAGGCGATGATGCCCCAGCGCTTGTCTTGGTCGCGGATGCGCTCGTAGCAGTGTTGCTGATGCTGTCTGTTGTCCTGCTGGAAGTTGTCTGATTCGTAGAAGTTCCGAGGACACCGCCGAAAGCGTTCGCCGGGGTCGATGAGTCTTGGACTTGCGAAGCGGCGCTCTTGAAGGCTTCGATGGTCTCTTTTCCACCGGACCTAAAAAGAAATATATCGAGACACGAATGCGATCAGCTCTGGATCAAGTCTGAGAGCGCTACAGGTGAGCATCCACTTACGGAGGATTGATCACTCCCACCATACCGGCTTGACAGTGCTGTCCCACACCACAGTAGTACCAGATGGGATCGGTGTTGTTCACTGTCACAGTAAAGGTGGTCTCCTAGGAACAGAATTAGTGCCATTATACCCTGTTCTGGTCGGCGTCTTCCATTCTGTCATCGTCACTTCCGGTCGGGTTCGGGTTCGGGTTCAGGTGCTGGTCAACTTACAGATTTCCCAGAGGTGGAAACCACTCCCGAGTAGAAACCACCCTGCTTGATTGGCGAGCATGGGTTTGCAAAAGTGGACTGGGCCACCAAGTGTGCTGGCGGGTAAAAGTGAAACTCAATCTTGTCACCCACGGGAACGTTCAGGGACGCCGGGGTGAAAGAGAGACCATCTTCACCCACGTCAACACGGTGGACGGTACCGGTTCCAGAGGGAGCGGAGGCCGATGATGAGCTTGACGAAGTGGCGGTTGTCATTCCATTGCCACTTTGGGCGTGGATCAAGGGCAGAAAAGAGAGCGCGGCAACGCTGCTTAGAAGACGCATTTTGCAGGAAAGATTTTGATAACGTCCTGTCACTTTTAAGGACCTGGTGATGAAATGAATATGTGAGTAGTCTCAGTCATGACGGATGTGACTATGGGCTATTTATACTCCGAATCGAGGAAGCCATAACGATCGTGCACTACGCCTAATGTGGGCTGATAGTTTGAATTCCAGTTGAATGGGACGAGAGCTTCATACTCTGACTGACATCCTTCCAAGAGACCCAGCCTCGGAGGTCACCAATTGATGCTTAGGTGAATGTCCTGCAAGTCTGGCAAAGGATCAGACTCCGGAATGTCCGGGCGAATAACCGGGGTCGCTCCCCCCTCGTCCGCGCATCGTTGATTGATAAGACCGAAGGATTGCTTAGGTAGCTACTAGCTACCCACCTGCCTGTCGAAGTAGCTCTCAAGGACGATGGCTAAACGAGAACGACAGGCAGTGCCCTACATCAGACGGCAGTGGGGACGGGTTTCCGTGAAGCACTATTAGCACCGTCATCCTGATTCTCTCCTCTACTTCCTCCGACGCGGCTCATACCCACAGCCCAGCCATGCAAGTCTTCTCTTCTTTTACTGTAATGGGTTAATGTGCAATGGAGCCCACGCTCAGCCTCGAAACTCCAATCCGCCAGTCGCTGACCTGAAGTGGAGAGACAGTCCCTGAAAAGAGCTGGATACTGCCAGATGGTCTTGGGTGTCATGAATGAGGGAGCAAACTGGTAATTAAACTCCGTGGGTCAATTTCGTGCCAAGCCCAGACTAAAGATCCTTTTAAAGTTTGTCGGTCTTTGCCGGTTCTGGCTAGTCTGAAAGGGTCTCTCCAGGGCGGGGCGCAGCACTCTTGGAGCTCTTCTTCAACAAAGACGCAAGGGTCACGTTGAAACAAATGGCCAAAATCTTGAAGGATGTGAGTCGGGGGATGATCAGCCGCATAATCTCCAGATTCAGCCGGCGGATCTCTGCCTACCATTCTAGATTGGGCAACTCGTTCATTGCTCTTTCGAGATCAGCCCCCGCAACTGGGTTGAATGATCGACCATAACCTGGACCGTCGAAGGATCTCTGTCGACGAAGATGCCAAGCTTGAACCCAGACTTGGAGAGGAACGAAAACGCCAGTGACAAAATGATTGTCATCCCAGCAGGCCGGCTCCCTTCTTCCAGGCTGCAATGAAAGAACTAAAAATATGTCATTGCGACGACAACGTGGCCCAGTTCAAAGCTGCGTCGCGTCAAGTGCATATAGTCCCCCGTTGCAACCCCGAAGATAAAGGTACAGAACAGTCAACAAACTCAGTACTTGGGCTCTGAGGCGGATTTGAAATAACCCACCAAGGGCGTTAGCAGTCGCAACTTACCCAAGCGAACACTCTCACTCTTGTCCTTCCTTTCTCTTTCGGTTTGCAACCTCAACATTAGTTCTTTCCAAGGATCGGTCCCTGCTCAAGATGCAGAGTCTCCTGCGACGGACAATAATTCAATGCCTGTGTTGGCTTGCCTGGGCTGAGGTCAGCCTGGCCCAAATACAAAGTTTCCGCCCCAGCGGCATCGATGGCATCACGTACAGCGTCAATATCCCTCAAGATACAGCCCAGTCTGGCTCGGGTCCAATCTACTTTCAATTGAAGTCGACAAGTCAAGTATCGTGGTTTGCCCTAGGCCAAGGCTCCGGCATGTCGGGCTCAAACATCTTCGTTGTATATCCCAACGGCAACAACAACGTCACGATCTCCCCTCGCCTGGGTAGAGGGCAAGTGCAACCCCTTCACAATGATGCTGCACAAGTCTCACTGCTCGAAGGAAGTGGCGTGGAGAATGGTGTGATCACGGCCAACGTGCGATGTGACAGTTGTATCAACTGGGGAAGTGGAAGCACTGACCTGACCAGCACATCGAGCTCATGGATCTGGGCTGTGAAGTCTGGCTCACCACTGAGCTCAAAGGACGCGTCTGCCTCTATTTCCTTTCACGACCAAGCCGGCAGCGTATCGTTGGATCTAACGAAGGCCACTGGAGGATCATCAAGCAATCCTTTTCTGGAGCGAGGTAATACACCCGGGCCGACGACAATCGTGGCTGCCTCCCAGAGCTCCGACAACACCACTCAGAAACGCAAGACTGCGCATGCCGTCTTGATGACTGTCGCCTTTGTCATCTTATTCCCCGTCTTCGCCCTACTTTTCTATCTCGTCCCGTCTCCCCATGTTGCTCTCATTCATGGTGTTCTGCAACTCTTCACGCTTGCAGTCGCAATTGCCGGAATGGGTCTGGGAATCGCCATTGCTGGAGACCTCCAGCTAATGCATGAAGCCCATCCCGTCATTGGAATTGTCGTTGTCGCTGGACTCACGGTACTTCAGCCACTCATGGGCCTCGCACAGCATCTCTATTACCGAAAGACGCAGAAAAAGGGCATCTTTGCGTACACGCACCGATGGTTTGGCCGGGCTTTTATTATCCTGGGGATTATCAATGCTGGGCTTGGACTCAAATTAGGTCGGGCTTCACGAGGAGCAGTGATTGCAGTCAGTGTGGTAGCGGGTGTGATGGGTCTGTTTTATATTGCTGTGCTGTTCTTAGGCCAGAGGAGACGTACGTTGAAGGCGTGATTGAATACTTTTTTCATTGAAAGACGGTTCTTCCCGTGATGAATTCTTCCAGTCCCAGCCCTGTGTGGGATACTTGCGTGTACCAACATACCGTATTTTCTTGTGATAAATGTGTCCTGCGTATAGCAATCTTGGATATTCAGGAGGTTCTGGATTTGCCGAATGAGTTGGCCTTTCATCATGATGTCTGTTTATGTCTTTCCCCGGGATACCGTCAGTCTCGTTCGCTGGCTGAGGGGAACTGCTATGCCCCGATTTCTTGAAAGTCAGTAGGTTCCAAACCGAGTCACGGAATCTTGTGTAATAAGTCAGATTCGGCACTCTATACAAACAGAAAATTTCTTAAAAAAACTTGACCTCACGTCAGGAGTGGGAAATAGAGGATGAAAACAGACCAAGCAATCGCGGTACGTCTGCAGGGCACAAGGTTCAACCACAATTGCGGGTATATCCCAATTGCCACTTTAGCTACCAGATCCCTTTGGTACTGACAAGGCAATATGTGTACACTGTACAGGAATAAGGCATGAGAAGCCCAGGTTGTCTGAGATTGACTGCTCCAATGCCCTTGACCGAGAACATCACACCAAGGACGTTTGAAGGGCGATAATGCACACTATGCACTCGAGCATTCCACATTGGCACATGTAAATAGTGAGCGGGCATATGACCATAGAAGAGAAGGTCGAGTATAAGGGGCCCGCAACGAAGTTGGGAAGCGAGGGTTGAATATAATGTATCTCAATGCTTGTTTCTTACTAGGTACTACATAGGCAGTATTAATTGACTCTGTGATTAACAGATTGATAGGTAGCTTTCTATCTAAGTAGGTATATCAATGATAATTGTCTACCTAATATACAGTATTTGTTGGCGAGCTGCATCCTCGTAGGAGAATACATTATGCATGCATTCATGATGATGGATTCATGATCAATCGATGATGGTCAGCCCTCCATTATTGAACAAACACCTCGGTGGCATATGCGAATCTTTCGTCCAACAGGCGCGTATGATTATTTTCTTGTCTTGAATGTACAGACCAGTCAATCTCGACTAGTCATCCCGTGGCAATCTTCGTATCGCGCGGATTATAGGCGGTGCACCGTCTAATTGTCCATTGAACTAAGTACTCGGCGTGCTACTACACAACCGCCACAGGGAACGTCAAAGCAGGTGCCAGATGACGTCATAGAGTCCCGACTTGCCAACAACAAATTTGCTTTTGGACTACCATCACTGAGCATGCCTCATGCATCCCCATCACGATACATATGGTGGTCTTGTGCACTAGGGCATTTTTGATTCAATTTATTGGAATAAAATATGGATAGAATCAGCACGGTTGATCAGTCATGGTGTGAATCCTTCAGGTTCAATTGAGTGCAGAGCCCTACAGGGCTGGTCTCCAATCCTGTTTCCAAACCTGGCTAGCAGACTTCTACCCAGCAGTCTGATCAAAGATACCTTCTCCTTGAGTCAAGTCCGGGACGCCAGATGAAAACAAGACCAAAGAAACCGGGAACCTGAAATGCAGCTTGAGCCTAGTTTAAAGCTTTCAGTCATATCGTGGATGATTTGCAGGTGGGCCATCGTTTCGAGGGGCAACTCTTTGTCAGGTCGATTCAGACATTTTCCATGGATCCGCGGTCGGGCGCATCAAGATTTGACCCATGGAACAGAACTATGAATTCCCCAAATGTATACAGGTGTAAACAAAAGATGCTTTCCTTCTGTCACAAAGCGAAGAATGCATGCCATGCCTCATGCATCAGGTTGCGCACCCCCGCGAGGGCTTAGCTTCAGACTCGGGCGCTGTACAGCCCTGCTGCATTTCGGCTCACCGTCTGGTCTGCACGTATTCCTGGATGGTCAAAGTCACAGACAGCTACCCGGGTGTGGTCAGGAAATGAGAAAGCCAGCATTTATCCAGAAAACCATTCCTATGTTCTAGCAGCCGTTGTACTCCTCGGCGGTGTGTACAGGAATGTGCCTTGTGCAATGTACTGCAGAGCCTCACGTGGCTGTTGCGTTTTTGACGTGCAGCTTCGTAGATGGTCTGACCTTTTCCCTCACCTCCACCACTGCACCCTCCTTTTAATTACTTAAACTCATCAGCATCATCCTCCTCCTGAAAAGTACATCGTGACTACGTCTTTCCTCAAACGACTTTATCCAACCTACTTGACCTTTCACCTTCACCTGACACTCATCCTCTACCTATCTGCTCCTCTTCTGTGCCAATTAGTGTTGCCTGCTGATCATCTGCAGGCGCCTGCGGGGCCGACTGGCTGCGAAGAGACTCCGCTCGGCTGTGGACACTGACTGTTCTGACGAGACACGGGGTGCATTTTTGATTGAGATCATCGGCTGCACCCTCGAAGAATCTCGATCTTTCCGACGTGGGCCAAGTCTTGGACAAAGGTGAAATTGTTTCCTTTGAACTTCCGTGCTATCATACGCACGACGTAGCCCACTGGGTGGCTTTCGACTCGCTTCTGGAACTTCCGCTTGCCAATCGGATCTTGTCTCGACTGACTGAGCAGTGAGCAACTGAGCACCACTTTCGTGCATTGGGCCGCTTTGTCTGTCTTGCGCCGCCCGACCATACACGCCAAGGACAGCTTGTCCACATCTGGCAGCCTCTCATCTTCCCTTCCCATTTGGAACCGACTGGACAAAGGTGTGCCAGGCTCAGCCAGTGGCGCGGTCTCCTCGGCTGGGATCTTGTTACTGCACTCTCGCATCAAAAGACCCGCTGACCTGCGTCGCCGCCTTCCCCCCAATTCCTTGCATCGCATTTGTTGCCGTCGTGCCCCTCCGTCGGCACCTTTCCACTTCAGCCTCCCCGATCGGCTTACTCCCACACTCATCTCTTTTGAATCCTTTGCTCTAGTCTTGAATCCATATATCTAGGACTCATCTGACTTTGGTCATTCACTTATTCTCTCCTTCACTGGTGTACCATGTCGTACAGCTACCGGGAGCGTGATCGGTACGAGGATGACCGACCCATCACTATCAAGCGTTACGTCATCCCCTCTGAAGAGCGGGATGAACGACGAGAATTCAAATTTGACCGAGATGATGGATTTGGTGAGCGAGAATTGGTGATCCGTCGGAAATTCGAGCGTGAACAACCCTTGACAGTGGCTCGGTATGAGCGCGATGTGGAATACGATCCTCCAGTTCGTCGTGTGGAACGTGAATATGAGCGGGATTACTACTATGAGCGTGAGTCCACAGAACCCCACGGCCCCCGCCATTACGCCAGATCGAAGACGATGAGTCGGGACCCATACAGACGACCCCTGGGCTCGGCTCATTCTCATATTGAGCATTCATTAACGTCCTCGATGTCAGCTCGCAATGCGTACTCTAGTCCGCGGGAGTCGGAATACGACATGGTTCGACGCTCCGATGCGGAGGAAGAGCCCTACTACTACCACCGTCATCGACGTGTGCGCGAGTATGATGATCGTCGCTCACGTCGTGAGTTGAGCCCCGGTGACTCTGTTTCTCAGGCGAGCCGTCGTCATCGTCGCGACCGTGATGATTACAGCAGCGACGATAGCATGGTCTACATTCGCAAAGAGACCCGTGAGTATGACGATGAACGTCCCCACCACAAGCTCCATCTCGCTGAAGGCGCACTCATCGGGGTCGGTGCCGCCGAGCTCCTTCGCAACCACAAGCAACGTGAAGGTAAGGAGGTGGGTCACGGGATGAGCCATGCTGTACAGACGGCTGGAGCCGGTGCCCTGGGCGCTGTCGCGGCAAATGCGGTAGGCCAGGCTCGGGACTATTATCGCAGCAAAAGTCGCCATCGCCATCGCTCGCACTCTTTCGATGACGGCCGCCGCTCTCATCGCCATAGCCGCCGCAGTCGCAGTCGCAGCCGCAGCCGTTCACAATCACACTCTCGTGCGAAGACACTCCTGGAATTGGGCCTGGGTGCTGCAGCAGTTGCCGCCGGCGTGGCTGCCCTGCAGAAGAAGAAGTCCGATGATCGTCGCAGCAGATCTCGAAACCGCTCTCGCTCCCGCTCGCGTCCTCGCGGCTTGTCTCGTGGTCGCTCTGAGACGGTTCTTGACGGTAAAGAGGGCGAGCGCAAGACGCACATGGTAGAAGCAGGCTTGGCTGGTGCTGCTGTCGCAGGCTTGGTGGATCATGCTCGCAATCGATCGCGCTCCCGCAAGGGTGAGCGCTCGCAGAGCCGGCTTCGCAAGGCCATCCCCGTCATTGGCGCTGGCCTTGCGACTGCGGCTGCCACTGGTCTTTATGAAAAAAGAAGGCTGAGAAAGACGCCAAGGGTCCTGTCGATGCCGGTGAGGAATCCCGCTCACGTTCGCGTTCACGAAGTCGCAGCCGAGCGCCGTCTGAAGCCTACGCGGACCCGTCGCGTGAGCCGGCCGGACTAATCGAGTACGGTGCCGAGCCTGTTGCAGGAAGAATCCCTGCGGAGCATTACTATGGCCAGCCGGCTGGTCCTGCAGATGTCTATTACTCGGACGGAGCTCGGCGACACAGTCGCTCCCGAAGCCGCGCTGGTCGTTATAGCCCCAGCTCCGACTCTGACCGTGGCGCTCGTCGCAAGAGCAAGAGGCGTCACAGTCGTTCGCGCGACCTGGCTGGGGCGGCCCTGGGCGCTACAGGCCTGGGATATGCAGCGCATAAATTCTCGGAGCATCGAGAGCGCAAGAAAGCTGAGCGGTCCCGTTCCCGCTCACGTACCCGTTAGTTCAGCCCTGGACAAACGTACCTCATGGCTGAGACGCTGACATTAACTCCACGCAGGGTACAACGACGACTCCCATCGAGATCCTTACGTGGAGGCTTACGATCCAGTGCCGTACCCCGTCTCTCCCCAAGGTACCCACCAACACCCAGCAGACAGCTACTATCCCAAAAACAACTATTTCCCGCCGCCTCCTGGTTCGTCAACGACGAACTTGAACAGTACCCCTCAGCCCTATAATCCCGCAAACTACCCACCACCGCCAGGTGCAGCGCCTCCGTCACAACCTTACAATTATGGAGTCCCTCCGCCTGAGGCTGATCCCTATGCTGCTCGACCACGGAGAGCCGATGAGAATGTGAGTCCTGTGGCGAGCTCCACCATTACCCTTCCCAATGAGAAAGCCCACGACGGTGCGTTCTCCGTAACGTCTCCGCTTGCCACATTTGGTCGAATTGTCTATAGCTGACACGCTTTTCGTTAGGTTTAACTGAGCGCGGCGTTACACCAGAGCAATCACCTGTGAGCCCAATGGATCAGCAACCGACAACGGCCTCCAAGTCCGTGTCATTTGACTTGGACGCGAAGCTTAAGCGGGCTCAAGGCTCTGCGTATCAGACCGAAAATAGCAAATCAACTATTGACGGCCACTCGTCGCATCGTCATTCTCATCATCAGCACCGTACCCAACAACGATCGTCTACGTCTCCCTTGGAGCATGATGACAATCACAGACTGAGTGGTCGGACCCACGCGAGCTCCAGTTCGTCCGCGTTTCCCGATGGAGCGTTGTCATCAAAGTCGCAGTCCCGACATTCCCGCCGGTCCTTAGTCCAAGAGTCTCACGATGATTCAGATTCTACAGTTGATCTGCCAGCCCGGTTCGACTCTGAAGGCCAGCCTCTCCCTGAAAGAAGCGCAAGCTCCTCTGTTGAACGACTTGAGGACTTGTTAGAGCGAATCACCAAGGTTCTGATTTGAATGCTGCTGATTCGCGGATACCTTGGTGTTCCAATACCCCGTACCCTGAGAAGGAGAGCGTGGCCCGGAGCCGCAATTTCCCTCGACGCTGCTTTGATGAACCGCCCCCTTTCTTGTTTTATGATTTGATGCGTTGTATTTCGGAGGATAGAGATGATGACCGGATAATGTGTTGAGGCTTCGATGGATATCGCCCTTGTCCTCAGCACGCTCTTACACTGCTTCATGAATGTAATGATGATGTCCCTGCCTTTTCTCGACTCCCCCATTGTTACTCCACGCTTTTGCCCCTTTCCGCCAATGATATGATTTTTTTTTTTCAACGTGATGTATGTTCGCCCCCATTAATGATGATGATTGATGACCAGCCTCCAGCTTGATTATTGATAGGATGCAATTAACTTCTTGATCCGATCCGTCTCCATACATTATTTCCCTACGTAACCTAGTCTTTCTTAGACTCTGGTACTACGTCCGCCTCGGATACGTGGACCATGAAACTTATTTACCATGCCGTATTTTAGCTGGACGAGCGTACTGAGAACTCGTGATCGCAGAAGGAAGATTGAGAGACACTTCACCGAGGGAGATATGTCAAATGTATCGTCGAGCATAGGTGAACGTGATCTTTGGGATTGTAAACACGCTATGTCCATGCTAGTTGCTTAACAGCGTGCGCTTAACAGGATAAAGGAGAAGCTGAAAACAACCACCTGATTGAAATGACCAGGTTGAAGTGGTTGAGCGATTCTTGGCCGTCGTTATCGTAACACGTAGACACATGATGATGCTAAACATCAGAATCCATGCAAAGAAAAGAAAGGGAAAAAGTGTGTATATAGCAATGCAGTATTCCAACTCGGGTGCTGAGAAAGTGAGAACAGATTGCAAGGGATGAAGAGCAATGAGACAGTTCCCAAGTCCATCAGAAGTAGTTCGAAATGCGGGTTGCAGGTGGTCTGTTCTCGGATAGCGATTTCGAGCGAGACTGGTACAGATTGACCCTTGTGTAGAGGGAGAGGGTGGGAATAGGACACAGCTTTGGGTGCGGATGCGATTGGGGTTGCGAATCGTGACTGTTTGGTCGTTGCTGCCTTTCCTCGAACATGACAGGACAAAGACGGGTTTCGAACGGGGCGCTGGAGGTTGGAGGAATACCAGGGAAATCAATGCATTCAAGTCGCAAATCACAAGCTTCTTTTTGTGGTTAAGAGGAAGTGTCAGGGCGCCAGTTCAAATTTCTCCCAGGATTATGCAGATCGTGCCAAAGAAAACAGGGGCAGTGAAAAGGTAGGAGTGGGAATCATGGTTATACAAAGTCAGAAACAGCAAATAGAGCAAGTCAGCTGGACAGCTGCTCATGCGGCTCAGAGCCTTACACTGAAGGAACAGAAATAAATACAAAGGCAGGCAGAAAGGTATTCTGTAAGGTTGTCATGAAGGACATCAATCTATCGCTAAAGGGTTGTACAATAGTATAAAATGTAGGGGAAAAGAATTCGTAGTCGGTCAGGTTCACGATGCAGTCTGTCGACGTTGTGTCTCAGAAGCGTGGTCGGAAAGACGGCCCGAGTCGGCGACAGGATACGTTGCCGCAGGAATGCCCGCTGAAGAAGAGGTTTGTGATGGTGATAAGAGGCCAAGGTGGGTTGAATTGTAACTGATCGGTCCGTCAACGTCACCGCTGTCCTCGTCAGGAATGACCCGGCGAGTCGAGCTGATAGACGCGGAATTGTAGCGCGCGCTCAGTGGAAGTTGGTATTTGACCGTGCCGCGCACAATGAGATCGAACGGATGCTGGAGAACGCGCTCCCATCGCTCGGTGCCGCCTGCCTCCGTCTTATTGCCAGGCCGAGCGAGTCGAATTTGGCCCTTTGAGACTGACAACATACGCCCCCAGGGAGACGCCTCGAAAGAGAGCGGTGAGTCAAAATGGTAAACACGTCCCAAAAGCATGGTTTGCGAATCGCTCTCGGGGTCATTTATGGGATCCGTGCCCTTGTCAACACCATCACCAGTGTGTGGCTTAGAATAGCGATCCATGGCTTGCTCAACACAGTCAGTGCGACCCAAGCACTTGACCAGCTGTGAGAGATACCATCGCTGTCGACTCTGCTTGACGCGTGGAGTTTGGTCGTTGACCATGGCGGGGGCGTTGCTTGTCCATGAATTATCTGTACCCACATGTCGGCTCTTGGCAAAGAGGTTGAGATCGGTATCCTCTATTGTCACTGGAAAGATGTTGGGATTCACAGCTTCGACCAGTAAGTCGAGCATTATTTCTTGCTCCGAGGCCAAAACATTTTGAATTTCGAGGATCTGAACATCGACCAGGGTCTTCGTGGCCGCAGCTATGAATGAGGCAGCGCCACCAGCGATGATGAGCATGACCAGCAAAAAGATGACGCACGACCCATATCGTGAAAGGCAGCCCCTTTCGCGCTGAGCCATGTATTCCATCTGCCTAAGACTGGCACTGCCGGGGCGACGTCCGTGGCGACTGCGAGAGGTTCGTGTAGTCCCCACAAGGGGCGTTCGTTCATCATCGGCACCTTCGGCATCAAAATCATATACATCGCTGGTCCTCTTGCCGCCGGGACCTTTATAATTTGGAGAAGAGCGCGTGTTGCTGTTGCGGGAATGGCGATATCCACTGCCAAGAAAATGGCGAGGTGACTTCATCGAGCCTTGCGGCTGGGGGAAAGGCCCATCCCCATCAAACAGGGAGGGATATACACCGTTGCGTCCATGGCGTCCCACATGGTGATGGCGAGGGGTTACGGTACCGCTGCCATCGACTCGGCTACCTGTTCGGCTGCCATCTGCATCCTGAACTTCGCCATCTAGACTGCTGTTGTATGTATTGTTGGTGAATTTCATGCTGCGTTTGCCAGTCACGCTGTGCGCACCGTCGCGCATGGCCCCACGGGCTCGACCGGCCAGTTGGTCCACCTGACTCGCCATCGATGTCGCGCTCGGCGTCCTGGAGTGGTATCGTGTCTGACGAGACGGATAAGGATCCGGAGGATTTGACTCGTACACAAAAGTCTCATCAGAGTCAGACACGTCGGCTTCGTCCACAGCGCTAGCTACCTTGGCTTCAAAGATATCAGCCTTGCTGGTGCCCGGGCCATTGGTCAAATGATTGGACCGGCGAGTCTTCTTCTTTTCTTTGCGTGGTCGTATAGTCTCTGTGGAGGGCTTCATACGCAGGGTTCCCGGGTCGGCACGAATTGTCCCTCCTCGCTCGCCGGGAACCACACCTAGCGAGACTTGCGGGATCGAGGTCACCGTTTCCGTCTCGACAATCATATTTCGGACGGAACCATCAGCAGGCTTGGCCCGTGCATTGGCACTTAGAGATGCCGACGAACGCTGCGGTATGATTGTGCGGGGCATCTTCACCGTGCCTGTAGCGGGGACCGGCGTCTTATCCTCTTTGATACTTGACTGGCCACCAGAATCGCTACCACTCTCTGGATTGTGTTTAAAGGCCCGCGGTGTGGTATCCTCATCAATCGTGTGTAATCGGGCGTCCTCCGGGGTCGTGGGCTTCACATCGGTCTCGCTAGACGGAGTGGATGGATCACTGGCCATCTCTTGCACCGTCTCCAAAGAGAGTCCTTGCCCACTCATGCCCCTTGCAGCTGGCCGGTGGCTGCTACGGTCAGCCTTACCCGACTCTTCCACCGGCGAGGGGGACGCTCGTTTGTGTGAGATATTCGAAGCGGACGGATCCTGCTCCGGACGTCGGTTCCCCGCCCAGGATGAGATGTTGTGTTTGTCGGTATTGGGAACATTGGTTGATTGTTCGGAGAAGGCGGGGGAGGGGAGGAGAGATTGCGGATTTGAAGTCGGCACAGGTGAAGAAGAAGCACGCTGGCTGGGTGGAGGCGGCGGGATACGGGTTGCAGAGTGGGAGGTGCTCGAAGCTCGACCAGGAGAGAGGCGGTCCTGGCTGGGTTTACGGGTGTGAGACAATGTAGAAGTGGTCGATCCGGGATTGTTCTTCCGTGAGGATGTCCGGACCGGAGAAGATTCACGGGAGGAGACAGTAGAATTGCAGGTCGATGAAGATGCAGAGTACGCAGGCAAGGTAGGGAGCAGTTTGGGAACTTGAGTCATCGCCTGTCCTTGGAACCGACCAGTTGAACGTGAAACTTCCGACATGTCATTGCTATCCTGAACCGGCCGTTGTGTTGTTGTGGTGTCTGCTGCGGGCGGGTGCGCGTCCTTGCTGCCCGGGGAAGTCGATGAATCGTCACCGCCGGGCGGCCTATATGGCTCTGAAGGCATGATCGATGAGTAAGAGAATGGCTGACACGAACAGTACAGGTGTCTCAGCCGACCTAGGCGACAGCCTCACAGGTCGGGCAGGAATGAATCACTGCAGTGACTGCCCCGGAGGTAGTGTGGATGGTCCCCAAGTCTGGCCCTAGACGGGAGGGGCCGAACGAGCCAGTGGCCGACACCAGACTAGACAGACAGCCTGATGTTGTCCAAGGTCGTATTGATTGGTAACAGGATGATCAAACGCCGTGAGAGGTGCAGAGTTTGCTATGTCGTGCAGGAGGGGAGTGGTCGTTACACAAGCGATGCGGTCAAGCGAATCATCGAAATTCACATGCTGGTTTGCGGAAAGCCGTGGGTACCAGGGAGAGCGGTCGGGTCCGGGAAAGGGTAGGAGGCAGAGAGAGGATGTCGCGGTCGGTTCTAGCAGAGAGAAATGCAGGAATTGAAGCAGGTAGACGCTGATATTGTGTACTGTGTAGTGGAAAAAGCGGGAGGAAAAACAGGGACCATGAACAGTCTGTGCCTCTGTGGTGGTCTGCGCTTAGTGAGAGCCGGAGAGGGCAGGAAGGAAAAAAACCGAAGATCGAAATGGTCACGATTATTCAGGCGCCATCACCGGCCTGGCCTGTTGGCTTTGTTTGCCGTGATCGCTCAGACTAAACAGGAGGCGTCTAGAACCGGAGGAAGGTAACTGGGGGGGGGATTATGGTTGGCGGGAACTCACAAACAATGGGGGAGGGAAGCCGCCGATCCGGTTCAACGTTTGGGCGTCGATTGGGGGCGCGGCGTGGTACATGGGACATACTTGTTTTGACACTTTGAGCCCTTCTCGAAGGGCGAAGATGTGGCGTAGGTCTCGTCTTTCCTGGCAAAGGCGTGCAGACGTGCAGAGTTGTGCGCACTTTGAGGTGTCGGTGTCCACGACCTCGGGAGAACAAGTGGCTGATAGAGTGGAGTGCACAGAGCCGTCGAGGAGCAGAGAAGCCAATGGTGGTGGCCCACGTCAAGACTGAACGGCTGGGCCTTTTTTGGCGGACTGCAGGAGAGCACTCGGATGGAGGGTCTATAGGGGACTGGACTGTGCAAGTGGTCAGGCCTGCAGAAGATTGAGGAGAGAGCAGGTGACAGCAGTGGAAGTAGTTGCCAGTTACTGGAGGACTGAAGGAACAGCCATGAAAGGATTAGAATTGCGTAAGAGTGAAGCAACGATTCCGGGGAAGGATGGGAAGATGACTGTGGATCGTACCTTGCGAGAGAGGCCTTTTGAGAAGAAAAGGCTCAATAAGCTGGGAATCATATGACGACAGATGGTTTATTTCTGATTACAGTACATGAATGTATTACTGTATTTTATGGGTGTGGCTTGGGCTGTCACTGGATGAGATTAGTAGTAATAATACAAGCCCCATGAACATCGCTTACCGTGGACTGGAGCAAGTCACGTGCATAGCTTTACCGTAGGCGTACGCGAGTTAGAGTACTCAGTACATCAGTACAGCACCACTGCAGTACTGCACCAGTGAGCATCTTACGTGAGTGAAATAAGAATACTGTCAAGTTTCAATTCGTCGAGTCTTCAATGAGGTCATCATGACCTTTACCAACGGTTCGTCGATAGTTACCAATTACCTATCTAAACGTTTTTACCGTCATTCATGGTTTAGTTATCATCATCTGAACACTCATCCTTACTTTAGGTATTACTCATGTTCGACCGTCGTGAGGTGTGATCACCTCGAAAAATGACAAATTCTTCCAAAGCAAGGAAACATCCCTATGCACATGCATAGTATAGTTAGTACTCGGGACTCAGAACTCAGTAGAACCTATGTACTAACTTCATCATGTTGATAACTTCATAAGGTCCCTAGCGGTGATATATGAATCCCTAGCATACTTTAGTAACTTTACACGTGCGCAAGCTCACACTGTCAAGTGTCAACTAAACTCTAACATACACAGCTGACCAGTTCCTCTTAGTAAATGACAATTACTTTCCGCGTCAAAGATCACCCTCATGAGTCGATAGTCGATACTCGATATACTACCGAGCTATTACACGCACTGAACTCAGTAAGCTAGATGGACAAATAATATACTTAAATGTAGTAGTGCAGACTGCAGAGTGCTGGGCAGATGGTACCGTAGGCTCTGCCTCATTACTGTCCGCTGGCTCCCTAAGTACAGGCCCTGCCGACAATCTTCACCTCCGGGGCCTGCATGCATCGATAGCAAACGGGGCAAGGAAAACATACAGTACAAGGAAAGGGGCGAATAGGCCGATCCCGTGATCTACCCCCATCATCAATGACTTGCTGTGCGTATACTACGCTCAACATAATGCCGAGGCAAGGCAAGCCATTTATTTTGAAACCTCTGCAATTATTCAGTTAGGGAGGTTGAATAAATGGCCTGTGAACGCCGGGACGGAGATGATTAGCTTGCGCCCCCTCCCTCACATGCACATGAGACTCTCGTGCGAGCCCCCTCGGCTCTTTTCGACGGGTATCATGGAGTGTTGTAATGGGGGATTAGGGATGGCTTGCTTGATTCGATATGAAAGGGTAGATAAATAGTACTGGAACTGATGGATTTCACCTCGTCTATTTGTCAACATTCTAAGTCCTTGATACAGTACAACTTTCGGGTATGCAACCATGTGACCATGTCAGTGAACGATACCAATCGTGATACTCGTCTCGATGATGGTATTCATTCACTCAGTATCTAAACCAACGGGCATCGAATGCGCCCACAATTCATACATCATTTCATAAATCGCCCCGAGGGGTCTTGCGCGTCGGTGCTGATGGCACCGTACGCATCCAGCTTACTCGCTTTTGCCATCCAGCAGACGGAACAAGGTCGTGAACTCAAATGGACCCGCCTCCAAGCGGTTACCCTCGAACGCACCGGGGCCACAGCTGCCGGTACCGATACCATGATGAGCAAAATCAACGGTGAACTCTGTCTCATTTTCCAGCGCATTCAGCTCATGAGGATGTTTGGCACGGTCCAGCTCCTCCGTAGAGTACCGGCTCAGCGAGAAATTGAAAGGCGAGTCCATTCGGGTCTCAATCTCAGGCAGAGCTGCTTGAGCCTTGGCAGAGGCAGCGTACGATTGGTCGGCTGATGCCGCATGAACCCGGACCCAGCGGGTATCGGTTCGATTGCCGTTTTCTTGAGGCCACTCGTAGGGGGTCTCGAGGCCAGTGTCGATTGACGAGGTGAAGGTTCCGAAGCGAGCAGCGGCTTTCTTGTCGCGGTAGGACTCGCCGGGACCGCGGCCGAACCAGGTTGCACCCTCGTAGCTACGGGGCAGACGGATCGTGAGACCGATACGGGGAACGACGGTAGGGAAGGTACCGGAGAAGTCACCCTTGACGTGAAGCTGGACGGAGGACCCAGTGATGGTGTAGGTGAGATCGGCAACCATGGCCCACTCAAGGACGACGGGTGCGACGCGGACCTTGGTAGTGATGGAAACGCTGCCGTCGTTGTTGCTTTTCCAAGTAGAGCTTTGCACGAGCATGCGACACAAGCTGTCCACACGGAAACGCTGCCACTCGGCGAGAGGACCGCCAGCCCCGATGTCGTTCTGAGTCAGGGCACGGTAGATACCAAGCTGGGGTCCGCTATGGAAGACCTTGCCCGCATCGGTAGACCATGCCAAGTCACCTCGGACAAGGTCATAGGTGAAGTTGGAGGCAAAGCTGTCCGAGTAGATGTGCAGCTTACCCTGAATCTCAGTAATAGAGAGCTTGGAAGGAGGAGCCGAGATTTGAGGAAGGACGAGGCTGTTCTCATCAAACAGGGGAATCTGTGCCCATGCAATCTCGTGGCCCTGGGGAGCCCATGATGTGGCCTTCTTCAACGAGAAGTTGACAGCAAACCAGCTCGCTTCCGAGCTCGGGGCAACTCCCTGAGGCAGATCAACCGTTTTGGACTCGCCCGGCTTGATCTCAGGGAGCTCCCAGGCGACGGGTTCGGTGTTTCCAGCCTCTTTCACAATGTGCCATGAGACAGACAGATGATCGAGGGTGCTGAAATCGTAGTGATTGGTGACCTCCACACGACCGTCCTTGAAGGCCACGGTGACCGGCTCAATGGCCTTCTTGTACTCGATCAATCCAGGAGTGGGGGTGTGGTCAGAGTACACCATCCCATCGAGGATGAAGTCAGCATCGTTGGGCTTATCGCCAAAATCGCCGCCGTAGGCGTAATAAGGTTGATTGCCCTCGCGAGTCAGGATGCCGTGGTTGCACCATTCCCAGATGAAACCACCCTGCAGAAGCGGCTCGCTTCGGTAAGTGTCAATGTATTCCTTTAGGCCACCCGGACCGTTACCCACTGTTTGTGTGATTAGACTGCAGTTCTTTTTGACTTTGTCCCTGGACTCGAAGGATTTGCTTTTTGCACTTACTCGCGTGAGCATATTCGCATTGAATCATCGCCTTGTCGGGCTTCTCCGCCACGTGCTTCTTGAGGGCTTCGGGACTCCAGTACATGGTAGAATACATGTCGGCAGACACGGCGTCGCGATCACCTTCATAGTGAACGAGACGTGTAGGATCGGCTTCTTTGATCCACTTGTACATGCTTGCATGGTTTTGGCCGTAGAATGCCTCATTACCCAGGGACCAGAAGATGATGCAAGAGTAGTTCTTGAATCGCTGAACAAGCTGTTCAGCCCGATCAAGATACGCGTCCTTCCACTCCGGGTTGTCCGATGTCCACTTGGTGGCAATCTTGTAAGAGGCTTCCTGCACCTCATACTCCGTCATCAGGTGTTGGTCTGGGATGTTGGAACGCTCCACAGGGTCAAAGCCGTGTGTCTCCAAATCGGCCTCGGCGATGACATAGAGACCTAGCTCGTCACAGACCTCGTAGAGTCTCGGATCGTTAGGCTGGTGACTGCATCGCAAAGCATTGATATTGTACTTCTTCATCAGCAAGAGATCCGCACGCATGCTCTCGTATGGCACCGCACGACCGTACAGGTGATGGTGTTCATGGCGGTTCATGCCGTACAGCATAATTGGTCGCCCATTAACGTAAAAGTTGGGACCCTTGCGCTCGACGCGACGGAAACCCACGCGTTGCGGGATCGTGCGACCGTTGAAGGTGACCAGCAAAGTGTACAGCACTGGGTTTTCGGCAGACCATAATTGCAGATCGTCACCAGTCACCTTGATCTTGCTCGATTCGGAAGATGAGAAGCTGGACTGCTCAAGAACAGAACCGTCCGGGCGAAGGAGTTTTACGTCCACGGAGCCGGCCTCGCCCTGAACCTTGACCTTGGTGACCAGCTCGGCCGAGGAAAGGTCCTCGCTCAAAATCGGCACGGCATCGAAATCCACAATGGTACTCTGGGGGAAGCCCAGCAGACCCACGTCACGGAAGATTCCACTCAATAGCCATTGATCTTGCCGCTCAATGTATGAACCATCACAAAACTCGTACACGCGCACTGCCAGAGTGTTGACCGAGCCAGTCGGTTGAAGGAGGGAGGTAATATCGAATTCGCTGGGGTTTCGCGATCCCTGAGAGTAGCCAACCTCTTCGCCATTCACCCACAAGTGGAACGCGCTGTCCACTCCCTCAAAACGAATGCGAACCTGCTGGCCCTCCCAGGAAGCGGGTGTCACGAACTGGCGCCAGTAGGAGCCCGTTTCGTTCAAGAGGGGAACATTGGGAGGGTTGACATGGAAGGGATAGTTGACATTGGTATAAGTTGGGTGGGAATATCCCTGAACTTGCCACATGCCGGGGACCTTGATATCATCCCATGTCAGAGGGTTGACCGTATTCCATTCCGGAGCCTCCAAGGGCGAGCTATCGTGACGAAACTTCCACGTGCCGTTGAGGGAGATGTATTCGCTCTTCTCGCGATCAAAGGTCAAAGCCTTGTCCTCGGATCCATACGTGTAAAAGTGCGCTCTTGAAGGCAGTGTGTTTCTGTGCAGGACACTGAGATTGTTCCAATCGGGTTGCGTTCTGGGGCACGACATAGCTGCGCACGACTATTGCAGTAACCCGGGGGGAGTGGGGGACGTACGGCGATATCGAGTTGGAAGAGAGAAGGAAAAGTACGCAGACCGGTGAAACAAATGGTCGCGGATCGGGGACTTTATTTAACAGATCATGAGAGGGGTATCTCATGGCCAGAGGAACCAGCCCGGCCACACAGACCATGGAAGGATCGCTGATAGCCTTTCACTCTTGGCTGTTGTGGCATACCCAGTCTGCATGAATCCATTGCTGTCCTTTCTTTTCCCCGCCGCAGGTAAACTTTCCCATCCCCAGGGAACCCCACCATACGTTGGAAAACCTAACGCAATCGGGGTGGGGTACGAACTTTCCAGGCCTACCAGGGGCCCGACGCCGCGCCGGAGATGTCCTCATTGCAGATGCCGAGTGGAGGGCTTGCCAGGACGGGCTTTTACCAATATACAATTTGTCTTGAGCAGGAGTTGTGGCGAGTGGCTCACCGATTGAGTGAAACGTGCCTCCTGCCGTGCGCACCGCGAGGAAGAGTCGAAGCTGCTGCGTAGCGAGTGATCGGAGGTCTCTGGAGAGACACGAGCAGTCCAAGTGGTTCATTCGGGGATATCGGATACTCAAAACACTCTCGGCCTTACCCTCATGGATGCCGCTGATGCCACCCGACTCGGACCGATTTCCAGGCTTCCCTCATGCGGGGTGAATCAGCCTCGGAGGGCGAAGGCAACTGCTGTCCTTGACTTCCCCGCCAGACCCGCGGTCGACGACCAAGAATTAGTAGGTCATCGGTACTCCTGAGGCCTGATTCAGGAGTGCTGCCCTGGATCTGGAAATCCGTAGTTGTCGTGTCCACTTGGGGTCCCGATGAGCCACGGTACTGCGATGCGTGCTACGGTGGCCGGCGTCGAATTCAATGGGGCAATTTCGCCAGAATCTCGGGGGTGCCTCCTGGTGATCATACTATACGGGGCCCCAAATCCACCCCACGATGAGCTCGCTGCTCATCCATGAATTGGGGGAGTTGCCTCACTTGATTCGCTTTGCCTAGGGTGCAGTATCCACCGTCTACTCTCTGCAATCTGCGTAGTCCATACTCCATAGTCTGGCCTGGAAACTGAAGTATGGAAGAATTTGGTCCACGGGAGGGAAAAGCCAGCAGTGCCACGTGCCGTCCGGAAAAAGCAATGATTCCAGAAAGTCCACCGTACTGTAGTGTGTAAGTTGGAAGCCACATGGTAGTCCATTCGCGAAGAAGAGGGGGATAGTCAGGCGTTGCGGGGGACAAGTGTACGCCAGTATTCGATCAGCCATTGCGCTTCACCTTCCTCATACATCAGACTTGGGACTTTCCCTGCGTGTTCTGCAGTAGAGCAAAGAAGAACCGACGGCATATTTGGGTAGTGCACGTGGTACATTATTATACGCAGGTGTCACACGGTGCGCCGGGGGGGGGGGGGCTGGGTTGCCTGGATAGAGACAAGAATTTGTGGATCGTGGAGAACTCCAGACAGGAAATAGCGAAGCGGGTGCTCGCAACCGCGCTTGCTCCTCTCATCCTCGGGGCACGCGGGTCCGGTTGGGGAGGTCGCAACCAGTCGGTGTGGAGTCTGTAAACAGTCTGCAGCTGCTTTGAGGCGGCTCTTCGATCGAGGGACAGACTGCGTTGGAGGTCGGTCCGAAACGGACCGAAGGGTGCGAGTCGACGTGAAAATCGTAGATAAAATAGTGTAAAAGACTACTGTCAACTTTGTCAAGAGACTCAATACATAATAACATACTGCTACGCGTACGAGCCTAGCGTGACCCTTGGAGCCAAGGCAGAGAGAACTGATGAGATACGGCTACTGTAGGGGCAGCAGTATCGATGTGTGAGAGGGATGAGGAGTGAGATTGCTGCGGGGGAGAGATTTTACCTAAGCTATGGACAATTGTGGAATACACTCGGACAAGCAAATTCAAATCAGTTCCTCAATCAGGACTGGACCTGACGATTTCGGAAAAACCACCCGATCTGACCCTTCGCCCACTTTCTCAATTGACATTAGCTTGTTTTTAGCCGGTCATCCAATTCCACAGCACTGAGTCAGTGAGTACTAAGTAGTCACTCGTTAAGACTACAGTAGTAGGTACTAGGTACTAGGTAGGTAGTAACTTAGTACACAAGTACACAAGTACATATCACATGATCACACATGTGTACTAGTAGGTAGTTTACTAGTTGCCCACGCAGCAACTTGAGCCTGAAAACCACGGAACTAACCTAACACACCGTGGCGCCGAGGGTCTGACCGAACCCGAGATCCCGAAAACATTTAGGTCGGCACCAATGCGATAGCATGTCTATTGTCCAATATATTATGTAGCAATCTTGGAGCAAATACTCAATCACGACGGAGCCAAAAGAGACCGTTGGATTCATGATCATTTTTTTTCACCAATCTAACAAGTGTAGTTGAGCTGGAACGAAACACTAGGTGTACCCACAAAGCCCGCAGGCACAACATAGGAAACATTGTAGAACCGGTTGTCGCCGAGAGTACTCGACCCGTAAACAACAGGCTGTTTCTCCAGCCCCGTGGCATTGATCTTCGCGTTCAGACACGGCAATTCGTCGAGCCCGCGCACCACGTTTTTCTTCGTCAGAGTCCAGCTGGGAGGCACTTGCGACAGCACAAAGGTGAAGATATCCGTTCCTTCCTGCGTGGTGTTGGGATAAGAAATCTCCAGCTGATTCGGTCCAGCAACGGCATGAATGGTTGATGCGGTCGGATACAAGCTGAAATAGGTCATGTAGGGATGAGGCTTGTGGCCTCTGTCACCGGCCCATTGAACAAGAGCAGGCACATATTGTTCGCCGCGGTTGACGGTCTCGTTGACGCTCTCTGCACCGATCATAAGCGAGGAGCTGATCCAGGTGGTTGCGGTACGGGGCTCGGTGTGTAAAGTAGGTGCGTCGGGGATCTCCTTGCTGATCATGCGCTCGCCGGTCCATTCTCCCTTCGATTGAAGCCACGTCGAGTCCGAGGGAGAGATGTGCGACTTGACAACATCAACGACGAGAGCCAGAGCGGATCCCTGCGCGACGTCGTACAGAAGATCGGTCTCCATCTTGTTGGGCTGAGGACCCGTGCCATACCCATACAATGCCCACCAGAAATAATCAATGACTGCAGAATGAGTGACTATGTCGCGGGTATATGCTCGGTCATACTACAAGACAGAGTCGGATGTCAGCGCTTGAAAGTTCTACAAGGAAGAAATCAAACAGGCAAATACTGACGGGGCCGGCCATGACAGAAAGGTACGGATTGTAATGAGCAGCAATATCCGCCCAGACTGCCGTCAACATGGTCTTGGAGTTCTTAACAATGGTTGCGTTGCGCGGAGCGTACTTGATGGCGCCCGCGAGCGCCCAGACGTCCATTCCATAGTAGGTCGGGGCATTGTACTCGGGGAGCACATTTGAGCCTGTGGATTGGAAAAGGTTCAGAATGGCGTCGGCTTGATCATTGGCGTACTTGATAAAGGTCTATAAGGACTTAGCAAAACAGCAAGGATGTCGGATCAAGGATAGGAAAAAAAAGGACCCCTGCTCACCTCGTTATGTCGTCGCGCACCAATCCACGAGACGTACCAAGCTCTCATGAGTGCTGGGTTGGAATATGCCGGAGTCAGGTTGTCGCCTTCTGGATATGAACCATTGCGTCGCATTGATCCCACCGCTGCATATTCTAGGCTGTCTTCGATGCGGGACACCAGTTGGTCTCCGAGAAGGTCTGAGAACTCTTCGACAACTTGGACCAGCTGACTTCCAATGAATTCTCTCCAGTTTGGGTCATATGTGTCCTTAATACCAGGGAGGAAAGCGATCAGTTTATCACGCGATCGAGCAGAATTTCGTCTCCCTTTTTGGTACACTTACATAAATCTTGGGAGGATACAGATCGGAGTCCGGAGTGGGATATGGCTCATCGGGGGAGAGCTTGAAAGTACCGTACCATGCCGAGTCGAAGCTCTCAGTCATCTGACATGCCAATCTGAACAATCAGTGCTGTTAGCACGCGCAGGGTAGTGATCATTGCCCGAAGTGCTTTTCGCGAAGACAGATTTCAGAACACCTACATCGCTTCAATAGCAGCCTTTGCATTGTCCACATCATGGCCTTTATTCCGATACAACAGACCCGCGACATACCATGCGGTAAATCGAGTCGACCAGGGGCCATTGTCGGCATACCAGATGAGTTTATATGAGTCGTCGAATCGAAGATCATTCACGTGCATAGAATAGTCGAACAAGTCTTGCGCATCTGTTGTGATATTTGAAGACGCCGTTAGCCTTGACTCTAGCGTAATTCACTGCCCATGCTCCTACGATCAATGTACTTTTGGATAAGCTCTTGGTGATTTGCGCAGCTGAAACACAAGTTGCAAGGATGCCACTGGCTAGAGCCCAGCGAGTGAAAACGTTCGCCTTCATTGTAATTGCCCTCAGGCTTGTCCGAGCGAGGTAACTCCGTAACTGAGGAAAGGCACCTGGGAAATCGCCCTTGATCAATGGACGACCAAATGAAGGTCAGCTCCGACTTTTATCCCACTCCATCAATCAATGCGTGCGTGATTCGAGCCCACGCAAAGTACTTGTCCACACTCTTCCGTCCACTCATTGCAGACACCGCAAACCCAGCCGCGATCTCATTGTTCAGGGCGAGTGGACCCCCGGTAAAGTCGCCGGCGAAGAGCTTACAATCACCGAAGGTATGTTGAACGACAATCAGTGACCTTGTCATGTGGGGCTGATCTTTGGGGCATTCATCGAGAAAGATCTGCTCTGTTTCCCAAGGAGCCATGGGTGACCAGTCCACTTCCCCCGCATCTCGGCTGTTAGGAGTGAGATTGTTTGAAAAAAAAGTCTCACACAGTTTGAGTTCACCTGTGGTTTGTGGGAGATAACCTTACCGGCCTTGTCTTATCTTTCCCCAGCTGTGCTGCGGTCCTGTTGGGGACCCGGGGTGACTTTCGCAAGCGGGACGGCTCAGACACAAGGGGGGGATTGTCAGAATGCATGGCCGAGTCTCGGAGCCATATATCCCGGTAGAGGTATGCTTATTGAGGACCTTGTGTGTCATAAACTTACTCTATCTTGATGTTTCGCGTGTTGAAAGTGATCTATGGATTTCCCGCGCAAGTCAGCATGACCGGTATATGTACTGTATAGTGCATACTGTACTATCCAGATGATATGGGCCCTGGTTCAAACGCTCCTTCTATGTCCATCCTCGCCATGTTATGAGGCATCAATGTAGTCACGGGCAGTGGGTTAGAACAAGTGTTGAAACCTATGAGATCGCTTACTATCGGCGTGACTGGCATTCAGTAGGATCCTATTGAGCTGTCTTCTGACTATTTGCTTACTAGGTGGTTTGATGCCTGATTCTGGCCATCTTGCTAGGGTTGGACACAGTTCTTTCTGCTGGCCAAATAATAGGGTTGTGAAATTTCTGTCCAAGGGCACGATATGCCATGCGGGAAATCCGAAGAAAAAGAAATTCTCATATCTTGTATTAGTGTAGGTCTTGATAAAACTACTTCGCCGGAGTTCCATCTGTCTGAACTGTGACCGTGATCATTTGATCAGTACCAAGCTTTTTCTCCGCCATAGATGCTGTGGCCTCGATGAGTTTGTTCTCGTATTCCTCTCCATCCATGATAACGGCACTTTCTTCAAGACTCAGATTACCGGTCTCCACAAAGAGGAAATAAACCACCACCAATTCAAAGGCCAGCCACACGTCGTACGTGATGTAGTATTTCCACTTGCTGTTCGTGACCCCAATCGGGTTGACGTACTGGTTGAAAATCCCGGCGATCGCAACGCAGAGATTGTACAGCACCAGACCGCGGGCGCGTAGATCGAACGGGAGGATCTCGATGCAGTACGTCACCTGCAGCGGAGTCCATCCGACCGAGAAGAAGAATGTGTACAGAAAGATCATGGCCAAGACTCCCTTGGCATACCCATCGCCTCCAGTGCCGTTCAGCGAGGTCTGAATCTCGTATGTAGCCTCCAGGGCAGTCCAAACGACGTAGACGGCCAGACAGCCTGCCGTTGAGATGAGGAACAAAGTGCGACGTCCGAAGCGGTTCATGACAGAGGCAAAGACAAGACTCCAGATCATGCCCCACAGGGTCAGGAGAGCGTTGATCAATGTCTGTGTGCTTTCGGCAGTATAGCCGATGGAGTCGAGGATGAGCGTCAGATAATAGGAAATGAGTCCATTGCCGCTCCATTGTGAGAAGAATCCCACGGAGATGATGATCATGAACCGTCGGATGTTGGCCTTGGTTTGGAAGAAAGTCAAGTAGGATGTATTACGTCGTGCTTCCAGTTCGAGTCGAAGAGCAGTGCGGATCTCCTCCATTTCCAGAGTGACGAGAGGATCCGAGTCGTCGCCGTTTGCATGGTACTTGCAGATCAATTTTCGCGCCTCTTCGTCTCTTTCCTTGCTGAGAAGCCAGCGCGGTGACTCTTCGATCAAGAAGCAGAAGCCCAATTGAATGACGCTCGACAGACCTTGGAGCAAAGGTGGGAGACGCCATGCCCACGTGCTCGGAATTCGGAAGGAGCCGAATGTGATCCAAGCTGCGACCAAGGCACCGAGGTTCCAGAGACTGTTGTAAATGGCCACTTGAGGACCTTGTTGCCGAGGAAAAGCTAGTTCCAAGAGAAGGAGAGGCGCAGCCGTGATGTTCAAAACCAATCCCATACCAATGATCCCGCGCGCAGCAATGAACATGCCCACATTCTGTGCTGCAGCTTGAAGGGCTACTCCGATAACGAGGATGCATGCCCCAGCAAAAAGCACGGGACGTCGACCGAATTTGTCGCAGCTGTAAGCACAGATGGGCATTGTAATCAATTGGCCCACATTTTGTATCGCGTTCAATCTAGAAGGCAGGATTGATGTAAGCAGTGTTCGGTGAAGTCGATATGCCTCAACAGTAAAGGTGCATGTTAAAAGCCAGGTACCAGGTGTCACTTAGGGTACATACAGTCCTAGTTCAGAAGCGCCAGGATTGTTGAAAGATTCTTTCCAGGAAGTAAGAGATTGAAGTCCATTCATCATAGAGCCATCGTATCCCGTTGCAAAGCTGGACACCTGAAACAGGACCAACATCATGTTGAGCTGGACGATGCCCTTGTTAGACAGCCAGCCGAGACCTGAGCCTCTTTTGCTCATGGCACCGACTGTCAAGGGCGACTCTGATACCGGGGACGTGGCACCCATGGTGTATGCAAATTGTACAGTGTTGCAGCAGTGTAGGCAGGTGTTGAGGGTCAATCATTGAACGATAAATCCGGGGCAGGTGGGACTCGACCGCAATTAAAGCCTGGACGTGTAAGGAGAACAACCTTTTATCCTGTCAAGCGGCGGGCTCACGTTGACCTGTCTCAGATGGCTGATAACACTCCCAGTAGAAGCCATCCCCACGCCGGACCATCCATCTAGACCCGGACTTGCGGACACGGTCCAGGAGATAGCGTCTCCCTGGACCCAAAGTGGCTGCCAGATCTCATGACCCAATGCCGAAAAGAGCGAGCCCTGATATGGCCAACTGTCTGATATCTTCTTCCCCGCTTCGCAGATGGGAATCAGCCACGGCGCTGCTGATCCACCCTTTTTTCGGCGGTTCTGATAGCCGGAACCCTGAATCCACGTAGACTTCGCACCGGCGAAATCACCAGATTGCCGGACTCTGCCGGCAACGTTCCGATGCGGGGGAATTAGACTAACGCTTAACGTGCACAACCTTGCCGATAACCACACAGTCGTTGAGTTGGTGAACCATGGCGAGCCTTCATGCTCCCACGCAGTGTAGCATCTCGTAGTAAGGCGCGACGAGAACAAACTTAGCTCGAAAGTTTAGTTCTTGATGTCCAAGACTTGGTAAACCGGGGCCATGCGAGCAAGAAACTGCCGCTTTGGCGGGAGTTCTATACACAAGTCAGAGCTTCAGCGGACAGGCAGTACTGCGTTTCACTGCCTGGGCATGATTAGATGATGTGGTGCAGTGCGAACCTAGAGGTACAGTGAGGTTGATGATGAGGTTTTGGTGGTTGCCGAGTCGGGTGCCCTTCCACAGGAAGTCGAGGTGGGATTTTGGCGATCGAGCTCCTGGAGAGACTCCATCGGTATGTAGTAGAAGATACGGTACTACCTAGACGAGTTGAGTGTCTAACATCGTCCTTCCTACCCCACGTCCCTCAGAATGAAATATCTCCCAGACGAACCCCCGTCGGGTCATTCGAAAGTCCAAGACGGGCAGTGGTCTTAATTCGTACTCAGATCGCTCACAATACACCAGGAATCTTACCTCTCAAAGATCGTATACAAGTTCAATGAGTCTAGTTCTAGCTCACAAGGCGATTTATGAATATCTCCCGCTATTATCTCAGTTGTCATCGTGTCATGTGTAATTAGGTACCTTTGGCAAAACTCGCTTTGAACAATTCTTGGTATACAGTCTGCCACAATACATAAATATACAAGATCTTACAAATCACGAAAAGAAGTCGCGAACGTGAGGTGGGGGGGCAGCAAGGGGGCAGCAAGGTGTCAAGTTAATGAAGAACATCTCTGCATGCCGGTTGGAAATAGCAAGAGGAGCAAGCGTCGGTTGGTTATCAATCCATGCGGTGCAGAAACATATCTGGAATGAGGCGATTCTTGACAATATGTCGCTCGACAATCGGTTTCATGGATACTTGCTTGTGGTGTACGCATGACTGGGAAATGTCATGAGAACAGTGCGTGTCGAGTGATTGAATAAGCATTAGAAGACATTAGAGGAGGACATGGACATCTCTCTATACGATTTTGTAGACGCGCTTAGCAATCAAGAATGATGCAAGGCCAAACAAGAGCAAACCGGCAGTGACTATGTATCCCGTTAGTACCCATGCACGACACGTCTATATAATTAAGGGGAAAATAAGACATACTTGACCAAAACCAGTTGAGATTTTCAATATCCTGCCCGGGTACTTTGACGTTCATACCCCACATACCGCAAATGATGTTCATCGGCAGCACGATAGTACCGAGTACTGTCAGTTTGCCAAGCACATCTGCGGTCTGTTCTTGGCGCTCATTCATGAGGATATTGATCTGCGCAAGGTAATTTGAGTGCGCACGTGACAAAATTCTGCACGGAAAGGACGTGTGAGCTTCAGCGGGTACTGGAAAAGCAAACCGCAAACAGTAGTACTGGGTAGAGGAGGAAGGGGGGAAAAATCTTACGTCTCATAGTGCGTCAAATTACCAGTCATTGTCATGATATGATCCTGGATGTCGCCCAAGTAGAGGCCAATTTCAGACTTTGGTGCAACCTCCCACTGTTCATTGCAGCGCTTGGCAAAACCCTTGACGACATCCGCCTTGTTGCTCAGCAGCCGATATAGACCCATCACCTTCTTGCGACATTCGCCAGTTCGTCGAAGCATCTCTCCCGGTGCAAACGAAGGCGGTTCGTTATCAGTCACATCATCCTTGGTAGACGAGTGCATCTTCATGATGATCTCATCGATCTCATCGACTTCATCTTCAATGGCCTGGATGAGAGGACCGAAGACATCAGTGATATCGTCGATCAGGGCATAAGAGATCCAATCTGAGCTTAGAATGAGATAGTCCATGAGTTGACGAATCCGCCGACGAACGTTGGCGGGATGTGGGGTTTGTGAGAAATGGAAAGAGATCACTCCTTCCCTGAATACCACCACGTACATGTTGACGGGCTCGAGATAATTCTCGCTGTTTTGGTCTTGTTCGAAGGTGCGATAGTTGACAAAGTAGTAGCTGCGGAAAAGCTCGACCTTTTCTCGCGCTTCTTGCATCATAATATCTTCGGCAGTTAGGGCATGTATGCCGAACGCCTTGGCAATGACACGCATCTCTGCGTCCGTAGGTGACAGGACATCAAGCCAGAAGGTTGGCCGTGGACCGTATCGCTTCGGTTTCTCTGCTTGATGCGACTGTGAGGGCGATGCGTCTCTCGTGGAACCTGGACGGGTCTCGCTGATGATGGATAAGCGTTGGTTTTGAGGTCCTCGATTACTGTTCACTGTACCGGACCCTTGTTCTTGAGAATTCTTCGTTTCAGGGTTTGCTTGCGCAGGACCAGTACCGGTATTTGCGTGGTTGGCATTGTTAGTGCTTGCAGGCTGCGTTTCGTGGTTATTGGACCAATGCGCGCCGTTCATACTGGCAAATACTGATGTGGGGTTACCATTCACTGAAGGTTCAACATCATCCTCATCTTCGGACGAGGAATATTCGAGCTCCGGTGGATCAGGAATAAACAGCTCACGGAAGCTACCTCCTGGCTGAACTAACTCGGAAATGGTCTGCGCATGAATTGTGCTTTGGAATTCCTCGTTGAAATAGGTGAATCGATAAGGAGTGTCATCTTCCTCGCGTCGCCATAGCTTGTACTGCGGGCGCAACCGGCCTTCCACCAAGACCGGCTCACTGATCTTCTTCACGCGCAGGTCACCATTCCGGTCTTCTTTTTCACCGCGGCTCCACTCCTCCAAAACATCGAGATCTGGCCATTGACGGCGTCTTCGTCTTCGACGCTCACCCTGTTCATCTCGGGGTGTTTGCCGCTCTTCATCAGCGAATTCGGAGACATCCTCGGTCGGGAAGCACACGTCCTCCTCCACGGGTAAGGTCACCGTTCGGCGGCGTCGCAGCTCTTGGGGGGAGTACTGGCCGGAATGAATCGACGAGGGCTCTGACTTTTGCTGTCTGGGACCACCGTCGACATCAATCAGGGCGTCATTGGGTCGATTCATGGACTCTCTACGTGTCTCCATAGACCGCGCCAGTGCGAACTCGAATTCGGCTCCCGTCACTACCGCATCGTCATAATTCATATCGGGTCCCAGCTTTGGAGTTCCTGGAATGGACGGTGGATTGTTCACATCGTAATCACGCCCTAGGTCAGGGGAGTAGGGCGGGGTCTGATGAGTCCGTGGAGAGCCTCGGGGCGAGAGCGTATGAACGGACGCCCGACGAGGGCGCGCGAATGGGATCGAGCGCTGGTCGGTGCCGTATCGAGATTGACCAGGCGTGTGGCCCGAAGACCCTCTAACCAGTGGTGTCCGGTCGGTGGCATTCTCATTTTCGCTGTCTGAATCTTGGTACTGCTGAGTTCGACTGGTTCTCGGCGTGTTCCGTGATTGACTGTCGTTCGACCAGACACCCCCCGAGAGGAGTGAGCCCGGACGGAACGAGCCCGCCAAACGGCTGTCCCGACGTGGTCGCATCATAGGTTGATCTCTGCAGCCAGCAGCAAAGAATTAGTCTCGTTGATCCCATATATTTGCTGTAATTCCTGGCATCTGCAATTCTCAGAATGCGGCTTGACGTACCTATGGTCCAGCAATGCGTCGCTCTCGAGACTGGTGTTGCTGTGCTTTCGACGCAAGGTAAAGTACGATGGATTGTCCCTGGACGTCGGCCGCTCGCTATCATCCATTTCCCTGCCTCCAACAATCGTCGACACAGGCCCCGACCCCTCGTCAGTCTCGTCGATCTTCGGCGTGAGGAACGACTGTTGTCGATTACGTCGTTTGCCTTTACGGTTTTTTCTTCGCTTGGCCGACTTGGACGGTTTCTGCGCAGGAGCATTGTCGGAAGCGGGGGCCCCGGGGCGGGTCTCCGGTATCTTCGCCGGAGATTGATTCATTGCCTCGAATGACCAAGGTTCAAGCGATGGCGGACTGATTTAGCGAGAGAGAAAAAAAGACGGCGATGATCAGATGCACGATTGAGTAGACCCCTCGATCAAATCTGTCGAGTCTTAAGCCGTATGTGTCTACCTCGCTCAGTTGTAGCAAACTGGGTCGAAGGCTTCTTCAATCGAGTGGAGATCACATGGGATGTGCGACAACGTGCGAACCAGTGCTCTATCAACGATTGCACGCGAATCTCACTTCGCCAACGGACTCGCGAACGTATGAGCTAGGGGTCTGGTGCGTTCATGAAAAGCCCAGTGAGCACGGCAGATGCGCAGCAAGGAACGGTTGGAGCACCTCTGCCGAGTCAGCGTATCGAGGAAAATGACTCGCCGCAATGCAGCCCGGGCGGGGGCTAGACCAAGCAGGTCTTGGCTGTGGATGACGCGTGTGGCGACGAACTGTGGAACGTCAAGGGTCGAGACGTGTGTTTCGATATCAAAGACAGAGCCTGGAAGGGTGTGAATGTCACAGAAGACTGTATGTGCCTCTTTGAACTGGAGAATCTATCACGAGTCGTAGAAAGTTGGGCGATTGATCGTGGTGCTGTGAACGTCGTGGAGAATCAGTGCTGGCACCGACACCCGCTCCGTTGCTCAATCCGGATCGATGAGGTCAGCGGGAGGACGGAGTGCCGACTGGTTCAGGGAACTTGACTCGGGTTGGAGTACTACAGTATTACTACTGCAGCCGTGTACCTTGAATCCAGTAGATTCATTTGATTGTAGATACGAGAATGACAGCGACCGTTCCGAGGATCGCAAGGACTTGACAAAGCTTATCTTCAACAGCTCCTTATCTGCGAAGCTCCGGAGTGGACACTTTGACCTGTTGGAAGCATCAGTAAAAATGGCCCGAGTCCTTCGTTTCCAAGCCATTGGAGCCATTTTGGCTGCAGGTGTTGATGCCCGCTGTTCAAACAGGTGACGATTCCGGTCCTCTTCCCAGTTCCCAGCGTTGGCCCATCTTCGCGAGGTCGTACGCTTCTGGTATATGCACCCAGGTTTGGAATCCCATCCTTAGATCTTCCGACCCCTTGACCGCTATCACAGGATCTGGGCGTCTCATCTCTCGGCAATGTAGGCCTCGGGTAGAGATGACCAACGTGAGCAACGTTGTGGAGGGCCTCGTTGAGGAAACAAGAGTCTCAGTCGGCGAAGACCTGTTCTTGATGGGGCCAACTATATCCCACCACATCACCACCATCATCCGCACAGGATGACAGCAGTGGTACGCTTGCTTTTCCGGGTGTCAAACTCTCTTCAACAAAACGCTCTGCTGGATGAACGCCCGAAATCGACGGCTCCTCATACAAGGTCTTTCCTCGGACAGTACTGGCTCACTGGGTAACGAGCATTGTTCCCCAGAGGAATAGATAGTAGATAGTAGATACTGTAGTGCATACTTGTCGCCCGCCGTACAGGTGCTGGCCTTGACGAGAATGGCGGTCCGGGGAGTCACGCGGCCCACGCCGCTCAGATCACCTTCGTGGATGCGTTGGCACATGGCAGGTCACCTCCAGATTCCACGTTTGTCAGGGTACGAACGATTCAGCTGTCCTCCGCTGACCAGCTCAAGAGACAAGAGATAACTGATACACAACAATCATGCGAGACCAAGTATGATCCCAGCGTTAGCCGACGACATATTACAGTCCGACGCACATCGATAGATTCGATACACCTCGCCGTCCCTGACACTTCGAGCCTTGGCTTCCCTACTACGCCAATGTCACCATTTCCGGCGCGTGAACATCGTTCAGTTTCTCTCCTTGTCAGCCACTTTTCGACAGGTGCAGGAAAAAGCTTCGAATACATCGCCTTTCTTTTTCGATCGAGATCCCTGAAAATTCCTGAAAGTTCAGCCTAATTCAATTAGCGCTGGCGCTAGACGCAGGTTGTGGGCCACGCTCGTTGCTTGAGGCTTCCCCACCCATCGGGAGTCTGGACCAGATTTGTTTCATCCCTGAAGGTGTCGATGAAGAGGACGAGAAGCAGACCCCTCGAGGTTCACGCCACCATACAAACTTGATGATCCTGTCCTGGGATTTGGGCAACTCGGTGAGGGTGAGACGGACACGATGTCGATGCTCCCCTGACTGGCTAGTCCTTGATGTGTGGGAATCGGACTGGGAACATGAGAAGCCCACCTTTCGAGCTGAACTTCCACCGCGCTCAACTGCCTTCTGCGGCAGCTGCTGCATTGTGGCGCTGACGCCCCCCAGCTTGAGAGTGGATCGGGCAATTAAGAGCGACAGACCAAGGCCACTGAGTGCAGGAGCAACAAATGACGATCAAAGGCTCTAGCGAGCGGAATGCCAAGAACTGGTGGGAATCTTCGTATCGCTGCGTCGGTCACTCCTCCACGTGTTGATTGGTTGTGCGATGAGTGAAGCACAGCACTAGCCGTCTGGCGAAGACGGAGAAATGGCTTTATCCTTTCTTTCGCGTGGCTGTCGCGAGCAGATGGGTTGGTCTAGCTCTATAATACGATTTCACTCCGAAATGGTTGATTTTGTGCTTCTTTGCCTCCATCTCTCCACCGCTGTTCGTTTCCTCGTTGCTCGTTTCGGTCGCCAGTTACAGTCAGCACCAAGACTGGATACCACAACGACAACGCCGAGCCTACTTGCAATTACCTCATTGACTAAATCTCCAAATTTCGAGCTGGATACACAGGCATTTGCTCCATTAGGACCTGCGCATTTCCAGCATCCCCTTTGCCCGCGTCAATTTGCCATTCACGTTTGGCCCTTCCAGTCGAGGACCCTTTTACTAGGACGCCATTCTTACCGATCACCGACCAGAAGACCATATCATAATGTCCCTCCGCTCTGGCCGTCGGAACGGTGTCCTTGAAGATGATCCAGTGGGACCCTATGCCATCGAGAAGACGCCTAGGAACGGAGACAATTCTTCGTTGCCGACCAACAATCGCGATATTTCCCACCGATATGTCTTGGGTCTGTTCCGAGTTGACAGCGCCGGCGAGAGTGGTCGTACGGGCTTCCATCCTCTACACTTCTTCAGGGTCATCTTCAGAAGCACATGTACATTTTCGATGATTGTCAATGTCCTTTGGCCATTTGTACCCGCTGCGATTGCCATCCATTTCGCTCGACCGGATCTGCACGTGTGGGTATTTGCACTCAACTATATCGCAATGGTGCCTTCTGCCAACGTGCTGGGATTTGCGGGCGGCGAGTTGGCGAAGAAATTGCCGAAAGTGCTTGGAATCATTCTGGAGACGTTCCTCGGTGGAATCGTCGAGGTGGTTCTCATCATGGTCCTGCTGCACAATCACACTCCGGATCACCCACTCATCCCCGTCATCCAGGCTGCCATCCTCGGCTCCATCCTCGCAAACTTGCTTTTGTGTTTGGGCACATGCTTCTTTATTGGCGGTCTTACACGCTCCGAGCAGAGTTTTCATGAAGCTGTGAGCGAGGTGGGCACGGGTCTGCTCCTGGTAGCCGGGTTCGGTCTGCTGATCCCGAGCGCCTTCTTCTCGACCCTCAAAGGCGCTGTCAATGAAGAGTTCACCCTGGACATGCTCCGTAATGACACACTGACAATAAGCCGCGCCACGGCCGTCATTCTCATTGTGGCCTTCTTGACGTAAGTCAAACGCACACTCCTGGAGCTGGTGTCGGATACCCATTGCTAACACCTGCCCCTTCTATGTACAGGTATCTCGTGTTCAATCTACACAGCCACAACACGATCTTCGATGAGATTTTCGAAAAGGATGAGGAGCAGGACGAGGATGGACACCTGGAGCAACTGCGGAAGAAGCTCACCTTCCTCGAGTGCATTATTGCCATCCTCATCTCGCTCACTTGTGTCACTCTGTCTGCTGTGTTCCTGGTGCAAGAGATCGAGCCCATTGTCGAGCAAGGTGTCTCTGACACCTTCATGGGTCTGATCTTAGTCCCTCTTGTCGAAAAGGCCGCGGAACATTTGACCGCGGTCGACGAGGCGTGGGACAACCAGATCAACTTCGCCCTTTTCCACTGCCTGGCACCGTCCATTCTGACTGCTCTTCTGAACGCGCCGCTGGCCGTGATTGTGGGCTGGGGCCTCGACAAGCCCATGGACCTCAATTTTGAGATTTTCATGGTCATTCTACTGGTGCTGTCCATCCTGGTCGTGGGGAACTTTTTGCGGGATGGCAAGTCCAATTATCTGGAGGGAACACTGTGTGTGCTCGTGTATGTGATTATTGCAGTGACTTCATGGTACTACCCTGGTGCGCATATCACTTCGACGAACGGGGATTTGCCACAAACCACTCACGGCAAATGAGTGGTGTCTAGGTGGGTTTGTATGTTTCATTCGGGCAATTTCTTTGCCCAGAAAAGGGAATCCGACTCTCACTCCTGTATCCTACAAACGATTGAGATTACATAATCTAATTCAACTCCAATTCCCCTGTACTAGGATGGAACTCAAACACAAAAGGTTTCTCATATGAGGCCGCAGGGTTAAGGCACCCAGTCACAAATCTATCAATAGATGTTATACAATTTCGAGGCGCATCTCCAGCTTTAATCGAGACAGTAGTACCACGCCAGAGAAGCGAACAGAGTGGGAATTTGGGAATATCTTGTTTATACCACGTGACTCGATGATAGTATCTATCGATGCGAGCGCAGATAGGGGCAGACTCAACGTGATAAGGACATTTCGTCAGCATTGAAGACATTATTTGAATCACGACCGACTCTGTCAGGAATAGATCTGGCCTTGTAGTCCATGAGTTGAACATACTGCACCACTCCCCGACCCACTTATTCCTGAAGCAATTCCCGAGTTTCGGGTTGCCGCATTCCCACCGCGGGCGGCCCCGCGACTCCAACGCGCTATCCAATCCACTCAAGATGCAAGCTCCCAGGACGACCAGCGACATTCTGAGCCTATTCCGGGAGCGTGGTCTTCCAATCAAGCGAAGTCTGATCGATGAAGTCGATGCGGCACTCTGCTATTCTGCCGCTGCCGCCGAGACTCAGGAATGGGTGTCAACTCACCTGACGCCGAGCACTCTCCTGTCACGCGAGGAGGTCACCCTGTATGTTGAGATCCGTCATGAACGCATCTTGTCGCGAGATCAACCCCGCCTAATTATTGACCCGCTCTCCCAAGATATGACAAGCTTGAATCATCTGGCGCCCTCCAGCAGATCATTCACAATCCTGATCTGGGAGCAACAAGGCCATTCCTCGAAGATGAGATCCGGTTGGCCATAGCGTCTTTGGAGGCGACGACGGCAGAGATTGAAAAACAGACGGAGACGCTGTCGTTCCAACATGAGATTCTGCAAAAACAATTGCGACAGAGCGAGGAATCCGACCAGGCACGCGACCGAGATCTTGCGCGATTGAAAAAGAAGCATGAAGCTGAAAGGCAAAGAGTGGTGATTTCTGTGAGTGGAGTGCGTCTTGATCTTGCGGCGGAAATTACTTGGCTGACCTGCGCAAATGTGTATGACTAGGCCGATGACCTCGCGCAAGAGCTCGAGAATGAGTTCAGAATCATGACGGAAAGAACTGCGATCGAAAATAAGCGAATCCTTGCTCTACTCTCTTCGCGATTGAAGCAGGATGATAAAACACTAGCCGATCTGGAAGATTTCATTCTGGGGATAAGATCTGATGGGAACGATGCAGAATCCCTCAAACGGACTGGGCAGCTCAGTGAGCTTCTTGCAAAGTATAGTGCGGAGCAAATACACTACCGACTCGACAGGTTGTACTTGGAAGGTATCATGGCTGAGGAATCTTCGCCAACAACGGTTGGCGGCGATGTGGCAGCGCTGGAAGAAGAACTCGCAGCACTCTATCCAGAGATCGAGATTCTAGCAGAAATGTCTACCAAGCACGAGTTTCGAGATCCGATCTTGCGGGCTATCCAACACGAGCACAGTCGGCTGCGGACCGCCTCGGTGCAACAATTGGAACAAGTCCGTCCCTTTCCCTGGGGTACTTCCAGCCGTTGTATGAGACAGCAAGTACTGACAGAATGATTCGAACTAGGCTCTCGACGTGCTTATTGATATGACCCGGTCCCAAGAATGTCTCACGGAACAGTTACACGAACGAGAGTCCTCGTGTGAACTTCTCCAGCAACTCGCCAATCTCTACCATACCGTAGTGGGCCAGACTCTCACGACGCCAGCGCCCTCTGCTCGTCGCGACTCACTTCGACGACGTTCCATACCGGCAGGGGTCCTTACTGCGCCACGCTCGTCTGAGACTTCATCTTTAATCGCTCTTAAAGATCCAGCCCTGGAGAACTTGCTTCGGCGCGTTGGGCTGTCACCGGAGTCGATTGCCCGTTCACACGCAGAACATGGGGAGGCCTGGGCGCAAGATCTTCATGAAAAACGTGTCGAGTTGAATGACACCCTGCAAGCTCTAAGCATGGCGGGTGACGCGCCTCTGATTACTGGATTGGGTTCTGCTGACAAGGCATATCATCTTCTGTTCTCTGCTCTGCATCGGGAATCCAAGTACGCAATTTCGCTCCGTGATTCGAGTCAAGAGAAAGCATTGTCTGATCTTGACTCGGAACTGGGCCAATTACAGAAGGCAGTGAAGATGTTGGATCTCAATGTGTTACATCAGCGTGACCAGAGGCGGGATCGATTCATGGACAAATGGGGCCCCTAGCCATTCCCCCGGAGGGAAGTAGGAGCATAGGTGTTCGAGATCCGAAAATCATGGTCATGACGGTGAAAGTGGTGTAAAAAAGTACTGCTGCCTAAATAATGCTAATTACTTCAGAGGAATATTAATCCACCGGCCATGAATTGCTCTTTGAGTACACATTGATGATTCCTATAGAACGACGAGCCCGACCAACTGCCCTTCGTGTTGGATTTTCTCCAACACGGTAGACTGCAAATCATTCAAGCTTCGCCACGCATGCCTTGGCACGGGGGGTTTCTATACCGAGTATCTCCGCATCATAACTTCACGTTTCAGACAACACGCTTCTGGCAATGGTGTTGTGGGATAATCGGGGCTGAGTCTGTGGCTAGTGGGTTGTCCGAGCACCAGCGTATCTAGCTCGCGCCCAAGTCAAAAGATTGTGGCTACGGCTCGAGCATTGCTCCGAGTCAGGCGCAGGTGGTTACTAATACCTCATATCACTGATTAAGACTACCGAGAGCATGATATTTTTGTAGTTGATCTTAGAGTTGGTAAGTTTAGGTCTACTCGAAGTTCTGGACCACTGAGTAAAATACTTCAGTATACTAGTAGTCCAGCCTACCATAGCTCAGTTGTAGACTAAGCTTCTACACACCCGCGAGAGTCAATGGAGGAGGAGAGAGAGACTCCCCCGCCTTTAAACGTGCGGCTCGACCTGCACCCGATCTGCTAGAGGCCACTGAGTGAGCGCAACATGCGGTATGGTTGAAAGCACCTCTGGTGCCTGACGAGTTCTCCACGGCCCAGCTGGCCATATGCATGTCTATTCAGGACGCAGACGAACGTTTGGATCTCAGTGCTTGAACAGGTAAGCGCGCAGACCTGGCGGGCACTAGCATTGTTGTGATGGGACGGACGGTTGGTCCCGTAGGCAAGGCTGACTTCCTGCGGTACGAGTTATGACTTGTTCGTGCAAAGGTCGTAGACTACTTTAATTTGTAGAGTGGTGTACCTTGCTATCCGTCATACCGTCACACGGTTGTCTGAGCACAATAAATAAACCCGTGAACAAAGAATCCTAATACTTCCGGTAGAATTAGCAAATCTATTTTTTTTTTTTTGAAATGCCTATACTAAATCTGGACATATTTCAAAATACTTGAAAAGAAAAATAGCATTGTCAATGCCTTTGACCAGTTTTCCACGGTTGCCCTATGCAAAGTGTAGCGATATACTGCCAGTCTACTATCGTACTGATTCATGTTAGTTGGTCCGGCTGACTAGTACAGCGCCTCCCGTGACCAAGCTGCCACAGCAAAAGACTAGTCCCACGGGGCACCAGGATGACAAAATGATCAGGAACACCTTTTCTGACTTTGATAGCGGACGTGAATTGAAGTCACTTGCGATCTGAGAATATTTTTTTCATTAATACCATATTTGACGGTGCTCCGTGGCTGTTCAGCGTTCAAGCTACCTAGGGCTTCGGGCTTACCAGAAGAGGGAAGTAAGAAGGATGTCGGTTTTGGTTGGACGTGAGCATTGCACAGATCTCTCTGCTGCCTTGTGCCTGGCTGTCTTGGGCTGTCACAGAAGCACGATGACGGACAGACTTTTGAATCCCTTGATACATACACCTAGAGAGATCGATGGATGTTGCAAACCACTCGGAGGCGTGCTCTGCTACCTATTGCGGGTTTGGTGGAGGGATGGCCATAGCCCCCTCCTGGAAGCTCTTTCGCCTATATCTACATCTTTTATTATAGAGGACAGAAAAATTAACAGAAACAGCCCATAATTCAAATTTTCAAACAGCTATCTTTTTATTTTACGGCCTACTTGCCATTCACTCATCTGATACTTGTCATGACCCCCCTCATATGAGGAACTGAAAGGAAAAACGACCCGGCGAACCTGACCCGTCCGCGGGAATGATATCGAGTATCACCTGCATCGGGCCGATGACTCGTTCTCCCTTATTATCTGATATGAGATACTCGGATGGAAAGATACTAAGCTAAGGTCCCTCCCAATACGAGACTTTGCTAAAGAACAACCCTTTGTCTTTTACATAATATGCCATGTTCCATCTATTCCTGTCATTGTTGGCTCACAAAGGACGTCCCCATCAACAAAGACTCGATCTTCCTCGTTTTCTCGGGTCCTCTGATTGAGTCTTTGAGTAGGTTCACCATTCAAGTTCGAAACGCCATTCATGATTATAGTCCATTGTTTTCGAGCATGAGTTGGTACTCAACCAGACTGCCTGTCACCAAAGAATTGCATTGTCTCTAGGAGCCGCAATCTATACGATGCCAAAAATGGACCCTGGACTAGGCAAAAGTCCAACCATGATGTCGTCGGCACATACAAGAAGATATTCTTTCCCTCTCACTCCCTCGAGCCTCCCCCTCTGTCAGAAACGATGCTTGGAGAATCGCCCATCCATAGATGAACGCTGGAGAGACAGAACAGCCTTTGGCCTTGCCCTGCACAACCTAAATCGTCTCCGCCGACTCTTCTGCTTCTATCCAGATTCACATCTAGTCCGGTGCACCTGCAGGATTAGTGGCAGCTGTCCATCATTGTCGTTCTCGCCTTCAACATCACTTCCATCACTGCCCTTCTCTTCAAACACCAGCATCACAGACCCGGATGATCTGTATTGGATACAGTCTCAGAGAACTCCAAAGATCAACATATCCTCTCCTCTCGGCGCCTCGGATGTGGAATCGGCTTTCCACAGTATGAACACAGATCGCTGTCGGCCCCGGCGCTTCTTACGCCACTTTTCGGAGTTGTTCGATGGAGATACTCGTCGGTATGGCTGGCAAGATGCGCGAACAAGAGTGGATCACGCATACCGATATGAAGAGACACTTGCCCGTCATCGGCATCAACCTTCGTACCCAGATGCACGGACATATCGAACTCAGTATGAGCATCGACGTGAGTGGGATGGAGAACGCGCAGCTCGTCTACGGTCCGGGCGTACGCTGCCACCATCTCGTTACCACCACCGGAGATATCGCATCTCGCCCCAAGCAGGCGACCGTGCTGACTTGGCACATGGGATGCCTCGAAGAGATTTGGCTGAAGACGCCGAGGAACGTCCCGACGCGCGTTTCCGCGAGAGACAACATGAGATTTCTCGCCAATTTCCACGACAAACCCCTCAGCAAAGTTCAAGAGCACGTTTCCTTCACTCCTCGCCTCCTCCAGAAGAACGAGCAGCACGCCCGAGATTCTACAGTCGTCCATCATCACCGTTGCTACAGCCAAGACGACGTTCAGGGCCCATTGAAAGACCTGAGGCTCGGTCAAGACCAGCTCGCCCACCCAGCCCAGTGAACGAGCACGAACCTGCAAGAACAGGCCGATACACCTCTCCACGGCCAGTCTTTCGTCAAAACCGCCTCACACATCGCTCCCCACCATCGCCGATACTCACTCATTTCGATTCGGGTCTTTCGTCTTATGAACGCATCCGCCCTGTCCCGGACGCGAGTACGGACGATCATGGGCGTCGTTTGACTGGTGAAGAGACTCGTCAAGCGCGGAGTGAAGTGAGCGTGAGAGCAAGGGCGTCTCAGGTGGATTCTGACGGGCGCTCACCGACCGAACGAGTCCGATTTGATGCACGTAGTGACAGCGTGATCCCAGAAATTGTCTACAGTTCCAGCACCTTCAGCTCCCGCAATTCAAGATCGGGAGGACACGCAGACACTCGTCAGAGCGCGAGTTCTGACTCAAGCAGCGGTTCTGAATCTGAATCCGACTCGAGTAATTCGACGTCCATCTCAGCGTCTGGCGGTGCATCCGGATCAAGCTCTTCTCGGTCGAGCTCCTCGGGATCACGCTCGGTACATCGCCCTGCATCCCTGGTCGGGTCCGATCACAGCTCAAGCACCAGTGCAAGGTCAAGCTCCGGTTCAGAGACTCTGACTAGACCCTTTCCTGGCAGACAAGCTCTCCCGCCACGGACGCGAAGACGGGTCAGAATCATCGAGTACCGTCGCCCACAAGAACAACTTGTTGATGTTGTTCATCGGGAGCCTCGGCCAACGCTCGCTTATGGATATCGGCCGGGGGGCCGTGGTGCGGATGAAAGGCAGTTCTATGTGGTCCGTAGACCCGGGAACTCGGGCAGTATGAGACAGGGATGGTGGTGAGACGGACGGAAATGCCAGGCTTTTCTCATGGAAGATTGATGTTCCTTTAACTAAGGAAATTCTTGGAGACGCGTCTTATCTTGGTCTCTCTCGTTTCGTCTTGAGCCCGAGGTCCAGATGAAGATCATGCAGCGTGAATGGTGATGGAGTGTGGCATGACGGCTGAGTGTTGGAACGGATCACGTTCGGATGTTTGATTAGATCACGAGATACCCGCAGTTGGTGGGTTTCAAAGCATAATTTCCTAGATGGTCAAGTTTTCTTGCCGGTTGCTTTGCCAGCACTTTCTTTGCCAGCACTGTATGATCGGACCTGTCACTCCTTCGGCTCGAGGGACACTGCTCAATCCGGATCCATCGGGCGCATAAGTTACATAGCGGATCTCGGGATGGCCGTTGATCTCTGCTAAGCCACCTTTCTTCCGTCCAGATAGTCTAAGTGGATCTGAAAAAGGCCTTGCCTTGAATGTAAGGTTGCAGCTCAACGACAAAGACAAGACTTGAGACCAAGCGAGATTAGGTTCAGGCTCCAAAACATGCAAACAACAACCTTATATACCGAGCTAGGATACAGCGCTCTGTAGACGACTTAATCAGCCATGTCTCGAGTAGTCATAGAGCAGGTCTTTGGAAAAAGACGAGGCTACTAGTAAATAGCTCACATAATAATCGACCACGGTCGTGCAACTCATGACCACGATTCAGCATGTTACGCTGGAAGATGCCGGAGCCCGCAGTATACAGTTTCTGCACGCCACTATCTATACGCGAGAGGAACGGTGGAGACACGACCTGGCCCCGATCGCAAGCATCGGCAGGTTGTTCAACCTTGGCAAGTAGAAAGCAAGTCCAACGACTGTGGGATGCAGCATGGACCGTACTCAAGCACGCTAGACAGGCACGGAAAGCATCGAGAACGGAAGAGAACAAACAGTCTTATCTGGCGTGTGAATCGTGTCCACATCCTCCCCTGATTCCTTGGCTCGGTGGGCCGAACACTTGGATCTTCAGCCAGGCCTGGAACGCAGGATCCTCCATCGGAATGCGTCCAGATGATTTCTTTCTCATGCAAACTCTCCGACTGCGGTTGTCCCAATGTGCGTCATTCCCTCTTTTCCACCTTCATCTTCACCGTGAGTGTATATCGATTGATCAGTCCACACTCCACCCCATTCTCCCGCGGCTTGAAAGCTGGCTATCCTGTATCCGAGTCCCCTCTTCTCTCCATCACCATCTCCACGAAGCCCCCGTTGTGTCGAGCGAATTGTCTCCCAATCACCATCCACACATCGTCCATGTCGAAAAGGATTGGTTCCAAGTGAGTCCGCCTGGGCCGTATCTTCTTTTCCCTCGGCTGTGACTTTATCATCCATCACTCTTCCCTTGGAGTTCACGCCATCTTCGACCCTCTCTGTCTTTCTCTCTCATTCTCTCTCTCACCTGGGACGGGACTTTGAACCCAGCAAGATCATTAACCCACTAAAAGTCCACCACAGCTCTGAGTCGCCGTCCACCAGCGTTTCACAGCACTACGATCCAATCACGGGTGCTGCTTCTCTGGACGCCGTGCACCTCTCATCCTTGAGCTGCATCACAAGACTCGCCCCCGACGCCGCGTGGTTCCCTCGTGCAGTCCACTCCCCTCCCCCTCCCCCCATATCCACCTTCTCCCGCCTCGGCTTCACCTCGCTTCTTATCTACAAGGCGACGAGATCGCCCCTGGCTCCCTCCACAGAGTGTCCCACGGCGCCATCTCTCCCCCCCGAAGCCAGAGCCCGGGTGTTGAAGTTGAACCATGAGAGTGTCACCGGTGGAGCCGCGATCAACCTACACCATCAGGTGTGCTTCTATCCAGTCACCAGCCGCCGTTGCGGCGCACGTCTCTCACAGACACTAAACCCACCTAGTCTCGCGGCAGGATGACCGCTGTCATGACACAAATTCAGAGCGCGTCGCCGGATGATGTGAAGCCGCCGGGGTCGGTCGTCAAACTCGGCCTGTCCTCCGCCGATACCGATATCTCGAGACCAGAGTCGTTGCTGAACGGCGCGATCAGCGTCTTTGACATCCCGCCCGATACGGCACTTCTTCTGTTCTGCAATAACATCGAGAAACTAGTGACGCAATTCACCGACCTTCCGCTCGAATCCTTTCCCGGCTCCAATGGCTCGACCCCATTTGAACCCCGGACTCCGCGAGAGGATCTGGTTCCCAACCAGACCGTAGGACTGCACTGCGGCGATTCACACGAGGCAGGCCATGATCGGACGGAAGAAGAGACGTTTCAACTCCGGATCCTGTCCCGCAAATTCCTCTCGAAGAAGGTGCCCCCGATCGCGCTCCGGGATTATCTTCTACGCCTGCAAAAGTATTGCCCGATGTCGACCGCCGTTCTGCTTGCGGCGAGTGTTTACATTACAAGGATGGTCGTGGTGGACAAAGTAGTTCGTCCATCTCCCAAGAACATGCACCGCCTTGTGTTGGCCGGTCTCTTGGTCGCCACCAAGGCTCTGGAAGACCTCAGTTTCCCACACAGTCGCGTGGCCCGAGTCGGTGGTGTATCGGAACAAGAGCTTTCCCGGCTCGAAGTGACATTTTGTTTTCTAGCCGACTTTGAGCTGCGAGTAGACGCGCAGATGCTCATGGATGAGGCGACAAGACACTGGTCACCGCGCTCTGAATCAGGAACTGGAGAAGGGACCGATTGAGTGAATGTTGGGGGGACCTTTCGAGGAATCTAGTCTCGGGGGACTCTGGCTCATCTATGTGAAGGCTTTTTCACCTAATCTGTACACCCGTTTTGGTATTAGCGATGCAAGTTATCCGCGGAAAGATACAAAATTTTTTTTGGCCGAGTCACGGTTCTTTTCAGCTATGATTGACCGTACTGTATCAGATTCTTACGGTCTGAAATAGCGCGAGCTAAGACCGCCAGCCCTGAGATGGTAGCACGTCACGCTGCTTGTTCGGATTCTCAGCTTGAGTATACCCTCCCTAAGTCAGGTCTGATTTGCGAAGCTGCCCGAGTCTACATATTGGCTGTGGCCTTGAACCAAGGTCCGCTCAGATCATCAGAACGAGACAGAGTGCCTACGAATCTATCCGATGATAGATCGAGACTTCAAGAGTCCTTTCGCGCTTGGCCTTAGTGCAAAGGCAGCCGCAATTTGAAGTTGAACATGGAGTTGAAATGTATTGATATCTCTACTCTGGCGTCGTGCAGGACGATCTGTAATATGAGCGCCCACAGAGCTGCGTATTGACAAGCCACACTCACTGATCTTGTCTGCATTCTTAGACTGCGCCCTCTACCTGGACAAGCCTCAGCCCTGCAGTGCGCGGAAACACGGCTGCCTATGGGGCTGAGGAAGGATGTCCTCATGGAGATCATGGACCAGGAACCCATACTCCGAAGTAAACGAGAGCAAATTTAATTGGACTCAAAATCTGTGAAAGGAAAATTTGCCGACTCAAGTAGCACACTCGTATCCAATTTGAGGAGGCTTATTATTATTAAAGGACGATTGAGCATCTGGTCAACCCTTCTTGGCGTGGTGCTTCGCTTCTTGAGCTCCGAATCAATTAGCGTGAGGGAGAGCTGTGTCGCTCTTCCGAAAAAGACTCCGCCTTGTCGCCGCTCTGTAACCAGGCCGATCATCGTCTCCGACAACTCCCCTTTTTTGAGTTGGTCTTGTCAACAGGCGCGGGCACGGCAGATCGAAGGAACAAGTCTGCATTCGCCATTACGGCCGCATACTTGCCTTGTGTCAAGTATATTCAACGGCGCATCAACAAGTCCTCCTTCCGTCATTCGGGCGTCGTGTCCATCTCCGGCCCCGGCTTTTCCTCCGCATCCTGACACTTTCTCCCTCCTCTCGCTGCGCCAGAACAACGAAATAAAGGGAGCGCACCGCTTGCAAATATGGCATCAACCTCTCCAGCCGACGACCAGGGTGCAAAGTCTGGATCTCCCGAGTCTGGGAGTACACCAGCCAGTGTCAACAAAGAGGCCACCGCATCGGCGGGGAGCGAGGTTGAGATGAAGAGCATGCGGTCAAACACGCCGCCAAAGGGATCCATCCCGCTGGGCGAGGATATAATGCAATTAGCCCGAATCGGTGAAATTGGCGCGATGCAGAATTTGTTCGTGACGAAGAAGTTGACTGCGAATCACCGGGACGAAGAGGGGATTACGCCGCTGCATGTATGATTCCCAGACCCAGCTTCCTGTTCGGGTTCGCTTGACGATTTTACATTGGCACCATTCTTTCCAGCACCGAGGATCCTGCAATTCCAAGCTCGTCCTTGCTGGTGGAATGAAAGTTGCTGTGAACTGAAGCTGACTTTTATTTTTTTATTTTTTCCTCTCGCAGTGGGCGGCCATCAACAACCAATATGCCATGTGCAAGTTCCTGCTCGATTCCGGCGCCGACGTGAATGCCAAAGGCGGGGAGTCGGTCGCTACGCCAGCAATGTGGGCAGCGCAACGATGCCATTATTACATCGTTAATCTACTCCTTTCCTATGGCGCGGACCCGCTGCTCACCGACGTACAAGGCTACAACATCCTCCACCTGGCGACGATCGATGGGAACGCTTTCCTCGTTCTCCTCCTCCTTCATCAGGAAATTCCCGTGGATGTGATGGATCAACAAGGCCATACAGGATTGATGTGGGCTGCGTACAAGGGCTACCCTGTCTTGGTGGATCTCTTCCTGCGATGGGGTGCCGATGTCAATGCTGTGGATGAGGGTGGCTTGACACCGCTGCACTGGGCGCTGGTCAAGGGTTCATTGCCCAGTATTGTCAAATTGCTCGAGTATGGCACCGATCGCTTTGCAGAGACTCGTGACGGCAAGTCACCCAGCACTGTCGCGCAAGAAATGAACACTTCTCGGGTCTGGCAGCGTGCGCTTGCTGAGCGCGGGTTTGAACCGGACGGTACTCAGAAACCGCCGGGGACGGGGTTGTCTGGCTATTTGAAAAATAAGAGTGTGATGGGCAAATTCTTCTTCTTGTGGCCTTTCCTGACCCTCCTTGTTGCAATCTGGATGCTGAGCCATCTTCCCATTTTCTTGGGCGTCCCCGCCACGGCAGTCACTGCTTTTGGCATGCAGTATGCTGCGCAACAGGTGGCGAACCGTGGTCCATCGGAGTATCGGATTCTACAAAAAACGGTGAGATGATCTTCCAAGCTCCTTGCGGCTTTCAGCATGCACGACGATTGAAACGAAGCTAATCCAACTTCCTTAGCCCTATCTGGCTGGTATTTTTGCGGCCACGCTGTTCTGGACTGGATTCCGTTACGTTACCAAAGTGCTGCCCGGTAAGTAGACTGTCTCAACCTTCCTGATGAATTTTTCAGACTGTTGTCCTAATCATTTGCTACAACTACAGCTACTTACTCCTCGGCTCCGATCGTCAACATTCTTTTCACTGCCTTCTTCTGCCTTACTGCGTACTTCTACACCTTGGCCATGATCGAAGATCCCGGCTATGTACCCAAGGTGAACAGCCGCAATCAGCAGAGAGAATTGGTCAAAGAGCTATTCGAGCAGTGGAAGTTTGACGAGGAAAACTTCTGTATGCCGTGTATGTCAAGGAAGCCACTGCGCAGCAAGCACTGTCGTCGTTGCGGACGCTGTGTTGCCAAGCATGACCAGTGAGTGCACAAATCGCGTTCCTCTGATAGAGCATTCCGCCCATTGCTAATCGCATCACTCAGCCATTGCCCTTGGATTGACAACTGTGTGGGAGCAAATAATTTGCGCCACTTTGTATTGTACATTGTGTCTCTCGAGATCGGCATCATTCTCTTTGTGCAACTGAGCGTCACTTGTAAGTGGTCAATCGTTCATCATATGGTTGGTTCTCCGGCAAGCTATACCTTATTGACACATTTCTACGTTTAGACATCCAAGGTCTACCGTCCATTCCTGGTGCCAGGTGTAACGTTATTAACGACACACTTTGTGACATCATGACCCGTGACACGTTCACGCTCGTTCTGGACGTCTGGGACACCTTGCAACTCGTCTGGGTAACCATGCTCTGCGCTGTACAGCTCGTTCAGGTGTCCCGCAATCAGACCACCTACGAGAACATGCGTGGTCACCATGTTGATCGGTCATACCCCAGTTCCCAAGCCTTCGCCTCGGCCATGGCTGCCGGTACTCCCTCAATGGAAGCCGCCGGTCTCACTGCCAACGGCGCCGGACCCAACCCGGCAATCCCACGTCCCGGTCAACCTCGACGGAAACACGGTTTCTGTGCCCAGTGGTCATCCTTGCTCGGCATTGACACATTCTTTGCCACCGCACGTGGAGGGCAAGTTGCACGGCCCCGAAATCCGTTCTCACGCGGCGTGATCACCAACTGCCGCGACTTCTGGTGTGATCCAGCTCCGGTGTTTGGAAAGAATCAAACCGGCTCTGGTATGCTCGGCGGCGAAGTCGTCAATTACCATAACATGTATCAGACTCCGACACGGATGCACATGAGTGCCCGAACTGGTGATGGCGGAGCCTACCGCAGTGTGGCTGGTGAGGATCCTGAACAGATGGTTTGAATAAAACAAAGGAAACATAAGATTTGCATTGTCGACACGATCTTCCGCGACGTGTTTTGGCCTATTATTCTTTTTTTTTCTCCTCTTTGCAGCCACGATTCTCATATCTGTTTCTTTTTGTCCATTTGGCTGTATATGCATACCCCAATACTTTTGAAGAAGCTCATGGCATTGCGTCTCCTTTGGTCACGATTTCTCCCTTCGCCGTCTCTTACTTTATGTTTTCCCCTGTTTGCCTTGTCTTACTTGCACCGTCGCCCTTTTACTTTTGTGGTAGATCCTTGTTTTATACGCGTCCGTCTCCCTGCCTCTACGTACATGAGCGATGACATGAACTCAATCATAATGGATGTTACAAAGATAATTATACCACTATTTCGATGATCTATGTCTGGCCGCTGCACCTAATATTCGACTCGATATGACTCTCTCAGGCCTCACGTGTCTCCCATCTCAAGATCTCCTTTACAGTTCAAGTCTTCACAGGCGGTTCGTCAAAATAGAGACCTGCCTAGCGCCAGCCTTCAAGTCACTGCACCTATGACCTACCTTACCCACCGGGCCTGGTCGCGTATCTTACGACGTTCAAGCGTGATCCCATCCGTTCAGGGGTTTCCGCTGATGGAATGCAAGCGACGCAATCGGGCAGCCGCGTCCTTATGATTGGATATCTGGAGTGAGAACGGATCGAACTTGAGGACGGGAAAAGAAAACAATTGGAATGAGTGGAAATAGAAGAGATGGAATGTCTATTATCTTATATTGCGTACAGCAAAAATAAATCATAGCAAAGCGTTGACTTCGGTGTGCCTTGCATAGGTCCTCGTCGTGTATTGCATCACATGCATTTTGAGTGAACTTGCACATCGGGAAATGAGGGACTAATACAGGGTTCAGGTTGACTGGGCCTGGAGTAGATCAATGCTTCAGTGATTAGGTTTATCTGAGAAATTTCCAAGAAAAAAAAGAAGAATCTCATTACACCCAGTCTCTACTCTTTTTAGGGGGGCGGTGAGGTGAAGATGGGGTTTGGTTTCTTCATCCACATTGGAGAAGTTCCAGATCATAGCATTGCCCGAATTGGGGTGTCCTGCACCTGCGCGGAAACGCCAGTCAATTCATCGCCAAAGACAGAATTGACAATCTCGCCACCTCGCACCGCGAGAATGGACAGCAGACTGTCGCTCAGACCGTGCGTCTTTTCGTTACATCCTTGCAACCAGATTCCTGCATCGGGGCTGACTTTGCTCTCGTCCAATGCTACGCGGTAGTCTCTGCCCGTGGACCAGGCTGATTGACCTTCTGGTCGGAGGGCGCGCACTTGCTCCAGGAGTTGCTCATGGGCATCACGCTGGTAGCCCGTGGCTACCATCAGGGCGTCGACGTCTAAGGTCTCGTTGTGGGCGGTGTCGTCTTCGTTCACGGACTGGACGTGGATGCGCATGGGACTGTTGGGGTTATGGTGCTCGATGCGAGCGACCTTGCGTTCGGGCAGGATGCGATGTTGCCAGGTAGACTCGTCAGGGTTGCGGATGCGTTGCAGATACATGGCGTTGTAGATTTCTTCGATGAGTTCTAGACGGACGACGGAATAATTGGTGGCTTTGTCCCTGGCGATGCGTGCGTGACGTTCGTCTTGGGGAAGTTGGTAGAATTGTTCGACGCGCTCGGGGTTGAAGATTTCGTTGACGCTGACGGGGAGGGTTAGATAAGTGGCCACGTACAAGAGATGAGCGGATGAAGCCTTGGGGAGGGAGGAAAGGCCTGTTTGGGCAATTGACAAGGGGGAGTATCAACATACAAAGGAGAATCATCACTCGGCCGCAGTGCGGTATCGCGTAGGATCAATGTTGTGCGGCATTTGGGATACCGGCGTTGCAAGTCATGGAAGATCTCCGCGGCACTCTGTCCGGATCCCACCACGGCGATGTTGTATGAAGCAGACTCATTCTTCAAAATGTTGGGCAGCCCTGTGCAGTACTTGGACGAGTGCATGATGCGAGCGTCCTGGGGGAACCCCGGGGGCATTTTAGGTTTACCACCTAGTGCCACAACCACTTTTCGTGCTCTCCTCGAGGAAATCTTCCCCGTCGCCGAGTTCCGAGATCGCACGATGAAGTAATCCACCACGCCGTCGGTTTTGCTTCCAGGCACCACCTCGACGACTTCCTCGCCGTAGCTCACCACATCCTCGAAACGCTGCGCACACCAGCGCATATAATCTTCAAACTCCATCCGCGCCGGCAAGAAGGTCCCCAGGTTGGTGAAGTGCACCAATCGGTTCTTGTTATGCAAGTAGTTTAAGAAGGTGAAGCTACTGCGAGGGTCTCGCAGAGTAGCCAGGTCCTTGATGAAGGAGATCTGCATGCGCGAGCCGGGCACCAACATGCCCGCATGCCAGGCAAACTGGGTTTGACGCTCGAGGAAGGCCACCTTGGGCGCGAAGGAGGAGGTCGAGGCGGTTCGTGTCAGAGCCGGGTCCATGGCGTCATGGAGCGCAATGGCGATGGCCAGCGAGGCCGGACCGAATCCCACGCAGAGAAGGTCATGCATCTCCTCGGCCGGGACGGAGCGAAGCCGCGTACGTTGTCCAGATGTCTGTGAGCGTGCTGTCATTTCGTTCAGAGTGGGAAGCTCAGCTTTGCGAGAAATAGATTGCATGGTGTGCGGTCGAACAAGAAGGACGTCGACAGCAGAGGTAGCACGAGCCGACCTGTGATACGGAGGATGTTTCCAGAATATAGTGACGGCACCAATTCCAACCTAGGTTGACAGTTCAAGCAGACGATCCAAACAGTCAATAAGACAGTATTGGTCAACGGTACGTGTAGACAATGTCCAACGCAAGTCTAACAATGTGAAGGCCTCCGGAGCTGTGATGCGCAACCGACACGATCGAAGCTTGTAGAGAAGGAACAAAAAAGTGAAACCGGGAAATTGACCCCATCGATGGGAGAGGCCGGATTATGTACAGCTAGCGAATCCAACAAACCGCATCTAGCGGGACAGCGGGACAGTCCTGAATAATCGGATCGATGCGAAGAAAAATGGCGCGGTGGTCCGATGGGAAGGAGAGTTGGCGTTCAAAAAAAAAACATAAAAGCCCAAAAGTGAAATTGACCTTCGAGGGAAAAGCTTGAAAAACGAGATCGGAGCTCAAGAAGGCCGAGGACAAGTCCGCTTTTGGAGGTGGGGATATGGAGGACAAGTCATGGATCACAAGCTTGCCCTGCTGCGGACCTGCGCACCAGCTTGGACTCTTGAAAGTTTGCAGCCTGGAACGGAGCTTCGGTCACTGAATTACTAGTTATTTGGGTCACATTGGTATTGATCATTTGACACTGGGCTGATGGGCTCGGCAGAGTCGGCACCAGGAAATCTGGTGAGTTCGAGGAGAGCGTACTGTAAATTCAGAAATTGTTGGTCCCGTACCATACATTACTTTCGATCTTCCATCTTGCAGTGGGATGCCCGATGCACGCCCCCACTTGGGAAAACCGGCGGTGGAAAGTTTTGCCAGTGAGACGGAGGCCCAAGCGGATCAGATAAAAAAAGTGGCTCATCAAAAATGGAGCCTCCGTTCCTCCTGTCCTGGCGAGACGGTCAGCGTAGCAATGCCGTTCTGCTGCACCTCTCAACGTGCACTAAAGAGGGAAGAGACTAGCCCGGCCTCGCGCTCACCAAAGAAGGCAGACGATCCAGGGGATGGTCATGGGCAGCGTTATCAATCAGTCTCCACCATTCAGTTTACGACTGCACATGCCTCTGGCGGGGCTGACCTCGTTGTAGAAAAGTCAAATCACTACAAGTTGTTTTGTGCGATGTGTCAGTTCAGCAATCGGTATTTCGGGCTTAGCTCTTGGAAATCCATGGGGAGTCCGGGTTTCTCAATTGTCAAAAGACGTAGAGAAATATTAGATTCGACACAAATTTGAAACGCACGTTGAAAATGTGTCTGATGATGCGGAATAGCTACGGACATGTCATGGGAGATTTCCTTCAAGCTGACTCCGCACGGACATGACATCCCGCCGACGTCAATGGAATCACCTTTTTTTTTGAAGCTGCTCTCTTGCGCTTCGAATTCTGCAAGAAAAAGCGCGTGGCGTCCTGGGACCGGTCGTCCTCGCTTGGCTCCTATATACGGTCAAAGCCTTGACACATAGATGTCGGCTACTGGCCGAGACTGGAACTCGACAAGACCGGTGTCAGAAATTTGGTTCATTTCCGATGTCGGGAAAATCCACGAGCGCCGACTGTTCCATGGAGTCTACGCGAAAGACTTTCTAATGAATAGTCCCAATCGGAGTACAGATGTCAGATGACAATGAAGGAAACAGCTGATTTCAAATCTGATCTGCCGTCTGGTCTTATTTTCTTCTCGTCAAATCCTGCATCAGTGCATGCTTGGCAGTGGAGCGCGGCCCCCACGAGGCTCACGGTTTGAAGTTGGGCAACAATACCACCGGAGCCGGGACTGCACGTCGGCGCTGGAGTCGACGAGAAAGGCAATTGAATGGTCCCGGGATTCCTTGGCAATTCTCATGGTCAATGCACGTGATCTTCTTCCAGTTCCAAGTTTCTCCAGGAAGATGGATAGGATCAAAATGACCAAAGAAGAAAAGCGGGGGTCTGACGGTGTTCATCGCTAGAAGTACTCGAGCATGAAAAAGAGAGACCTGTCACAGCTCGAGTTCGTATGTAAAAATCAAACAGAAGCGAGTCATGAACTGATCCGGGAGCGTTCAGGAATCAACTGTAGTAGTGTACACACTACACAGTACACACTACACACTAGGAAGGTTGGATGTATATCTCCACATGGTACGCACCAAAATTCAATTGGCAGGCTCAAACGCGTCGTCAGTGGCACGGTTTACTTGGCAGACCTTTGGAGTTTTGAGACCTTTGGAGTTTTGAGACCTTTGGAGTTTTGCAGATCAGTGATTTGAGTTTTTCAATTGTTCCACATTAACATATACGAATGGTTTCGGCTCGCTTCTTTGTTTTCCCCCCAATCTGTTGTGATTCACACCTTTCTTGTCCTTCGGTGAGCAGTCCACTTGAATCCACCAAGGGGCGGTGACTTTGAATCGGAAAAAGGATGGCCAAGTCTGGTGGCAGGTTGGCTTGAGTACGTACTTCGCTTCTGTCCCGATGGCGACGAGTGGGGCAGGCGGCACATGCACAGAGTATGTTGTGGAACGATCAAGGAATCACCCGAGTTGGTCTTCGGCGGAAGCGGGACAAACGATCTGATAAGAAGTTATGGATGTTATTCACGGGCTGAAAATCAGACCGTTGGCATCCTAGTCAATTCGCACACAAAACCATGAAGGATTTGTCTCAGCTTGGTGGGGACTCGTGCCCAGCTGACGGGTTAATGTTACGAAATTTCATTCAGATGCCTCGGTAGTACCCATCACAAAAGTGTACAACATCTCGGTGTGGATGGTGCTGTGGTCACTTGGTCTCCATTTTGAGACGGGGTCGGGTCGAGCTCGAAGTATCTAAATAACGTTATCAGATCCGCTCTGATGACTCCATGCTCCGCGAGCTATTTTCTGTATGGCTAGTACCCACGGAAGAGTATGTCACGTCACCGAGAAGAACTTTTGTTCGACACATACTGCTGACTAGAATTGTGGCATTTGCACACCCACATGGAACAGCCCTTTACCAACCGTCACTAAGGCATATGAGGTGTGAGCCACTTCGCTCGGATTTGTGGACAAACTGAACATGGGGACGACTCCATCAACAGAGACGCACCTGGTTCTTATTCGACTGCCCACCTTCATGACCATGCACTACTCATGGTGTAGAAAAACGCAAGACAGCACTGAAAGCCCCTCTCTCTGAACCATCTAAGCTGGTAAAATTGGCGATTGAGATTGATGGCTCCTAACATTGAGATGAGACATCTGCACTCCTCCATCCATGGAAGCGAACAAGTTGCTCCACGAGTTTGACTTTGTCGATCAAAAACTGTTGAAAGCAATCCATCGATAGGTTTGTGCCACATCATTGACGTAGTCATAATTTCTCGACACCGAGCATCTTTCTATTTCACTCCGGTTTGATCCGAAGATTGACAGCTCGAAACGCAAGATCGACTTCCATGTTGTCCCCGTCGGAAAAGGTGTGGGTGAGCCGGAGAATTAATGGAGGATCTGATAAGGAAGCTGGAAGAGCGCCCGATTCCGAGTCTAACTACATTCGGCCCAGTGCCCGACACAACGGAAAATGACGGGAGAAGGTGGTGAAAGGAATGAGAACCGTAAATTACATGTATCATACACGCTATTCTGCCAGATTTACAGTACTGTAATCTTCCTCAAGTCATCTCCAAGCGGCCAGAAGTGGACGCATGTAGAGGTACGTCATCTTCGTCATGGCGCCCGCAAGCTCCGCTGTCGATCGAGCGGCAGCGAAAACATCTCTGCACGTTTCATTGTATGACTACGCAGGCGTGCCGATGTATTCTACCTCAGCCTTCGCTCGTCGTTATAGTGACTACAGCTCCTACTGTATAGATACATTCAGATACCTTGCCAGACAATCTGCGATCCGCCAGATCTTTGATTTAAGCTAGATAAACCCCTCGCTCGCATAATCGTCAAAATCCAAGATACCGCCCCACCCTGTTAAATGTCCGTATCCGTCGTGGTCAAGGTTGCTCTCGCCTTCTCTCCGAGTTGGATTCCCACTTCGGTCACTACGATAAAGTCGCGAAGCTCGGACTTGTCCACTTCTTCATGTTACACGCGGTGATGGATCTGGTAAGGAATAGACTTTGAGTCTTCAACGCGAACGCGATCGGAAACAGTATTTTGGACCTTCTCCCGCAAGATTTCTTTGGATGCCTGCCCAGTAACCAACCATCAACCACTGATGCGCAAGGAAACGACTTAAGAACTTGGCTGTGGATTACCCACTTTTATCTAACTTCCTCCTCTCCTCGGTGTTTTCGTTCTCGCCTTGGCTGTTCGGTCGGGCATCGGCAGAGTCAGCCAGACCTCCTCGGATGTTCTTGCGGAGCGCCCATTCTAATACGGCGGTGCATCAGGCCCAAATACAAGTGGATCACCCGAACTGGAAACGCTTTCGTGCTCAGTCCACCCTTCAGCCGCCGGTCACGAATCAGCTGCGTGTCGAGTCTGTCGACCCTGATTCAAATTTAGCATATGAGACAAGATCGTTCCTGATTGTCCTTCGATGCTTACTGGGCGCCGGACCGTGCTGGTATCATTTTGTATTTTCCTTTTCCTCTATTAATCGATTGCGAACAAAGTCATTATTCTGCATGGAGCCCATGTAATCAGTGGGAGTTGATCCACTTCACGAGAGGACCCATTCATGACCCCTCCATCCTTCCGGATCTTTCATAATCAGGTGAACGAAGTGCGACTACCTTGTCGGTCCTTACGCCAGGTCGTTTCGGATATGTTAGTGTTGGAAAGACAGCTATCAAATTCAACGTCCGCTTGAACCAGTGGTCAACATAGATTTGTCGTCACTTTGACGACTATTGATTCACTAGCGACTCGGGCAACATCCCACTAGCCAATCGAACATCGTTGACCAGACTTTCAAGTTTGGAGCATGCACCTTTAGCTACCAATCATTCCAGGATTCAATCAGAGACTTGGAACGAGCATCATGGACCGATTCACTCAATTTCCTGCGATTCAGCGCCAAGCGGTTGCTGATGAAACCGGCATTGCATGCATCAGCCAGGCATGGCCGGCAGAAACTGCAGCCTTGCCAACGGAGATCTTGGGCCTCGCATGGGCAGTTCTGTTGCGAGCCTTCACAACAGAAGAAGCCCCGGTATTTCTGCTCGACGGTAGCCCCGTGAAGGTGGACACCTTGACGCAAGAGATTCGCCCGGCGACCCTGGATCCCATTGAATTCTCTGCAGAGCACACTGCAGTGCATTTGACCGATGATCCTGCACGAGTCTGCGAGGAACTGTCGAATGGCAGCGCGAAAGACCAAAAACTACCCTCTGAATTGTGCACTTTGACGTGGCATTTCAATCGCAAGGCCCAGACGAGCACATTGCAAGCAACCACTGGCATGGATTCTAATTACATCCAGCAGCTGGGCTGCCAGCTTGAACACATTGTTCGAGATCAAGCATCTCTATCGGGAATCGCAGTGAGATGGAGTCCTCTGGCAAATCAGAATTCCGAGACGACAATGAGACTCTCTATTGCGAATCCCTCTCCCCGCAACTTGGCAGGGCCTCAGTTGCTTCATGAGCTCGCACTGTGTAATACCACGTCGGAGAATGATGCAATTGAATTTATGGCCGCAGATAGAGCTGTCTATCGTCTCAGCTATCGTGCGCTTGACCAAGCCTCTACAAGGCTAGCAGCAAGAATCAGCACTGCGGCAACAACCACGAGGACGCAAGCAGAGCAGCGACAAATGGTGGTGCCCATTCTGCTGCCTCAATCCTTGGAGCTTTATATAACCCAGCTCGCCATTCTTAAAGCTGGCGGGGCTTTTTGTCCTCTCACAATCGATGCACCCTCAGACCGCATCGAGTTTATCATACAAGATGTAGCTGCGGCAGTGATTGTCACGCAGGATGCTCTGACCACGAGAATCCCCAAGGGCAGCAATGTCACAGTAATTACTGTTGACGAGCTCGAGAGCCACTTGGAAAGCCACAATAGCACAGGGACCATAGAGCAGGTGCACGCGCGAACCATCGCTCCTACGGACCTTGCATATGTCATGTACACTTCTGGCTCGACTGGTCGACCCAAAGGTGTGGGCATCTCCCATTTGGCTGCAACGCAGTCTTTACTCGCACATAATGAATTGATACCCCAATTTGCTCGCTTTTTACAATTCGCGTCACCCACCTTTGACGTTTCGGTCTTTGAAATCTTCTTTCCCCTTTTCCGTGGAGTCACGCTCGTTGCTTGTGAGCGCGAACAGATGCTTCTCGATATCTCCCGCGTGATGACCACCATGCGCGTGGACGCAGCTGAGCTGACACCTACGGTGGCCGGAGAGCTTCTACGAACCCGATCTGCAGCGCCATCATTGCGCGTTCTCCTCACAATCGGTGAAATGCTGACTCGAGCTGTGGTCGATGAATTTGCGTCCTCGCCCAACGGCGAAGACGGCATCTTGCACGGCATGTACGGTCCAACGGAAGCGGCCATTCATTGCACAGCCGCAACGCAGTTCCACTCCGATGACCGTGTGAATCTTATCGGTCGAGTCTTTAGTACTGTCTCTGGATTCATCATGCCCATCTACTCAGACGACGAGACGGATACCAAAGTCGACGAGCTGCGGCCGTTGCCCCTGGGTCAGATCGGCGAGTTAGTTGTCGGTGGTCCTCAATTAGCGGATGGCTACATCAATCGGCCGGAGGAGAACGCCAAGGCCTTCATCGACAGCCCTGTTTATGGACGCCTCTATCGAACTGGTGATAAGGCTCGAATGTTGCCTTCTGGGGAGATTGAATGTTTTGGGAGAATTTCCAGTGGTCAGGTCAAGCTCCGAGGCCAGAGAATTGAGCTTGGTGAAATTGAACATGCTATTTGTCAAACTCCAGGAGCGCGCAGCGCAGTCGCCGTCGTGAGCAATGGTAGCCTGGCCGCGTTCGTGCTGGTCAACAGCAAAGAGACAACCGAGCGCACACTGCGAGACGTTTGCCGGCAATGGCTTCCGCGATTCATGGTTCCGGGAGAGTTCATTCTGGTCAACCAGTTTCCCCAGCTACCATCCGGCAAAATCGACCGAAAATTGTTGGAAGCCGATTTCAAACGTCATCGTAGCAACGCTCAAGCCGCCAAGGACTACAAATTTCGTGATGAACTCGAGGAGACAATTGCTTCATGCGTGGCAAGCGTGATGGGGAGACAAGTGTCGGCTATAGAAAGTCTCGGTGCGGCAGGGTTGGACTCGTTGGCTGCCATTCGGCTTGCATCTCATCTTTTGGACAGTGGAATCCGACTGGACGTTGCGCATCTCCTCGAAGCAGACTCTGTGAATGGGATATGGGAGCTCGCGAGGACAGCCGAGGCCGTAGCTTCGACTGAGAATACAAGCGCAGGTCTGCAGCTGATCCATCAACTGGTGGCAGATGCAGGTGCTGCACGGATCGAGGCTCTTGGATTGAGTTCAAAGGTTGGTGCTGTTGATCTTTGCAGCCACATCCAACAGGCGATGATAATGGAGACCGCTCGGCAAAGGCAAGCATACTGCAACTGTATCGAATTGGAATTCTTGCCCGAGACACGTTTCTCTGATATACAGCATGCGATTGTGAAGCTCCTGGAAAGTAACCCAATTCTTCGCTCCGGTTTTGTTGAAATCGGTCTCAAGGATCAGGCTTATGCCCGATTCGTGTACAACCCGGCAGAACTTGATGTTCTTCACCAACGCGAAACATTCAACTACGGTTTTTCACTGATGGTGGAAAGCGATCTGCTAAATCCACTTCAATTTTACTTCCGAGAGGCAGAAAGCGGTCCTCGATTACTCGTTCAGATTCACCATGCGCTATATGACGGCTGGTCTTGGCAGCTGATCATGAGAGATCTTCGTCAACTCTTGTCAGGCGAGGCTATTGAACCCAGGCCTTCTTATACACTCATTTCAGACTTCTTCGCCGAACACAAATTGGGTCATTCGTATATTAACTCACTGAACTTCTGGCGCGACAGATTGCAGGGGTCTCCAGTGGCTCCCTTTCCTAAATTTGTCGCGTCTGTGACTCCAGTTGGCACACAAGAGGCAAGTCGTGACCTGCAAATATCGATTGAAAGACTGGCAGAAGCTTCTCAAACGCTGCACGTCAGTCGCCAAACAATCTTCCAGGCGGCATACTGCTACCTTCTCTCGACATACTTAGGATCAGACGATGTGACCTTTGGTACTGTCTTTTCCGGCCGCACGCTTCCAGTCAAGGGCATTGAAAGTGTTCTTGGTCCTTGTATTCGCACACTTCCTACTCGAATGGCAATGGGCCAAATGCGAACCGTCGCCGATTTGTTGCTCGCAATTCAAAACATGAACCACCGATGTCTGGAGCACGGTAGTGTCTCGCTTCAAGATATCAAGAAAGCTTCTGAGATCGACCCACGAGCTAGCCTCTTCGATACCGCTTTTGTCTGGCAAGAGACACTATGGCAAACTAAGAAGAAAGATGAAATTTTCAAGGAAGTCAAAGAGAGGGAGTTTCTAGAGTTCGCTGTGTTGTTGGAGCTCGAGCCCCTCGAGACAGATGTCCGCGCAAAGATCACATTCCAGCAATCTATTCTCTCCCGTGAGCAGGCTCAATTCCTTCTGGAGCAACTTGATGCCGTTGTGGCCGTGATACTTGAGGCACCAACCCTTGTTATTGAGGAGATCGGGCAACGACTTCCAATCAATATTCTGTCAATTGCCGATTCCGAAGATGTCACACATGATGGGTTATCTGAGATATTGGGTCCACTCGCAACAATGGGACCTGATTTGGAAGCTGTGAAAATTCTGAGCTCATGGGAGTCGGACACGCCATGCTTCGACTCCATCACGTACGGCCAATTGGCAAACCAAGCCAATGGACACGCCGAATATCTGTCACAAGTCGGTGTCATGAAGAGTGATCCAGTCTTGCTCGTCCTCACTCAGTCAATAGAGTCTTACATTGTTTTGCTGGCTTTGGCAAAGCTTGGTGCTCATCTTATTTCCTTGTCGCCGCGAACAACATCAGAGGATCTGAGCAGTGTTGTGTCCGACATGCATGTGAAGTACTACCTTTCTGGTTCATCGCGCGAGTCTGAACTCGGATTTGCTATTCCGGGATCTGTCCAACAGATCTCTCTCCCGGAATCATTCGAAGCACCGGATGAGATACCTCACGCGGCTTACGACAGTTTCCGATTCTCAACATTTGACCCGACGATCAAAGACTGGGCCTCCTTCACGTCGCCGCAATTGGGTGATTGCTTGGGTATTTTTAGAAAATCCTATGATCTCACACACGAGGCGAGGATTTTCTCGACGGGTAGCGCTGCCTTCCCTGGTAAGTCAAAGACAACCCAACTTATAGGTCATTTCTAACCGTTCTAGTTCCCATCATTGAATCAATGCTGGCATGGAGTGCCGGAGCCGTTCTCATTTCTGCCTCCAGCGATGCCATAGCCGGTGATTCACACAAAGTTCTTCAGGGTATGGGGCTCACTCATCTTCACACCACACCAACTCTAGCATCTCGGTTGGATCCCAGCAATTTCCCCACAATCCGAGAGCTGTACGTCTCTGGTGAACCATTGACGGTGAAGGTTCAGCGGAAGTGGGTTGGAACAAATATCTACTACGGTAAGCTCTCTATAGCGATGAAATTGCTGACGGGTTAACACTCACATCGGCCATGTGCTAGGCTACACCTGTTCAAACTTTGCCGGGCCATGCACAGGCCTCGTGAAATTGGATACTATCGATGAAAGCAAAAACCTTGGCAGGCCAAATCGGAACACCTCGCTGCTTGTTATTGCAGATAGTGTTGGTTTACAACCAGTGCCCCGCGGAGCTGCTGGTCAGCTCTGCTTTGGTGGCAATCAATTGGTAAGTAAATTTTTGCGGCTTGTCGATACCGATCATCACTGACGCAAGTCAAATCGGCCAGGCTGAAACATCCTCAAAGAAGGTTCTTCAACATGCTGAGTTGGGCAAATTCTACAAGACGAATGACATAGCCCGGTTTCTTGCGGATGGTACTGTTGAAATTATTGGCCAAACTGCCACTTTTCGTCGAATTGAGCAGGTTCTATTGTCTTCGAAGCACGTGCAAGATTGCACGAGCTTGTGGATGGAGATTTCGACATCGAAGTCGCCGCAGTTGGTGACTGTCTGGGTCCCTGCTGAGACAGCTCGTACAAGTGACGATCTGGTCGAACACTCGCTGGAGCTTCTGAGGGACTTAACATCCAAGCTACCTTCTTCTGAAGTTCCGAGCTACCTGGTGCCAGTTCCAATCATTGCTATGACAGAGGGTTTCCTGACGGACCACACAGATGTTTCAAATATTGTCAAACGACTTGGGCCTGAAACACTTCGCCAATACTCTGCCGTTCCTGATGACAGTGCCCAGGACGAAATTCTCTCGGATACTGAGAAATCAATTTCGACTGCTCTTTCTAAGGTTCTTGACCTCGATGAACGAATAATTGGAAGGCACACATCTTTCTACAAGCTTGGCTTGGACTCTCTGTCTGCCATAGCCTTATCCAGACAGCTTCAGGAATCTGGGATAGGACGCTTGCCAGTCTCTACTATCCTTCGCTACAACTCAGTGAGTCAGTTGGCAGACATCGCTGCGACCACTTCTGAGACAAGGCAAGTCTTTACCACACAGAGTGTTGGACGGTCTCTGGAGGTTTTCGATTCAGACTTTGTTTCCGCTGTGAAAAGTGATATAAGTTGCGGGGCTTCATCAGTCCAGGGGGTGTATCCGTGTACGCCTCTGCAGGAAGCTATGCTCGCGGCAGAATCTGATAATGGCACGGCGTATTTCAATCACCTGCTGCTTCGTGTGAATGTTAGCCCTGACACGATGAAGGAAGCGTGGCTACAAATGATACAGCGTCATGGGATCCTCCGGTCATGCTTCAGGCAGACAAATCATAAACGCTTCGCCTACGCGCAGATTGTTTTGGACAGTGCCACTTTGCCTTGGACTGAGAAAAAGACTGCGCCGGATACATTCAAGCAAGACATCGCCGTACTGAAAGAGGACTTCGAGCGTTTGTCGCCAGTCGATGGCAAATTACCCTATTCTTTGACATTCCTCGAAGACGCTAGTTCGGGGAAGGCTTATCTGCTGCTATCAATTCACCATGCACTCTATGACGGAGAAGGCATAGCCCAGCTTCTTGACGAGGTTCAGACTGTGCTTGCTGGAGGTGCACTGGCTAGTGTGACGCCTTTCCACCGCTTCATTGAATATATGGTTTCTATTGACTCAGATGCATCTGATCAGTTCTGGGACAGGTATCTGTCAAGTGTTTCCCCCACTCTACTATTGAGTGCACAGGAAAACTCCGCTACCGAAATTTCCGAGTTACAAGCGGCTTCCCAGCAGATCAGTATGCATCTCAATCTGACGCTTGAAGTCTTCAAAAAACAGTGTCAAGATTTGTCAGTCACTCCGCTTAACGTGCTACACGCCGCATGGGCTAGGCTACTAGCGCTTCAGTCCGGAGCACCCGATGTCTGCTTTGGAAACGTTTTCAGCTGTCGAACAATACCTCTTGAGGGTGCTGACAAGATCGTGGGTCCGTGTTTCAACACTCTCCCCATGAGAGTTAGATTTACATCATCTGCGACAAACAAAGATATTATGAGGCTAGCTCAAACTCATAACAGCGACATCTTGCCGCATCAGCTCAGTGCTTTGCGGCACATTCAAAGGCGTGTTCTGCAGGGTAACTCTCGGTTATTTGACACGCTACTTATTTTCCAGTCCACCGCCAATCAGCTGGATTCACGCTTTTGGGAGATTCTCGGTGATGAAGGCAACATGGGCTTTCCTCTGATCTGTGAGGTCGTGCCCGACGAAGAAAGGAATCTTCTTCGGGTCTGTGTATATTTCCAGCAGTCGCACGTCAGCCGTGAGGCAGCGGAGATTCTTGCCACGGACTTCCTGGCCATTGTGGAACAGATGATGCAATACCCCTCTGCTCAGGCTTGGGACAAGCGGGCGATCACTTCTGACCTGTCTGCCATGTTTGATTCGAGACTTTCCTCGGTCATGGAAGTAGATGACACTGCAGAAAGGGTGTCTGACTCGCGATCTTGGTCAACTCACGAGGAATTACTTCGGAAAATGATCTGCGAATTTGCAGAAACTGAGACTAATGCCGTTACGCTCGGTACGACTATCTTCCAGCTGGGTCTTGATAGCATCAATGCGGTACAATTATCTGGAAAGCTTCATAAAATGGGACATCCAATCTCGGCAGGAGACATACTTGAGGTAATCTTACACGCTTGATATGAAATGAGCGATTTTGGCTGACTTAACACAATATAGGCGGCCTCTATTGAGAAAATTGCAGCCCTGTTCAATCAATCAGACAACAAGGGGGTTGAGCTTGAGTATGATTTCTCTGCATTTGAGAATGAGCACTTACGAACGGTGTGCGAGCAACTTGGTATCGCTCAGGACTCAGTGCAAGCGTTGAGACCATGTACTCCCGTTCAAAGCGGCATGTTGGCCCTTTTCAACCATTCACAGGGAGATATGTACTATAATAGGATGGTGCTCAACGCGCCTGCCCCTCTCGAGAAAGCTAAACTCAGAGAAGCGTGGAGCCTAGTCATGGCTCACCACGAAATGCTTCGGACAGGCTTTGTGCAGCTGCGCGATCAAAATTATCCCTTTGCTATGGTCACCTATCGCGCAGGATTTGAGCTCCCGTGGCGGGAGACTTCAGGCCCCGACATAGTCGCTCGAGAACAGTCTATACTACGAACCTTGCATCTACCGCCTTGGGAGGTCCGTGTTGAGCCCGGTGATTGCGTTAGCACTGTTCACTTCTCGGCGCTTCATGCCCTTTATGATGCGCAGTCTTTGGAGACCGTCTTTTCGGATGTTTTAGCTGTCTATGAGGGCAGAAGTCTCCCTGGGTCTGCTCCTCTCAATGACACCCTCGGTCCCATTCTTATCGAGAGTGAAAAGCAATCAAAAAGCTCTCGATCTTTCTGGGAAAGTTTGGCCACCGAGCTCAATTCGACCAAGTTCCCTGACCTTCATCCTACCCGCACAACCGAGAAATATCTTCTCACCAGATCGATCCGCTGCTCTCTTCCGCTTACTGATCTGGAGAGTGCTTGTCGTGCTGCCGGTGTCACGCTTCAGGCAGCGGGCCAAGTAGCCTGGGGCCGATTACTTGCTGCACTTACCGGTGAACAGAATGTCACTTTTGGGACTGTCTTGTCTGGTCGCAATCTGTCTCAAGCTGCTCAACAAGCTGTTTTTCCCTGTCTTGTGACCGTGCCATCACTAATCCAGACCGACTGTTCGAATCGCGTGCTTCTCCACCGCACTTTAAAACGCAATGCTGCTCTTACTAGGCATCAATTCACGCCTCTTGGACGCATCCAAAAATGGTTCGGCAGCGATGAACCACTTTTCGATACGTTGTTTGTTTACCAGAAGTTTGCAAAGCAGACATCGCCGAAGTCATCCTCATGGGAAGTCGTTGATGTAGAGACCAAGATTGATGTTGGTCACACTGAATCGTGTCTTCCCCTTGATAGAGCACTTGCTAACAATATTCCAGTATCCGGTCTCGATTGAGCTTCTGCCCCAGGCAGAGGAGCTTGAGGTTCGCATTAGTTGCCGAAGTGATCTTGTTCCAACAGAGCAAGCTGGTCTCATTCTGGATCAATTTGACAGGCTATTAAAGCACACGGTCCTGTCACCTGACTCTGCTGCGACTGACTACCTCTCTCTGGGCAACCAGCTTTTGTCTGTGACTCCCGCCAAAGAGATCCTGATACCCACTGAAGTGGCTTTGTTACATCAGTTTGTGGAAGAGAGCGCTAGAAGATACCCAGAGAGACCAGCATTTGAATTTGCCTATGGGCCTAACGCCGACTCCCTGCAGAAAAAAGTCTGGTCTTACAAGGAATTCAATGCCGATGGTAATCGGGTGGCTCACTTGCTTAAGGAGCAGGGAGTCAGGGCAGGAAGCATTGTTGGAATCTGCTTCGATAAGTGTCCAGAAGCTTCATTGGCCATTCTGGGAATTCTCAAAGCCGGGTGTGCTTATCTCGCAATTGACCCTTCTGCTCCAATTTCGCGAAAGCAATTCATTTTGGAGGACTCCGCAACAAAGGTTCTGCTCTGTGATCAGTCGCGCTGTTCAGAGTTGGAAGCGCTTTCTGGTGTGCTTGTACAGACTATCGATGTAGCAGGCAACATCCAGCAATACTCTGCCGGAAAACTGGTTCTTGCTCGTGATATCACTCCTGATGATACCTGCTACTGCTTATACACGTCTGGAACCACGGGTACGCCAAAGGGCTGCGAGATTACACATGGCAATGCCGTACAAGCCATGCTTGCATTTCAAAGGCTTTTCGCACCTCATTGGGATGAGACTTCTCGTTGGCTTCAATTCGCGTCCTTCCACTTCGACGTCAGTGTTCTAGAGCAGTATTGGAGCTGGAGTGTCGGCATTTGCGTCACTTCTTGTCCGCGTGACTTACTCTTTGAAGATCTCCCCGGCACAATTCACAAATTGGGAATTACACATATTGACCTCACGCCCAGTCTTGCAAGACTCGTCCATCCGGACGATGTACCATCTCTGTGCCGAGGTGTCTTCATCACTGGAGGTGAACAGCTGAAGCAAGAGATCCTGGACGCATGGGGGGAGCATGGCGTCATCTACAACGGATACGGGCCCACTGAAGCGACTATCGGTTGCACCATGCTCCCACGCATGCGCGCCAACGATAAGCCTTCCAATATCGGTCCACAATTCGATAATGTGGGCTCGTATGTTTTCAAAGCAGGTACTTGTACACCAGTGCTACGGGGTGGTCTTGGCGAGCTTTGCGTCTCAGGTCCTCTCGTCGGGAAGGGTTACCTGAATCGCGCAGAGCTCACTCAGGAACGATTCCAGACTCTTGACAATGGTGACCGGATCTATCGCACAGGAGACTTGGTGCGAATCTTGCACGACGGAAGTTTCCAATTCCTGGGACGAATCGACGATCAGGTTAAACTTCGTGGTCAGCGACTTGAGATTGGCGAGATTAACGAAGTTATCAAGCAAGCAACCCCTGAGTTAAACGAAGTTGCTACGCTTGTTGTGAAGCATCCGAAACAATCAAAAGATCAACTCGTGTCCTTCGTCACCGCGAAACATGTTGGCAAGAAGCCGAACGGGGTGGAAGTGCGCTATTCCGAGGACGATCGATCGGTTCTAGTTGCTGTGAAGACTGCTTGTTATTCGCGTCTTCCAGGTTACATGGTGCCAACACACATCATTCCCATGACCAATTTTCCGTTGTCTGCCAATAACAAGGCCGATATGAAGGTGTTGAAGGGCATCTATCAAGAGCTTTCTCTGGAGGATTTACAGAGACTCGGCTCGATCGCCCTGGACGAAAATGCTCAAAGTGGATGTGAGAAAGAGATCATCTCCATCTTGGCCAAGTTTACAAAGTCCCCTGAACCTGCTATCTCTTCATGGACAAGCATCTTCGAGTTGGGGCTCGACTCGATTTCCGTGATTTCATTTGCCAGAACCCTCAGGGAGGCTGGATTCTCGCAGGCTCAGGCATCACTCATCATGAAGCGTAAGTTGTAGACAATCGTTCAGCTCGAACTTTGCTAAAATCTTGAGTTTATTTCAGATCCGACCGTCGCCGGGTTATCCTCGGTGTTGAAACAGTCGACCCCTGTGTCAAATCTTCAGAGCAGACTTCGCTTGAGCTCCAAGCACAAAATTGATGCATTTACGCACAAGCACGCTCATTCCGTCATAGAGAGTATTGGTGTTGATGAGAGTCTCGTCGAACGGATTGCGCCATGCACGCCTTTGCAGGAGGGTATCATCTACCACTTCTTGTCGAGTCCTAAGCCTCTTTACTGCTCGTCATTCAAGTTTGCTCTTCACGAATCGGTCGACATCAAGACGTTGAAAGATTCATGGAGTAAAGCACAGGATCGGCTTCAGTTATTGAGGGCTAGATTCTCGCCAACTTCGGACGGCTATGCCCAGGTAGCTCTCAAGCGTGATGAACTGGCTTGGTTTGTGGAAGATGCTGCATCCGCGGATTTAATCGAAGATGTCCGACGAAGACGTTTCCAGCGTTGGACATCTTGTCTTGCAGGACTTCCAAATCAACTTTGGGAAGTCGGTGTTGTCAGATCGTCCGATAAGTCGGTCATGTGTCTCAACATCTTCCACGCTTTATACGATGGCAACAGCCTAGAGTTGATTCTGGACCTGGTAGCCAATCTGTACCTTGGTCGAGTGAATCAATTGCGAGATGGGCCACAATTCTTGGATGCACTACACTTTGGTCCATTGTGCGAGACCCCAGGAGAAGAAGGTTTCTGGAAGGAGCATCTGAAGGATGTTCCTCAAAAGGTTCTGCCCCAGCTGAACGACATGGCTGCTGGCAATACCTTCCTAGTTCGCAAGATGAGTATCGAGACGACAGAGCCCTTGAATCAGCTCACGAAAACTCTGAACGTGACAGAGCAGGCCGTACTTCATGCCTGTTGGCTGTTGACTCTTCATCAGCAATACGCATTCGTCCCTCCCCTGGGAATTGTCGCCTCTGGCCGCGCATCTGACACAGTCGATCTCTCGAATGTCATCGGTCCGTTGTTCAACACGATTCCTAGCAATGTGCGATTCCATGGTCTCGGCTCCTGGGCCGAGGTTGCTCGGAAATGCCACGACTATCATGTCTCCTCGATGTCTTTCCAACACACTGCTTTGAGGAACATCATGAAGTGGCTTGGAAAGTGTCCGGATGAGAGTCTTTTCGATTCTTTGTTTGTGTTCCAAAAGGATAACGGGGTTACCGAAAGCTCGCAAAAGGCTCTGTGGACACCACTAGACTCAGATGCCTCCCACGAGTATCCACTGGCCTTCGAAATTGTGCGCAACGGCAATGAATCGCTAGATATGACGCTTGCAGCACAGGAGAAATATGTTCCTGCCGCTGTTGCCGAGCAGCTCCTGCTCAAATTCCAGCGAAATCTGTCTGATTTCTCGCAAAATCCTGACCATGAGCTTTCTTATTCCAATGGGTTTGAGATGGCGAGTCAGGATAAGGATATACAGTCAGATTCCTTGCGTCGCGACGTGAATGGAGTGAATGGTGCGAATGGCACGCATGTGTTGAGCACGGAAGACTTTCAATTCGAATGGAGTGACCAAGCCTCTACTATCAGAACAACCATCGCCGCTCTTGCCGACGTCGACATGCAATCAATCGACGAAGATACCTCTATCTTCGAAGTTGGCTTGGACAGCATTGACGCCATTAAGCTGTCTTCTCGTCTTGCCAAATCTGGTGTCAAGCTCCCCGTGAGCATCATAATGCGGTACCGAACAGTGAAAGGCATGGTCAGCCAGCTTACAAATGCGAACACTCAGGAGCAAAATGGAGCTCCTTCTATGCTTCGTCAAATGGAAGCCTCATTGGCGACATTCCTTAAAAATGAAGGCCTCATGCCTAAAAGTGCACGCAGAGTACTTCCTGCTACTCCACTCCAGGAAGCAATGATTGCCGAGATGGTGGCATCCGAGTATCAAAACTACTACAACCATGATATCCTGCAGATTGAGCGCCATGTCAACATTGCTCAGTTGCAGAGGTCGTGGGAAGCTGTAGTCAAAGAGCATCCAATCCTCCGTACGTCCTTTGTCGAAGTCTGGGATCCTAGAATCCCGGTCTCGTTTGCTCAGGTCATTCACGATGAAGACACCTTTGACTTCCAAACCGTTCACTTGAATGGAGCTTCTTTGGAATCCGTGATTGAGTCGCAGCGCCAGAGAGCCCATTCAGCGCTCGCCGGGAAGCCTCTACTCAGCTTGACTGCTGCAATTAATGACGATGATCAATACCTGATCCTATCAATCTCCCATGCTCTATATGATGGTTGGTCGATCAATCTTCTTCACGAAGACATTCGCAGATCGTACAATGGGGAGAGCTGTACACGTCCATTGTCAGATGCAATTCTCGGGCAAATACTTGCATCTTCTGGCGATCGTGCCTTCAGATTCTGGAGAACGACCCTATCCAACCTCACCCCTGTGCCATTCCCATCAGGTGAACATGGCGAGCCTGGATCAGAGGCGATTCATCGCTCTGAAAAAGCACTCGCTGTATCCTCCGTCAAAGCTGAAACATTCTGCAAGCGCCATGGTATTACAATGCAAGCACTAATGGTCAGCTGCTGGTCATTGGTTCTCTCCTCTTATGTTCAATGTCTCGATGTGGTCTTTGGTCTCGTTCTTTCGGGTCGGAACGCGGCTGATGCAGATAAAGTCATGTTTCCCACTATGAACACTGTCGCTATGCGCGTTCTGCTCCACGGATCTCGCCTTGAGTTGATCAAATACGTACAGGATACTTTGCTGGAAATTTCTGAATACCAGCATTTCCCTTTGCGTCGGGCAAGGCCGGACACAAAATCTCAGCAGCTCTTTGATACCCTATTTATCTATCAAAAGCGCCCACCAGGAGTCAGTGTTGACTCTCAGCCGTTATATCGATCTGTTGGAGGATCCTCCAGCGTGGAGTATCCTATCTGTGCGGAGGTAGAAGGAGAAGGGGCTGACCTGATCGCTCGTGTCGCCTGTCGTGGCGATGTGTTCGGGAATAAGGACACGGAGGCGCTGCTAGATCGCATGGCACAGGCTCTTCTTTATGTGGTCGATGAGCCCGAGAAACCGACCATCCAATTTGCAGACGATGCAATGACCGTTCTGGGTCGCCCGGTTCTCCAAAGGCAATCTGATGATGCAGCTCGGCCATCACAGCCCTGTCATGATGCACCGAAACGCAGCGAGTGGACCAATATAGAGTCGAGTATTCGCAGTGTGCTTTCGAGTGTGTCTGGCATACCAGAAGACTCGATCGGTAAGGGGACGAATATCTTCGAACTTGGCTTGGACAGCATCAGTGCTATCAAGGTCGTTGCACTTCTCAAGAAGCAGTCCATCAAGTTGGTTGTGAGCGATATGCTTAAAGCTGGAACAGTTGAAAGGATGGCACTGGCAGTCAATCAAGAGCAACTTGAAATCTCACAACATCAAATTGACCGTGCATTGGACGAGTCTCTGGAAGGGCTCGACTTGAGCTTGCTTCTTGATACACATGGAATCGATACGCAATATGTCGAGCAGAAACTGCCAGCTACAGCTGGTCAGTCCTACTTCTTGGCCATGCATAGTCTGAATTCACATGTCTTCTACTCGAAGTTCTATTACATGGCTTCACTAGATTTGGAGACGGGATCGCTGAATCGTGCATGGTCCAGTCTTATCAGTGAATTCCCGATCCTTCGCACGGCTTTCCTTGCAACTGGGCTCTCACACTTGCCATTCTTGCAGGTTGTTCTCAGGTCGGTTCAAAACGCACCAATCTGGCATGATAATCTCGATCATGCGATCAGTGTCAATCAGCCGTTAGGCTCGCCTCCTGTTGCTCTGCATGTCAGCCGAACTCCCCGCGGAGTAGTTTTCATGCTCCACATTCATCACGCTCTATACGATGCTGTGAGTCTTCCGTTGATAGTCGCTCGACTGGCACAGCTGTGCAGCGAGCGTCCACCCGCGGCACAACTGGGACATGACCTTTCCCATCTTGTGGGATTCCAGCGAATTATCTCACCTATTGATGTTCGACGCCAGTTCTGGCAGAGATACCTGGGCCACAGTCAATCGGTCGACTTACCAAATAGTCAGACCCGTGAATCCGCCATCCGACATGACTATCAGCCAGGCTTAGTGTCAAACATGTCTCGGCTAGACAAAGCTGCCAACCGCCAAGGACTTAGTACCCAGTCAATTTTTCTGGCTATATACGCGCGGATACATCATCAGATAATGGCCAGCGATACTGTTAATGGGGCCAGCGCACCACATCAACTTGTGGTCGGCCTGTACCTGGCCAATCGATCATACGCGATCGAGGGTCTTTCAGAACTTGTTGCCCCCACCGTCAACATAGTCCCGCTTCGTCTTGATGACAAACATAGTCACGACTCGACGTCATTGCTTGCTGCTGCTCACAGAATACAACAAGATATTCACGCAATCAGCTCTGAGGAGAACGCCGGCGTGTCGCTGATGGAAATTGCCGAATGGACTGGGATTCGCATCAGTACCTGCATCAATTTCTTGCGTCTGCCAGAGTCCGATGACCCCAATGGCGATGATGCAAGTGATGTCGTCATCTTCAAGCCCATCTCGAGAGAAGAACTTGATGAGATTCACACGTCCAGCTCCTCGGATGACCCCGCACATATGAACGGAGATAGAGTTGCGTCAAATACAGACCGAGCGATTGGTATAAATGCGTCATTGGCAGCATTGAAAGAGGTCTTCCTGGTAAGTTCGACCTATCTCGTACGTACGACCGGTACACTGCGACCGTGTTCATGACCAGCAGCGGGCACTAATGCGAGCAATTCACTTTCTTCAATAGCCTACGATTGATATCGAAGCCGCTATTCGTGATGACCATTTGGACTTTGGTGTCTTTGCGCCGGACACTCGGCTTGATCGGCACAAGGCTCGCAAACTCATGGATACGATGAAAGCTGAAATGACGTCGCTAATTGAAGCGTGCGAGCTTGCCTGAATTTTGAAAGCGATATGATGTTGATGGTGTTTTCAGGCGTTCGAATTCCGTCTTCGAATTCTTTGCGCGATTTTTGCTTTTAGTTCTGTAGATATCTTCCCATCTTCTCTGAATCTCATTTTTGGTAATTTTATTGTGGAATACTCTGCGACCTCTACGCACATCATCTTCTCTACTACTGGATAGCGCGCCTTCAAAGGGTCCCGCTGCTTGAGGTTGATCGCGACAGGATGTACAGTATGGCTTCCCCCTTTTCTGTGCATACCCAGGCCCCATTCTTGACGCGGTACTTTTGAAATCTTTGGATAGCTTCGATTCTGAAGCGCAATGTTACCAGGGCCATTTTGATCTGTCATAAAGTCCACCTGTCAACACGGCAACTGATCAAGTGGCTGGTGATTGACGGGCCCACAGAAGCTGGGAGACCCACGCGAATCTTCATAGTGAAAGAATTGGATTGTCTAGATCGTTAGCTTTGTTGCCCACCCGTCATCGCTCTGATGAACTTTGATCGCACAGAGTCTCCACACCCCACAGCATCAGCATCCGTACCGTACAATGGCCTTGTGCATTGAGTAGGACCCTCAAATGACGAATGCGTGAGGTGGAAGAAGAGGAAGAAAAGGAAAGGAAAGGAAGAAGCTGAGCATGCGCCTTGCTGGTTTTCCTCCTCTTCCTTCTCCCCAACCGACATCAGCATGACGGTAGTGAGATCTTAATTGCAGAGTCTGGCCAGCCTTCCGCGATGTCCAGAAAACAGGACCGTGATCGCGGATGCAGGCGGTCCGCACCGAGTCAAGGAGGTTTTCCTTCGCACACGACATCGGTCGCTCGCTAGTGAGATGTCCCTATTCTCTCAACTGTCCTGCCTCATCTTTCTTGACTCTCTTCGACGGTAAAGAATTTCCTTTTCAGGCGAGGACGTGCTTACTGGAGACTTGAGCCAATGACAGTTTCTCCTGGAAGAAATGAAGCAGATACTGTTCATTATTGGCCGCGCTAGCGCTTCTCGCAGTACTATGGTTCGTGGACGCTGGTCAGTAGTACTACATGCGTACATGATACATGCTGCAGCATCATGCGCTTGCCTATCCTCGGTATGGATGGCGTCGATGCGAACCGAGCAGGGACCCTCTTTGATGGATAGATCATATGGGGCAATAGTATTGGTGTGGAGACCCTGTGCCGGTGCTTCGGACGTTTGCGCGAAGATCAGTGATGAGCGGACTGAACAGGCGCCTATGGAGGCACACAGGCAGACAGGCAGGCAGGCGGGCAAGTAGCTTTCTCTTCCAGATACAGCCGAAGCAAGGAGAGCGCCTTTCCTTTCGTGCGGAGGGTGCGATGATCGGACCAAGGAATGTGGATTGCGGGGAGCTTGGAAGAGCGATGTGCAACAGGAACCGGCGCCGGACAAAGGAGCGCGTAGCTAGTGCTCAATCGAGCGAGCCAGGCATTGACTGATTAGAGTCTCTTTGTAGGGATATCATGACAAGTCAAGGACAAGTCAAGGAGTGCCCCTATAGAAGTGAAGGACGTGCTGTAAGAGTTGCTGTTGGAGTCTTGGAGAGAACCTCAGGTGGAGACGACCAGAGGCAGGTGCATATGACTTGACTCAATCCACGCATTCTTCCAAGCTTTGATGGGTTGTGGTAGTGACAGCTGAATGGAGGAGGAAACATTCTCCAGAAGTATAGTACCACCATTTTTTGATGGGGATCGGACATTCTTTCAGCTTTGTTATGTCTTGTCTCGTGGCCTGAGAGTGGCTGGTGTGACTTAGATGACGCTTCAGATCCCGACGTTGTCCCTGTAGACTCGAGAATCAGTACATACTACATAGTACATACTACATTCGGCAGGTCTAGCAAAGTTCGTTGTATGCTTATCTACCTATAATGCACATCCCAGGCCGAAGTGATAAGATGACCACGCTAGAGATGGTCTTGTTTAGTTAATCAAAGATTCTGTTAACCAGGTGAAGAAAATGGGCCAAGCCCGAGCCCGCATGGCGCGTTTGAGACTAAGATCTGGTGTTGCGCGTGTGTGTATCTGCTGCAGAAGCGAGCTCTGCCCTTGTCTGTATCTGAGACTTTTCTCTGGACAGCGACTCAAAGACGGGGTCAACTGAAGTAAACAACCTCAACCAGCCGCATGGACTTATAATAGGTAACTTCAACGCAGTACTACTCTACCGTTTATGTCGGTCATAGCTCCGAAGTACTACTAAAGTTACTGCCTAGATAAAGGTACAGTGCAGCTCCAATCTTCATGTGGCACTAACTTGGCAGTCCCTACTAAGATACCTCAATACCCGTTGACCAGGTATTGGGTCATGCAGTGGTGTACACCGCTGCTAGAACAAAGCCGATGACCACAAGATATCTGAATTTTAGGGGCAGTTTGTAGACCCGACCCTCGCATCCGGTAGTCATGGATAACCGAGGGTGGGATTAAAAGATAAGGTCAAGGATGAGATGGGCAATCGTAAGTAGATTAATTGATGAGCGCATACCTACATCGACAAAGCTTATCGAATATTGAGGCTGAGGCCGGCATTGAGCAAAATCCACCTGCATAGCGATAGCTTTGATGATCATTCAATGGTGTTGAAGAATCTCAACAATGGCACGAGTTCTGATTGCTGTACACTTGTACAGTTGTACGCTATGATGCATCCTCAGGCAAATCGGGCCGATCGGATCAGATCAAATTTCTAGCCTAGCACGGTTCTCGCTTTGATTGATGATGTCTCTAGAAGAAGCAACCATTATGATGGAAAGAAAGCATCAGTCCATAGCTCATATAGAGTACAGCTGTTCAGAAACTCAAGCGACTGAGACTATGGTGGATGAGGTGGAACCGGCAGCAACCTGCAGCTCCCGCAAGCCCGGCCTCTGCTCTGCCCATCCTTACATAAGCAGTGTATTTGTTTATGTCACGACGCGTGATTCCCCCGCCGCTAAGCCCAAAGCGGCAACGAGGATCAACAAACGCGACGTGCGCGTTGATCCCGCCTTCGCCTTCGAAAGCCTAACTTCCAAGTTAATCCTCTCGAGAATCTTGTTCCTGAGATCCTCGATTCATACTTCTGCGATCCGTTTTGGCATTGCCCGCTTTTCACGCCTACATCCTGTCAGCGAAGATTTCCTTCAATTTGCGCCCGATTCCTCAACTCCAAAAAGAAGACGACCCCGCCTCGACCTTTTCGGGCGTCGCTATCGAAAGCTATCGCTTCCAATCCAACATTCCAGCCCCTCCTGCCCAACTTTCGCGTGGTCTGCACCCAATTCACGTCCGCGCTTTTTTTCGCGAGTGGGGATTTTACCCCTTGCACACAGGGACTTTCCAAAGGATACTTGGAATACTGGAACAAACTTCTAACATCCCGCGGCATTGGCACTGCCTTGTTCCGTCCTCCTCCTCGGAAGGGAAAGAAAGGAAAGGGCACTCTCGTTGATCTGAATGACCCTTCCACCAACCAACCCCCCTCGTCACCACCCCATCATCTCCCGTCACCCCTCCCATTTACCCGGCACTGGCTTCGCCACCTCGTAAGGCAGAAGGTTCACCCTGAAACATTCCTGGACGACCCTTTCGAAACCACCCGGGCCCAGCGCAAGACACACACAGCACGATCACTTCTAGCGCTCCAACACACGCGTGCGCCCTACTTCTCCGGACTGTGTCAAAGTCCCCCGTGATCAACTGGAGGACCTAGCGCACTACCAAAGCTTCGCGACTCGCGATGAGTGCATGAGCCGCGACTGCCTTGTGCTCTTTCGGTTTTGCATCCATCGCCACTTCTTTTCTGCGGCTGCGCCTTCCCAGCATTCCACTGTACGTCGTGCTTCTGTTGATTGTGTGCCGACACCACAATCCTCGGCATTAGCTTCTGAACCCCGGTGGTCCATCTGGACCTTGGATGCTCCTTTATCCCACAAACATCCGCGCTCTCGCTTGATCGCACGAGTGTAACCGTTCATCTTATCCATCATCTTCGTCATTGACTCGCCGCGCGACTCGGGAGACGCGTCAAGGGTGCTTTACAAGAGGTGAGAGTTTCTAGAGGTAAATCTTATCGCCGAACGCAGTACATCAACGCGCCCACATCGTGCTCCGAAATCGGAAATCAAAGCGTCCAACTTTGAATCCTAGCAAGTTGCGGAGTGAGAAGCTGGACTCAGCAGTGAGAGACGTTGAGAAGACCCCATCGCAAGTGACAAACAATTCCGGTCTTGCTTGCTTGCAAGACCAGCAAACATTCCCAAACATGGTCGCAACCTTCTCTCCTCACCGCGACACGGGGGGAACTCTCCACTTGTCATCTCACTCGCCGTTGCACCACGTCGACGCCAGTTCAGCCATCAGGCAGCTTCGTCGTTCTCTATCGCGCTCCCCTTCTAAGAGCTCCAACTTTTTCCTCAACACCCGCTCTCATTCCCCGACTAAGTCAACTACCTACATTTCATCCCCTTTATCGCCAACCCGACGCTCTTCACATAACAACTTTGTCCTCTTCCCCTCAACGGGACAGCAGCCATCGCCGCTCGCGGGTCCACACCCATCCAGCGCAAAGATCACTAGACCGGTTATTCGACGACGGACCTCACCTCGAAGTCCAGCCAAGACTGTTCTCGCTGTGTCTGCTGATGGCGGCAACACGTCCCTCACTCCGCCATCATTGAATGCGCCAGGTGAAGAGAATGCGTTGCAGTTCGAAGATCTGGCAGAGCCGAGTAAGACTGCATCTTGCGCCACGACTCCATTCAGTACAACACCTACTGTGTTTGTTCCTGAGCCACCAACGTTCTCGCAGTCAGCGCTTGCACCTCGCCCCACACTGTCGCGCATCGAAAAGCGACGAAGCGGCACATTTGGCTCCTTTGCCGCAGTAAGTCCGTTGAAACGAAGCGACGGCATCATGAACCTCGATCAAGCGTCTCGAGGAAGTCCCTCGGCAAAACGTCGCAGCGTGCACGCCTCGGCATTTTCAGGCGACTTTAACATTTTCGACCAGCAAAGTGAAACTGCTCCTTCGAGTCCGTCGGGCCACGGCGATGATTCTAAATCTTACTTCCCCACTCCCACACAGCCGCTGAACCCCTTTGCGACCATCCCCAAGCGATCTTCCTCTCTGCGTCGATCCACCCTCCAGCAGCGCCAGATTGAGCGTCCTCTATTTGGTCGTCCGAAAGCCGCGGGTGACGCCGAGAATCCAGTCACGACAACACCTCTGGCCGTTCGCCCTCGCCTTTCGTTTGAAACCGGTTTATTTCAACAGTCCGAACAAGAATCCTCTCATCTCTTCTCGCCTCGCCAAGCTCCTGCCAGTCCTCTCTTTTCTTCTCATACATCTCACCCCGGCAACACGTCCACGTTTGGAGTATCGCAACCGCCACGAACTACCGCACATCCACTTTCGCGAACTATCACTCAGTCTTCTTCTGGGTCAAGCGTCGAAGATTCCCCTACTCACGAACCCATCCACAAGCCGGAGCGTCCTCCGCGCACAAATATGAACTTCTCCAAGTCTTTGCCAGCTGGCGCTTCCCGGCCTGCGATGGTCCGGCGGGTGACGCGGGAGGAGTCGACGACGTCGAGCGACTCATTCGCCACACCAGAGAATTACAAACTGGTCAAGCCTCTGCCAGCTGCGTTCATGTCAACCGGTCTGATCTCCAAGAAAAACCGAAATGTGGACGAGGTCTCCGTGGGTCGCTTCCACAAGGCCATGCCGGATACCCCATGCAAGCGTCCCATTAACCTTTTCGCGGGGAGCACAGATTCCCCTTTGCCAGAGGGCCTCTTTGGCAAGTCTCAGCTTGGCCGAAATTCCGAGCTTGCTCCGGCCTCTCCTTTCAATCCAGCTGCATCTTCATCTCGTCCAAAAGCCGGTCCTTTCGCGCGTGGCATGGGCATCTTTGGCAATACTTTCACCCGCCCCGAGATCTCGCGTCGCGGAAGTTGGGTTAGCGTGGATGGGGATGATACCAGCCAGGCTCAATCACCTTCGTCTCGTCTCGATAATCAACAACCCATGACCGACTCTGACCTCCCTCCGACCCCCACGAAGCAGGCTTTCCTTCCCTCCCGCACCTATCCCCCCGCCACATCCCAAATCGCGTCGCTCGAGCGTCTGTCGGAATCACGAGGAAGCGGTACATCGACACCCCTGCATGACCGATTCTTGCAAGCTTCCACAACACCTCGCACCCCACGCGACCAAGTCTTCCCTCCGGATCCTAGCGGTCTTTCAATCTCCGCGCCCAACGACCAACAACTTCTTCAGCCCGACTTTGGCAGCAGTCTCAATCTTCCAGCTACACCAACTGGACCACGTGAGTCCTTGCTATCGAGTAAGCGACCTAGTCTACAGCTCAGCGGTTACCAGGCTCCCGACGTAGACCCTAGCCTGACCTCGCGATTCGCCAAAGTTGAGTTGGTCGGCACCGGAGAGTTTTCACAGGTGTTTCGTGTTGCTCAGCCTCACAATGGTTCCTTCTCATCCGTCTTCTCTCTGCCGGCTGATGATACCATGTCCCCCAAGGATCTGACCCATCAGGTGTGGGCTGTCAAGAAAAGCAAGCAACCCTACTCAGGACTAAAGGACCGGGAGCGTCGACTCCGTGAAGTGGATATTCTGAGAGCTTTGGTGAACTCAGACCATGTTGTCAATTTCTTTGACAGCTGGGAGGAGAAGAACCATCTCTACATTCAGACTGAGTTCTGCGAGGAGGGTAGCCTGGATGTTTTCCTGGCCCAGGCTGGTCTCAAGGCTCGTCTCGATGATTTTCGTATTTGGAAGATACTCCTTGAGCTTTCTCTGGGTCTCAAGCACATTCATGACATGGGCTTCATTCATCTCGACTTGAAGCCCGCCAATGTCCTGGTCACCTTTGAGGGTGTTCTGAAGATCAGTGACTTTGGCATGGCTACTCGATGGCCCGCCGAAGCCGGTATTGAGGCTGAGGGTGACCGCGAGTACATCGGTCCAGAGATCTTGATGGGTCGATACGATAAGCCTGCCGATATCTTCTCTCTCGGTCTCATCATGTTCGAGATTGCAGGAAATGTGGAATTGCCTGATAATGGGGTATCTTGGCAGAAGCTTCGCAATGGCGATATGAGTGATGTGCCCAGTCTCACTTGGAGCTCGGACCCCAGCATCCTCCGTGATGCTACCGGGAACCCGATCGTCGTAGAAGCCTCCTTTGATGATCTCTGCACGCCAGACCTTGGTGGCCTTGGCGGCGACTTCTTCTCCGGGCACAAGACGCCACCTAGATCTTGGCAATCTGCTCGAAGTGGAGAGCTCATCCACCCTCCCGTCTACATGATAGATGGTCGTCACGAGCAAGCTTTGGACAAGATTGTCCGCTGGATGATTTCTCCCGCACCTGAAAATCGTCCAACCGCTGACCAAATTCTCCAAACCGATGGTGTACAATTCGTCAATCGCCGTCGTCGTGCGGGTGCCACAGTCTTTGAGGGCAACTGGGGCCCTGCTGACGATGTTTTGGCCGAGGATGCTGAAATGATCGACGTGTAATCTATCTTTCGTTTTTACAGCTTCTCTTGCGCATATGGGAGGTGTTTTGTGCTTGTTCTCATTTTTCATTTCTTTCTTTCTTTTGTCATCTGGCTTTTAGGCATGAGAGCGGGTCGGCGCTTTGCTTTCACCTCCCTCATGTTACCTCACGATTAATATCCCGTTGCCCTTTATGCATTGTTCATCCCCAAACCATTTGGATAGTGATCAGCTTATCTGGAGCTTTCGTTGCGTTCTTACGATGTCCTGGTCTGTACTCCGGTTCTGCCAATTTTCTCATACCCCTCGTTCCTCGATACTGTTCTGGCTTCTGTGTTTTTATCACGACCAACTGGACTTTTCTCAAGGCTGCAATACCCCCGGAGTTTACGTGCGGCGTTTCCTTTTTACACTGTGTAACGCGTCTTTCACATTCCTTCCTACCCCTCTGTCCCTCTCTTTTGTCTATCCAGTAATATCTGATTGTCATACCCATATCTGTACCAACATTGCTCGTTTATTGCAAGTCCGAGCGACCGGTGGTCTCTTGATGACAATGAGGGTAGGGGCATCTGCCACATTCGTCATCAATTGACCGGTTGGCAGCACTGCCTATCTGGACGGTGGCTTGCTGACATAGGCCCCGTCTCCGATGCCTATTCCTGCCTGTCAGCACTCATGTTTGCCCCTCAGCACTTCTGCTGCTGCAAAGATCTATCTGTTTAAGTCACGATGAATGACTATGCTCTGTCAAACTAGCGAGATTTTTCTGGTTCTATTAGGTTTTGAGCCTATTCCAGTCAGTGTACATTTTAGAGAAGCATGATATCAAGTGTAGTTTTAGTTGAGCCCAGGCTCCAAACATGGTCCTTAATAAACACTAGATGAGACAAGACTTCTCGGTTTCTCTCTTGTACGTCCGTATATGGAGCGACCATATGATAAGGATATGTTTGATACACATATGTAGACGACGCCCCGTCGAGCTGTCATTGCTAAATGAATGGAGGTTCCCATGTGGAACTTCCGTCCATCCCATCAGAAGTACGACTGGAATGATACATAACTACCCGCTATGTAGCTACCTACATAGTATGCAATGGGCACTGGGTACACGCTACACCTATGGAGGTATGTGCTGCCCCCTGGGTTGTGGGGGACTGGTGCAGACACCCGGTCATTTACCTGTATATATATTGGAAGATCTTGGTGAAATAATGATCTTATCATACCTAGGTATACTCAGGCTTATGTTATTACGGATCAAGACGTTAGGTACCAAGATACGTTGATTGAGACATGTATGAAAGACCCAAAGTTCAATTAAAGAGAGTATCAGGAGATTTCTTGCTCATTAGAGACTGGACACTGGGAATGCTCTAACGATACTTTAGTGCAGGTAAGGTTCTCCTTCACAGTCCATATAACCTAGTCGGCCGAGTGAGGTGGTGGTGGTAGGCAAAATTGTCTTTACACTGGACATGCAAAGATATATTGGGTCACTTCTTCCGGCGCCTAGATACCTATACCTGTGTGATGGCGGAGGACTACTACGCCCGTGTCCGTTGTAATAGGTACTAGCATGAGATTGGAAGTTAATACCTGTCTGTTGGTACCGAGATGAAAAATTTCAATCAGTGTTGACATATTAATAATGACATATGTTAAGGGTAGATTATTCGCCTCTTGACAGTGGACAGTGGACATATTAAAGATGATAGCCTGCCGTACATTGTGGGACGGGGGAAGATAAGCTATGCGCATACACCTGGGAGGGAAAACAATAATCCGGCCGCATTATGGACCGGAGATCGCCACGGAACTGACAGCTTCAATTCAGAGTATTGGATTATCCAAGTTGCGGTCCTGCTTCCGCACTTCAGCGTTCTCTCTCTTCAGAGCACTAAGCATCGAATTGCAATATCTTCATTGTTTGACATTCCCATGTTTCTAATATGAGAGCGACTTGACACAGCCGTGAATTACTGCCGCGACTCGCTCCCTCGGCATCTTTACGATTCTCACTGCGCCCACTCTTTTCCCGACTGTCACAACGTTTGCGCACAACATGGACAACAAGACCTTTGTCTCAGACTCACTCATTCGACTTACCGGCGCATCTGACCCGATTGCGGTAGATTTTGTCCTTGCAGAAGCTTCGTCTGCCAAGTCTGTCTCTGCCTTGCAAGATAAGCTCGTTTCATTTCTCGATGGCAGCCCCGATGAGATCGGCGCATTCTGCGGGCAGTTGTTTTCACGCGTCGGCAAGAACAGCCAGTCCAGTACGTCGACTTTAAAATCGTCTAGCAGCAAAGAATCGTCGAAAAAGAAATATCGTCTGGTGGACATGGGAGAGGACCTTCCCGACCCAGCATCTTCACTAGGACCTGTCAACGTCGAGGCGGAACGAGATCGACGTCGACACCGTGATCGAGATCGAGATCGCGATCGCGACCGCGACGCAGACTATGACCGAGATCGAAGTCGTCGAGAGAAGGATGATAGCAGGAAACGGGACCGCAGCCGGGATGCTCAAAGTCGGGATCGCCCACGAACAAAGAAATTGCGGCAGAGAGACACAGACGATTTCGATAATCGATGGGGCGATGAGGAAATTGGAGATGATGAGCGATATGCCGACGAAGTCGACTTTGTGGAATCGCCCGCGAAACGGACCAGACTTGAAGATGGTTCCGCCTCACCGCGCCCCTCCTCCCCGGTCGAAGACATCGACCCACAGACAAAGCAGGAATTGGAGCGGCAGAAGGGTTTGCGCGAACGAGATGAGTTTGCGAAGCGATTGGCCAATAAGGACAGTTCCAAATCGAAGAAAATTGTGGAGGACCGGACTCGTGATAGTGAAGCGGCAAAGAGACGTGCGTTGGCGGATGATGCAGCTGCTCGATCGGCCGTGATGCCCGATCTGCGCGAGCGCTCGCGACAGGAATATCTGAAGAAGCGTGAAGCGGAGCGACTTGCCCTGCTGCGAAGCCAGGTCGCCGAGGAGACGGCCGAGCTTCGAGAGAACCCCAATCTGACACGCAAAGAGAAGGAGGAATTTGCACGCAACCGTGAGGTTCTCCGAATTGCCGAGGAGCGGCTTCGAATTGACGATCACCGAGATGGGTATATGATGCCAGAGGACTATATCACAGAGAAAGGCAAGATCGATCGGAAAAAGAAGGAAGAAGCCCTGTACAAGCGGTACGTGGACCGAGATGAATCTGGTCAAGAAAGATTCGTGACCGAGCACGAAGAATGGGAGCTGGAACAGGCCGCCAAAGCCAAAGCACAAATCAAGAAAGCGGAGTTTGTGGATGAGGGCGACTACGAATATGTCTTCGACGACACACAACAAATTAATTTCGTGATGGAGTCCAAGATCGAAGGAACCCAGAAGCCCATGACACAGGAGCAATTGCGATTCAAGCAGCAGGTGGATGCTGCCGAGAAGAAAGCGGCGACTATGGAAGAGACCCGGAAAAGCTTGCCAATCTACCAATTCCGCGATCAGATCATTCAGGCTGTTCATGACCACCAGGTACTCATCATTGTTGGTGAAACTGGTTCAGGAAAGACCACACAAATCCCGCAATATCTTCACGAGGCTGGCTTCACTAAAGATGGCCTGAAGATTGGATGCACACAGCCCCGTCGAGTCGCTGCGATGAGTGTTGCGGCGCGTGTGGCCGAAGAAATGGGCACTAAGCTTGGAAATGAGGTTGGATACGCCATCCGTTTCGAGGACAACACCAGCGACAAGACCATCCTGAAGTACATGACCGACGGTATGCTCCTGCGTGAATTACTCACCGAGCCTGATCTTGGCCAGTATTCGGCACTTATGATCGACGAGGCTCACGAGCGTACGGTGCCGACCGACATAGCCTGTGGACTGCTCAAAGATATTGCCAAAGCTCGGCCTGACCTAAAGCTGCTGATCTCTTCGGCTACCATGGATGCACAGAAGTTCCAAAAATACTTTGACGATGCCCCCATTTTCAATATTCCTGGTCGTCGATACCCTGTCGATGTGCACTATACATCGCAGCCCGAGGCCAATTACCTCGCTGCTGCCATTACCACCGTGTTCCAGATTCATGTCACTCAAGGCCCCGGGGACATCCTTGTCTTCTTGACGGGTCAAGAGGAAATTGAAGCCGCCGAGCAAAGTCTACAAGAAACGGCGCGGAAATTAGGCAGCAAAATCCCGGAGATGATCATCTGTCCCATTTATGCTAATCTCCCGTCCGAACTTCAGACCAAGATCTTCGAACCCACGCCGCCCAAGGCTCGTAAAGTCGTGCTGGCTACGAATATTGCCGAGACCAGTCTGACCATTGACGGAATTGTCTACGTGATCGATCCTGGCTTTGTCAAGGAGAACGTGTTCAATCCTCGAACTGGCATGGAAAGTCTCGTTGTGACTCCCTGCTCCCGAGCCTCTGCCAATCAGCGAGCTGGTCGTGCTGGACGTGTAGGACCAGGAAAGTGTTTCCGGCTGTACACGAAGTGGGCGTACTACAATGAGCTCGAAGAGAACACTACACCTGAGATCCAACGTACCAACCTCAACAGTGTGATTCTGATGCTCAAATCTTTGGGCATTGACCAGCTGCTTGATTTTGATTTCATGGACCCTCCACCTGCCGAGACCATCATTCGTGCATTAGAGCAACTTTATGCTCTTGGTGCACTGAACGACCGAGGCGAGCTCACCAAGGTCGGCCGACAAATGGCCGAGTTCCCCACAGATCCCATGCTCGCCAAGGCTATTCTCGCAGCGGGCCAGTACGGCTGCGTTGAGGAAGTACTGTCTATCGTGTCCATGCTCGGTGAGGCTAGTGCGCTCTTCTTCCGTCCCAAGGACAAGAAGATCCATGCCGACAGCGCGCGCAACCGCTTCACCATCAAAGAAGGTGGTGATCACCTCACTCTACTCAATATCTGGAATCAATGGGTCGATTCTGATTTCAGCTTCGTCTGGGCCAAGGAAAACTTCCTCCAACAACGAAGTCTTACTCGCGCTCGTGATGTCCGAGATCAGCTCGCCAAACTCTGTGATCGCGTCGAGGTCTCCATCAGTACATGCGGATCCACCAATCTCGTTCCCATTCAAAAGGCCATTACCTCTGGATTTTTCCCGAATGCGGCTCGACTCCAACGAGGAGGAGACAGCTACCGGACCATCAAGAACGGGCAATCGGTCTATCTGCATCCGTCGAGTACTCTGTTTGAGGTCAACCCCCGCTGGGTGATCTACTTTGAACTGGTGTTGACAAGTAAAGAGTATATGCGAAGCAACATGCCTCTGCAAGCGGAATGGCTGGTGGAAGTGGCGCCGCATTATTACAAGAAGAAGGATCTGGAGTCATTGGGGCTGGACCGCAAGGTTCCTAAAGGCACGGGGGCGGCTGGGGAGAAGAGTCGGAGCTGAGTCGTAGTTTTATCAAGTGGCTACGTTCTTCGAAGTCGACGTGGTACATATTGATCTTTGTATATACAGCATGAAAGGTTCTTTCTCTTTGAATACAGCCGAGGCTTAAGACATTTCTATGTTGACACACTTATCATCGTCAAGTGACCATGTCACCTATCACCCTGTATGATGTCATAGTTGGCCTGGAGCTTCGAGCTGCAAGCTTACCCCAATAGGAGTGGTTTGCATGTCAAGATAGAACTACTTGGTCTTACTAGACAATTCTATGTTGGAAAGCGCATGATATCTGCAGGACTCTGCATAACACTGAAACTATTCCACAATGAACACTACCACACTACTGTCTTGATGTGTTCAATAGCTGTTATCAAAGCCCCATGTTGCTCCAACTTTATGCACCTCCACCAATCAGCCGCTCGTCATTCACAATCCGAGCGACCGCGGCATATCCGCGCGCCTTTCACTTTAACCTCGGCCCCGCTTGTTTTTGGCTTGGACGTGTTGGAGGTAAGGTCCGAGTCAGACTAGAATGACTTGAAAGAGCAGATCCTGCCCCAGATTACACTACTCTTCCTCCGCGTGCCATCCATTCCCCGTGTCCAAAAACCACACCAGAACCAAATAAGGCCGTCATTCGTGCCTGATCCTATCACTCCAAAATCCAAACGATTCTCCTGGTGCTCCACTTATTTAGCAAGCCCTCGACACTCTCAACCTCCCTCCATCCACCCCATCCAACCCACCGAATCCCACCGTCTTCGACGCCAACTACCCGTACCTACTTCCTTTACATACCGAATCACCATGTCCAAGTCCTTCACCCCTGCCGACGTGGCTTCTCACAACAATGCCGATAAGGGCATGTACATCATCATCGATAACTCCGTCTTCGACGTCACCAAGTTTGTGGATGAGCATCCCGGCGGTGCGAAGATCTTGAAGCGTGTCGCAGGCAAGGATGCGACGAAGCAGTTCTGGAAGGTACGTTCGTTAAGCAGTAAAAACGCTCCTTTAAAGCCCCCAGGTCTATGATACCGGAATTCCATATTCTCCCTACACATGTCTTGAATGATAAAGTTGGACTGCGCAACGTGCACCGCATGATCTACCTGCTTGTCGATGACTGTCCCTTGCATCCCGTTCCGTGGTGACGCCGGAGTTGGGCCTAGAGACAGTGGGAGAGTCCCTTGAGATGCTGTATAGCACTTGCACTCACCCACGCGATCACCCTCGACGACGCAGTTATCAAGATATTTTGAGGCCCCGATTTGCTAACTCTTGTCTGTGATATCGCAACGTGTAGTACCACAACGAATCCGTTCTCAAGAAATACACACCCAAACTGAAGATTGGCGACGTGAAGGATGCCGCGAAGCTGTGAGGCAGGGGGTGAATAATTGATTATGACTCGAGCGCTTGAACAGTCGCCTTTGCGACGTTCCTATACCTTCTGTGCTTGTCATTCGTCTCTCATCTGTCTCTGTTGCTAGTCGTGTGGGCTGTGGTCGTGGAATCCGGGATAAGACGGGGAAACTGGGCGGAGAGTGATCCCGGCTCGCAGAGGGCGGGAGTAGCCGAGGTCCGTTCAGTTGAAACCTCGTGATAGTCATTTCATCCTTGAAATGCGTGAACATTACTCCTGTATCTATATACAAGTCTTGACGGTACTACACACTGTATTTAAGTATATAACACATCTCGATGCTTTGGTACATTCCTAGACGTCCAATTAAGGGTTTCAACTAGATCCGTAAATACGAGTCAGAGTGGTTGATCACGTAATGAAGTATTGACCAAGGTTGGTGCCTCCCACCCTAATTTGTAAGCTTCCCGCCAGATTTCTGATTTTCTTCCAGAGATCGCATGGTATAAACAAGACAATGGAAGAGAAAGGTAGTCGCAAAAAAAAAGATCCTAGACAAGAAACGCTAATAGCACCCGAGGATTCTCGGGAATTACTAATTTCACTGGCACGCGCAGGATGGTATCAAAATCAGCCACAGGCCACACGAGAGAATGAAAATGAGAATGATAAACTCCAAAGACGGAGAAGATGCGATGCAGAAGTGCTTGGCGAGTGCTGAGAGAGGGAAAATAGTGGAAGACCGTGTGCTTGGTTGGAATGTGCTATAAGAGAAGGGGACAAAGAGAGGGTGAGAAGGTGCGAGAGACACCGGAGAGAGCAAGAGAGCATATGAACTCGTGCTTTTGACGAGAACACTGGCTAGAACCCTCGGAATGGATCTGATCGGAACGAAAATTCGCTCTCAGCCACAGATGGTGCACCCGGTGGACTCCATTGACTTGATGTCTTGCGCGAATGGCGCGGCCTGCTGGAGGGCATGGCTCGTGTTCGATTGATTTGGTCCAGATGAGGATCAATGAATGCCTCCATCCGCACAGTTCCAACATCAAACATATTACTCGTAGCCGTATGGCTAGTGCGTCCACTGCCCTCAGAAGTGCGACTGATGCTACTACGACCGCTTCGAATCCCTGCGGGGAGAGCTGGAGGAGCCGCGGGAAAGAAGTGCGGATCGTGCGAACTCATGATTCCGCTGTGAGAAGCTGGGATGGCGCCTTGACTGGAGAAGCTGCGGATCGCTTGAAGTGCTGGGGTGCGGGGACCTGTGTTGCTGCGCTTTCGTGTGTGATGGTGGCTGCTGTGGTTTGAGAATCGAGGTACGTGGGGCGCGTCGGCCGCCAGGTCAAGATCTTCCACATCGGGCAATTCTGGCACCGGAGCGCTTGGGAATGATCTTTTGCCCTTGGCTAAAGGTCGTGGCTTACCCTTGGCAACTCGAATAGAGTCGCGGATTGGGTTGCGTCGGAGAGTAGCCTGTGACGGGCCCGCTGTGGCTTCCTCTTGGGGTGCCGGGGGGAATGCGGCTAGATCATGAAGTCCCACAGAGGAATGGCTGAGGAAAGACAAAGCTGTTAGCCAAACATAGTGGCGTTCAACGGTGAGTGCGGTAAATTTGAGGGCACGCTGAGGGGTCAAGACGAGAATGGAGCGGTTGAAAGGCGGAGGGCTGGTGCCGTTGGTCGAGCCCTTGGGCATTGGATTGTCATCCTTGACATCAAGGACTGATTGGATATTAACTACAATGATCACTTCGTTAGCACCAGCTTTCGTATTAGCAATAAAGTTGCACATGGATTAACACTCACATTTACGACCGTTCTTACCCAGCAAAGCAGGGCCGCTTGTAGGTTGCTTGCTGCTCCACATGATCGCACCTTCATAAGGTGCCAACCATACCCATCTCTTGTGCCGGACACCGCTATTCGTGATGTTCGCTGAGACTTCATCTGGGTTCTTCCCTTCCCAATTATCTTTGCCGTCACCCATGCCAAAGGACTTCCGACGACGGACATATTTGTACATCCACTCGCCAACCATGGTCTGAGCAATCGCATCGACTACACTCGTAGGCTGCACAGCGCCCACCGAGCCTTGTCGCTCATAGCTCTCAGTGACGGAAGGTGCTGTCTGCTGAGACGACCGGTTTCGGACGTTGGGCCGGTTACGAGGTACTGTGATCTCGTCCATCGGCAAGGGAGGAGTGTCGAAAGTAGGACTGTCCAACATGAAGGACGATGCCGAGCGGGCGGGGGATGATCGTGTCTCGGGACGTTCAGGCAGATCTGAATTAGACATAGCTGCTGCCGAGCGAACGCGACGCAAGGTCGGCCGGCGAGCGATCGTTGAACGACCGCCACGGTCTGAGAATTGTCGGCCCGTGGAACGAGATGGGCTTGGTGGTGCTTCGCTACTCGTCGTCGGAACATTCCGAGAGCTCAGCCGAATAGGTACTGGGAATGGCGGTGCATTGCTTGACCCAATGCTACCGTTCTCCAGGCTCGGCTCACTTGGGCTACGAGCTCGACTTCTCTGGTGATTGGATGGACCTTGCGAATTTGGAAGTGCTCTTCGTGTACGAGGTTGACGGATGGAGGATGCTGCGCTCGCGCTCGATCGGTTGACAGGACGCGAGCTACGGCCCACATCGGACGGTCGCGATTCGGGCTCTGACGATTGCTCGTTAATTTCCGGAAGACCATGCTCAGCAATCGTGGCCCCTGATTTGACATCGACCATTTTTCCACGATGAAGCGTGTACGATGCGAATGGTCGATTCAGGAGCTCATCGTCCGTGAATACATCCCGCTCTGGACCGTGATGATCGTCCTCGTCACTCAGTTGTTCAAATCCAGCGAATAGACTGCTGGAGCGGAATGGTCTTCGCAGGCCGGCTGCTTCCTGGCTACTAGAAAGAGGACCATTGTCATTGTTGCCCGGATAAGCCTGCACAAGGTCGTCAGAATGCGCACGCGGGGGTTTGACCGGACGCTCGGTGTTGAAAGATCGCTTTTCTCTCTTGGCAGATCGTGGAGGAGGTACAGGTGCACGATACGGCTCGAAGGGGGGCTCTTCAATACTGGATTGGACGGGCGCATCTTGTATGGCAGAAGGCAAAAGGCTGGCGGGCAGTTTGACGGGTCGTTGATCGATACGAATTTCCTCCGTCTGTATAGCCACGGAACGACTGTCGATCACGAACCGGAAGCTTGCCTCCACTGAGGCGTTTTTCGTCTGAGGTGGGAGAACCACACTATTCCGAGGCGACGGGGGCTCAGAGCCCGGTGGATGAATTGCGATCATGGGAATTGCCATCTGCGAAGGAGAGTCATGAATACTCAACGGGAGTGTCGAAACGTCAGTTCGCTCAGCTTCTGGAGCAGTGTCTGTCTGAGTCGACGTCGATGCCATTTGGGCTCGTTGTGGCTTTGCCTCGATCCCAGTTTCTGTCAACGGTTCTGGCACGTTTGGTGTCCAAGGCGGACTGGGCAGATCGCCTATTGTCTGGCAAGAACTCGAAACCATGCCAATTTTGATTGTCAGTGTTGAGGAATCCCTCGTTGTCACCCCCTCGAGGTCGTTATCAACCATACTGTCCAAGACCAAATCTTCCACTGCAATAGGCTCGTTCTCGCCAACAGTCGACAATGACCTCGGAGATGGTGGCAGCGAATATTGAATTCCCATATCTCGGTACTCCAGAGGTGGGTTTGCAGGTTTCCAAACAGCTGTCGATTCCGCCGCACGCAATTCGGCCGCAGGCACAGAAGCATTGCTCTGCATTGAGAGACCGAGAATCTTTCTTGCTTTAAAGGAGATGTCGTGCGATGCGGTAGAATGGACTGATAGAGGCCGCTCTTCTGGGAGCGTTTCAGGAGAGCTAGGAACGTATTCATCCTCGGAAGGAACGAAATTGTCATCGTCCTCGTCAAATGCAAGTTCTTGTGCCAAGTTCAACCCTGAATCTCCCTTGCTCATCACAGAATACCGGGTGGGAGTGTAGGGGACAGCATCTCCTTCATCTGTCGTGATGCTCGTCATGCTAGTGCGGCGTCGTCCTTGACTGCTTGATGTCACGCTTGCGGTGTCGCTATTTTTTGTCTTGTCCTTGGTAGCATCCTCGTGGTTTTCTGTTCGCGAAGCGTTTGTTTGCACCTCCTGCACGGCCGCAAACTCGCCCAGCACAGTTTTCAATCGGCCTTCCACCACGTGAACCTTGCGTTCCAAATTGCGACGCTCATTTTCCCATGTTTCGCGATCTCGATCCCAGAGCATTTGCGTCCGTTCAGCTTCTTGCTCATGATTTCGTGCTCGTTTTTGCGTCTGTTCAAGCTTCTTGCGGACGTCGTTCATGTTCTCCATTGCTTCATCCCGCTCCCGAGCCAGCTCCGACATCGCTGACGAGGTGCCTCCCTCCAGCAGTTGGATCTGGTGCTTGAGGGAGCGAGTCTCACGACTCGCTTTCGACAAGTTCTCGCCCAACGTTTCGCTTTCGGTCCTCGATTCATGTAGACTTTGCTCCAGGATATCGATCGCTTTGGTTTTGCTGTCGACTTCCCGGCGAAGATTGAGAATTTCCGATACAAGGGAGGCATGAAGAGTTGGTGTGATTCTGCGAGCATCAAACGGCGAGAGGCTGTCATCTTCCGGGAGGTCATCATCCATGTCGCTAGGTCCATCGGGTGAGAATGCGGGCGTGGGCAACCCTGGCGGCGAGGATGGAGGGGCGGGAGACGAGTTACGTCCATTTCGACCTCGTGGAGGTCTCGATGCTGGTTTAGAGTGCGACCGAGAGCTGATCGGCGTTGAAGTTATTGAAGCCATGGCGGGCACAGATGATTGCAAGTCTGCGGCCATTCCGCATACGAATTGCGCAGCGAACGGCCGATCAAATCATTACCAGTCAATAGCTGAAGGCGAATCGGCTGTTTCGTGCTAGCCAAAGTGCTCGACAAGTGAAAGTCGTTTACAGAGCTGCCTGGCGCAAATGAATTATTCGTGGCAAAGGACTTCAAGTTGGCGTTTGGGGGATTCTTTGTGCTCGACGGTCTTGGTCCGACGACGAGGCGGGGAGTTCGGGCAGCCTCGCCACTTTTGACTTTTGACGTACGACGTGCGCAAGGACGTCTTTCTTCGAGGTGGCTGCGGTGGAACATTCAATCGGTCAGCCATTCTGTGGCAGCGCGGAACCCGGGATGCATGCCCATGAGCGCGAGGGGAGAGGAGAAGCGGGATCGCTGGATGCATGGGGTGCTTCCAGTGCATGGACTCACATGAACAGAGGACTTTGAGGAACGCGAAGGTCGTGCGTTGGACTTCCGCGAAAGTCAAAGAGAGAATATGGATCAATCTTGTCACTCGAGCCTCCTGAGCGAGATCTGGAGGAGATGACGAAGGATAACGGTCCACGATTTGCGAGTGATGTTGAACAGCACTCGAGACGGGTGATATCCCGAAATGGACTACAGTACGTCTGGGGATGGGGCGAGGAATTAAAGGGTCTTAGACCGCTGGGTTCCTGTTTCAGCACATAATGTTAAGGCGAGGATGTGAATTTACGAGGTCCGCGATCCGCCCCGTTTGACTGGACCTTGGCCGCCGATATTGACATAGGCTGCACTGTCGATGATTACGGCTGATCGGCCTCGGATGCGAGGCAAATGTTCATGAACGTCAATGAGAGGAGAAAGGTCAGATTGACGCTAGTTCGTCGAGGTTGGTTAGCGGCCGGCGCAGTGTTTAATTCAGTCATGAGGAAGAAAAAGGGGGCATGGGGAAAGCTAGAAAGCCAGCCCCATCGGCCAAGATACAGCTTGCTCCACCAGCAAGTGCCACTCGATGCACTAGTCAAACTAGCAAAATTAGCCCAACTGCGCGCAGCTTGCAATTGAATTGGAATGGTGAGCCAAAACCAGCATGCCAAACGCCGTTATGCGAAACGTCAGCGCATCGCTCATGGCCCTCTCAGGCCACACCCAGCGACGCCGTCAATAGTGTGTGGAGCTGTGTATATGACAGGGCCCCCGGCCTACGGCTGGCCAACCACGATAGACTGGGAAGTACCAAACCTCCGAGCGCGACTCATATATTCGTAATTTTATTCGGCATTTCAGTTCAGCGCGATGAGAACAGTACGCGATTGAGGCGATGAGTGTACAAAAGCCGCAAAAAGAAAGTCGGTCGGCGCAAATGAGCGAATGATGATGACTCGGGAAAGTGTTAATCACCACTGGCGGATTCCAATTTGGAACAGGAGTCGAGATGTCGGGGTATGGCTGAAGGCGTTCGTGAGCGAAAGGGGAAGATTTACACCAGCTCACAGCGAATCGTTCCGCGCTCCGTCCCTCGGTGGACCACAAAAGTGCTCCACTCAAGGAAACGAGCAACTCAGTTCGAGGGAAAGTGGTCTTGGCCCCCTTTCGTTGGGCTTGACATGGGCGCTTTGCGCTCTTTCGAGACCCAATGCACTCAAACAACGTGGACATTTAGTCGAAACCCGGTTGTTTTGGCAAGATTCTCCTGCAGGTCGTCGTATGGGCTCAATTCATGCAGAAGACGACCACTGCATTTGAAGTATTCTCCCGAGGCTCGTGGCAGAAACATATGCCGAAAGTGTGTTCAAGCGACAGGCCGGATCACCAACCCAATGAGAACTAGGGCGGCGCTATCACAGTGCACAACTGCATACAAATCCTCCCGGGAGGCCAATGATGTTTGCCATAGTCAAGACAAGACGAGAACCCCGATCAAATGAGGACTTATCGTAGCGTTGCTTAGCGTCCGGGCTAAGAAAAATTCTTGCCGTTCTGGCACCATAGGCGTCAGGTCGTTGGCCAGTTCGTTTCTAGTGCAAGCTTGGACGGTGTTGATCGGCATAGGCAATTTCACATCGTCGGAAGGACGCCGGATCCTGGTGGTCTGTGTTGCGTGTTTCAAGTTTGATCTCCGGACGATCTCAGTTCGATCGTTTCCGACCATGAGAAGTTGAGAACTAACACTCTCGACGGAAGCTGCCGTTGAGCTTTCGAGAGCCTCGCATTGTGGCTCTATCATCGCTCATCGCCCTCTGTCGCGTGCGAGTCGCAGCCAGCACGAGCAATTGCGAACTATTCGCATTCAACCACCGGAAACGTGTCGCTTCAGGGGTTCGGGTACAATTAACTTTCCGGAGTGTGAGGCGGGCTTGATTGGGTAACATGAGAAAGCTGGTTTTCTGGTACAGGATCCATACGAGGTCTCCACCAAAATCCATGACTCCATGAGAGCTTCAGAAGTCCCCACGTATCGAGATTGTAGATTCATCGAGGCGACTTTTGTTGGTTATTATGACCAAATGATAGGCTTTCCGGGAAGAAGGGCTCCAGCAAGTTCTCGTAAAAGGTCAATATGGCTCTTGATCTTCGTCAGCAGCTCTTGTCCTCCATCGACGTCTGATCTAACGTATTGACCCAGGTTGCAACTCGCGACAATCAATCGAGTGCCGCCCGACACATTAGAGTGCAGTCTGGACTCTGGCGATCATGGAGCAGCACGAAGTGAAACTCGAAATACCACGAGGGGAACGAATTTGGAATGCGAGGGATAAGCCGGGGGAACGCGTTCCAGACCTCGACTTCGATGCTGCACAGGCGGACCTGTCACCAAAAATTTGATTGAGGATTGACCGTGCTTGGCAATCGTGTCCTGGGACGAGAGATGACACACTGCGTCAGCGAATGACAAGTTAATCTAAGGTATATTGCTCTTCCACTAGTTTGCAACCCTTAGACCCCATCATCCCTGTTCGTTTGGGCCGGTACAGGGCTTGTCGAGCGGACATGGTTACTCAATCGAGGGTGCGCTTACAGGTGACGCTGACCGAGAACATGCCCTATCCGTTGCATCTAGATCTCTTCGCAATGTGGCAGTGATTAAAGATGCGTGCAAAGACCGGTCGGAAAGTAAATTGAACAATAGTCGGAATGGAACACTAGACGAAGTAGAGGGGACGATGGTTCAGGAATGACACCAGTGACCAGGTGAGCGCACTTTCTGCCTCACAATCTTGGCATCCATCTTCCCAAGGTGAAGACCCTCAAGCTAGCATGGAGAGCTCGGTGAGCCCACCTATTATTACCTTCAACGCAACCTGAGCCGTGCTTTCTTTCGAAGGCCATGGAAAAAAATAAATAGAAGATAAACCTTCTATGTGATCAAGTTGTCACTTCAAATCGAAGCCCTCTTCGGGGGTACTTTGGATCGACTAGGCTGACTGTCGTCGACTCACGCGTCCGACAGGGTGTCTCGAATTAATTACCAACAAAGTTGACTACGTCCAAGAATTGAGCCAAAAAATTGCATCCAGCTCCAAAGAAAAAGAAAAAAACGTAGGTTAGCACTACAGACATCACATGCTAACTCAATGCGATCGGGCTGGACGTTTCTGGTTACTACTTTCTGACTGTTGGCAATGCTACTTCGGAAAAGAACTAGTCCCTGGACGATCTCTCTGGGGGGGCGGGGAACCGCAACATACTGCCTTTATTACCTCGGTCCGTATGTCAAGGAAGATTCATTCTTGTCACCGTCGGGCATTTCAGCGGGAGCTCACATATTTCACCCGGGTGATTCGTGAGCAATCACTCGGATCTTGTGTGCAGAGCCTACCAATATAGGGAACCAATCTTGAACTCGGTGAGCAGCTCACTACGGATTCTACAAAGTATGAAATACCCCACCATGACGACCCTACCTCAAGCGCTCTTCTTCGACGTCTTTGGAACAATCGTCGAATGGCGCATCAGCGTCACCAAGTCCTTGCAGGATGCAGGCCAGAAAGCACTTGAAGATACACACAGGGAGCTCTCAGCCGACCTGCGGTCTCGAATTTCATCATTCACCGAGGCAGATTGGCTCGGCATCGCCGAAGAATGGCGGAAATCATACGGCGAATTCACCAGGTCTTTTGACGCGTCCAAGCCTTTTGTGAGTGTCGATCAGCATCATCGCACTGCGCTACAAGACATCCTGGAAAATCACGCCCTTCAGGGTTTATTCAATGACGACGAGCTCAAAGAGTTGACTCTTGCATGGCACCGGTTGACTCCGTGGCCGGACAGCTCGCGTGGACTCGAGCTTTTGAACAATCAATTCATCACCTCGACTCTATCCAATGGCAATGTTTCACTATTGGAAGACCTCCAAGAATACGGGAATCTGCCATTCGCTCATTTGATCAGCTCCGAGAATTTTGGTGCATACAAACCTTCACCTCAGGTCTATCTGGGCGCTGCCAAACTATTGCAAATCGAGCCCGTGCAGTGCGCACTTGTGGCGGCACACTTGGAAGATCTTCAGGCAGCGCGAAAGTGCGGCTTCCAGACAATTTATGTGGAGCGAGACCAGGAGGAGGCATGGACGGCTGAGAAGGCCGCGCAGGCGAAAGAGGATGGAATGGTCGATATGTGGGTCAAGATTGACGAAGAGGGTCTGATCGAAGTCGCTCGGCGCTTTGGCATTTCGGAGTAGAGGGCTACAAAAATTGACTCAAGCAAGGCCTCCGTCTGGATTTTGAAATTACGCGTGGACTGTATTGTCTGATTGAAAGTCAAAAGGGGGGGGATACACTTGATCGCCATCTTAGGTATCACTTGAACTCTGCACGTGTAGCATCCATTCAACATTGTGCCACTGGTGAATCGGGAGGAGCACTGCCCTGCATGCTACTAATGGCCTTTTGAGCAATGAGGACACATGTCAATATTTTGGAAACAGCTAATCAATTCGGTATAGCATCAGAAGTGCGTTGATTTATTTCTGTCCTGTCGCAGCAGTGCGCGGCTGTGCCTACGAGATTATCTGATCAGACTAGCCGCCTTATCTAATCTGATCCCGCGCTGCCCAGGCTGGCCCTGCTCGAGTTGGAGATCGACGTGCCTTTCTTTTCTACACTGCACTTGGAATAGTCTCGCGTCATTCGTGATGCAGCTGAAAATACTCACATCGCTGGCGGTCGGACAAGCCGGTATACTTCACCACATTGTACAGATGATCATCCTAGGTTCAACTTGACTGAAAAGCTAACCTCGCGGCGCTCCCCTTCCACAGACCACCAGCCTAATCGCCTTCGAGCACACCCACGGCAGCCCCCGAAAACCACACACCCTCCTCTTTATCGGCGGTCTCGGTGATGGACTTGGGACGGTCGAATACCTCGAAGACGTGGTCGTAGGCCTTGAGTGACTGGTCCGTCTTCAATCTCGTTCTCAGCTGCTCCAATGGCGGCTGGGGCATGGGCCGACTCGGGACTGACACCGACGAAATCGCGCAGGCTGTCGAGTATATCCGCAAATACAAGGAGCCGCACTATGGACCTGGAAAAGTTGTGCTGATGGGTCATTCAACGGGCAGTCAAGATGTGATGCACTATCTTTATAGCCCCAAACCCCGGCCAGCGCATCCGGTATTGGACAAATGCTGGGAGCCAGTCCTGCGGACTCCAGTCGACGGAGCTATCATGCAAGCTCCCGTCTCTGATCGCGAGGCAATTCTGTGGGTGGTCAAATGTGGCACGGCCAGAGACAGCCCTGCCTCTATGCGAGAATTGTACAAGAAGGCGGTCTTTGATGCCGAGCGAAACACATACGAAGAGAACGAGTCCGTGGACACGATCGTACCTCTCTCAGTGACTAGTCGAATCGGATACCCGGCCAATGCACCCGTGAGCAGTCGTCGATTCCTGAGTCTTGTCAGCCCCAAGAGCCCCGCAGAGCCATCTGAAGATGACCTCTTCAGCTCTGATCTGACAGATGCACGCCTCAGCGAAACATTTGGTAGCATTGGAAGTCGAGGACTGCTGGGCCAAAAAATGATGGTCCTGTACTCAGGGCGTGACCAGTCTGTACCTGACTGGGTGGATAAAGAGGTTCTCCTCGATCGGTGGGAGAAGGCTTCGAACGGGTGCGGGCGAGATATCTAGGACCATCGAAGTACGGTGATACCCAATGCCTCGCATGCACTGAGCGATCCCGATCAAGCTGAGCCTCGAAAGATCCTATTCGAAAGGGTCGTCTCGTACCTCGGTGATATTCAAAACTGGTGATTTTAGAGGTTCAGGGTCCAAGTATGATCTGAAGCGTTTGCGAGCACGTATTGCGCACAGATAGCGTCATTTGAGCATTCGCAAAGCAGTTGTGTTAGAGAGGCCTGCGCAGATAGATTAAAACCAAAACCTCGGCCTTCAAGGCCATAATAAAGTGTGACGTAGGTACGACAGGGTCAACGGCCTTCCGCACAGGTCTCAGATCATCGGCGATTGGGGGGAATCGCTGACACATTGTCTACCAGTAAAGGAGTCGTAAGTATTGTCTTCCCTCGGGCTGACTAAATACAGTATAAGTTCTCGGTTTTCAGTCTCCCCGGCTTATAAAAAGACCTGCTTTCTTCAGAGAGGAGACTGATTGAACGCTGGGCGATATCAACGCTCTGATTCCAGTCACTCCGGCTGGTACCCCAGCCGCCGTGCCGCCCTGACGACCCCACCGGCAAAGGAAAAAAATTAAACCTTCTACGAATCTGATTTGCCCCGCATTTGAACAACCATCGAGAAATCATACTACACCCATTCATCCTTTAACGGTATCATATTCAGCGCAATGGGTGTCGAGAGAAAGATCATCACTCGTGGCAACGGGTCCGATTCGCCTGCCTCGGGCGACAAGGTCTCGATCCACTACACCGGATGGCTGTACGATGCCAAGAAGGCCAACAAGGGATTCCAGGGCAAGCAGTAAGTTGGTGATCATCTAAAAAAAGGCACCCTTTCTGCTAGCGATACTCTGTATGGCGGATGTGCTGACTCCTTGCCATAGGTTTGATAGCTCTCGCTCACCGGGTCGGGGCCCCTTGAATGTTCAGATCGGTGTTGGACAGGTCATCAAGGGTAAGTGTCCCTAGTACTAGTAGTCGGTTGAAATCTGTGATTCATGGCGACACATATTGATGAGACTGGAATAGGTTGGGATGAGGGTGTCCAGCAGATGACGCTGGGTGAAAAGTCAATTCTGACCATCACGCCGTAAGTACATTGTTAGACTCTACCTTGCGGCATGTACGCTGCCTGGATGGCTGTGACTAACAATCAAATTGCAGTGACTACGGATACGGTGACAAGTAAGTATCAGTCCCAAGTTGACGGAGTCGTATCGCTTGCTCGAGCTTCGAGTATCGTCGCTCAAACGATGTCGGATGTATGTACTGACCAAATTTTTCTGTAGGGCGGCTGGCAAGATCCCCGCGGGCTCTACTTTGATCTTGTGAGTACCTCAGGATTTGATTCTGTGCACAGACTGCCTCGAATACTGACTCATCAACAGCGAGGTTGAGCTTCTGAAGATCAACAATAAGAGTGCTTAGATGGATTGGGAATGTACACAGCAATCTGAACAAAGAATCGAACACTTCACAACGATGTCCACTTCATTGGTATCTGGAGGCTACTGCCACTGACGTCTCTTTCTCATATGGCACCTTATTTCATGTTCTGCCAATCCTGCTGTCTGGAGACAGTGTTTAATGTTTATTGGGAGTAACTGGCTATTTCTCGAACTTTTCTCATCGCCTGCACATTACAAACTTGTATTCGCATCCGCGTCCGGGTAAGCATCAGGAGACAACGCCCGTCTTGAATCGTTCCCCTGATCCCGGGTAAAATCCAGCCCCCTTACCGGTGACAAAGTGCTGACAGCAGCTGCCAAGGCGAACTGAGGCATACCAGAACGTGTCTGTGAATCCACAAAGTGCCAGGGTAAAGTGTGGCTTACGATCAACCAAAGGCAGAGCTCAATACCACCCCCTGAATCTCGAGGTCAATCAAGAGTTGACCGACATTCGGAGTTCCCTTGGGTTCCCCACAACCCGGGCATCCCTCCCACGTCCCGGGATCACTTCGGAGTCAAGCCACCACTGTCTCACATGGGTCAGCGTCCAGGATGAAGCTATGCTTTCTGAGGGAGTTCAGCAAGATGAATGCCTTCGACCCCCCTGAGCAAGATCGAAAGAAAATTGTGCTCGCCGGCTTCTGGCACGCACTCATGTCAGAACCATCTTTTGGCCTCGTCAACGATTGTTCATCTTGGCCAGTGCGCCGGGAATGTCGTTTTGTAAGACGTTCTCGTGGGCCTTTCACAAAGACAATTTTACTGAAGAAAGAAATGACACATATCTGTGATGCCTCGACGGTACTTTAGGCGACACCCGATATCCTCGAGCAACAGGCCATTGGAAGGTTTCAAGTGAGAGTGGTTCAACGGTAGATCAAGGCCCGTGCCTATCGGGGCCATGACGATCGGAACGTTCTTACATTATTGGTGACGTCCTAACACCTATGGCATTATGTGCCGTCGAGGACGGGGGAGTCCTCTCAACTTACGTCTTGCCGGTGAAGGAATACCTCGGACCGTTCTCTAATTACTGGAATCTGGCATTGATACCGAACCAAATGTCAAAAGTCAAAATCGCCATGATCCAGACCAGCGTCAGATTACGCAGGAATGACGCTGGGACTTGCAAAATGTCAAACCATTTTCCCAGTGATTGGTGAGATGAAGTGCAAAACTTGTCGGTCAAAATACCTCAAGACATTCAGTCTCCTCGGTGCTTTCCAGACACCCAATTTGCACCCAGCTTGGAGACGTTGCTAAGCCGAGATGTCAATTCCAGTCTTCCATATGGAGCTTCCTTTTAACGATCCACTCCCGCGTAATGTTGATGAACTACTCGTACCCAGCAGACCTTTTAGATTCGGATTCCAGGTTCATTTCCTCTGTAAAGTGTACACCATTCCAGAAGACGTACTTTAAAACGTGGAATCGCATCTGTAGCTGGGAAGACATTATATAAGTGTAGAACACCGGCTCATTTACATACGCAGACGTCGCGGAGTCATGAGCAGTCGAATCGAGCACCAATTCACACCATCAAGTGGGGAACTCGACGTGCGATGTCGCAGCATCCATCAATAGTCAATCGCGCGGCCGCTGACACTCCGATCTTCTCCGTTTATGGGCAATGGCTCGGTTTAGCCGAGACCACCGCGGCATGTTATGGCAAGCCTCACCAATCCTTTTCTGGCCGACGGGTCAAGACATGTCATCGCTCGGGTCCAGCGTCCGCTTAGCCGAAGCTGCGTACCGTCGATCAGCCTTACCCCGAAAAGGAAGGTAGTGGTTCGCAAGCTTCATCCAATCATTGTCGCGACAGGAGAACGGTCGAGAAGGAGGAGAATGATGCGTAGACGAGCACATGTCCCGAGAATAAAAAGAAGAAAAAATTGTTGGAACCCCCATCTGCGTTTGACGGAACCGGATATCAGTTGCTGCAACACTTGGGAAACCCCCAAAATGCCAGACGATAGAATCACGCGTGCGACGACCGTGGGAATATGATTGCGCAGTCGGTGTCATCCTTGGCCCTGCTTCACTCGTCGGACTAGGTCCATCCTCCCACGGTATCCGTCAAACCGACTTTTGTTTTTCCCGCGTCAAGGTTAACAAGCTTTGATAATGAAACAGTCCAGTAGTCCAGTGTGGAGCCCAACGTCAATATCGGTACTTGAACGGCGAATTTTCCCACGTGCAGACGGAAGCCTGCACAAGATTATAGGGGACAACTGCATGTTTGCAACCATAGTGACTTTTCTTGGTCTTTGTCTTTTTTTTTTGAAAAAAAAAAAAAAAGATTTCAAGGAATGTGTCCCGAGTCAAACAGTGCAATCGAGTCAGACAGTCCACTCTAGGCCCTTAGCCTCAACTTGGTCGTGAGTGCGGAGCGAAGATTCGGGCTCGTAGTCTTGTTCAACTTGCTGATCCTGGAAAGCATACATTAAACACCTACCTAGTGTGGCACTCAGTCGGTAGAATCAATTACCTTTATTGTACTATACTTTAATTGAAATATACTATGGGCCACTGGCTGCCTGATATGCAGATATGGACCTCTCTACAGTACTACGAAACCTCGTGCCAAGACTGCGCAGTCCAGGCCCATAATCTGACTTTGGCAGTCCTCGTGAGATCCCTGGGCGTCTCACAAATCGTACTTGACAACCTTCATTATCGTATCCATTTCGCCTCGGTCTTCGATCACAATCAAGTCTAACCACAAAATCTATGCAAACACCCGAATCAATTTCACGGACACTTTGTGTGCACTGTGCACTGTGCATTACTAATTCGCTTTCTGCGCTCCCGCCCGCCTCCCGAGAGTCCCAGTCTAGACCCATCCTCAACCCAACTCAGAGAACCATGAAGCTTCCGGCGTCCCGGTCCCAATTCCATCGTGATAAATCCACACCTGTGCTCCTTGACTCCCGACTAGACTCCTGACTGGTGCCACTACGTTAGGTGCTCTTAGTAATCTATAATCTTGTACACATCCAGCCATCGAGATCCACTGTTCTGTTCTCCTGTACCCACCCAGACAGAAGCAGCTTCCTGTCGCGGTTTGGCAGCACCGACCCCTCCTGGCGGGCCGCGGTAAGGATTGACCAGCATGCTGACCTGTGGGCGATCCTTCCAGAGACGCGGCAAACCCTGTTCCTTGGGTGTTTCGAGTCGTAACATTCTTGGGTCCGGTTGAAATATCGACTTACCGACTGCCCTTTTCATGCTGGTAGTATGATATTACTCAGGGTTGGTAACTTATAGCGATACACTTATTCAGTAGTAGTGTTCTACTTGTCGATCTTTTGAGTGGAATGGAGGAAATGAGATTCAATTTTTTTTCCGTGCAGGGGCTTCTTCGGAGAATTAATGCCCGGTGCAAGTTCGGGAATCGAGTATGTACAGTTGGGACTTGTGAAGTAGTTCCTACCTTCTCGGTCGAAGACTACTCACAACATGAATTGAGTCTCGGGATGAAAAAAGCAATGCTTATACACGGTCTATTACTGTTCGTGCTTGTTGGACTAGGTAAGTTGTCGTGTGAGAAGCTTGCGTTTTGCGTGGGAAGCTTGACTGAGCCATCGTCCAGGATTGTCGAAAAAGTTTAACCGCCAGTGGGAAAAAAAAGGGATCCGAAGACCTCGGGATCAGCTCAGGTGCAACGAGTAAGCTCAACAAAACGAGTTAAGTTCTGGGTTGTGCTTGGCCATTATGAAAGGTAGACGGGTCGACTCCTCTGTAATCTGCGGTGTGACTCTGCACCAGCCGGCTTAGCCCTAGCAGCATAGCGTAGCTTGAGCTCTAAGTGAGCAATGCTGCGTGAGGTACCGTAGCTTTGGCTTTCGATCTGACAACGCTCGCAGTGGGTGAATCTGGAGGCACTGTTCGATCGAATCTTACTTCCAGTCTTCTCGAGCCCAAACAAAAGTGCAAAGACACGATCGAAGACGCAAATGCAGGTGCAGGCGAAGGCACAAACCCTCTCTTCCGCCGCCCGCGTCGAACCACAGCGGGCCCCTGCCCCGGTTCCCACGCGCGCGGTCCCCACGACACACAGACGTCTGATTTTCAGAAGTGCTGAATCTTCAGGGCCTGATCGGGCCATTCTTAGATCCAGTCCGTGTACGCCATCATTGTTCCACTGTCTGTCACATGTCAAGGACATGAACTGTCTACCCTTTGACATTATTCGACCGCAGCAATTCTGCTCCCGGCGTGTCAAAGTGTTTGAGAGGATCTCATTTGAGGGGTTCTCATCCTGACGAAGTCAGTCATCTGCATGGTAAGCCCTGCCTCGTCAGCAGGAGGAAGATACTAGGGAGTCGGAACCAGTTCAGGTGAAGCAAGCAAGATCAGCGCGCAGGGAAGATTTTGTCAGGGCCTCAGATTCGGATGTGGCCAGCTAGGTCCACAAAGATCGGGAAGAGGCGAGTGGTGCTGTCTGACTCTGAAGCTCTGAAGCTCTGAACTCCTAGAGGGTTGCTCATTCGAGGCAAAGGCCCGCTGTGTCCTGAAATTCGAACAGTAGTATCAAATAGTCAATGATTGGGGTTCGCGATTCGCTCTTCTCATGATCACCAACGAATATGCAGTATGTTTGGACAAAGAGTCGATATCTCGATTGCGCGGCGAGCGATCGTCGACAGTGTCGTCGTGGGACCGTGGATGTGAGGATCTAAATCGAGCACATTGGCAACTCACAGTGGAGTCCACCTCTTGCCCGATTTTCAAGCTACACACCCACCGCAAGATATGCAGTCACGTGATTGGCCAAACTTTGAATGTTGAACTGCCACGAGGTTCCGCCGATGGAATCATGCAAAGCTCCGGTAGAGATTAACCTCTTTCAATATTGGTGTGTCTCATCAGACACGTACATTTGTCCAATGATCACGCTAAGGACCATGGCATCGCTGTCCCAAAAGTGCAGAGTTCTCTACTGAGGATACATTTTGCGGTTCCTATCACGCTTACTCGAGGGTGCTATATGTCAATCATCCACACTGAATTCACTACACTGAATTTACTACACAGTCACGCTACTACTACTGAGTCTACTGAGTCTACTGACTACATTAGTACATAACTACATACTACATAGTGAGTCTGTATTCTGTACAAATGGCTTACGATTCCCACTCTCAGCGTCGTGCATGTGGTCATGTATGGCCTCTTACCGTAGACTACGCAGTACTTTTGTCAATCTGATTCATCAAGAAAAAGCAAATCGTCAAGCACAGCATGTAAGGTTGTAAACTACGTATGACCATGACTCTGCAGCTCCGAAGGAATCAACGGTGCAGATTCCCCCCCCCCCCCCCCCCCCGATCCATTCCTTGGCTTCCGGGAAATGCCTTCCTCAAAGGCTCAATGTGGTGAAATTTTGGAATTCTGATCCATCGCTGGCGTCCCGCGACGGGGCGCATCCCATCACTTCCGGGTGGATCCCCAATCGTAACTCAAAAGCTGTGGACGGATGGATGTCAATTTATCCTGTCCGGAGAATTCTTCGCACTCGACGGGAGAGTTTGAACTCTCTCCGCTTAGGGATGAAAATGCAAGATGTGTGTATTTGATGGTGTTGAACTGGACGTAAACTGCTCTTAGCATGATTCTGGACCCCGAGGCTTTGTCACTTGGACGTTGATTCTTGAAGGGCTTACTTACCCAGCTCAAATGGACTCGGATGCATTGAGGTTGGTCCTCAGTCCTCATATGGAATGAGCTACTTGCGCCTTCCGTCGAGTTGTAGTTGAGGTATCGGGGCTCCTTCCACTCTGCGCTAGTGCCGAGTGCCAGAGCTGTCAGATTCAGGCAGGTACCCCCATATGAGATAAAACCGTAACCGCCAGTCTTCAAACACAATAATATGTAGTCATGGTACTCGTTACTAAGTACCAAGTTCCGACCCTTTCTGCCAGGACAAAAGTACGACGCAGCTCAATGAGGTCAAGTTCCAATGTTTAAAGAATGTGCTCTTACCTAAAGCCCAATACGCTCATTGGCCGTCTACTCTCGCTAAACATGCATTCAACCCCCGAACCGACATGCCAATGCAGACTCGACCTTCAAGCGGGCTCTATGCCAATCATCGTTGAAATGATGGTGCACTGGTACAGGGTTCGTGAGATTTTGGGGTGCAGGAGCCCTGTCACTTTAGCCAAAATTCGGGGTTCCAGCGTTGCTGCACTGATGCACTCTCGGAAAGCACTGTAGTTACTGGAACGCTTCTTGTACTCGGTTAGGTGGCCTATACAAACGAGTTCCAGATTCAAATGTGAGTCGATGCTGTTGCGCAATGGTCGAGATTACACCCTGGTAAAGCACTGAACCAAAGAACAGTACATCGAACAGTAAAATTTTTTAGAAAACACCCTCACGCGCATTTCTGTACTAGAAATGGCCCAGGGGAATTTTCCGAGGGACTGGACAATGAACACTGGTGTGCCTGAGGTGTTAATTCTCAACTTGAAAAGTCATTCTCGGTTTCGTCATCTTCACACCCATGGTACCACTTTGGCTCCATTCTGGGCTTTTCTTTTGATGCCCGACGGGCTGGCTCTGGGACCGTGAAGCTTGGACCAGCCCCCCAGCCACAGGTGCGGACCGGAGCTTGGATGAGTGCCGCTTGTTCAACGCTGGAGGCAACATGATTTGCAGTACAGCCTCCAGCTCCGTGATCAAAGCTTTGAGTCATGATAAGCCCCGTGGATCAATCGGGCCTTGTGTGGAGGGTCGGGCTCTGTTAGTCTGTTACTCTGTTGTACCCCAGTGCGTACCCGAGACGTATTCTGATACACTTCCTATGCACCGAAGAGTTGGCAGGGAAGGGGTCTGACTCTGACTCTGAAGTTCTGAACTGGCAAGTATCGGAGTTCATACAGGTACTGCCAGTAATGATGGACTGGCTTTCTGGATCCACTTCGGCAACGAAGGATTCAGATGTTGCCCCAACGCCCAACTGCCTCTTGAGAACGGGACCATGGAAGGAAGAGTGTAAAGAGGTGATCCCGGATCACGGTGCGAACTGCGATATATACTCGCTGGTCCAAGACCAGCCCAGTCTGGCACATCCTCGCACTTGGTCAAGACTCAGCCAACTTGTGATACGTATCGATTCCTCCATGTGAACACACTGTTTCATAGGACGAGATCGATGAATCAAGGCTGCGCGCTGATCGTTGTGTACGGTCGACACATACGATTCGTGCAGAGGTATTTTGATGTCCCTGTCGTCGTGACTCTGACATGTACCCATACGCACGCTCGTGTCCTCTCTTCTCATCTGTCGAATTAGAGGTCAATGGGTTGGCCAGTCGTACTCTCCGACTCGAGAGCCTCCCGCAGGCCAAGAGGGTCCTGGATCCTCTTTCTTGCCCTTTTTGGTCATTGTTCCCGCAAATTCGAATCTTTTTTTTTTCCTTTCGACCATCCATTTTCAAGCTTCGACTTTTCCTCACTTTTGCGGTTCTTGAATTCCTTCAATTTGTAACCCAATTGTAGCCATTTCTCAACTGCTCACTGATCTATCAAGTAGTAGTAGTACCGCCAGTGATACTACTTTATGCTCGGCATCTGGGTCTCGGGTACCGATCTTCGTCCCCTATTGTCCTCCTTAGGATTCCCATCCTCCGAGGTGGGGAAAGTTATTCGACTTGCTATTGTCGCACTGCCTGCTGTGGATACTGATAGTATGTCGATGGCTATAGTTGTCATTTGCTGGAGCTTCCCCGTGGACACTTTCAGAAAGGAGCTATCAGAGAGAGAGAGACCTTGGCCTCAACCCCCACTTCTCAAGTTCTCTCCAGCCACTGCTCGGACCAGGCAGCTTGCAGCACATCCACGAGGCAAAGGGAGAAATCCGGAACATCGGATCCTTTTGCTTGGCTGACTATATCGCGCTTGACTTGCTAACTTGAGTAGCTCTTCTCGGGAGCGTCGAGTGAACTGGCTGGAGGATCTCGCCCGCCTGGCTGGTCTGCTGTTTGGAACCGAATGGCCCGGGTAGTGGTCGTGTTCCAGTAGCTGACTGCAATAAGGAGAGCTGAAGAGAGAGAGAGAGAGAGAGAGCCAAGAGAACCAGTTGTCGTTGACGAGTCCGAGGTCGTCGGCTGAAGGGGGCGTGTGTATTGTGTATGTCTTCGGACTCGCCATATGTTCCAGCGTCCATCTTTGTCTACCCGCTGGAAATTGAACCTCACGGGATTCACCAGTGACCATCACTGACCACCACTGACCATCACCTTCTTCCCTTTTTCCCCCTCTTCCTCATCATCACCTTCTCCTCGTCAACCTCGTCTTCATTCCATCTCCACCACCAACCGACATCACTGACCCATCCACCCAAGATATCCACCTGGCACCAAAACCCTACTTAGTACTACTCACTCTCAGTGCAATTATCTATCCACCGTCCACCCGTCCACCGACCTCCACTCGCTCCTCCACTCCACTCCATCCACCCTCCGTTCTTTCTCTCTCTCTCCCTCTCCCTCTCCCTCTCTCGCAACCCACTCTGCCCGAGCTTGCTCCCTTCTCCTGCCCCTGCAACCTGCAACCTGCAACCTGCAACCTGCAACCTCCATTCCCTCTCTTTCTACCTTCCCACCCATTGTGATTACCTCGTCCTCTGCGAACCAGACTCACCTGGTTTCCCATCAACTCTCTTGAGCCCAACACGGAGACATCGGCAATTGCTCAAGACTGCCTGCGCCCCCCATTTCTTTGGTGTTCCCCACTCAGTTAAACCTGCAAGCCCCTCGTCCCGTGAGAGTCTCCCCTCCAGACCTCCCTGTGGCCCTCTAGATCCCTGAGCCCCTCTTCAACTTCAATTCTTTCTTATCCCCCCTCACCTCCTTCCTTCCGAACTTGCTCTCTTCCTCCCTCTTGTCCTCTCCCCTTCTCTCTCTCTCTCTATCTCGGCTTCCTTCTTTTCAACCCACCCCCTCCTTTTTCTCCGAACCCTTCCTCCTATCGGACCCTCGGACCCTCCACGCTCCGACCGCGTCCGTTTCTCAACTGCCCGTCATGTCGGGGAAAATGACACTGTACAAGCTGGTGGTGCTAGGTGACGGAGGTGTTGGAAAGACAGCTCTGACAATTCAGGTTGGTTCTCCCGTTCGATCTACCCTTGGTTCTCTCCCCTTTACGATCCTCCGTCGTTCTTCCTGTGTCCGCGCAATTGTTCCTTCGCTATGGTCACTACTCGGAACCACTTCCGACCGTCCAATTTGCGAGACTGCTCCGTGGCAAAATCAACTTGTCCAGCAATTGGAAAATATACTCTCACCCTTGACGACGAGGAAGGGAAGGCCGTGGGCCACCACATCACACACACACACACACACACTCTCTCTCTCTCTCTCTCTCTCGCATCACTGGTCCGGAAAGGAAAAGGATTGCTAATCTCGAATGCCATTGATCTCACAACAGCTCTGTCTCAATCACTTCGTCGAGACTTACGATCCCACGATTGAAGACTCTTATCGAAAGCAAGTGGTCATCGATCAACAGTCATGCATGCTCGAAGTGCTGGACACCGCGGGCCAGGAAGAGTATACAGCATTGCGCGACCAGTGGATCCGCGACGGCGAGGGCTTCGTGCTCGTTTACAGCATTACATCGAGGGCGTCCTTCTCCCGGATCACCAAGTTCTACAACCAGATCAAGATGGTCAAAGAGTCTGCCAGCTCCGGTTCTCCATCCGGCCCCAGTTACCTGAGCTCACCCATCACTCCCACGTCTGGTGGACCTGCGCTGCCCGTGCCAGTCATGTTGGTGGGTAACAAGAGTGACAAGGCTATGGAAAGGGCGGTCTCCGCACAGGAGGGTCAGGCCTTGGCCAAGGAGCTTGGGTGCGAGTTCGTTGAAGCCTCCGCGAAGAACTGTATCAATGTGGAAAAGGCCTTTTATGACGTGGTTCGCATGCTGCGTCAACAGCGTCAAAACACACAGAACTCCAAGGGTCGCGGTGGCGGTGCCCATGGCTCTTCCGGTCGAGATCGCGATGCGGGGCCCGAGTACCCCAAGTCCTTCCGTCCGGATCGGCGACATCGCAGTCGACTCAATTGTGTGTTGCTGTGATGGGTCACCCTATGATCTTTGTTTTTGATATATCATACAAGACCGCGCTAGCCAGCGTGCGCTGCAGCGTTTCTGAATTCCCCCATGCTGATCAGAGCATGGCTCTACAACCTGATGATAAGTGCCCCCCGACACGTTGCTGCCTGACTTGGCCCCGTCAGCACCCTACTCGTCAATCTCCCTACTCTCTCTCTCTCTCTCTCTCTCTCTCTCTCTCTCTCTCTCTCTCTCTCTCTCTCTCTCTCTCTCTCTCTCTTCTCCTCTATCGTCGGCCGCTTGACGCGCTCTCTCCCTGTTTATATCCCTCATCTCCTCGATTTCCCTTGACATCTTGCCATCTATTTTCGGTCTTGGGTGCATCTACGGACGGATGGGCTCATCCGTTTCTTTTTCTTTGCTTGGTCATCCAACTCGTTACTGGCGTCGGTGGTCTCCTGCGCACATTCTACAATCACCTCCTTTCCTTGATCTTCACCCCGATCCTCCATTCTCCAACCGCAACTCACATTCCCGACTTTCGTCTTCAACTTTGGCCTCCCTCGGTCGCAGAAGAAGGGGACTAAGGGAGTGAATCCGGTTCCGGCTAGAGTCGTCAAGCTGCGAGCTCGGGCATTTCGACTTCGCCTCGCGAGCCCATTAAAAACCCTTGATCGGCATGGGTTGCGATGAGGACATGACACCAGCGGAAGGGACTCGTGGATCTCCTCGGCAAAGTGTCCCTTCGCACCGATGGTTGAACATCGGCCATGCCCGGAAGGGTGAAAATCCCGGATTGTTGAGATGTTATGGAGAAGGCTTCTTCAGCCGATTCGAGCCGGGTCTAGCCCTTGCATGGCCAGTGGACAAGACTCAAAGCCTCGGCAGACAGCGAGTGAAGGGATGTGGCAGAACAATGCTCATGGCACTTCTCCGGATTCGAACCACGTATAACCCCCCCCCAGCTTCTCCTCAGATGATGCAAGCAAGCAGATCGCAGTCGCACATTAGCAGGCATTTTGATATGATACCCTACGATGACGCTTTGTTCTCTTCTCTTTTGCTCCATTCTTTCTTAATAACTGCCATTGAACCACCACCTTTATCTCTCCTCTCGTATTCTGAAATCTTCAGTTCTTCTCTTGTCTTTCATCAGATCTTGCTACTTCTCTCCCGTGCACTCGATCCTTCGAGCTGATTCTTACCCACTCATCCTACATGGCTGTAATGATAGGCGTTGGACCTGCATTGGTGTATACTTCAAGTACTTGAGTGCACGGCCAGGACATGGTCAGGAGGTATCAGTCACGAGTCTGGTGGACTGATTTGGCATGCAATTTGCAATAGATTTCTTGTCAGGGGCTCTGGGGATGCTGTCAAAGTCGTACAACCACTCACTGAGCACCATTGCAACGAAGTGCAACACCTCCTGTGACGTTTTCGTCCCCGCGATGTTCCTTGAGAATTCAGGGATATTTTCGCATGGCTACATTTAGTCGACTGCACCAAGGATGTAACTATTTATATCAACAGTGTATCACATAATCACACAAGTTCGGGCTCCCAGTAGGGGTACCTCACACTGGGGACGCCACGTGACAAAGCTGGGTAGCGCCGGCGCGGCAAGAATCCCCAAGCGGGCAAAGGTTCTTCCATCAACCAGGCGGAGTCATGAGATCGGAGCCGATAGTGGAGCAGTCCGCACTCCGCACTCCACACTCCCAAGGAGCTGAGGTGGTCCAGGTTCATAGCAGCGAGGTAGCTTAGTAGCTTCGGAGAGCTTCGACGGGCAGTTTGTCGTTCTTAGTCCTAGGCTATGCACAGCTGATGGATCTTGCCGAACAATGTCTATTCTCCAATGTTCAGCTCAATATAACAAACAGGTGGATATTCCGATAAGACTGATCGGTGGAAAAGAGGCCACTCGATCTACTACAAGACAATGAAGACAGTGTCAATTGACAAGTGACAAGCAACACTCCAGACGGTGGAATTTGAGGGTCCCGTGGGAACCTTCGCAAATAGGTCATCTCAGGTAGCTTGAGCTCAGCTCGAGGCGGGGTGGCTACCGGCGGAGGGCACATACTGACTCATGTGATCGACCTTTGCCACGCCAAATGACTCCACTATGTAGTACGTAGCTACGGAGGGTTTTGACTCCGAGCAGTACTGTAGTTACGGTACAATGGATGAGCCCCAGATGACCCATCATCCTCGGGCTAAGTGGTCAGGTCCGCCTTGCAAGACGAGGATCATACTGTAGGTACCTATAGGTGCCGCCGGATACTCGTGCATCACACCGAGGATATTCAACCTTATGCGTATACTGGAAATCGCAGCCGCAACCTTATTTACCGGGCGAGCGACGACCTCTCCTCTCAGTCAGATGGTCCATGATCAACTCAAGGTCGCTGGAAGGATTCCATCTGTCTATCAAACCGATGGACGACCTCTAGCATAAGTGCAGGTGAGCGTTGAATCCCTCGCAACGGTCCTGCCATGATCGGACCTTCATGGATTCACTAATGGACTTGCGCATGATCCGCGCCTCGGCTACTGCACTTAGCCCAGTCACCAGTGTAGTACCCAGTGCACTACCGTCTCTAAATGCTAGTGCTCTGACAGCCCCTCCAGCTAGACTTCATGAATCGCGTATTGGCTCGGGGCTTCCAATTGGACCAGCAGCCGCACCTAACCCGACCGTCATGCCGGCCTTCCTTTGGACCTCGGGTCGGCGGCTCGCAAGCTCTTGAAAGCTGCGTACTTTTAGCTGGAGGTGCGGATTCTGCATGAGGCCGTTTCAAATATAAGGAGGGAGGGTCACCGCATGTTGCATTTTTATTCTCATTGGATTGGTAATATGTCATACCTCTGATTTCTGACGGCGAGAGTTTTATTTTGTTTTTTTTTTTTTTTTCAACTTCCAGGTTCGTCTTAACACATCGATTAAATAAGTCGAGAACCTCTCCCCCTCGGCAGGCGAGGATCCCTCGATAAAAAGGTCCTCTCCCACTCTTCCCCTCTCCCCGCATTTCCTCCCCCAAATTTCCACAGTTCCCGAGCGCGGCTGGATTGGGCTGTTCTCCTCTTTCCCCACACTCGAACCAGAGAACTCAGCCGAAAGCTCGCGACGGAGCAATTCGTGAGCGTTTTGCATGGTAGTGGGCAGAAAGACCTGTGTCAGATTCCAACGGTGCAGAAGTCGTGACATTTATCAGAATCCCTTTGCTTGAGGTCATCTTGCATATTTGGCTGAATCCATCGACAGTACAGGATCAGTCGAAGCAAAACCAGCATCCGAGAGAGGATATTGCGGATCAGAAACGGGTTTCTTTCAATCAGTCTGTACAGAGTACAGAGTACAGAGTACAGAGTACAGACGACAGAAGATATCTGTTTCATCAACGCACTATCTTCCCGCTGAGTTGACAGACGTCAAGTCGAGCCAAACAATCGACGAATTCGACCCTCGACCCTCGACCCGTCATGGTGCCACATGCCCATCCCCAGCAAGTCGCCCATGCTGCGTCCCTCTCCGACCCAGAGGCCTTTTGGACGGACCACGCGAAACGGCTCCACTGGCACAAGCAGCCGTCATGCGCCTTGACACGGCGCACAAAGACGCTTCCCAGCGGGGTGCGACACGAGCATTGGTCGTGGTTCCCGGATGGGGAAATCTCTACGACCTATAATTGTGTGGATCGTCATGTTCTGGCTGGTCGGGGCGAGGATGTTGCGATTATATGGGAGTCGCCGGTGACGGGGACGGTGGAGAAGTACTCGTATGCGCGGTTGTTGGATGAAGTTGAGGTGTTGGCGGGGGTCTTGAGGGAGGAAGGGGTGAAGAAGGGGGATGTGGTCATTATTTACAGTACGTTTTTTTGGGGGGGGGGGGGGGGGGGGGGGGGCTGCATTGTCTACAGCACGACTGCCTCCGCCTATCATGGAGTGGTCCTTTGAGACTTGAGATCGGGTGGTGTTGTCTTGCAGCTGGTGTGCTGGAGACAATACCCTCACTTGGTCTTCATCGATCACCTTCCACATTGGCAGGCTGAGACGACGATGGCTTGAGAATCCGTCCTCGCCTCCGCCCCCGTAATGCTCAAGAGATCCCCGCTAACGCTCCACTTAGTGCCCATGATCCCCGCCGCACTCATCGCCGCACTGGCAATCACGCGCCTCGGTGCGATCCATGCCGCAGTCTTTGGTGGATTCGCCGCGCAGTCGCTGGCGCAGCGAATCGAAGCCGCCCGGCCCCGGGCGATTATGACCGCTTCGTGTGGGATTGAAGGGTCCAAGGGCCCCATTGATTATCGGCCTCTTGTAGAGGGGGCTGTACGTGCCAGTTCCTTCAAGCCAGAGAAGGTGATTATCTGGCAGCGGGACCAGCTGCGATGGAATAATCCCGATAAGCTAGGAGGCCAGCGAAATTGGCAGCGGTTGGTGAAGAGTGCGAGAATGAGAGGAGTGCGAGCGGGTCCGGTTCCGGTGAAGAGCACGGACGGGCTGTATGTGATTTATACCAGTGGTGAGTGATTGGGATAAAAGGTCAATTCCTCAAAGAAAGGAGTTTGCGCTGATGGTTGTTGAATCAGGGACGACGGGTCTACCGAAAGGTGTCTTACGCGAAGCTGGTGGCCATGCCGTTGGTCTGGACCTATCGATCCGAATGCTATTCAATGTCAATGGTCCTGGAGACGTCATGTTCTGCGCCTCTGATATCGGATGGGTCGTCGGACATTCATACATCTTATACGCTCCATTACTCGTCGGTGCGACGACAATCATGTTTGAAGGGAAGCCAGTTGGCACCCCTGATGCCGGAGTATTCTGGCGCATCGTTGAAAAGCACAAAGTGAATGCGCTCTTTACTGCACCGACTGCAATGCGAGCCATTCGAAAGGACGATCCAGACGATCGTCTTTTCAAAGAAGTCGGCAAGCGAGGTGGGCTCAAAACCTTACGCGGCTTGTTCCTCGCCGGCGAACGTAGCGAGCCCAGCATCGTCCGCGCTTATCAAGACCTTCTTGCTCAATATGCCGCATCTGGCGCCTCGGTCATTGACAACTGGTGGTCTTCCGAGTCTGGATCTCCAATCACAGGCCTAGCACTGGATGCGGATGCATCTAACTTTACCTCGACCAAATTCCATGCTGCACCCCTTGCCATTCGGCCCGGTTCCGCTGGCCATCCCATGCCTGGGTTTGATGTCCGGATCGTCGATGATGCCGGCACCGAGGTACCTGCCGGAACGATGGGAAACATCGTCATGGCCGCTCCTCTTGCGCCCACCGCCTTCACAAATCTCTTTGAAGATGATGAGCGGTTTTACCGTGGGTATCTGAAACGCTTTGACGGGCGGTGGGTCGACACTGGCGACGCTGGGATGATCGACGAGGACGGCTATGTGCATATCATGTCTCGAAGTGATGACATTATCAACGTTGCCGCGCATCGGTTCAGCACCGGCGCAATTGAACAGGCCATTCTCTCCCATCCAGAGATCAGCGAAGCGAGCGTGGTCGGGATCCCCGATGCCCTCAAGGGTCATCTCCCATTTGCATTTATCCATCTACGCGGTAGCAGCTCGGAAAGGCTACCTGCATCTGTACCAGAGAAGCTCTTCAAGGAGGTGAATGCTCTGGTCCGCGAACAGATTGGGGCGATTGCATCATTGGGTGGGATGATTCAAGGAAAAGGCATGATTCCCAAGACGAGAAGTGGCAAGACTTTGAGACGGGTCTTGAGGGCGTTGGTGGAGAACGGGGTTGAGGGCAAGTTTGACGAAGCTGTGAATGTGCCACCGACGGTGGAGGACATGAGTGTTGTTGATGTTGCTAGGGCCCGGGTTAGAGATTATTTTGCGGAGAAGAAAGAGGAGAAGGGTGGTGTCAAAGCCAAGTTGTAGAGAGTGATTCACACGGAGCACGTGCCAGTATTCTTGTGCTCTATGTGATTGATAAAGACGTTGTACTTAGTTTTGACGTCAACAGGAAGATATACATGGAGAATGATCATAACTCTGTGCAATTTTGGTGTCTTTGAATATGATGATAGACGTATTATGTGCAGTTTCTTGAAACTGCTTGTGTGTTTCATTTGTCTTTTACCCATGGGCCTTTGCCTCGTTTTGATCAAGCTGGGGGCCTGTGGCTGACATGAAGAAACCACGGGCACACGCGACTCGAGACAAGACAAGCGGACTGGTTTGTGCTGAAGCCAGTACTTGATCAAAGAGGTTTTCAATCGACTCGTCGAGTCTTTGTTCGACGCCTGTTTCGACGCATTGTTCGAGTCAAATGAGAATGAAACTTCTTTCTCTTCTCCTTCTTATTGTTTCTCTGATTCAACGGAGAGTGTGAAGATAGGCTTTGTCCCTAGAAGGTCCCATTGACATCCTTCGCTATCACAGGTGACTTTGGAATACGAAACATATCGGTTCGTTTGTTTCTTGTCGGCGCAAAGAACGCATCGCCCTGTGATGGTCCAACGATCCCACGATGGGATTTTTCTATAAACAAAGAAGCCATATTCCACCTCATGATGAGATTGTTATCATAAATACTCGACTGAAGCTGCAGCATGACTGTGATATTTCACCACCACTCATCCGATCTATTGATCCTTGACTGTCTCCATCTTGACCACCGCGCAATTCTAGTATACTCTCGAAGCTACTACACCTTTCTCGAAAATAAGCTCTCTCTAACATCGACAAAATGCCATCCTACTGGTTCCTGCCCGTAGCTGCCAACTCCTCCACCCCACGACCAGCAGAGCCACCAACCACCCGAGTCCATCACCACTATGGCACCGCCGAGGACACTGGAGCCCAGATCCTCCGATGGATGGAGAATCCGCGTGAGTCCAGGTGTTACATCCGAGCCTGTCAACTCACACTCGCATCAATCCGTCGATTCCTCCCCGTTGAGACCACACAAGCTTCGCCAATGAACCACGATCTCACAAACCTTTTCCTGCATTTGCAACTTGCACCGCAGCACGCGCAAAATTCACACTCTGCCTACATCCTCTTCCGACTGAGGGTCGCGGGGCTCAACTGGCTGGGATACATCGGACCGGACGTGATCATCATGGAGGACATCCATCACATGCGAGGCGCGAGATTCTTCACCTCCGAGATCAGCATTGCCTTCTATCGAGAGATGGCGGTCTCCGCCACGAGACCAGTTCGGTTTATCTTTGCAACTTACGTGGTGAATGAGCCGACTACTAACGTGATTGCTCGTGTCTATGCAGCTGGGGGATTGGCCCAGTCGACGACGTGGTGGCGGGCTTGGGATCGCGGATCCTCGGAGTTTAATGCGTTGTTGGGTTCGCGAATCGGTCAGGTCGCGGCTTTTATTGTGCTGGGAGGGTATGCGAGAGGTACGCGACGCATTGCGCGGATCTTTACAATCAGTGTGCTCGAAGGATCGAACAGTTTCACCATTTGCTTTGAGGTCGAGGGGATCAACAGGTAGAGGGATTGAAGAGGTTGGGTCCGTTGTATTGCCGTTTGATCCGATTTGAATGTGAAGGAAAAAAAGATGGTTCAGGTTTGTTGTTTGAGTTTTTGTTGAGTTTCTGTTGTGTGTGTGTGTGTGTGTCTGTTTGTGTGTTTATGATATTTGATTCTGCAGTATACTCAGATACCATCTTCGCTGACCTCACCTCACTCATCTTAGTCCAGGATCCCGGCTTCGCTTTGAATATCTCACAAGCGTCTCTCTCAAGTCATGCTAACCTTCACTTCCACAAAAACAGTCCGCTGTGTATAAAAACCATTGACTCACCTTCCCTTTCTAACAAGCTCCTACACTCTTCGTTTCTCCTATAGTCAATGTATCGCGGGTTTGCAGAAATTGTAGACTGCCTTCCTGATTTACGGCAATCATTTGCCCGTTTACGTCGCCGAGGAGCAGTATCTCCATCAGTAAACATAGCTCTTCATCTTTCTCCGGAGACTCCAGGCTTACAGACAATAAAAAGTCCGGAGGGAGGTAGACAATGTCAATGAAAACGCCATAGTGTCCTGGGCCTGGGTCGGAAGTTATATCGGGACTGGGAGTTAGTGGTACTATTGAGTGTCTCTGATTGAAGGTACGATCTGTGTGCTATGTGCTATAATTTTATTCATCAAGATCCTCGATTCGATTCGCGTAGAGGCTAGACCTTTCAGTCCAGCTCCATTGCCTAGAGCATTGAAAGGCTGTCAATACTAGGTCCTTTTTCTACCGAAATTTCAAGGATACCGTACTAGATCGGCGAAATGGTTACTTGAGACTCTCACGAGGAGAATACGGGAAAGGCACATTTATCAAGATATGGGCCTCGTGCTTATTTTACCGTCACACTCGAATATGTTCGTATGGCATGTGATACTGCCGTCTCACCGCAGTCCATAGCTTCGGTAGAATCTTTCCTCCCTACTGTCAATCTCACACTGATTACTCTCCCCCATTTTACAGCTGCACCTACCACTGTAGCTGTATTTCACTAGAGTACTTGGCAACGGTAGGTTGAAGCCATATCCCGGCGGCATGGACCTTCGAAATATCTGAGTCTTTCATGATCTGATGATATGTGATTACCGATATGCTGGGTATGTGCAGTTCGAGCAGGAAGTTCTAACCCAGGTTCGTGTCAAGTCTGATGTGATATTTGTTTCATATACTTATTGCTTCCAACGATCCTGCTGCGATAGCAATGGAAGCATGACGGGGGACTTGCTATTGCGTTTCTTCGTTCATGATTTTCATAGTATTCTGGAAGTGGACTATCCCCCTAGCCTGAGAAAGAATGCCTGATGTCTTCCGCTTTGAGACGAGGACAATCTTTGGGTAGAACGGGAGCTTCTGCCAGGTGGGTGATTGTTTGTTGCGTCACTCATGTGGTTGTGCCGCCTGGATACGAGAAGTATGTCGCTGTGTTTGGCCTATTGGGATTCACGATATAATGGACGAGTTTGTGCCGCTTGACGCCGTCTTGTATTAATCATGGAAAGAATTTCGACATGGGCTTTGAGTTTGATCCTTGTTTTGGCCATTTCTTTTATTAGGGCATTTGGACAGAGTTGGACAGGACGGATACTGGATGTTGACCAGGTCTATGACGAGATCATTCCAGGGACAAGGAAAACAACGCAAGTCCTTTAACGACGTGCGTTGCCAACATCAATTCCGAGCTGAGAATAATCCCAGCCAGTACGCCCATCACAAGTCCTTCCACTCTTGTAGACACCCACCCTCACAAAAAGCATTCCCACCATCACCCCTCACACACCATGTTCACCAACCCATGTGCTCGTCTCTCCCTTGTGACGCTCACAAGCACACTCCGAACGACCGTCGCAAACCCAGCCTCGTCTCTGAAAAAAAGCCATGTGCAGCCCAGTACTGCTGTGACTTCGTGCAGACCACTCCCCAGGATAAAAGTATCAAAGAGGTGTATCTGAGCTCCTACGGAGTACAATGTCGTACGTCACTTACCTTCTTCTAGGCTTCTACATTGACGCACTGTTTGCTGTTCTTCTTGGGGAAGGAGGTTGAACCTCCATAGGCCTGACATGGATCGTTGAATCAAGAGGGCGGACGGGAGCGGTGGAGATCTGAGGTACCGTAGGTGCGTGAATTTGGAAATTGGCAAAACAGAATAAGATGGCGTAGGACGGACTGGATTTGGACGATCTGTGATATTTCACTGAGATGCTGTAGTACTTGGAAGCTATACCTGGTAGGAGTCTCATCAATTTGTCGCCATCTGGATTGTTACACTCTGTGACCTGTCCTTGATGGATGATAGCGCCATCAACGGACGAGTCGTCAGTCATCCCACTACGAGATCGTGGTACGTACATGTTGTTCTTGAAAAGAATTCACAGAAGAACACAACAGAGATGACTGAAGGACCCGACATAAAGCAGTGGACGAAAGACAGATAGCCAAGCCAAGTCCATCACCCAGATCAGCAGGAGCCGCGGCTCAGATTGGAAACCGAAACAAGAACCCTACCCAAACATGAAGATCTGCATCTCACTTGATAGTCTCGACCACCGCCGCAATCACATTCCGCATGCACTTCGACTGAGAATTATGACAAGTACAAGTACAATTGCTGCGTGCGCCCGTCGAGCTGTGTCTTACTCTGTACCTTGCTTCTCTGGCCAATCTTGCCCTGCACTCCTTGCGGTCTGCGAGCGTCAGCCGAGAGCTTGACGTTGTGGGCACCGGCTTTACTGTTCAAAGTCGATTACACACGACTGATGTGGTGTTGCCTGATTATTCTGCTCTTTTCGCGCATCTCCCCGAGTCGTTGAATTCTGGGCAGGAGAGAATTGAAAGTCACGTATCTCGGTCCGAATCCCGGCTCGGATCCCCGAGCGGGATGGGTGAGAGGATGCGGGTAGACCATCCGGGCTCCATGTGCGACATTCTCCAAGGGAATAAGATCTGGCGTGTCACTGTGTAAGTTGCACAGGGCCAGCATCCTTTTGCTTGCTCTGTGGACGAGAGAGATAACGGCAAGATGGTCGGAAGCACCGTACCACTCAACCGTGACAGAACGTGAGCTCAGGCGACACGGCGGATTCAGGAGGTCCTCCTTGTTTTTTTTTCTTTGCCGAAAACAGGCAAGTCCGGAAGTTTAAGCGTTGGATCGAAGGGGGAACCGAGTCGATAAACTCCCAAGTGAGTTGAGTCAGTCAATGCCTCCCTGGATTAAGTTGCTGGTGGTTTACTTACCACTGACTCTTAATCTCGTACGTAAGTTCACTTTCCTGGTAACTACATCAGGGAAGGTCTCCGACTAGTGCCAGATCAGGAGAAGCCCAGGGTCAAAGGCAATTGTCAATTGATCGTTAAGTTCGTGTAGTGCCGTTATGAAGATGTCGCCCCGTTCAGTCCATTGGGTCGGGTGTTCTACATTTACCACCCACGCTAGTGACCAGTGACTACCACTACTCGCTAACTCTATACCTTCTTTGTCACATCGTGTGGAATCGGCCCTGCTGTGACTTGCTCAACCACTTGCAGGGCCCAGGGGGCCAGGTATAAAATGCGATCACGCCAAGCCCACCACCATCTTCAGCTCCTGGCAGACTCCTGAACTCTATCCTGGGAGAAAGATCGGGTCATCCAAGACACGCTAATGCCACCCACTCATCCCCATCCAGCCGTCCCAGTCCCCGTGACGCCCTGCTGACTGGCCACATCGAGGCCGTCGGACCCGGTCTGTAAGTGAAACTCACCGACTGATCTGGCCGATGTAATTTCCCCCGTAATGCCACCCGCGACCGTTCCTGGCCCTCACGACTACAAAGCCCCACTGGGACTGCCGTGCGCGCGCTGCGATTGGATCGGCTCCTTTTTGTTTTCTGACCCAATTTCCATCCCGGCGTTAGTTTGGTTGGTGGGCGCGGGTACCTGAATCTTCATCCACGGCACGAGACGTGACCTTGTTGACTCGATCGGAGTGTCAACAAAGTTGGTATAATACCTGATACTCAAGGAACTAGGTGGTAGGTGGTAGGTGGTAGGTGGTAGGTGGTAGGTGGTAGGTGGTAGGTGGTAGGTGGTAGGTGGTAGGTGGTAGGTGGTAGGTGGTAGGTGGTAGGTGGTAGGTGGTAGGTGGTAGGTAGTAGGTAGTAGGTTAGTCCTTGGCTACTCGCAGCCTGCAGGCCAACTGGACAACGAGACTCTACTGTCGTACAAGAAGATGGTGTTCACTCGATAGCTCCTGAACAAAGTAGCGACTTTATGACCACCGTATCCTGGGCCCTGCCGGTTCTCCGAACAGTCTGGAACACGTTGGTCGCACGAGGGCTGACCCTTTCCCCCCCTCCCCAACCCGTCGTACCGTCTGCGTCTCCGTCTCTCCCCTGAACCCCCTGATCCGCCCAATTCAGTCAATCCAGTCCGGTGCCTCCCTCGTCTCCGGGTCAATCACCCACTCCACCTCCTATAAACCCTTCCTCATCTCCCTCTTCCCCCCGACCCCCGCCCTTTCTTTTCTCCCTTTCTCTCCTCCATCCTTCACGCTCTTTGCCAATCCATCCCCCGGTTTCAGTCTTCGTGACCGAGTACATTCTTTACAGAATCTCCCACTCTTACCACTCTTTGAGAGCGTCCGAAGTATCCTATTTTCGTCGTCCCCGACTCGATTTCTATTCTTTATTTTTCCAGGACCATCCCTCGAATCTTCACATCCACATTCCAACCATGCGTTTCACCGTTGCTACTGCTGTCGCCGCCATGGCCTCCGGCGCTGTCGCCGCTCTCACCCACGCTCCCGCTCCCGTTTCCTCGGCGGCCCCCTCCTCCAGCGTGGCTGTCCCCGCTGGCGGTGTTGTCACTGAGACCCTGACCGAGTACACCACCTGGTGCCCCGAGGCTACCGCCATCACCCACGGTGGTCACACCTACAGCATCACCACTGTATGTTTCGTCTCTCAATGTCCTTTGCCGGGGTCGCTGCGATTGTGAAGTGGGCACGAGATCGAGATCGAGAGATCTTGTGTGGGAACAAGACTCGACCTCGAGTGTGGAGGATTGTGCTCTGCCTCGTCCCGTGTCCTCTCCCTTGGATCTCCCGATATCCTCCACCGAACGCTCGCATGATGCGCCCTGTTCTGCCCCCCCCCCCCCCCCCCCCACTTGCAATACCTCAGCTAACACCTCTCCTCCAGCCCGGCTACATCACCATGACCGGTACCTTCACCGTCACTCGTCCCGTCGTGACCCAGACCGTCACCCAGTGCCACAAGTGGTAAGTTCCCTACCAGTCAAGTGCCCTGCCACGATGGTCATGATCGCATCAAGCAAAAGAATCTAACAAGCCTCCCTTCCAAACTGACAGCACTTCTGCCGCGCCCGTCCCCACCACCCCCGTCGTGGTCCCCACCAGCGCCGCCGCCGTCACCTCCATCCCCCTGGTGCCCTCCATGCCTTCCGGCGCTGCTGCCACCGGCGCTGCCGCTCCCTCATCCCCCGCTGCCTTCAACGCTGGTTCCACCAACGTTGCTGGTGCCGGTGTCGGTCTCGCCGCCGTCTTCGGTGCCGTTGCCCTCCTCCTGTAAATGTGAGGTTTGCAACGCGTTGCTGCGGCTAGAGGCCAGGTGACTGTCTCTGTCGGGTGATTAGAGGAAGGACAAGAGGCAGAAGCAGAAGAAGGAACATGTTCGATAATGGTCTTTCTTGGCCAATCGTTTCGCTGTAGATGTTGTCTATCGGGTATCAGAAGCCGAAATCTTCCCATGTTCCGTTTGTGGATATCTAGTTCTTGAGATTTTTCGATTCCCTGTGCTGTACATCTTTGAACTCTTCTTCTACAAGGCGCCAGTGATAATGTGCCCTTCATCTTGGTCGTGATGATTACTATAACCCAATCTATTTTATGTTTTTCATTTCACGATTTCTACTGTATTCCTTTTGTATATAGAGCTCTTCCAGACTCGAATGTACATGTTCTGTCTTTGACAGTACATCAGTAGTACATTATGACGTCTAGTCATCTTCCATTGTACTCCAGGAGTTAGTAGTACTACTATCTACTGATTGATGCAGTATGACGCCATGTCCTCGATTCACAAGAACCCCGGCAAATCTATTCCGGGAGTATCAAAGTCATGGTTCAACAATAGTCTATCAAATGCACAAATCCAATGAGCATACAATCGATACTCGGACATGCTGTACATCCCACTCCCATCTATGCTGATGTGAATAAAACCCAACTCAGACTCCCACCCCCCAACTCCAAACTCAATCTTAACAGCACATTCTTAGCAGTCAGTATTTCATACGTTCGACCTCGGCAAAAGAGGCCCACGGCAAAATATCAATATCATCAATCGTTAGCCTGGATGTAACAGATACCATGAGCGTACAGTCAATACTCGGACATGTCTAGATAAGAGACAGTTTTCACCTCCCTGGTGGAAAGAACAACCCCGACTCCAAACTCCCAACTCCTCGCTCAAACAGCACCTCTCACCCGTCAGTGTTGAGGACCTACGGCGTACTCAGTACTCCAAGTAAGGACCCAGGGAGTCCTAAGCACAGCGCCCAGCCCACAAGTAGGACCTAGTTGAAGAACGCCTCACTTTGAATCAATCTCTTCCCATGCCCACTCATCGCATCCGTCAACGACCTCTGCACCTTCACCACCTTCTCAAACCGCATGAACCCACAGCTCTCACTCTCCAGGTGATTGAACAGCGCCGCCAACGAGACAAACTCCCGTCCACAGCGCGCCGTCCCATTCGGGCACCGATAGATATGCTGCTGGTGCGTGGGGGAGTTCACATGCTGGCGCAGCGCGGCCGACGACCGGAACTCCCTGTGGCAGATGTAGCATTCCCAGGCGGCGCCGTTGTAGGCCGCGTTGGTGACTTCGTATTCGTAGGTGGTAGAGGCCGCGGAGGAGGAGGAGTGATATTCGATTTGTTTGGTGGTGATGTAGTGGTGGGGATCGAATTGGCGGATCAATTGGGCGATGCGGTTGCGGTTGAGGGTGGGCGCTTTGGGGCAGGAGCCGGTTTCGAGGTGGTGAGAGAGGCCGCTGGCGGTGACGAAGGCGGCTGAGCAGAAGGGGCAGTGGACCTGGGTGCCGCGGTGGATTTTGGAGTTCAGATGCTGGTGTGAGTGAGGTTAGAGAAGAAGAAGAAGAAGAAGAAGGAGATATGTCTTACCGCGCGCAAGTTGTTGGCATTCTGAAACTTTCTGTCGCACTGCTCGCAGTAATTTTCCCAGTGGCCCAGCGCATTCATATGCTCATCCGCTGCATCCTGAGTATGGAACCTCTCGGTGCAAGTGTCACACTCGATCTTGGGAGCCCAGTGGCCGACGGCATTCATGTGTTGATTGGCTGCATGCTGAGAGCCGAACTCCCTGGAGCACGTCTCACAGTCGTAGATGGGACCCCAATGATCGAGGGCATCCATGTGTTGACAGACGGCGACATAGCTGTTGAAGCGACGAACACAGGTCTCACATTCGAAAGACATGGCTGGCGGTGGTTGATTTAGGTAGGAGCTTGCCAGATGGGAAATGAGAGGGGAGCTGATCGGAGAGGAGTGTTGAGGTATGAGGTTTGGATATCACACACTCAAGCTGGGCTGGTTGAAGATCTCAAGGATCGTGAGGCAGCTTGACTTGGGAAAACAGTAGGGAGGCGAGATATCGTGTTCTTTATGTTTGAATGTAAGGTTGAGAGTTGTGAAGGAAAGCGAAGCGTGGGAATTGAGAAAGAGTGTTTGTGGGAGCGAAGCGGAAAGTTCCACATAGCCACGCCCAGGACGTGATCAGAGACCCTGTCAGTCAGCTAGCTATTCATCCCATCCAAGTCAAAAGTGAATCTGTCATATTTTAACTGAGTTCCCCTGCAGCCCTGGCAGTATAAGGCTCTAAGATACAGATTGGACTGCACTCCCCATGATACGTACAATTGTACATAAGTAAAGTGGGTCCAGGGGCATGTGCTCCCCCTCCATCGGCTTTGTAATATACGTTTATTTCCTGCTAAAGAGAGCGGGACTCGGACTCAGGCGAAACAGAGCGCGATTCTTTAGGTTTACGATCTGGTACTGTGATACTGTCGCGCTGTGACCCCCACTTGAACTATGATCTCGGAGGAAACAGTACTTTCGTTTACACTTTGACTTGGCCTCAACCTGCGTCATTTTCGTAGGCGGTCGGCCGGGGTCCGAAGCTCGGTCTTCAGGACCATGTGCAAGTCGACACGGGGAGCTCCCTCCACGTCCAGTATGATCCACCCATCTCTAGATTCTCTACAAGTCATGATTGTGTTCGCTCCTGCCCGTTAGAGAGATCTCATACTAGTAGATATGTCTATTCGGGATCCGACAATACAAGGTAGACTCCTGATCCACCTACTACAATCGTCCCGGCGGACACAAGGCGAATCAATTCGACGTGCCGCGATGACTCTCCAGACGCGTGAATGAACGACCTGCGTTGAGAATGGCATGACTAACTTTGCAAAGTTTCCAAGTCGAAGCCGCTCGGGACGAGGACCGTGGCCACGAGAATCATGGTAACAGATCTGTGGACGTCCAAGCCATTGTATCTGCAAAAGCGGCGGCTGCAATGGTCTTGGGAGATACAGGATAAGAAGAATATGCGGTGTGCCAGCGTCGCCGACTCGCCAGCAGGTGACATTCAAGTAGTGATCACGGGCGATCGGAATCTCAAATGTACCAGTGTCCAATGGTCTAAGACAATGAATATGAGTACGACGGCATGAAGCTAATCTAGTATCTATGGACCGTCTACCTCAACCTCGAGCCATCAACGAGTCGAGTGACAAAAGACTACCTCATTGTTCAGTGTGCAACGACCCCTGCGGTTGGAGAGAGCTCAAACAACCATACACAACAAGTCCAATCCGATGGTAAACTGATCCCTCTTTGGATGGTGAGTGGGCGCGGGACCTTCTCAGCAGCGCCCGTCCAGCGTCAGCCCGGCACGAGACCAGGCCATCGCCGACGAGTGCTGAAACAGACAAAACGCCATCTCTTCATCTTGGATTTAGTTGTGTGAAGAAGAGAAAAGGATCGGAGCTCGGCCGCAAGAAAAGTCAGAGCTGTCGGAACGCACGGACCAGGCGGTGAGTCTGGCTCGGCGCCATAGTGCCGATTTTCCGCTTTCCGCGGGCAACGGGGAAGACTCCCAGCTGGCACCGCCGGAGTCTCCGCTGATAACGATCAAGCTACTTCGTTTTAAAGAAGACGGGGTGTTCCTGATACGGACAACTTGCTGATCGGTTTCGTGTGTGTTTTCTGCTCGGTTTCTGCTGCCACTGCACTTCATTCACACATCATGTCTGCTTCTCGTTGCGGGCGTCTTGCGCGTCTCTCCTTGGGAGCCCTCCGCACACCCGTCCCCATCTCCGCTCGACCTCTTGTGGCTCGTGCCGCCGCCGTGCGGGGAGTGTCGACGGCCAGCCGAGATGCACAGCAAAAGGTACTCAAACAGACCGCATCGATTGTCCGAAATTGTCAATCCAAGGCGAACCGACTGACATGCTTTTCAGCTTCTTGCTTCGTCCCTGAAGGACTCCGACCCTGCGGTCTTCAACATTCTCGAGAAGGTATGCCTCTCGATACCACGCCTCCAATGCCTCCAATGGATCTTCGACTAAGGTTACAAACAGGAAAAATCTCGCCAAAAGCACTTTATCAACCTCATTCCCTCAGAGAACTTCACGTCACAGGCCGTCCTTGATGCCTTAGGCAGTGTGATGCAGAGTGCGTAATCGATCTATGGCCTTACCTTCAATTGCAATGTGATCCTGTCAATCTCACACCGCAATTCCAGACAAATACTCCGAGGGATATCCGGGTGCTCGCTACTATGGAGGAAATGAACACATCGATGCTTCAGAGCGCTTGTGTCAGCAACGTGCTTTGGAGACCTATCGCCTCGACCCGGAGGAGTGGGGTGTGAATGTTCAACGTATGCTACTAAGCCGCCCTGATCTCTCCGATTATCCTACTTCGGCACTTGTCTAACGATAAATACAGCTCTCTCGGGATCCCCGGCCAACCTTTACGCCTATTCCGCTGTCCTCAACACACACGATCGTCTGATGGGTCTCGATCTGCCCCATGGAGGTCACCTGTCACACGGTTACCAAACTCCAACCAAGAAGATCTCCGCCATCTCCAAGTACTTTGAGACCTTCCCGTACCGTCTCGATGAGTCCACCGGCCTCATCGACTACGACGCTCTCGAGAAGCAGGCTCTGCTCTACCGTCCTAAGTTGATTGTTGCCGGCACTTCAGCTTACAGTCGCCTGATTGACTACCCTCGCATGCGTGAGATTGCCGACTCTGTTGGCGCCTACCTTCTCTCCGATATGGCTCATATCTCCGGTCTTGTTGCCGCAAACGTGCTTCCCTCTCCGTTCCCTCACTCTGACATCGTCACAACCACCACCCACAAGTCCCTTCGTGGACCTCGGGGTGCCATGATCTTCTACCGTAAGGGTGTGCGTCGTACCGACAAGAAGGGAAACAAGGAGATGTACGATCTTGAGAACCCTATCAATGCCTCAGTCTTCCCTGGACACCAAGGTGGCCCACACAACCACACAATCACTGCCCTGGCTGTTGCTTTGAAGCAGGCTCAAACGCCTGAATTCATCGAGTACCAGAAGACCGTCTTGGAAAACTCCCAGGCTTTGGCCCAGCGTCTCGGAGACTCCACCAGTAACGGTGGCCTCGGTTACAACATTGTCTCAGGTGGCACTGATAACCACCTGGTTCTGGTGGACTTGAAGAACCGTGGTGTCGATGGAGCTCGCGTGGAGCGTGTCCTGGAGCTATGTGGCGTGGCTAGCAACAAGAACACGGTGCCCGGTGACAAGTCTGCCCTGAAGCCCGGCGGTCTTCGTCTAGGTACCCCCGCCATGACCTCCCGGGGTTTCCAGCCCGAGGACTTCCGCCGTGTCGCTGACATTGTTGACCGCGCTGTGACCTTGACCCAGAAGCTGGATAAGGCTGCCCGCGAGCAGGCTCAGTCACGAGGTGTGAAGAACCCGGCTACCCTAAAGGCCTTTTTCGAGTATCTCGGCGAGGGTGAGGAAGTCTCAGAGATTGTCATGCTGCGACAAGAGGTTGAGGACTGGGTCGGTACATTCAGCTTGCCCTGGTCCCACGAACAGTAGATGGTGTTCATTTCTCACGCGAAAATTCCTTGATGAGCTCTTTTGATATTACTCGTTTTGTGTTTTCTATACCTTTGTACATATTCTCCGCCACGGTTCAACACGACATCTGATGCTAAGACATTCCGATCCCTCTCATGTGTTGCGTTTTCGCTCTTATAGACGTACGTCACTAAGCCCGAGTATTTCACATATCTGTTTCTAGGATAGGTTGCTGAAGCTTATCATAAATAACTGGAGATGTAATCAGAATTGCTTTCCTGCGCTCAAAGTCAGGAAGCTCGGATCGTTGCTCTTGCTGTACCGTCTCATACTTGCACCCGAAAATACTGAACAGAACGAAGGCGAGATAGGATACTACCGTGCGTAATCGCCTGAAGGCCCAGGCAACAGAGCCGAATCTCGCATAAAAGCTGAATTCAAAGATCGAAAGTCGATAAGCGCGGCGATAAGCCACCTCCCGTGCGGAGAAATCCCATCACCTTTGACACACCAGCTCCAGCCATTTGACTCCGTGGTGTAGGGCTTGACTTGAACTCACTTTGCAAGTGAAATTCTTCACATTTTTATCAATCCAAGCTCAGAGAAGAGTGCTTCATCCGCTTTTAGCTCACCGTTTCCTTTGATGCCCTGAGCTCTCTTCGATCTGCTTGATCTGCGTTCGCTACTCTCAAGATGAGAATCAGCGAGGTATGAGACGCCATCCATAGAATAACATTAACGGCTCGGCTAACGTATTTGTTAGCTTTACATCTACCCCATCAAATCTCTCCGTCCGGTTAGAGTCACAGAGGGCTTGCTGACCGATCTGGGCTTCACGTATGACCGAAGGTTCATGCTGCTCAAAGTAACACCTGACGGAAATGGAGGTCCGTCAAAAATGGAGAATATGCACATCAGCGAATTTCCCCAGATGGCACTTTTCCATACGACACTGGAGATGTCAGAAAGCTTCGCAGGCAGCAATAAAGTCGTCGTAACATATTGGCCTCCCAGTCAAGAAGATCTTACTTTGACCAGCGCGGAGGGGAATCAACTTGATCATCAAGACAAGACCGTACCTTCAACCTCTCACGCCTCCGGTACTGATCGTCTTGAGATTCAACTCGTACCAGACTTCTTGCACCTGAACCCTATCACGGTGACCATGCACAAGAGCTCAACAACTGCTTCTGATATGGGCGAGAAGTACAACTCCTGGTTCAGTGATCGGTTTGGATTTCCAGTCGTGCTGGCATATCTTGGCCCAAGCACCCGCAACGTCCTGGGAAATCTCACCCCGACATATCCCATCCGAACCTCACGATGGAGTGAAATACTTGGGATGTCGGCAATCAAGAGTTTCAACATACCCGGTCATCCGCTCTTCCGGCGCTTGACTGCCTTTGTTCTATGTTTGCTATGTTGGTCGTCTCTCCCGCTTGACACCAAGGGACTCTCCATCATGGCAAGCATTAGCATCAATGTAGTGGGGGTCATCGTCATGTGGATCGGAATGAGTATCTTTCTGACCATCTTGATGAATAGACACAAGGCCCAAATCGGATTTGCGGACTGCGCGCCATTATTAGTGATATCGCAAACGTCCGTGGACGACGCCTCTTCTCGTGTGGCTGAAGGACCAAAAGTTGACTTGACTAAGTTTCGAGCAAACGTAGTCATTTCAGGGGCCAAGGAAGCCTACGAGGAAGACTTCTGGGCGGAGTTGAGTGTCGGAGAGGACAACCCTGGGAAGGTGCGCCTGCTGCTTACAGGGAATTGCGTGCGCTGCCGGAGCTTGAACGTGGATTTTGACAAGGGCAAATTCACAAACAAGGGAAATGGGAACTTGTTCAAACGGTTGATGAAGGATCGGAGAGTCGACCGAGGAGCAAGATTCAGTCCGGTCTTTGGGCGGTACGCGTTCCCCGAACGAGGAGCTGTCGGGTGGACGATCCGAGTTGGAGATGAGGTGAGGGTCTTGAAGACGAACACGGAACGCACCGTGACAGGTGAGTCGAATCTAATCGCGTTCCTCAGGGACTGAAACACGCATTGCTAACTTGTGATTCCAGATTGGCCCGGCTTGGCATACTAGCCAAGCAAATCTTCCGTGATCATCATCAGTCGGCACTTCTTGAAACACTCATGCTTGCGAGGACTGAGTGTGTGCTAGTCTTAGTCTACAATTATGGGTGTCTCTTTGATAGTGAAATGACATGGTGGATTTCAAATTTGCACGGGCAGTACTTGGCTCGAACTATCAAGGTCATTTGAGCATGCGCCTTTGAAGAAGGGTAGATTCGGTGGAAGACAACCCCGATCAAAACTGCGAGAGCTTGCATTTCTTTTGGAAGCTCCTGAATACTAACTCGTCCACTGAGATCAATGAAAGCCAGCGACATGATCGGGTAGAGTGTTTCCTGAGATATGTGACAGCCAAGTACTTAAATCGAAAACGAAACCTTCTTTGGATCCTCTTCGGTGTCTCCACTTCCCCTGACAAGGCCTCAGGTAAACCTGATAATGCTTGCCGCTGTATCCGATCTTTAGATAAAGCATGCACGAAAAGGTGTCGGCTCTCTGTCTTCAGTACAAGGTCACTATGTAGTATGTACATGAATTCATGTCCACTCTCGTAATTAGCAATTGGTCAACCACATAGTACATATTGTACGTAATACGTATATGTATGGCTCACCAAAATCTCTCTTTTGACTCACTCTTGAGGATTGAATGGAGGTCGGTGAGCACCAATCCACCAGTCGCAATACATAGCAGCCAGGAACTGACTGTCTCCACTGTCCAACACCGCCACGACTGGGTACGGAAGAAGCCACTCAGCCACTCACCACGTGACTGAAGCCTTTCTGGTGGACAACAATGGAGTCTGAGGTGGATACGTCTTCCAAGAATAACTCAGCTGAGCATCATTCAGGTAGTCCGGAGTGAACCTGAACCTGAACCTGAACCAAACGTGATTTCCCCTGGCCTTTCCCCTTTACATCTTGCGGGGCTCGCTGCTGCTGTCTTTTGACGTCAGTTTTTACTTCCAATCGTGTCTGCATAACAAAAGTTGAGAATACCCTGATATTCTCGAAGCCAAGAGATTCTGCGTCGCGTGGTACATACTTCCAGTCTATGCCCGGACCCCGCGGTCAATTGACCGAACGCCGCTAGCCACACTAAGGAGTTCCTCTCTCGTTCTGCAAGTCTGCCTTCCTCTTCCTTGTTCAGCTGGCATCGTTCAGATCAACGGCGTATCAAGTGTGCAGCCCATCACATTTGCTCGGCATCCACCTCGTTATTCGGTTGACTCTGATCGTGGTCTCTCATTACCTTGCGCTCTGCTCTGCTCCTATCGGTCAGGTGCCTGGTTCCCTCGCCACCCAACTGCATAAGGCTGATTAGCCCCGCCGTGGGTACCTCGTCACGGCTCATTACATCCACGACGCAGGACGAAGATTTTTCCTGTCTTCCTCAACCAACCACTGCTGACGCCATGGACGAGGTCAATCTGCGTCGCAAGGACACCACCAAGGGTCCGCCGCTGCGAATTCTATCTCTCGGTACGTGTCCTCGCGAATTCCTGCGTTTGCCTACTGCGCAGCTGAAACGCTAACATCAACACAGATGGAGGCGGCGTCCGCGGATACTCCATGCTGATCATTCTTCAGGAAATCATGTATCGGACATACGTTGAATGCGAGGGCAAGCCACCTCGTCGCGATCAAATTCCCAAGCCATGCGACCACTTCGATCTCATTGCTGGCACGGGTACGGGCGGCCTGATTGCGATTATGCTGGGTCGTCTACGCTTGGATCTCGAGACATGCAAGGAAGTCTACGTGCGAATGACAAGAAAAGTCTTTGAGACAGACAAGACGATCGCCGGCATACCCTATCGCTCAACGCTATTCAAGGCATCGAAACTCGAGGAAGCGATCCGGGAATGTGTTCGCGAGCACACCATCTTCGAAGGGGAGGGCAACGATCAACCCAACCGGACGGACGCTCGCGCATCCATGGCGAGTCTCCCGTACAGTCCGGGCTCTGTGCCTCAAAGATCTGTGAGCCGTGGCAGTTTCAGCACGTCGGCCATGTCTCATCCGCAGAGTCCAAGCAGCTCGCGTGGCTCAACGTTCCTGAATGGCCTGCGCTGGGGTAACCCGGAGGCGTTACTCTACGACAACCGGGAATTCAGAACGAAAACGTGAGTCTTTTGAGAACTTCGAACTACCGTGGTCATATTTGCTTGTGGTATCAAATACTAACAGATACGCAGTGCCGTGACTGCGCTGTACAAGGGTACCCGTCGCGGAGGATCAGCAGTGCTTCTTCGTTCCTACGATTCTCGTCGCGAACCACCGCCAGAGTTCGATTGTACCATCTGGCAAGCGGGCCGCGCTACCTCCGCTACGGGACTTGCCTTTAAGCCCATCCAAATCGGACAGCATGTGTTTATCGATGAAGGACCCGGTACCTACAATCCTGCGCCCCAGGTTCTCGAAGAGGCTGTCGTCAATGAATGGCCGGGTCGCGAAGTCGGTGTCTTCATCAGTGTTGGAACCGGACGGCGGCCGCCCGGTACGAATAATCGGCAACACGAATGGTGGGAAGACTTTTTTGGGTCCGCGACTGGCACATTTGCAGAAGCGCGCCGGCGGCTAATCACCAAGATTGAAGGCTGCGAGGCGATCCACCAGGAAATGCTGAAGGACATCCTTGCCAAGCGCGGGGTGCCCAAGGACAATTACTATCGCTTCAATGTGGAGGTCGGTGTCGGTGAGTTCGGCATGAATGAGTGGAATCGCCTGGCAGACATCAGCACCAACACGCGGCAATATCTGGCCAAGGCGGAGGTGAAGAAGATGATTCTCGATTCAAGCGTCAAGTTTGCCAAGATCGATCGCATGAACAGACGCCTCGCTCAGCATGCGGCCGCAGGGGGCGACCGGGATGACTTGTCCTTTGACATGGAGCGCGAGGAGATCTCGGTGCACACTCGCAATCCATCCTATTCGGTACCGCCGCCGAATCACTTCGCCGTTGAACTCCCTGCATCACCTGTGGATGCTCTTCCTTCACCTCTAGGCCAGGCTCCTACTATTCCTTCCCAACCTCATGCATCCGTCATCGTGACTGCGCCTCCGTCGGGCGATTCGCTGCCTGCGCATCCGACCCCGCAAGACGGTCCATTATCTCCAACATGGCATTCGAGCGGCGAGACGAGTGGCTTCCGACCGAGCCACGAGGCCGATCGGCCTGGCTCGCAACAGCAGGACTCTCCTCAGCGCAGCAACGACCAGTTTCCTTCGTATAATGTGTCGCCACTCAGCGGAATGCCTCCGCCTATTCCTCCTAAAACCCCGATACCTTATCCTTCAACCGAGGATCCGGGGGTGTCGATGCCCGCACCTCTCTTTTCTCAGCCCCATGCACCTGTTGCTGGCGGTAAAGTGCGCCCTCCTTATCCGGTGGATGAGCCTCCACCCGTGGTCAATCGGCAGCGCAAGCCTAGTTTCCATGTGCGATGAGGAATGAGAACTAATGAAAACTTTGCACCGCGCTGGGCGCGGACAGGCCTGTCTACTTTTCGCGTTATGGGGGGGAAGGGCCGGGGGGGGGGGGGGGGGGGAAGGAAAAAAGAAGCAACTTTTCGAATCCTTTGGCTTCTTCGCCTCACGCCGTGATGATTTTTCTTTTGCGTTTCTGCTCTGTGTTTTCCCTTATTTTTTTACTTTTCTTTCTTCCTGGATACCCTTCAATCGGCTTGGTGAATTGCACTCTGAACCGAGCAATGGCCCGGCGTGAACCTGGTTGTTTACCGCATTTCGTGTGCTCTGTGTTACCTCCAGTCGGTCAGATAGCTTGGCAATTTCTATGATATCTTAGGCTATTAGGATCGATTGAGAACGATGTTTTTGTGCTCGTTAGTCTTGTTATATCTTCTATAGCGGTCTGTTATGGCTGGAGCTTGTACTGGATGTAAGCTTTACACATTACACGCAGGAACTAGACACTGACAGTAAAGACGATTCTGTCAGTGCCGGGCATCGGTACTAGGGTGGTACATTATGGCAACACGCGTATTTTGTACGGTGTCAACTGTCAAACTACTGATGAAAGTCTTGAATTTCTCCTGCACTTATCGAGTGCATCCCTATAAGGATACCCTGCGGCATGGAATACCGTGACGACAACTACCTAGTATGGTAGTATAACTAAGTTATACCTAACTACCTAGACACCACCTGCATCATCGAGGCGCAGGCCGAGTGGCGAACCTTCGGAGCGGGTCACTTCAACAAGGTCTGAGTGCTTTCCTCCTGCTTAATTATGCTTCGCGCTCAAGCATATGAATGACAACCTGGACAGTCAGTAACTCAGTAGATGCCTGTTTCCCTTTTTGTTTTCCCCCCGCGTATTCGTACAAAGATTGCCTGAAACAGCATTCTGTCTTACCGTCCTCGAGTCTACTAGACTCGGTCTAGTAGTGGTGTAGGTGAGATAGTATTACTATCAATATCGCGACATCTGGACTACTTCCGCCAAGGCTGCAGTAGGTCTTACTTAAGCTGAGACTCAAATAAATAGCTAAAATTAGGTTAGCAACGCGCGGTTGTCCCTGCAGGGTCATGTCACTGGTTCAGTCCTTGGCCCTTTGCCCTTCCGGTGGTACTGTTAATGGACTAGACCCTCGCGGGCTTCTCCAGTCTCCACCACATCCGCGGGTCGAGGGGCGTTCCAGTATCGAGTCTCCCACGGGAAGCGAGGGCAACGAGGAGTTGAGAGAAGATGCTCGTTGGTTGAGTGGACTCTTGTGCCCCTGTCGAGCATGGCCCTGGGTGTCTTTGAGGTGTCGGAATGGGTGGCAAGGCCAATCAAATGAGTAGGCTGGATGTACGTGAGAACTTTGATAGTCTCATTTGGTTGAAGGTAAATACGCTTTCCAAGTATACGGACGGATAGGTCCAGTGCTTCATTTAGCAGGAAGAGGACTAGTCCATGTTCAGTGCTTGTGGGTCTTGGCAGTCTGTATCAAGCGTTGATTGAGGTGATACCGACTGATGGCTCTGACTTGAATCTCCTCGTGAGAAAAGGTACATAACTAGTACATCTTACATAGTAAGTAGATCTCTACCAGCTCAACTAAAACTACCTAGACAGATACCTATACTCCTACATACACGTACGATCCTCGCTTACACGCTGAGCTTTGCGCCAACAATATACATAGGCACTACATGTTTGGGGTTATAGACCAACATTGTATCATTATTCAACGCCCAGGTATGTAAATGTACCGCATCCTCGAGGGCGATTGTCCAGTTGACCCACCCTCTGGTCCAGCGTGGACCTGTGGATATCTTTTCTCTCCACAGCCCTCAGCCCGCAGCCCAACCAGGCCCCAGCCTCTTTTGTTTTTCCCACTTTCCCCTTTTTCATCATCGTCATCTCCCGCGGACCTTGGGTTGGTGGGACGATCGCATTCGATGCCACCGTTGTTGTTCGCCGTCTGTTCTCTCCCTCTCACTTCTTCTCTCAATCTCTCCTCCACCAGCTTTCTTTGGGCGTGACTCGACCACCTTACCGAGTACAGCGAAACCATTGGAGTACTACCAGCTCCTCTATCGGCATTACTTACCTCGGTCGCTCGCTCCCGGACAATCTCATGCACCGCCACTAAAAGTGCCCGTCCACACATGGTGATCGGCCTGCTGCTTCCATTCTCAAGTTCCAGAAGCATTCCTCGATCTTGATTACCCCCCCCCACGGCCTATTCGGGTCAAGGGTAAACCTCCAACAACTCACAAGAACTGCTGTGGAAGACCAGAGCGACGTCGCTCGTCATTGAGGATCGCCCTGCGACCGACCGATCATCGTGAAAGTCGCATGCATACAGAGGTGGACGGGAGACCCGCAACTTTGTGTTTACGATTAAGCGCCCGTCGAGCAGCAGTTCGCCCAACGTCCGTTCACGTTTCAGCTTAGTCGCCAGACCGCGTTCATTCAACGGAGAGAAGTCGGCCGGCTTGCCAACTTTTTCTTCGACATCCTTCTGGGTCCACGCCGTCCCTCTTCATTCCACGTCGCTCCCTCATCACTGCTGGTCAGTGCGGCTATCCCTCGCAAGAACACCAACCATACTTATTCCTTTCGACCGACCGACTCAACGTCGCCTGTCATGGATCCAAGTCAGAGCTTGTATCATGCTTCACACATCATGGCTCGCGCCGATACGACCGGTCGTCCGCCAATCTACAAAGCCGTGGGTGTGTCTCTAGCAGTCGCATCAGGAGTGTTCATCGGCATCTCTTTTGTGATTAAAAAAATTGGCCTTCTCAAGGCGAATGTAAAGTATAACGAAGAGGCCGGTGAGGGATACGGTTATCTCAAAAACGCTTGGTGGTGGTTGGGTATGACTCTTATGATTCTGGGCGAAATCTGTAACTTTGTCGCATACGCATTTGTCGATGCGATTCTGGTCACTCCGCTGGGTGCGCTGTCCGTGGTGATCACCACCATTCTGTCGGCAATATTTCTCAAAGAACGGCTCAGTTTCGTGGGCAAAGTGGGTTGTTTTTCGTGTATCATCGGATCAGTGGTGATTGCGATGAATGCCCCGGAGCAATCGTCGGTCAGTGACATTCAGGGGATGCAAAAGTTTGTCGTTGCACCGGGCTTTCTCACCTACACCGGTGTGATCCTGATTGGAGCGGCTGTCACTGCGATCTGGGTAGGACCCCGGTACGGCAAGAAGAGCATGTTCGTCTACATCAGCATTTGCAGTATGGTGGGCGGACTGAGTGTCGTGGCCACGCAGGGTCTTGGTTCGGCCATCCTTGCGCAGATTCGAGGGGGAGTCGCAGTTCAAGCACTGGTTCCTTTATGTGCTGCTTGTCTTCGTGGTCTGCACCTTGCTGACCGAAATCATCTACCTCAATGTATGCAACCCTTTCTACCTTCTTCCTGCTATTTACTATCTTTTGTCACTTGAACATTTTCATGAGCCACAAACTAACTCTGTCCCTGCAGAAAGCGCTGAATTTGTTCAATGCCGCACTCGTGACACCCACGTATTATGTCATGTTCACCAGTGCGACCATCATCACCTCGGCGATTCTGTTCCAGGGGTTCTCTGGAAGTGGGATTCAAATTGCCACTGTGATTATGGGTTTCCTACAGATCTGCGCTGGCGTTGTCTTGCTTCAACTGTCCAAATCTGCCAAGGATGTACCCGATGCCGCCGTCTTCAAGGGTGACTTGGATCAAATTCGTGAGGTGGCTGCACAGGAAGAGCCTGAATTTGAGCCCAAGGCCGATTCTATCCGTGGTGCTGCCTCAATTCTGCGCCGCATCTCGACCACACGTCGGGACAATGAACATGATGAAGTGCGACGCTTTGCTCATGACAAGCAAGAAGACTTTTTGAAACCGCCCGGCCAAAACGAGATTATCGAGTGGGATGGTATCCGTCGACGCAAGACCGTCATTGGCGAAGGTCCTACTATGTCTCGTCCGAGGACACCACGCACCCCTTCGATCAAACAGCCAGCATCGCCGGTGCCTCCTCTGCGGATGGCCAGATTGCCTGCCGAGGGAACCGATCATGAGGATCGTCCTGGCTCGAGAGCAGGCGGACACAATTTCCTCGCCAGTGTGCTCCAGTCGGGCCACTGGCTCTCCCTGCACAAGGCTGACGGAAAGGATCCTACGGCAGCGGACGCTACCGAGATGACCACCAGAAACAGTGGCGTTGACACCGAATATCATGGCGCCGGTGGCAGTCTCGAGGAGCCTGCTTTTCGCTTTGGAGGTCGCGAGCGAAGCGACACACCACGGTCTATTGCCTGGGCGGACGAGAAGGAAGACGATAGCCGACCGCAATCTCATCACACCATCGAGCCGCCGTACGCTGCACGTCGTCAATTTTCATTTAACAGCATGTTTAACCGCCGTAAGGCGCAAAGCCAGCCACCATCACCCAAACGCGTGCAGAGTCCCCCTCGAGGTATCTTGCGCCGTCACCATGGCGTTGACGGAGATGTTCGCAAATCTGCCACTGAAGAAGAGCAACTTGGCCTGGTCCGTGGAGACTCGCGGACCGCAGAGGAAGCCCTCGGCGAAAAATTAGAGCGATGGTCCAGTTCCGATTCCGACGCCGCTGAGATCAGTCACCCTGCCGTACATCATCCACGACCACTGCCTTCCGGCCGACCTCATGGCGACTCTGTCTCGAGCATGTCCACGTCCGCATTCCCTCCATATGAGGATCACCATGCTATATACGCGCAGTCGGGCAACGTCTCGAACCCATACTATCTCCCACAAAACCGACAAGCGACCGCCTCCCCAGAAGATATGAACGATCATGATGGCTATGATTATCCCCGCTCAAGAACCAGGACCAACTCGTCTTCTCACGCGCGAGCTCCTCCGCCAGCGCATTCATCCTTCTCCGCGCATCGTCATCCGAACCCGCTCCCGCCTCTGCCTGACAACACGCCCCTCACCCTCGAGGACAACATGCGATCTGTCTCGAATGATTCTTTTGACCCGAGGGCTGTATCATTCTCTTCGACTGAAGCTCGTGACGACGATAATACGCCTGAGTCCGGAGCCGCAGCAGGCCCCAGCACACATGTAGGTGGATGGCGGCGAGATATGTCTGAGACCACAGAGACGAACAGTTTGGACGACAACTTGTCTCGAAGAGGAAAGAAGGGGTCCTTCCTTTGAGCCTGGAACGCGACGATTTAATCGACAAGGGGGAGATAGCGACCAACTGGGATGTCACTCACACAGAAAGATGATGAAATCTTTTCGATCGAGCGCTCTCCGTCTTTCTTGCACATTTTTTTCCTTCTTCTTCTTCTTTCCCTTTTCATCCGTGGTCGGCGACTCAGTTCTTTCCAGCCATTTCGCCCGACCCCGACCAAACTCCGAGATGACACTGGATGACTGGACAACATTTGCTTTATGTCGCCTGGTACTTGGACGATTTTGACAAGAGCACCCTGACCTCTCCACCAACCTTTGGTGATTTGCATAGTATTTTGAGCGATATCGACTTGCTTGTTGTCTTTGGTTATTGACATTGATTCTGATTCTGGTTTTCGCCCAGGCCTCTGTGTTGGCCCAGGGGCCCCCGATCTATTGCTTTGGCTCTTGTGTCCGCCCTTGTGGGAGCTCTCTCGTCTTTGTCTGCTTGCTTTTTCTCATCTTTTCCCTGTGGAGTTTGTAAAACTTTCCCTTCTCGACGCACAATGTGGGAGCCAAGACACGATGTATAGATAAAGACCTGTCGACCGGGTTGTCCTTGCCATGATACATGAAATAATGGAATTATGATTGACATATGAACCGCGCCACTGATAGGCTCCGACCGAAAGCGCATCCTCTCCGTGAACAAGCAAAGTAACCCTGGACATGAAGTATTGCAAGTACTGAAATGATCGGCAAATGCCATAAAAGTCCGGTGCTGACGCTACTCAATTCAAAGGTACCCAGGTCGGGTGCCAATATGGTAACCCGTACATCCATCAGAGACCGATACGGAAGTAAGGACCCTAACCGGCCGTTACACTGGAGACTCGCCGGTCTCTCTGGAATCGAAATAGATTGGGAGATGAGCTGGAGATAGAGGCGGGATTAGCGCCGTGTGTATCATCGCGGGTGCGTTTTTGGAAAGCCGTTGGGGAGTACGGCGTTACAGGGTTAAATGGAGATCGACGTTAATGATTGAAATGAGGAAAATAACTATCTCATTCGTCCATGTTGGGCCACGTCCCTGTTTACGTTGTTCTATACGACAATGGGTTTCCCGGCCGTCTTCATCTAGTTTTTGAGATGCACGGTAGAAGCAGACAATGTTGAAATATTAAGAAAGAAAACAAAAACACAAAAACAAACAAAAAACGGGTATCTTCAATATGCGCGTTCTCGGGAAACAGTAATCTGATCATGGAGCAAATCCAATCTCATCCATACACACGTGTCTCATATCACCTTCCGAATAAAGAAGCCACACTTCTCTGACCCTTTGACGCGACGCTCATTACGGCGAAGCGCGATTCCGCAAGGCGTTTCCCTGCTTTGATGCTTTCGAGGACCCTGTGATGAGAGATGGACTGCGCATTAGGTACTGGGGTTTTCAGGTCTCGAAGTTCAGGATTCAAGGGTGATCAGAGGTAGACTTTCCGCGACGAAGAAAATGTCACGGGTGGTCAAATGTTGATTTGGAGCGCTGAGGAGTATGATAATGCCATATGTGGGAGATTGTAGATGCTTGGATGATGAGAGCGTTGGAGGGAGAGATATTGTACTCACCAGTCGACTCCTACGATCCTGACTCCCTTCCATCCCCCTCTCTCGATTTCTCGCTGCAATTTTCTTGCAGCGAGACCACCACCACATCCGTGGCCCGTTGTCCCGGGCTGCCCGATGATCACATGGGAGACGCTTCTGCGAGCCATGGCGATGGCGACGGTGGCTCCGTTCTCGGCGAGGAGGGACTTGAGCTTGTGGTCGGAGATTTGAGGTAATGTTGAGCCGTTAATGTAGATTGTTGTCCCCGTGAAGATTTTAGTGAGGCGGGAGTCGATGGTATTGTGAATGGGGATGGAGACGGAGGCGGAGGTAGGAGGTTTGGAGGATCGAGTTGGAAGTTTTGGCATGCTTCGGGATTCGGGATCTGGTTGGCTTTCCGGTGGTGGGTTTGGCGTTGTCGTATTTGTTGCAGGTATGAGTGTTGGTGAGCTGCTATTTGAAGAGGAAGTCGAGTCGGAGATCCTTGTTGCTGACGAGTCGACTGACATGTTGTCGACTTCATCGAACATTCGAGGCTTCTTTGATTTCTGCTTCTTCGTGTCCTTGTTCGTATCTTCCTCTGGCTGGTTTTTCGGCTTTTCTTTCTGAATGGTCGTCGCCATCTCTTCGACTGGTCTCAATTCGCTTCGCTGGATATCGCCTTCATCGATCCTCCTCCTCCTCCTCTTCTTCTTCTCATTCAGCACTTTCCCCTGTAGCGCATCGCTGGGTTTCCTCTTCCCAACACCCATGAAGCATCGAATATCTCTCACTCCCCATTCCATCCTCTTGGCCTCCTCATCCGATATCCACTCCCACTTGCCCTTCCCACTAGGAGCTGCCAAGCCCAACACCCCATTCTCCCTCGATCCACTCTCCAGCCCACTCACAGCTTCTCTATCGTCACAAGAACCACCACCAAAGGCATCCAATTTGAAATCGTCATCTCCCAGAACACCCAGCTGTTCACGCGAGCAATCTTCTCCGCGAAATTGCTGCTTCAGTTTCGCAATGCGAGTGTCCCGCCATCGAGTGGTTCCAAGATATCCGCTATCGGCGCGTTGATGGCCTGATGAGGCGGAATTCCAGGGGTCAAAGATGCGGTGGTTCCTGGGTGATAGAGAGCGTTTTTGTCTTGGAGGTTGTGGTTCTGTCGGATTTTGGTCAGGGCGGGGTGGAACCCGCTGGGCAGTTGGTGGGTTGCACATGGGAAGGAAATTCTCTTGTCGCTTTTTGACGAGAAGGTGGACGCATGGAAGAAAAGGAGGGGGAGGTGGTATCGTTGCTGGACTGGTGCAGATTGACCAGGCCGGGGTAAATGCGGTAGTAGCCTGCACCCTTGATTGACTGCGGGCGATATCTCAGCTGAGAACGAGATAGGTGAAAGACGTCGTCAGATTGTTGTCGCCGTCAAAGGTCTGCATGAACCAACGCGTCCAGTCGCGTCCAGAGTTCAGCGGGAAGGGGGCAAAAAAAGAAAGGCTCTGAGTGACGTTGGAGAGAGAAAACTCGTGGGACAAGTTTCCAGTTTCCCTGGTCGGACCCAAGGAAGCGCATGTTTTCGTTTTGCCGATTCGGGGATAGGGTCGGGGCTACGTCACGTGGAGGGGAATGAATGAGCCGCATAACGATGGAAAGGCAACAAATCGACCACGTTTGCAAGAAGTCATGAAATCCATTCTGGGCATAGCAAAAGCTGCCAATGCCAAGCATCTTTCCAGAGTGTGAGCGTCGAACAGAAGCCATGAACGTATGCTCATCATTTACAAGGCTCAAGGCGGCCATGACATGCCGATACCGACGGTTATCAGATCGGTTGTGCATGACGGATCGACAAACTACTCTCCGGTCCGAGATCGGATGAGATCCACTTCCAAATCAAGTCTTTGTACCGTACAGCAAGCCACATTGATGGCTTCCCCGGCCATATCCACTCTTAAGAAAGGGACATTGGATACATCTCACGTGCAGAACAACTTGCACTTGAGGGCGAGGATCACAGCACGCTCTGCTGGGCTTTCGATCTGGCCACGTCAAGTAGCACGATGATATCGTGAATGCCGACCAATCGCTCATCACCTTTCCCTTCTCCTATTACCGATCCGCTTTCCAAGAAAAGCGTGCGATCCTCAACGACTACCCAAGCGGTGTTTCGAACCCCCTCCCAACTCGGCGTGCAGTTCTCGATCTGATTGAAATCTGGAAGCAAATGAAAGAGCAGGCGACGTTCTCAAGGTCCATCTGATGCCCACAGCAAGAGAAAGTGAGACAGCGGAGAATCCATTCCATTGCTGCGCGACTGCATGAACTGGCAAACTGTCTCTTAAAATGGGCTTGCCTGAGACAACAAACAGTCTCTGGCTTTTCTGCGTCGGTCTGTCTCCCTAGTGCCTAGTACCTAATACCTAGTATCTACTCCGACTAGATCTTCTCTTATCAGGTCGGGAAAGTCTCAGTGTACGTGTGACAAAGTCTTGCACGCGCCCTCGGTAGCTCGGAAAGCACCTGCGTGACGTTCAATGCAAAGGTCGTAGACAATACGTTAAATCATATTCTGATCGGGGCTTCTTACTTACCTGATGAATTGAATCGAGTTCACAGCTCAAGTTCAGGAAAAACAGAAAAAAAAAAAAGGGAAATAAATAGCGCGCGGTTTCGCTGATAAGACCAGACCTTTGCATGTAAACTCGCTGCTCCTCGCTCTAACCTGAATTGTCAAATTGAAGCTTGAAATGATCACTCGATCATTCGGCATTTGCAAAAGAATCTGGACAAGTCATACCGCCTACTGGGACTGAAGTCACACTCGTGTAGTTCATGAACGAAAGACCAATGATAGAAATACCCCCCAGCACATCCATCTCAGCCTCATATTGTGAGAAGTCCTCGCTCCTAAGGCGAATTGGGCATTCAGTTTCAACGTTCCTGATAGGGCTCTTCTTGCCATCAAGCACTGGCCGAGTGAGGATATCAGCCATCGAGTCGAACCACTTTCCTCGATAGCGCGGCGACAAAGGTCCAAAGTCTCTTTCTCCATCACGTCCTCGTCACCCGATTGCAACGAAGGAAATAATTCAGGTATTTGCGTATAGAGCCGTTGCAGGGACAGAGGAATACAAGCCTGTTGCCCAGTCGATCATGCAAGTATTCCGGTTGGCGTGTGGATCAACAATCACATTATCACTTAAGGCGTCAGCACACTTGCGAGACGCCAGGTATGAAGATCAGACAGAACCAAGACCCTGTATTTAGTAAAAAGGACGACGTAATCAATCTGATGTGAAGGTATCGGGGGCCCTTGGTACTAGGAGTAGATAGATCGATGATGAATCATTCGTGGTCGTGCTTTCGAGATAGCCCGTTCGACTTCCATTTCTTTTTCCCCCAAGGCCAAAGCGTAGTAGATAGCACCTTTCCCCTGGGATAAAGTTAATAAACAAGACAATGAACTTTGCGTCTTTCAAAGCTTACATATGCCTCGTTGCTCGTCGATGGAGAGTTCGCCCTATATCCGGCCCAAATGCCAGCCATGATCTTTGCCCTCGATGATGTACTCAGCTCCCACTGGATGGCACCAGATAACTTACCCTGCAATACGACGGATAGGAACACCTACCTCGCGGCAACGAGGCATTCGATCAGCTTTTGAGTAAGTAGAGGAAAAGTCTACAACGTACAGAATTGGGCGTCGCGACTTCCGAGTCCACTGTGTAAACGGCAAGACCAGCGTCGGGATGGGGTAATCGAGCGATAAGCTGGAGCTCAAGCTCATGGTTAGGTGAAACGTCTTGTTGAACTGTCTTTCGGCACACTTTGGCAATTTCAAGCTTCGTGCACAGTGCACACTGCGTGCTTCTTCTCGAATGCCTCAAGACATCGAAGAGCATTTGTCTGGAGCTCCATGCCGAATGAACGAGGATTACAATCTACCACACAAAAACACCAAAAAGAAAGAAAATCAACAATTGACTGTGTAAAAAACATAATGGATTCGTCATGTGGAATTCGTATCGTCATAGTCATGAATATGGCAAGGGATGCGCCTGCACAAACATCTCAAAGAAAGCATCCGAGTTTTCAACGACAGATCTCGGATGTCAGATTCCTGCTCGATCAACTCATTGTTTCCTCTCATCCGCCGCCAACTCCCCGTCCCACAAGAATTTGGCAAATGATTCGTATATGGCGTGGCAGAGCAAGGCGTTGCATGGTCTGAAGTTTCAAAGCCTCATGCATCTGTCTCATCATCACAAATCCCCATTGCACGAAACCAGGTGGCATGGAGAGCGGGCCTCTCATATAATGGGAAAAGCACTGCAATTCTGAAAACGGAGAAGAAAATGCAATGTTCTGGGGCGCATCGCTCATAAGAGAGGAAATAACAGTGTCCGAATGAACCAATCTGGTCCGAACAAGAAACCAAACAGCATGCGCGAACACAGGGAGAAAAACAAAAGACACCCAATTTGACGCAATGCGCAAGCTGCAATCATGAGAAGCAAATGTCATCACGGGGTGTTCTTGCAGAACAAAGCCACAAAAAATAGCGAATCATGCCGCAAAAACTTGTCTATCAAAGGCAAAAGACAAGAGTAACCCAGAAAAATGAAAACCCAAAAAAGACTCGAAGTTAAGTCAAAAAGAGAAAAAAAAAAAGAAAAAGAAAAACCAGAGCAGAATCCTCAATGATCCAAACACCATCCGGAGGTGAGAGAGCGCCCATGTCCTTAGCAAGACGAAATGGGTGATGCATTAAAAGTACCGTTCAAGAAGAAGGCTCGTATGCGGCTGTCAAGTCGATGTTTTTTTTTCTCATCGACGACGAGCCATGGGTCCACCAGTCTTCATGGGCTGCAGAAGAGGTGCACCACCGAGTGGACCTCCGAGGGGATTCTCAGTGATGGTCTTGCGCCGCTTGCTTTCAAACTCGCCGGCAGGATCGGCTCGAATCACATCATCATCGTCACGCATACGCTTGTTGCCCGATCCCATACTGCCATTCATTGTGGTCGGATAGACAGGGTTGGAGGTCGATGGCATCGAGTACGGGTCAGAACCTCCATTCGCCGGGGTACCACGCGTGTCGCTCACGGCGTTGTACAGCGATGGAGCCAGTGGGGGACGCGGAGGGGTGTTGTATCCGGAAGCCCAGTGCGGGGCCGGCCCGCTGATACTGGTTCGGGGAGTCATGCGACCCGAGCCGTTTTGCTGGGGAGATCCGGTCATTTCGGGAGTCAGCTGGGCATGCTCACCACCAAGCGCAGATCCAGACGTGTTGGCAGTGTACGTGTAGGCGCCGCGGTTGTTGTAACTAGACCCTTGATCCTGCAGGTATTCCGATTCTTGGTCTTGCACCGACTCGTCGGACGCATCCTGGCCATAGCGGTCTGAAGCGCTTCCTTGGGTGTAACGGTGATTCTTAAGATCGGAAGATTCGTGATCACCAGTGCGACCGGTGGGGGGCGCCATTTCACTTTTTAAGTAGCTGTTCATAGTCGGAAGAGATTGACCGTAGCTGGAGATGCCCGACTGTGTCATGGGCGTCTGCGGAGCGTACTGCGAGTGTGACTGCGGGGCAGCGGAATAGTAGGGCTTGCTTTCATACCCCGATTGAGCTTGATAGGGCGGCATGCTGTGCATGTTGTTTCCAGGCGGCGTAGTCGCAGGGGTCGTCGGCATGGATCGCTGATTACTCAAGGTGGTATCGATCGAAAGGGGCTGGGAGTGTGGCACAGAGCCACCCCATTCATAGGAGCTGTTTTGGTTGGTGACTCCCATCAGGCTAGAAGCACTGGCGGGGGGCGTAGGAAAGGTGTTGGCACGTTCCAGACCCGGACGAGATCCTCCTCCTACTGAAGACGGCTGAGGCATGTGCGAAGACATTGGGGTCTGCAGAGCCTGATGATGAAGGTTGGAATGCTGAGGGGCAGTTGGTGTCGTACGCTGCGGCCCAGAGGACGGTCCCTCCATGCGTCGGTGCTGCGATTCTTGGACCACCAACTGAGTTCGGTTTTGGTTGGCCGGGTGGTACAATAGGCCTCCAATGTTATGCACGAAGAGGGGATACAACAGATCCGTGATCTTCTCCTTGTTTGCAAAATCCAGAGCCCGCTCGAATGGAATCCTGTATATCCCAGACGTTAGCGACTACTCCTTACGATCTCCATTGTCCTTCCTGTCTCGTCGATTTTCGATATCATGACACTTACCAAACGCCCTTCAAATGCATCGGACCAATCTTGACGACATGGCGCAGTTTCTCGCTCTTGAGTATCCCATCACGACGACCGCGGGTCATACCGGCGACGTTCAATAATTTGGTTCCATTGATCATGTGGTTGTCTGAAGATCCCACAAGTTAGCATAGAAACAGCACAGTGAGCAAGTCGTGGCTATCGGCAGCGGTTTTGCCTATTCCACACTGGAAGCCTTCACTCACCCTCTCGTCGAGCCACACAAACACCTTTGGCCTCCACCTGGTAGCAGAGACTCCCCTCATCTTCCCAAAGAGTTGCCGTGACCCTTGGTTTCGCGCCGGGTGGCGCCACTTGACCCGATGGATCGTACACAAACCCTTGCATGGGGGAACCAGTGGTATTGCCATATCCTGACGGTGCGGCACTGGAATGGTTACTTGTGGCACTCACTAGATTGTCCGGTATTAGTCAAGAAAACCCCACCAAAAAAATCAAGATGTCTCACAAATTGCTCCATGGGCAATCCTTTTGTTCCTCGTTCACTGACCTTGGGGAAGGGGTAACAACTGCGTCGGCATCTGGCCACTGAGAGAACTCGCTGGGGGAGCATGGGCCGATGGCGGCGAGGTCACCGAATTGGGATACGCATATTGCTGATAGGTGACGGGGGCGTAGGTCGATGCCGGTTGCAGGACCGGAGGCTGATGCTGGTAGGGATAGTGCGACATGGTGCCGGAGGTAGCAGCTTGGGATGGGTATGGTTGGGCCGAAGACATGTGCGAATGGACGTCCATGTAAGGCTGAGAGTGGTTCATGCTGCCGAGAGAAGTCGGGCTGGGATAATATCCGTCGGAGGATGCAATGGTGTACTCAGAGTCCAACGACAACCGACCCTGGGCAATGTCTGCAGATGGCGGTGGGCTTCGGGGGTCCTGAGCGGTGGAGGCACCAGACAAACTGGTTCGGGCACTTGAGGTACCAGTCGAGCCACGATCGTCGGGATAAAAGGAGGAGGTGAGGGTACGGGTCGGAGCCTGGGTGGCGGTCGGCAAACTGAGCGCGGGCAATCGATCGCCTGACAACAATGGCCGTTCCGCCGCGTGTTGGTTATACCAAGGGGTATCAGCAGGGCCGCGGGTGTGGACCTGCGAGATCGATGGCAGCTCCAGCTTTTCGGTTGCACAAAGGATCTAAGGTAAAGGATAGGAAGCGCTTCGGCTTGTGGCAATCACAAAATCAGAAATTGATCAGGGATAGCCGTGGATGAGCTGACAGGTTGTAGGATGAAGGTCTGCAAGCTTGATGCTGGAAGACAGAATGGAGCTGGCTTTTTTTTTTCGGGAGGGGGTCGTTTGAGTTGCAAGAAGAAACACTGCAAGAGATGTGCTGCGATTGAAACGCTGCGTAACAGAATTGAGTCGTAAACCGGTGGAAAATCAGAATGCAAGCAGAGGCGTGAGCTCACAGAGAGATCAGTGGGGGCCGATATTCCGCTTTGTCGCTAGGTCATGCAAGATGAGATGCAAAGACAATCAGAGTGCGCTGGGTGGTTGCAGGATTCAAAGAACAAATTCACACGCTCGAGTGGACTTGATATCCAACAAGCAAAAATGGGAGCCAAAGGTTGCCAAGTTGAGATACTCGAGTCAGCCAGTGTCAGTCGCTTTTGTTTACTTGTGTTTTGGGTTTGTGGTGTCCGACGTAATCATCAAAAATCAAGGCCGGGGCGTGATTGATCGCAAGAACGCAGAGGATCAATGTAGGTAGGGTGCTCAGCAAGCAAGAATCAAAAGCGTCGTATGGAGGGGCATCAATGTTCATGAACAGTCGTGGCAAACATGAAAAGGCGGATGTATGTTCATGCAAGTTGCGGGGAGCCGAAGTCAAATAAGGCGAGACGGAGCGGGAAGCAGGATGGGAGGAAAACGAGAGAAACTCTGCCGTGAAAGGCTGGCGTGCAGCAAACGCAACACCTTTCTGCAGGTTTGAGATTGAGAGCGACCCAAGGGGGAGGGGTTGGGTGTCTGCGGAGGAGGAGGAGGATGATGATGGAGGAGGGAGGAAGAGCAAGTCGTGGTGGAAGATGAAGAAGAGGGCGGGGGAGAGGGGGGGGGGGTCGTGGTGGTTGTGGAAAGCGAATTGGCAGTTGAGAGCGAACAAGATCAGTTGGCCGTGGCACTTGCGGTGGCAGAGGCGTGCATCAGAGCCGCAGGGCGGGAAAGGCGATCAGTGGAGGACGACCGTGTAAAGGCGCGGCAGGTGACTTGAGATGACTAAGGAGGAAAGAGCCTGAGCCTGGAGGAATGTGGGGGGCTCTACGACCTCTTTGGGGGGTGGAGGTGGAGGGAAATAAGCACTCCCCGGGGAGGTGGAAATAAACCTGCAGGGTGGTTTGTTTCGGACAATAGAGGCAGAGAGCAGAGCTGCCGAGCTGCAAGTCGGGCGGGTGGTGGTAACCAAAAGGTGATCCTTTCTAGCGGGAGATGGGCTGGGGAAGGGTCATGGAAGACGCAGCACCGCGCTCATTGAAATTAACAAGGAAAAACAGCTGGGGAAACGGAAAGTCTGATCGATCTTGGAAAAAAGGTGGCTGGGAGGCCTGCTAAATGCTAGCAAGAGGGTTACGGCGAAGGTCGGGAATATCGGGAGAATCACTGGGGCTTGTGTTGACTTGCAGCAAGTTGCAACTCTTCAAACTCCTGAGGTGCCCACCGAAATAGAATAGTGTCGGTGGAGCCGAGGAGAAGACGAGCAGAGGACGAGAGGGGGAAGGGTGAGGAAAAGGGTAAACCAAAAAATAAAAAATAAATAAAACATTCAAAATAAACAATAAACTCATCCCCAAAAAAAAAAAGAAAGAAAGAAAGACAGAAAGGAAAAGAGCCAACTAGATTTCCGGTGATCGAGTCAACCGCCACCAAGCAAGGAAGGGTATATCAAAAAGGAAAAAGGGGAAAATCTTTTGAAAAAGAGAATTGAATGATCCCAAAGTGGACATGGGTGAGAAAAGAGGTAGAGAGAGAGAGAGAGAGAGAGAGAGAGAGAGAGAGAGAGAGAGAGAGAGAGAGAGAGGAGCATATTCTGAATTTCTCCCCCCTGCGATCAAGCCAATCCCATTCAATCCTGGACGTAGAGTCAATGAGCGTGAAGGAAATTGCTCGTGAGCATTGATAGCTATAATGCCAATAATTGAATCCAAAGGCAATATAGCTGGGCGCGATTATGACCGAAGTGGTGGAGAAGGATGGAACTGTCAATGACTATTACATGATCGAATGATGGTTACTCTAGAGGACGAATAACGAGGATGAGATGCCTAATCGATGTTCTTCAAATGGCAGTCCAAGATACCACCACCTCCCGAATATACAAAGAGTTCAAGTCACAAATTCAGGAGATGAGTAGAACACTTGACATGGACAGAGAAGAACTGCAGTATTATTGATTAGGGCTACGAGCATCCTCGTAAGAAACGGAGATCTACACCTCCAGGGATAAAGATAAGCATCGGACGTATTCTTTCAATATTTCAATGGGTACGATTGAGAATAACAGAATAGAATCACCGTTTCGCGAGATCCATCTTCGATGTCTCCAATCTACCATCACAAGAGCAACAGATACTTGACGGTCTATGAGTGGTGAGACTATGTACAGACAGCAACCCATCACATTGCTTTTCCGACGGAGTCAAGAGTCAAAGCTCACGGCGCCCGGGTCTCACGAGAGGGGGGAAGAGGAGAACCGATCAACAGACCGGGAGTGTGTGCGCGAGAGAGGAGAGGATCCACCCCCTAAGCTGAGGAGATCCTGGTCTGTGTGACCAGCAAAACGCTGATCGTCCGGGATAAGCCCGCCGTGATCAAGTGGAGTCCGATCCCTACCGCCACGCACTGCAGAGTGCAGAGTGCAGACTGCCAGACTGAGATTGTCGTGGTAGGAACATGAATAAAAGGACCGGGATCGCTAGTGTGAGTGGTCTCTAGCCAGGGTGATGATCACGGACTATGCTATGCAATCATTTGATATCATGATAGCAGATACTCGTCGATGATATGATGTATAAAACACCGGGGAAATGGACCAGACAGACACGGGTGACTGGGGTCGGGTCTAGGATGACCCTGAGTCATGAGGGCGACGGGGTCAACACATGATCGAGTGTCGAACAAGATCGAGCTGTCTCGCCTGATATCAGGACTGGAAAGAGTCGTCGTTGACAAGAGACTGTTTGAATAAGCAACACGATCGGGGAACTGACCAGAGGGAGTCAGGAGAGGGGTTCTTGTGTGGCGGTTGTTCTGCTAGCAGTGGGCGGCGTGGTGTACCGCTCTAAGCTGATTATGAGTCTTGACACCAGGACCGTCGTGGATATGATGGTCCGGATTGGATGCACTGGCGAGTCAACCCAAATCATCTGTCGATGAGGAAGCATCGGCCGTGCTTCCTCCGGAAGGGATGAGCCATGGTTGACGGCCTCTCCACGAGCGCGGGTCCCACTATGAACCAGGGATGGGCCCCGACGGGGAGGAATTTAGAGCGGAAGAAAAACAGCCACGCCCCCTCCGAAAAAGCTGCTGGAGTTCCTGGTCCAGATTCCAGACCTGTCACCAGGAACGGTACCCAGGAGAGGTTCGGTTCGCCCTGGTCCAGAAAAGCCATGCGATCAGCAACAGAAGTCAGCGGGAACCTGGCTCTTCATCATACAGGAGTGATGACTCGCAAAGACAGAGCTCCGGAAAAGAGGCTTTCGGATCGACAGAGAAACCGTGCAAGACATAACCGCCTGCAGAGCCCGGCGGCTGCACGGTCGATTACGGCCAGTGGAGAGTTTCATCTTCGGTTAGAGTTGGAGTAGAGCTGCCCGTGGACGGAGGAAAACAACATTAGCTGCGACTTTGGCATTGAGGATGCGGGAACCTTCCATGGGTGAGCTGAGACCTGACATGAGGTCATCCCAGAGGTCGGTATTCACCACTTCTGGATCTACCACAGACCGACAAGAACAATAAGGTTACCAGTAAACTTCTCTCCAGTGAGCAACACAGAAGGAGCCCTCCCTTGATCACCAAGTCTTTTCATCTCCATGGTCAACTCATCTACTGTACGTCCGTACTGTACGGTAAGACTGTCAATAGTTCATAACTTAATACCCTGTCTGCGATCTGGACTCGTCGTAGACGTACGGATGAAACTCTCTTTAGCGCGCTAGGAAAAAAGAGTTGCAGGTAATCGATAGATAGATAGAAAAAAAGAAGACACCCAAGGCTAGTATTCCAAATGAAGAAGACATACTCTCGTGTAATTCGATAGGTAGCCCCCAATGTCACTATAGGAGATGTACCATCAGCTGTCATTGCACGCGGATTATTCAAACTCCATGACTTGGGTTTTAGGTTTTATCGTGATATCCTTCCTCAGTCACTCCACGTCCCGACTGAATAGCCGTGTATAGTTATAGTATTTGCTCTACAGGTCTGCACAGTGCCCATTAGCACAGCACGTCGACTAGGGAAGCCATATTTGTACATCTGCCCGATTTAGTAAAAGAAGTTGCGTACCAGCTATCAGTGTCCTAGTCACTACCAGTACCTGCCAACCTGGCACTGTTAGTGTTAGCCCCCAAACTCTGTTGACAGTTCCCTATTTGTTAAACCCCTTGATATCTTGGGTCGGCCTCGGACGCACAATGCGCGGCCCGTCGATCTCTCAGCTCGGGTGGTGGAAATTACGCTGCTGGCTCGGAGGACGGACCACGGACCAGTGGCCATGGCCGACTGCGCAGTGCCCAGTGCCCAGTGCCCAGAGCCCAGAGCCCAGAGCCCAGAGCCCACAGACCACGGCTCCAGCCGACGGTCCTGGCTGTGAGAGAAGTCTGGTCTGGGTGGAACTGGGAGTGGAAGTGGGGGGAAAGGGTGGACACTGACACTGGATATCCTGTAAAGTGCAAAGGGCCTGGGACGCTGTGGGTACCGGGAAGGGATACTGGGACTACGTGGTGGGTACTGGGTACTGGGTACTGGGTACTGGGTACTGGGTACTGGGAGTGGGTAGTTAGTGGGTAACAGGGTAGTGGTACAAACTACACAGTCACCGGTCAAGAAATCTGCCACACGCTGCACAAGGCGACCAGCGAAAACAAGAGGCTAGCCACGGGCGGGGGATGAGAGAGACGGAGGACAGGAGCTGG